GCAAGTTTGGCTAGTGTGAGGGTAAGCCCCCCTTTTTCCCGATTTTTTTTTTTTTTTTGGTGTATGCATTTTGTTTAAATTTATAAGGAAATTTTATGGTCATTGATTTCATAATTTATTAGACCAAGGAGGCGGAGCTAGACGGTGAAGTAACAACTTATGAGATGGAAGTTAGAGCACTGGTCTAAGCTCCTCCCATTCTTTGCTTATCCTATGACTAGCGACACACGAAGGGACTGGAGAGTGCAATAACTAAAAAATCCTTCAGTTAACGCACTCCTCTAAAAATAACAGAAGTTAACTCACTCGAAGATCAAAAGAAAAATTACCATTCATGTTAGAAGTTGTATTTTATGTACTATTGTTTGTTTGTCTTTTCCTTTTTTAGACATGGCTTTGTCAGTTTATTTTCGACTTATGAGTTTGAATGTCCTTTTGGTATCCTTTGCCTCTCTTATACAGATATTTCCGTCATGGCTCCGATTGTCGCAGGGATACACATTTATCGAAAAAATGAGAGGACTGCACGTGATAATTATTACATCTATCTCATTGCAACAAGGAACACCTTTCAGAAATTCTTAAAAACCTCAAGCATGGGCCTAAATTATCAGCTCGTTGCTCTAAGCACGGCATATCCTTTTATGAGCTTAAATGTTATGTGTTTGAAAAAAAGATTCAATGCATGATTTTTGTTGACAGTGAAGAAGGGTGGTATCACGCTTACCAACAGCTCGTCAAAGAGGAAGCTGATTTGCATGCTATTATTTACAAAGCAAATCATATCAACTTAACAGTCTGCAAGAAATACTTTTTGTACTAACATGAGCAACACGACGGGTGCCACATGTGGAGCAGGATCTGCTTATCCTTCCGGAGCACCTGAGATCACCCCCAGTTTTTGGTGGGGTTCGTATCGCTCAGTCTTTAGTTTTTTATGTTGTGTTTTATGTACTGTTGTTTGTCTGTTGGTCTTTTTCTTTTTTTTTTGCCATGGCGTTGTCTGTTTTTTTTTTTTTCGACTTATGAGTTTGAATGTCCTTTGGTATCTGTCGCCTCTCTTTTAGCTGACCTTCGCTACTAGCCCCAACGTCCACTTTTGATCGCTTTTATCAATATCATGTTTATCGCAATCTCAGATTTGTGTGTGCCTGTCCAAAGTCGAAACCAAAGCCAGGTGTTACAAATAAAAACTTAGAACAAGATGGTTTTCCAAGATCAATGTGGTAAAATCCAAAAAAAATCGTAAGGGGATCCACGGAACCCTGTGTCTCGCCTGCGATTGCTGATGTCAGTGTTAAAGTGTAGGGGTGACTTAAAAAATGAGTCCATTTATCAGTAGAATACAGAATTTAAAAAAAAATCAAACTTTTTCTTTAGATGCTATTTTAGCTTGGTTTTGAAGATCAGCTTCTGTCCAAGTTTCATAACAATTTATGAAGGTTTACAAAGTTATCCTGTAAAAAAAAAATTAATCCCAGACTGCCTGTAAATGTTAACTGTAAAAAACGAAGTCCATCTATCAGAAAAATACTAAAAATGAAAAATATATATTTTCAAAGGTTTGCTTCAGACATTATCTCTTAATCATGAAAAAGCTTCTGCCAAAACTCTATGAAGCCAGGTTTGACAAAGTAATTGATGTATAACAAACTTTAACCTCAGATTGTATCTACTCGCATTTGTTAACTGCATGTACAAAAACGAAGTCCATTTATCAGTAAAATACGGAAAAATTAAAATAAATATTTTGGTCATAAACAAGCTTCTGTCCAAATTTCATAAATTTCCATGAAGGTTTTTAAAAGTTATTGATGACTGAAAAAACATTAGCCTCAGACTAAATCTGAATGTTTACTGCATGTAAAACAAGAATGTGTCCATAGTACACGGATGTCCCACTCGCACTATCATTTTCTATGTTTAGTGGACCGTGAAAATGGGGTCAAAACTCTAATTTGGCATTAAAATTAGAAAGATCATATCATAGGGAATATGTGTACTAAGTTTCAAGATGATTGGACTTCAACTTCATCAAAAACTACCTTGACCAAAAACTTTAACCTGAAGCGGGACAGACGGACGAACGAACGGACGCACAGACCGAAAAACATAATGCCTCTAGGTGGGGCTAAAACAAAGTCCGTTTGTCATGAAAATACGGATAAATGAAAATAAATATTTTCAAAATTTTGCTCTGGATACTGTCTTTTGATCATAAACAAAAATCTGTCCAAATTGCATAAAATTCCATTTTGGTTTGACAAAGTTACTGATGTCTGAAAAAACTTTAACCACAGACTGAACCTAAATGTTGACACCGCTGACGCCGGAATCGAGGAATTTCGCATACTCAACAAAAACAATAGGTATATCCAACACTATAGAAAAAGAACAGATAAGAGGGAAAGCAAAAATATGCACAAGCGCATGACCACTGGTGACTACAGAAACAAAATTCAGAGGTCACCATGAGGTCTTCAACATGTGGAACTCACACCCAGCAGGGAGCTCTGAAAGGCTCCAAGAAAAAGGGTAATCAATCCATGGTTACAGAACGATGGTAATTCGTCATATAGTTAACTAAAACTTTTAATGACACACGATAAATGACCACGGTTCTTGACTTTGGACAGGCGCATAAAAATATCACACCTAAGAAACAAGTAAGTGACAACTGTCATATAGTGGAATTGGTACAAGCAGGTGGAGATGGTAGGTTAATCCTTCCCAACCCATCTACAAGTACTTTTGGTCTGTGCTACCTGTATATTCCTCTGCATTTGCTCGCTTATTTTTTACTCTGAGCACGTTCTTTTTTTTGGGGGGGTTGGGGTTATTTTGTGTTGTTTGTGGAACTTAAAATAACTATCCATGGGACATTATTTCATGGGGGACATTATTAAATCCTATGTATATAGAAGCGCTGACTACTGGGCGGGTGGTACTCGCAGTGACCTCCTCGAAGTTTTCAATAAACATTTCTTTAAACTTGTTGTGATACCAGAACATATAAGTAAACAGTATTCAAAGATCTAGTAAACAGTATTCAAAGATCTTGAAAAAAAAGGTTTGAAAACGAAGATTGAATTTATATTGATTAAGACTACTAGTAGTCGAGGACTGATAAAGATTATACATTTCACAGTATGTATAAACTTAAATGTAAACATGAACATTACACATCACCCATGATAAATGCCATACAATCTCTTTCATCTCAGGTGTTTTTTGTGAAGAGTGTACCAAAGTATAGCACATGTCGAAGAATGCATTTGGGGAAATTATTACATAAGAATATAGACTGGTGTTTCACTTTGACATGGACCTTCTTTTACTTACACATTTGAATGAAATCAATGAAACCAAAGACGTAATTCATATAAATATTGAAATATTAAAATATGTCCCTTTTTATCACTTTCAGGTGAAATGATTGGTCTTAACGGGTGTCAAATATCGATACACGTTAACGAGAACAGTTAAGCGTACGAAAAACTAGGATTACTAAGTTACTTCTATCAGCACTATATCAAGAAGGTACTTTTGCTGCCAGTTTGAAAAATTTCTACGGTTACGTAAATAAATATCTTAAAAGAACTGAAACTTAGAACCTGTTTCAGTCATGTATAAATGCCGCATCTGCTTGCGAATCTGACTCTTTAGAAACGACTACGAGTAATCAGTCTATCAAGACTTATACATCGGATTTAGAACATATGATCAAGCATACAAATCGGAAGACGAGGATAAAGATTTTGTAATTTCGTCCAACGACATATAACTAGAACGGATGAAATATATCATTTGTAAGATTAGCGAAGTTGTGCGAATAGTTATGCACAGTTCTTGTTGTATTACAAAACTTAACAACGTCTACAGAAACTTATAGAAGTAAGGATGGTTTCCTTAATATTTTTGTATGTACAAATAAGACAGAGAAAGACAAGAAAGAAGTAGTCACGTCAATTACTAATAGAAAGATCGACCTTCTGACCTTCATGGACACTAATAGTAAACATTGAATGTCAACTGTATTGAATAAAAGATAAACTTAAAGTTTCCTAAAATCATGCCTTACAACTCTTTCAGTGCCAAAATCTACTATCTTGGTTAACATATATTAAATCCAGATGTTTGTTGATGTGGTTCTAAAGTGTTTCTCGTTTCTCATTTTTTATATAGATTAGACCGTTGGTTTTCCTGTTTGAATTGTTTTACACTTGTCAGTTTGGGGCCCTTTATAGCTTGCTGTTCGGTGTGAGCCAAGGCTCCGTGTTGAAGACCGTACTTTGACCTATAATTGTTTACTTTTTACACATTGTGACTTGGATGGAGAGTTGTCTCATTGGCACTCATACCACATCTTCTTATTTCTAAGAAATCATGAAGGACGCCATACTTTAATGCGAGCAGAGCCTATAATAGGATGTTGTTTGTTTTTAATATCCATTTGATAGTATTCACGACAAGAACAATTTAACATTATATAATCTTGCAGAATATTTAAAATTTGAGGGTCTAGTGAAGGCGCAATTAAGACAAAAAGTTCTAGAAAACTGGGGGTTTGAGTGATAGTTTTATAACAGGTAATCTATCATAGATCTCTCAGAGGGGTTGTTATTATGGTTCTTCTACATGTAGAAAGTGTGTCATTTTTTCAACACGCACTTTGGGGTTTAGGTCCTAAATCAGACTAGAGGTAAACTGCGTATTACATACAATTCCAACATCTAAAGTTACTCACACAAGGCATTACTGAGGAACAGAAGGTATCCAGTTATGTTTTGTGTTGTTATGGTGCTGTAGAATTTATTGTTTAATTTGTCCATTTATTCACACAACATAGAAATAACCTCTTCCATATTTTCTTGTTAATGCACAAGATGATATTACCTTGTATGCCAAAACCGACATGGCGTTTGTGTTTACATAAACAGTGAATACTTAGTTATTTTAATAAACACTTATTTCATTAAAGAGTATAAAACTAAACAAAGCGATGTAAAAATCTCAATAAAACAAAGTTTTTTAATGAGTCAATTTAATGCGGCTTTATATACAATGTATAATACGACCACGGTTCAGGAATGTACAATAAACCTGGATATTTATGTCTTAAAATAGGATCATTCCACAACCATAGCACCCATACTACTACTAATACAAATGTTGTTGTAAATGAATAGAAAAGAAATCTGCCATTGACATCCATTTTCTGTCCTTGGCTCTTTCTAATTAATACCATTGCTAGCATACATATAAAGGTTATAATGTATACTGAGAAAATTTGTCCTTCAGTCACTAAATACCTGTAAAAGATAAAAAAAAAGTACTGTTAAATTATTATTAGACGATAGACTAACGGAGTTTAGTGTGACGTCCATTTTCACTGAACTAGCACACATTTGTGTTTAGTGGCCAGCTGAAGCCCGCCTCCGGGTGGGGGATTTTCTCGCTGTGTTGAAGACCCATTGGTGGCCTCGGGTTGTTTTCTGCTATTTGATCGGGTTGTTGTCTCTTTGTCACATACCCCATTTCCATTCTCAATTTTAGATAAACACTTGGTATGTTATTTTTAAAGTTTTCATCCGTTCTTTAGCGATTATATTACATATGTACTTAGTAACGCTCGTGACCAATTATTTTAAAAGCTAAATGTATATTTAATATTGTGAACATAACACAAAAAAGGACCTAAACAGATCAACAAGAACTAATTGAGAGGTTTAATGTTACCTTATTTGTAATAGAACTTTTATTAAATTGATAATGAAGATGGCACTACAAGTCTTTTTGTTTGGTTGTCGTTTGTTCAATCTATTAAAAAATGTTTCTAGAATATGGCGATTTTGAACTGCGATCTTTTCCATTGTTTGCGTCCAAATGACGACTTTCAATTGGTCAACCTGTTCTGTATGGATATTGCCTTTGATTTTTTGTCAATTACGTAGTCACATGTACCCACCAGTAATATAATCCACTGACTAACATCAGCAACCACCATGCTACTGCTGAAGATGAAGTTGTTAATTTGGAAGTGAAACAACCAACAAAATATAAGAAGAAACTGATGAAGAATGGAATATACCTGTAATAAGAAGAATTTATTTTCTTAACTCATTTTTAAGTTATACATAGCTATTTACTTTGACAAAAAAGGAATATACATTCTTGAAAGCTTGAAAAAGTTATGAGAAATAATATGTGTATTTAAATAAAAGCTCTTACCATATTTAGAAAACTTTTTAATTACAAAACTTGTTGAATACGATATTATAAATGTGTCGGTTTTCATTTATGATCTTTCATTGACCATATTGTAGAATTATTTCAGTGGAAGGGTCGGGGTTCCGGCTAAATTAATTTTAAAAGTATCTCAAGCAAATAAAGCTATGTTGAATTGCAAAACAAAATTTAAGATACATATAGTTAGTGCCCTCCTCTTCGTCATTACAACTATATATCACATCAGTTGTAAAGTTCCATATAAAGGTTCACTCACCACATTAAATGACCTATAACTTCGTCATATAGGTATAAAAGTTCAAAAGAATCCACCTGCAATAAACAGAAAATTTAATATGATACAGTGAACAGAAACAGTGACTTGAGAGTGTACCATTGGTAACCAAATAAGACAGCCAAATCGATTTACTAATTGTTCACAGCTATGTTTTAGACAATTTTGAGTACTAGCCAGACTTAGGGCATCTTTATTTCAACAGTACGATATATTTTGGCTTCAAGTTAAAAATTAAATGTAATGGTTGAAACTTCTCTAGTCAAATCTGTCGTTTTTGTTTGTTATGTTTAGGTTTGGACAATCTCGTACGTTTTGTTTGTTCTGTTTAGGTTTGGACAATATCGTACGTTTTTGTTTGTTCTGTTTAGGTTTGGACAAACTCGTACGTTTTGTTTGTTCTGTTTAGATTTGGACAATCTCGTACGTTTTTGTTTGTTCTGTTTAGGTTTGGACAATCGCGTACGTTTTATTCTGTTTAGATTTGGACAATCTCGTACGTTTTTGTTTGTTCTGTTTAGGTTTGGACAATCTCGTACGTTTTGTTTGTTCTGTTTAGGTTTGGACAATCTCGTACTTTTTGTTTGTTCTGTTTAGGTTGGACAATCTCGTACGTTTTGTTTAATCTGTTTAGGTTTGGACAATCTCGTACGTTTTTGTTTGTTCTGTTTAGGTTTGGACAATCGCGTACGTTTTATTCTGTTTAGATTTGGACAATCTCGTACGTTTTTGTTTGTTCTGTTTAGGTTTGGACAATCTCGTACGTTTTGTTTGTTCTGTTTATGTTTGAACAATCTCGTACGTTTTGTTTGTCCTGTTTAGGTTTGGACAATCTCGTACGTTTTGTTTGTTCTGTTTAGGTTTTGACAATCTCGTACGTTTTGTTTGTTCTGTTTAGGTTTGAACAATCTCGTACGTTTTGTTTGTTCTGTTTAGGTTTGGACAATCTCGTACGTTATGTTAGTTCTGTTTAAGTTTGGACAATCTCGTACGTTTTTGTTTGTTCTGTTTAGGTTTGGACAATCTCGTACGTTTTGTTTGTCCTGTTTAGGTTGGATAATCTCGTACGTTTTTGTTTGGTCTATGTAGGTTGAACAATCTCGTACTTTTTGTTTGTTCTGTTTAGGTTGGACAATCTCGTACGTTTTGTTTAATCTGTTAAGGTTTGGACAATCTCGTACGTTTTTGTTTGTTCTGTTTAGGTTTGGACAATCGCGTACGTTTGATTCTGTTTAGATTTGGAAAATCTCGTACGTTTTTGTTTGTCCTGTTTAGGTTTGGACAATCTCGTACGTTTTGTTTGTTCTGTTTAGATTTGGACAATCTCGTACGTTATGTTAGTTCTGTTTAAGTTTGGACAATCTCGTACGTTTTTGTTTGTTCTGTTTAGGTTTGGACAATCTCGTACGTTTTGTTTGTCCTGTTTAGGTTGGACAATCTCGTACGTTTTGTTTGTTCTGTTTAGGTTTGGACAATCTCGTACTTTTTGTTTGTCCTGTTTAGGTTTGGACAATCTCGTACGTTTTGTTTTGGTCTGTTTAGGTTTTGACAATCTCGTACGTTTTGTTTGTTCTGTTTAGGTTTGAACAATCTCGTACGTTTTGTTTGTTCTGTTTAGGTTTGGACAATCTCGTACGTTATGTTTGTTCTGTTTAAGTTTGGACAATCTCGTACGTTTTTGTTTGTTCTGTTTAGGTTTGGACAATCTCGTACGTTTCGTTGTTCTGTTTAGGTTTGGACAATCTCGTACGTTTTTGTTTGTTCTGTTTAGGTTTGGACAATCTCGTACGTTTTGTTTGTCCTGTTTAGGTTTGGACAATCTCGTACTTTTTGTTTGTTCTGTTTAGGTTGGACAATCTCGTACGTTTTGTTTAATCTGTTTAGGTTTGGACAATCTCGTACGTTTTTGTTTGTTCTGTTTAGGTTTGGACAATCGCGTACGTTTTATTCTGTTTACATTTGGACAATCTCGTACGTTTTTGTTTGTTCTGTTTAGGTTTGGACAATCTCGTACTTTTTGTTTGTTCTGTTTAGGTTGGACAATCTCGTACGTTTTGTTTAATCTGTTTAGGTTTGGACAATCTCGTACGTTTTTGTTTGTTCTGTTTAGGTTTGGACAATCAGGTACGTTTTATTCTGTTTAGATTTGGACAATCTCGTAAGTTTTTGTTTGTTCTGTTTAGGTTTGGACAATCTCGTACGTTTTGTTTGTTCTGTTTAGGTTTGAACAATCTCGTACGTTTTGTTTGTCCTGTTTAGGTTTGGACAATCTCGTACGTTTTGTTTGTTCTGTTTAGGGTTTTGACAATCTCGTACGTTTTGTTTGTTCTGTTTAGGTTTGAACAATCTCGTACGTTTTGTTTGTTCTGTTTAGATTTGGACAATCTCGTACGTTATGTTTGTTCTGTTTAAGTTTGGACAATCTCGTACGTTTTTGTTTGTTCTGTTTAGGTTTGGACAATCTCGTACGTTTTGTTTGTCCTGTTTAGGTTGGACAATCTCGTACGTTTTTGTTTGGTCTGTCTAGGTTGAACAATCTCGTACTTTTTGTTTGTTCTGTTTAGGTTGGACAATCTCGTACTATTTGTTTAATCTGTTTAGGTTTGGACAATCTCGTACGTTTTTGTTTGTTCTGTTTAGGTTTGGACAATCGCGTACGTTTTATTCTGTTTAGATTTGGAAAATCTCGTACGTTTTTGTTTGTTCTGTTTAGGTTTGGACAATCTCATACGTTTTGTTTGTTCTGTTTAGGTTTGAACAATCTCGTACGTTTTGTTTGTCCTGTTTAGGTTTGGACAATCTCGTACGTTTTGTTTGTCCTGTTTAGGTTTGGACAATCTCGTACGTTTTGTTTGTTCTGTTTAGGTTTTGACAATCTCGTACGTTTTGTTTGTTCTGTTTAGGTTTGAACAATCTCGTACGTTTTGTTTGTTCTGTTTAAATTTGGACAATCTCGTACGTTATGTTTGTTCTGTTTAAATTTGGACAATCTCGTACGTTATGTTTGTTCTGTTTAAGTTTGGACAATCTCGTACGTTTTTGTTTGTTCTGTTTAGGTTTGGACAATCTCGTACGTTTTGTTTGTCCTGTTTAGGTTGGACAATCTCGTACGTTTTTGTTTGGTCTGTGTAGGTTGAACAATCTCGTACTTTTTGTTTGTTCTGTTTAGGTTGGACAATCTCGTACGTTTTGTTTAATCTGTTTAGGTTTGGACAATCTCGTACGTTTTTGTTTGTTCTGTTTAGGTTTGGACAATCGCGTACGTTTTATTCTGTTTAGATTTGGAAAATCTCGTACGTTTTTGTTTGTTCTGTTTAGGTTTGGACAATCTCGTACGTTTTGTTTGTTCTGTTTAGGTTTGAACAATCTCGTACGTTTTGTTTGTCCTGTTTAGGTTTGGACAATCTCGTACGTTTTGTTTGTTCTGTTTAGATTTGGACAATCTCGTACGTTTTTGTTTGTTCTGTTTAGGTTTGGACAATCTCGTACGTTTTTGTTTGTTCTGTTTAGGTTTGGACAATCGCGTACGTTTTATTCTGTTTAGATTTGGACAATCTCGTACGTTTTTGTTTGTTCTGTTTAGGTTTGGACAATCTCGTACGTTTTGTTTGTTCTGTTTAGGTTTGGACAATCTCGTACTTTTTGTTTGTTCTGTTTAGGTTGGACAATCTCGTACGTTTTGTTTAATCTGTTTAGGTTTGGACAATCTCGTACGTTTTTGTTTGTTCTGTTTAGGTTTGGACAATCGCGTACGTTTTATTCTGTTTAGATTTGGAAAATCTCGTACGTTTTTGTTTGTTCTGTTTAGGTTTGGACAATCTCGTACGTTTTGTTTGTTCTGTTTAGGTTTGAACAATCTCGTACGTTTTGTTTGTCCTGTTTAGGTTTGGACAATCTCGTACGTTTTGTTTGTTCTGTTTAGATTTGGACAATCTCGTACGTTTTTGTTTGTTCTGTTTAGGTTTGGACAATCGCGTACGTTTTATTCTGTTTAGATTTGGACAATCTCGTACGTTTTTGTTTGTTCTGTTTAGGTTTGGACAATCGCGTACGTTTTATTCTGTTTAGATTTGGACAATCTCGTACGTTTTGTTTGTCTTGTTTAGGTTTGGACAATCTCGTACGTTTTGTTTGTCCTGTTTAGGTTTGGACAATCTCGTACGTTATGTTTGTCCTGTTTAGGTTTGGTCAATCTCGTACGTTTTTGTTTGTTCTGTTTAGGTTTGGACAATCTCGTACGTTTTGTTTGTTCTGTTTGGGTTTGGACAATCTCGTATTTTTTGTTTGTTCTGTTTAGGTTGGACAATCTCGTACGTTTTGTTTAATCTGTTTAGGTTTGGACAATCTCGTACGTTTTTGTTTGTTCTGTTTAGGTTTGGACAATCGCGTACGTTTTATTCTGTTTAGATTTGGACAATCTCGTACGTTTTTGTTTGTTCTGTTTAGGTTTGGACAATCTTATACGTTTTTGTTTGTTCTGTTTAGGTTTGGACAATCTTATACGTTTTTGTTTGTTCTGTTTAGGTTTGGACAATCTCGTACGTTTTGTTTGTCTTGTTTAGGTTTGGACAATCTCGTACTTTTTGTTTGTTCTGTTTAGGTTGGACAATCTCGTACGTTTTGTTTAATCTGTTTAGGTTTGGACAATCTCGTACGTTTTTGTTTGTTCTGTTTAGGTTTGGAAAATCTCGTACGTTTGTGTTTGTTCTGTTTAGGTTGGACAATCTCGTACGTTTTGTTTAATCTGTTTAGGTTTGGACAATCTCGTACGTTTTTGTTTGTTCTGTTTAGGTTAGGACAATCTCGTACCTTTTGTTTGTTCTGTTTAAGTTTGGACAATCTCGTACGTTTTGTTTGTTCTGTTTAGGTTTGGACAATCTCGTACGATTTGTTTGCATTTGTTCTGTTTAGGTTTTGACAATCTCGTACGTTTTGTTTGTTCTGTTTAGGTTTGGACAATGTCGTACGTTTTATATATCAACAATGCATTTAGCTATTCGAACTGGTCTTTGTCATACTAATACCTGATTCAAGATACATATATCAACATTTCCACCACCTGGATGGTACCGTCACTAGTGAATTGGCAGTCCTAAATAGTACTATCTATCCTGTATTCAGTGCATCAGTAATAGCATACATGTGTATGTCCGTTAGATATGGACGCTGACAAATGTTAAGAGGAGATGTAGATGACTTTGAATGGCCAAATGTTTCGTCTCCAACGTTTATGGTTATGTTTTTTTAGAAACACGAGCAGTATGTGTGTACGTGGGTTTCATAAGTTAATATTGCAAGTTAGTCATTTTATCAATTTAAGCAAGATCTACTCATTTTTAACATAGGTTAGATATATTTAAAACGGTATACTCTGGCACTGTCAACTGTTAAAACTACTTATTCTATGTAAAACGCTACAATTTTCTAGAATGCATAAATGCATGTTATTATTATTAGAAATTAAGTAAAATTAAACTAAAAGGAAATACAAACAATCGAGCAAAAACATAATTGCCCTATATAGTGGCGTCAGTTTCTCGACACGAAAATATTTTAAGTAATATTAGTTGTTGTTGATGTTGTTGGTGGTGGTGGTGGTTGTTGCGGTGGTGGGGGTGTAAAGAAAGGAAGGCAGCAAAGTAACGATACCACGACGAAATAAAATAATCCAAATATTCAGAACACACAATCAAATATTAAAACAAAGCCAAGAGGATATGCAGCTTTCAAATTAATAGTAAGTCGACTTGAGGAACATTTTCCTAATATTTTGTCAATTAGAAGAAATACAGATTGTACGATTAAGTAAGATCATTTGTAATTATATAACAGACGACAAAACAAAATTCGTAGAATTGAGTTAATGACTATAGACAAAATATAAAAAATAACGGTACTTACCAGTCCAGGTGGTTGTATCTGTTGCATCATTGGATTTTCCCGGACTGACAGATGAAGCTCGTATCCCAGTAACACTAATCTGTGGTTAATAGAATCTCCTACCAGATGAATACTGGCACCCATAACAAATGTGATAATACATAGCATATTGAATGTTGATGAGGATTTGTTTGGGCTTCTTTCAAAAAGCTATAAATAGATATCATAGAATAAGTATTATAGAATAACTTCGACTTTTTAATCGACAATATATTTGTTGGGTTTGGAGGATTGATATTTCAATAGACAGTCGGTATTCCAATGGGTACTAATTGTGCACCCCTTCTGGCCGACTTGTTTTTGTGCTCTTATGAAGCAGAATCCATTCATAACCTTCTAAAAGACAAAAAGAAAACGCACCTTGCAAAATTCTTTAATTTTACTTTCAGATATATTGATGATGTCCTATCACTGAATAACCAATATTTCAGTCAGTACTTGCATCTCGTATATCCCAGTGAACTTGAAATTAAGGATACAACTGACACAAGAAGGAGTGCTTCATACCTTGATCTTTTCCTCAATATTGACACAGATTGACGACTTCACACTATAATCTATGACAAACGGGATGATTTCAACTTCCCAATTATCAGTTTCCCATTTCTCAGCAGTAACATACCCTCTGCTCCGTCGTATGGTGTTAACATATCTCAATTGATACGTTATGCTCGTGTATGTTCACACTATACTGACTTCATATACAGGAGTGTGCTCCTTACGCAGAAACTGCTCCAACAGAGTTATGAGGAGGAAAGATTAAAAATGACACTCCGTAAGTTTTAGGGACACCATCACGAATTGGTTGATCTATACAATGTGTCTGTGTCTAAACTAACTAATGCCATTTTTACCACTTCTTAGATTGTGGTTTAACATCTATGTCGTCTGTCTGCTAAGTACCGAACGTAACCTATTCCCGAATATGACTGTTATACCGAGTGTGAATTTGCATTGCTATACGACGTGTCTCGGTATTTTGTACATCCATCATTCATTTATTTTTTATGTTTTTGTTATGGTTTCGGCTGGATAATATGTTATGTCTTATCGTTTGTAGTCAAAATAATTATAAAATAGCCTTTCAATACCATCTTTGTCATGAAAATTGTTTGGACTGGTATTGTGAAAATAATTGCATAAAGTTCGAGATTGCATGTTCGTTACGTAAGTGCGTTACTATTTGTGATGTCCTGTGGTGTCTGTCGTTGATGGAAGATGTTCGCTGTTCTGCGGTTTGCATGTTGTGTCGACTATCATATTATTTGTTTTTGCGTTTCTCTGTGATGAGTGTTTGTGCTGTATTTCTGTTACGTAGTGTTGTCATTTTAGCGATATATTTTTTAACATTGCCATGTAAGCGGAAGGTTTTGTTAGCCATAAAACCAGGTTCAACCCACCATTTTTTCCTGTACCAAGTCAGCAATATGGCAGTTGTTATCAAATAGTTCGTTTCTATATATGTTGGCGTTTGTTTTTGTTGCACTTCAGTGTTCCTGTTGTTCCTTTGTTTTCCTCTTATAGTTGATGTGTTTCCCTCGGTTTTAGTTTGTAACCCGGATTTGTTTTCTCTCAATCGATTTATGACTTTTGAACACCGGTATACTACTGTTGTCTTTATTTATAGAACGTTTTTGGCGGGAGTGCGTATTGTTAAAATCTAAATTAAAACTATTGGTTGTATGTGTCTTTCTCTGTGTTCCCATGCACCTGATTTATTGGTTTCATCTGGCTTTTTCCTGTATGTGAATTTCTAGTGGCTCCCCTTTTAACAGTTGGTTAACTAGTACAATCGATTTATGACTTTTGAACACCAGTATACTACTGCTGCCTTTATTTATAGTACGTTTTTTGGCGGGAGTTCGTATTGTTAAAATCTAAATTCAAACTATTGGTTGTATGTGTCTTTCTCTGTGTTCCCATGCACCTGATTTATTGGTTTCATCTGGCTTGTTCCTTTATGTGAATTTCTAGTGGCTCCCCCTTTTAACAGTTGGTTAACTAGTACATATAAATACAAATTATATAAAAAATTTAGGTAAGCGGAAAATCAGGTGAAATAAAAGTACTTTTGCTTACGTGAATTCAGACTAACATGTATTATTGTTTGTCTAGTATGTGATCTTTCTTTATCTAGTTTGTGTGGTGGTTGCATTAGGCTCCCTTGTTTGTCCAATATTTTTTGATAAATTCTATTCACTCTTTTTTGTGTAAGACCATTACCTTTTTAATGGTTTATGAATCATAGCAACTTCAGCCGCCAGAACTGTAAGTATTTTTTTTATAGACTATCGATTTCATACCTTGAGTAGACAAAACGGTGTGATAACATTGTAAGCCATATGACAATAGTCCCCGACACTAGGGTAGTTCATTGGAAACCATTTCTGGGGCACAAATAACTGGAAAGAAAAATATTTTTAAACATTTAAAAAGCATTTCAATGCAGAAATATGTATCACATTTCTTTGCAATATGTCAAACAGAGCTTAGATGTTATTATAAAAACTCAACTCCCTCAGGCAATGTTGACCTTAGATGAATTTGATTATTGTTTTAGGTTCTTTTTGGTCATATAGCTCTTCAACAGTTTCTGTTCTTGTACATCTTTGGCGTTCAAATATTCGGCTTTGAGCGTTCCTGATGCAGGTATAAATCCAGAAAAGCGCTTCGGACGCATGACATTCATAACGTGTTGTCTTCATTTTTTTCAATGTTTTTGTTTTTGTTTTTATTCAAGAATGAAATGTGTTCTGGTCCAAATCTTTCATAAACTTAATTTTTGTATCTTATTTCGATACTTACATCGAAAGTGTTTTGTATTACAAATATACTATCAATTATTGCGCTTAATAAAAAAAAAACTGTATTCAAACTTTCAATAAATTCCAAGTTCTTTTGGCTTTTTCTTGAAATTGACGCTAAAGACAACTCAAAACTAGGATCTATTACAATTGCTATTATCTTCGTTTTCTTATTCTAACTGTTCGATTCTCATTTTGAACAACCAGAGTACTTCTTGTCATACCAATCGTTTTTTCCAATGGTATGCAAGATCCTTTTCTAAAAGCAGCTTTTACTCACGACACAAAAATTACTAAAAATAGCGATGATGACTGAATTCATCAAAACCGGTAAGTATAATTGTCGCGATCACGAATGTATTATTCGTTACAGCATGTTCTCTGTCGTCAGATTGCCATCTTTTCATTTTTTTATAGAATTGAAAGCGACCTTTACTACTGAATCGCATGATATATGACCAATTCTAAGCAGGAGTTGTATACTTTGTCACATGGTCTCAATTCATTTGAAGTTGATGCGGTTCATACTGTTTTTTGGGTTTCAGGTATCTATTTGTATTTGTACTTGCAATATTTTGTTTGATTTTGGTATTAGATATCTTCATAATTGTTGAGAAAACCGTTCCCTGTTTACAACGTTATTCCAATATAAGGTAGAAAGGGGGAAGGGGGGGGGGGGGGTGCTAAGAGGAAATTAAGAAGAGGTCTTGACAAAACATTTTGGGAACGAAAAGGAGAGTATCCAATTTTTCAATACTTAAGTTGGGGCATCGAAATTTTTTTACAAGATTTGAGCAATTCTGAATTTCAAACATGCAAAAATCATAGCTATAATTTGATGACTACTATACATCAGTATCTGATTATTCAGCAGAAGTTTCTAACAATTGATTCAAATGTCATATCTATATCTATATCTCCTGTGTTATCATTTTTGGCTTCAAAGTTCATTTCAATGTTTGTTTCATATGAGTCATGGCCATCTTCTATTTGTTTGTTGGACATGAAAGCGACAATAATAGGGAATTATGGTTTGATGTCTTTGTTTTTTGTAGCTTTTCTCGCAGCTTTCCTGATTATACCCCTTTCCTTTTAATAAAATCAATGAAAATATTAATAGACGTTTCCTTACATGATTAATCGTAAAACTCGTGATTGACCATATATTTCAATGGTTCAAGATGAGATCCGGGAGTCAAGTGTGGCATTTTTCATATGTATTTTATGTGAATATTTCCTTGGAGATGTGAACTCATTCGACCCACACCCAACGCTTCCCCTAAAAATTAAAATTAAAAAAAATAGTGGCAGGAAAGACAACAGTTGTCTTCTCCTCGCTCCGCTCGGCTAAATTCTTAAGATTAAAATCATTAGTTTCAACATGTTATGTTATTCCATGAAAATATTTTTATCGGAAGTTAATTTACTAACTTCCATAATAAAAGGTAGGAACAATGTGCTAAAATTATATGAAAGTGTGGTAACTGTCAATGATACCATAACAGGCATACACATGTATCTAAATAAATTTCCCGGCAGTCACATTCAACTTCCCCACTTGAAGCTCTTACTCCGCTAGTGATGCATTATTTTGTTGAATATAATAGTATAATAGAATGTTGGGGGTGAAATTTGCATGTCTTTGGAAAGGGGGTCTTGAATATATTTTCCTTCTTCAAGCGGGGGGACTTGAGAAAATTAGAGAAATTCCGATGTTTAATTCCTCCAAAGACCCCACCCCCCCCCCCCCCCCCTAAAAGAGTATATCCCACTTTAATTAAGAGAGAAATATTGCTATCAAAAGTTTATTATTTTCCTAAAAGAGTTTATGTTGTTTGTGTTGTTTAATTGAAGAACATATTTGTGAATCTATTACCAGTTAAGTCTTCTATAGTAAAACATGGTTTTTTTTCTTACTGCAAATATAGGTCGTCCAAAGTCAAACAGCCAATTTTCTACAGCCAACAACAACCACAAATCCCAGTGGAACTTGTCATGTGACGATGGTTTCTTCTCATTTCTACAAAACAGTTGAAATATGCCTTATTTTTATGCATACAATTTAATCTTAAAATGTATTGTATATTATATAAGATCGATCTTTTATCAATTCCACGTGTTTTAAAACTAACTAGGCTAGACTAACTTGATTTCAGGATCATTGTTAATCGTGTTTTAATTGAAACTTCTTTGTTATTTGTATCTCCGTCTATCTTATTCCTTGGCTAAAAATTGATATGTTTCCAAATGCCTGTCTCATAACAAAGAAATAAAAACAAGCAGACCTATCTTAATTTTTTCACAATTTTAACATTTTTCATACATTTTCTATTGAAAAAAAATCTCAATTAAGAAAATGTTGTCATTTTTGAATTTCAGTATAACTCTTGTAAAAGTTACACATTTCGAATCGGTTCACAAATGCACTTAAATGCATCAAACCGATCGCCCAATGTAATACATGCATTTATAAACAATAACAATATACTATGCAAACAGTGGCCTTTATAAAAACATCAGTGTATGTATACATATATGAGTGCAATTTTCAAAGTTCTCAAATGGTAAGTTTCTAATATATATCCTATAAAAGATGAATAAAAAGTTATTGAGGATCTAATGTTTTGGATTTTCTCATGTACCTTTGATGTTACCTTTTTTACAGCAGAAGGAACCTATCTATTTTCTTTTTTGTCAGCTAGTGTTTCGGCGTGGATAGAGATATAATATCCCCAGCGCTAACATCCGATCTGTTAAGACAGGTAAATAGTTAGAATTAACACTGATCAACACTTAAATTGAAAACGCATTTATCTGACTAACCTGAAATTAGTGTCTTGATCTTCAACGTCTACATACTGTAATGTTGGTCCTCTCTTTCGTACTTTCGACTCCATTTTTAAAGTATTAGATAAATAGTAAATGTTTGTTTATCATGATTTTCACAAGTGTATGTGTACATGTACATTGTACATGTATACATGTGGATATATAGATAAAGGTACATGGTGTCAAAGATACCAGGCTTAAATTATGTAATGTTAGATAAAATAAAAAAGCCATGGATTTGTTTAAATAAGTGTTAATCTTTAGTCAGATTTTGATAATCTTATCAATCCGTTTTAACGAATTGTTTGTATCAATTTATACTGTCCATTTTGTTTTTGCATAGATTAACAGAGAAGTCGGCCAAACTCTGTGGTTGATGTTTTTGAGTTCAGTTTGGCCCCTTATAACTATGTCAATGTCTCACCCATTCTTTTTTGACAGTTTTAGCGGTTAAAACTGTAAACCTTTTAATGGTTTTTTGGAGTGGATTCTGTGGAATTCCAGTATATGAGAAACATTTGTGGCATGAATCTGTCTGCCATGACATCCGGCGACCTTAATTGGTAGCAGTTGATTTTACCGTCGTAAATGTCTCTCGCAAATCAAATGGCATTTCGCAATAAAATTGTATTAATCGCGTTGTAACTACGGGTTGACCTGATCATGGTTGGTCATTTACAAATATCCTATTTTATTGATTTTTGTATTGTTTTTTTACATCGCGATGACCTTGAGGTCATCCCGATGTATTGCTATCGCCTAGATTTCCATTATGTAAATTAGTTTTGGGTTTGTAACCGATCTATAAACATGATAAATACGCGCACATAAACGAGTGCAAAATAACATTCCTTATCGTTTGATATAAATACATCTCTTCAATGAATACTGATAAAAATATTTTTGTTTACAACATAAATTAATAATATGAAAATGTTTTGTAGTTATATATATAAGTAAAAAATCATTGATAATATCAATGCACACGTACCGAAAAATTGTGTTAAAGCATGCGGAAGAATATCTCAAAGAACGTTTTGTGAAAATACCGTCAAGGGCCGGTAACTCTGTAATTGATTTTGCGGGAAAATATGAATGCCTACTCGTATCCAATCTTAGAAAAATCGAATTTTTACAGAAAAGTGTCCACCATGCACTTGCATTGCACTATTTTTAGAATAGTAGAATAGAATGATATACAAATGGATTCAAATCATATATATATGTAACTGTTATTTTAATATAATATAAACAACAACTCAGTGTATACTGATTTGTATCACTACAATATAATAGTTATTACGGTGAAGTTGAATTTCCTGTCATTTATTCATCATCCACGCACGAACTTGTCTCAGAAAAAAATATATCTCTGTACATTAACCTCAGTTTTATGTAAAGAGATATGTTGTTTTTTTTCTGAGACAAGTGCTTTTGACCATCCTCAAGAACTTGTGGTCATCCGATGTTCAGTACTTCAGTACTTTGATTTTCTTTTCATTCGTTTTCTTCCTGTTTGGGGACTTAATTTACAAATCGAATGCTGCGGATACAGTTTAAACTCATGCATATCAGCTAAACATAAGAATCAGAATTCTATAATGTATGTACGGCCACACTTAAATCCAATCATGCCACCAGGGATAAGCGGAATATTTAAAATCATTATTATCAAAAATAATAAAATAGTTCTTATAAAACATTCAACGGAAAAGTCAAACCATTACTCCATGTATATGAACAAATAGTACCGGACGATATCAGTTTTATGACATTATGTTTTTAAAACGCAGAAGACATAGTCATAAATGAGTTTACTGTTATCATTAATAAGTTACAGATGGATTCATATGGAAACAATATACCAAACTGAAATACAAAACATTGCAGTGTTAAAATACACGCTTACAAAATAACATATAAACGCAGCAAAAGTTAGTATCGCATTAAGAGATCATGTGAAAATGTAATCAAAGCATGCTCAGAACTGAGATCAATGAATAATCATTCACAATCCAATAAAATCTTACTGCAGCTATTTACAGACACTTCACCTTAATCCACTTTTAAAAAACCCTTAGTCAAACTACACAAAACAAAATAGTTCCAATCTTCTTGCATGTTGCTACGGAAGCCGGTTAGTGTCAGGTTGGAGTTTTATTTTCAAGTCGTTATAACGACTTAGCTAACTTGTTATAACGACTTAGCTAAGTTGTTATAACGACTTAGCATATTTATCTTGTTATAACAACTTAGCTAACTTGTTTTAACGACTTAGCTTAGTTATTTAAACAACTTAGCTAACTCGTTTAAACAACTTAGCTAACTCGTTAAAACGACTTAGCTAACTTGTTTAAACAACTTAGTTATCTTGTTATAACAACTTAGCTTACTTGTTTTAACGACTTAGCTTACTCGTTTAAACAACTTAGCTAACTCGTTTAAATAACTTAGCTAACTCGTTAAAACGACTTAGTTAACTTGTTTAAACAACTTAGCTAACTTGTTATAACAACTTAGCGAATCTGTCTCGTTATAACAACTTAGCTAACTCGTTTAAACAACTTAGCTAACTCGTTCAAACGACTTAGCTAACTTGTTTAAACAACTAAGAATTTTTAAAATTCCGGCACTTAAATGTCCTATACTTTGGCGCTCAAACGTCCTTTTTATCGCTCAAATGTTATGCCATTTCGCTCAAATTTCCATTGTCGACGAATCTTATTACTTTAAGAAATTGAAAAACAATATAACAATTCCAAAAATCTTGGTATATACGTCTGTCCTATGTGTATTACTAATCTTTTCATGGCAGGAATATGGCACTCAAACAAGGTTCATCCAAAAGCCATCCAGCCCATATAATTGTCAGTCCTATCCTGACACTAAAATAATACAAAATACACTGCCATTTGCATCTAAACATCTCCCGGTCATGTGATTCAAGGTGAACAATACCAACATGAATACATAAGTCACTCAAAAGAGTCGACTGACGATTTAGACCATTAAACGTATTAGTAGATCTTGTCTTTCTGATTATTTTTGCAAATTAAAGTTTCTATCTATCTATTCAAATTTTAAAAAGATATTAGGCAAAAACAAACAAAATTGGTAAAATTTGTCATGTAAGGGCAATTACTCCAATAAGAAGTCGTCCGATAGTATTGATGCAAATAAACAGTAGGTAGATCTCAACATTCTGAACATTTCTGCTCCATCAGATTTGTTCTATAGCAGTTTTCAAGATAAGAGACAAAACTTGCATTTTCCCTTTGTTCCATTTTTTGGCCATGTTGGTTTGCAGACGGGGTCATCGAACACATTTTAAAATTAGATACCACAATGATGATTGTGGTCAAGTTTGGTTAAATTTGGCCTAGCAGATTCATAGATTTTTGCCAAAGTTAACGGAAAACGGACGACGGAGGCCAATTGACGAGAAAAGCTCAAAAGGCCCTTTAGGCCAGGTGAGCTAATAATTAGTTAGCTTAGTAAAGATCGAATAAATCAAACCCTTTTCAAATGTCCCCTTTGTTACAATAAAGTCCATGGTTGGGGATTGAAATTATCACAAATATGTTTAACACCCCACGCACCGCCACATTTTTAACGTGTTTGTTCCAATTAAGGAGCCTGTAATCCAGGGGTTGTCGTTGGTTACTGTGTGTCACGGTTGTTTTTTTTTTTTTATTGTTTTAGTATAAATCTAGCAGTTGGTTTTTCCTTTTGAACTCTTTCACATTTTGTCATCCTGTTGCCTTTTATAGTTTACCATAAGGTATGGGTGTTGCTCATTGTTGAAGTTCTCTCAGTCATCACTAGTTTGTTTACATCCTTGTCTGTTTGTTGTTGGTGAGTATGTCGCATTGGCAATCATAAAAAACTACCTTATCAAAAATATTACAATATTTTCTGCTGTACTTCGGAGCAGATTTCAAACAACAACGTTGTAAACAGTCGGGGAAAACATGATCCTGTACAATCCCCAGGTTAAAGCTTGGAAAATAACAGAATCTTTTTTGTTTCAACCTGCAAATTAGCGAATTCATGTTAATCATACCAGATGCGATGTTAAACAACAGCGGTATACTTATAACCCTTATTCTTCATCAACAATTCTGTTTAGCCAAATATAAATATTTGAAAAGACGTTCCAAAACTTGTTTGATCTATAAACTATGTTATCGTGAAAATCTGTGTGGTATATAACTTTCCACTGAATTCCTGTAGAATTCAGATTAGAACTGTGACAAAACCTGTAAGGTTAAGTGCGATGTTTTGAGTATTGTCAATGACTGTTATTATTCAACCGATGAAGCTACTTAGTATCCCTTAAGAAGCTTTGGGAAATATGCCACAAAAATCACGGTTACTGGTTGCCTGACATCTAGCGATCAAAAACACAGACATTATGATTATGGAGACGTATTTGGTTGCACCTCTCATATCCTTTTGTTATATTTTACTTAACCCGATTTGTTGATTATCTATTCTTTTATTTTACTGACATGTGGAACTGTGCGCATGATGCGGTGATGAGGACTTTGGTTATTTTTATTACATTTCTATTACTATTAACTGAATACATATAATTTATAATATGTACTGACGTGATAGCAATAGGATAAATTATAAATGGTCTATCATGAAAAATAATTTTTGCATCAATTTTGTTTTCTTCCATATCTGAAAACCGTGTCCTGTTTTTTTTTTTTTTCTTTTCAAGAATAATTTAAAAGAGAGGCGAAAGATACCAAAGGAATATTCAATCTCATAAATCGAAAACAAACTGACAATGCCATGCAAAAAAAAAAAAACAAAAAGGACGAATAGACACACAAAAGTACACAAAATACACCATAGAAAAACTAAAGACTGAGCAACACTAACTCGATTAAATCTCAGTTGCTCTGGAAGGGTATCTTGCTCTTCATGTGGCACCCGTCGTGTTGCTCATGTAAGTATAAACCCAGTGATAAGTCATATACGAGGAAAAGAGGACGGGATTGTGGTTACGACAATTGGAAAATATCTGTCGTCGTGTGAAACAGATATTCCCTAACGGTCAACCAACTCGTGATGGCGTCCGTAAAATTTTCGAAGGGATGATTTCAACTTTACCACTTCGAACTCTTGGTTAAATAGTTTCCTTGTAGCCAGCAACCCTCTATCAATGAAATTGTGATAGGAAATGCAAACTCTGGAATATCGTATGAACTGGGAGATTTATACTCCATATGCAGGCGCTGCTGGAATGTTATACATGAAAACGGAATGTTTACAATTATTGGGAAGCTGAAATCATCTCTTTTGTTCTTGGCCGACCCTCCTTATCAATTTCTAGATGTAAGTCAAGATATGAGGCAGGCTTAACTGTATCTGGTGTATCTCAAGTTCGATGGGATAGATGCGTTCAACATTTCCACCAAACTTTGAATTATTTAGTGAGAGAACGTATGATCATCTATATAGCGGAACATAAAGTTAAAAGATAAGGCTAGCATCATTTAATTCTTCCTAAGAAGCTCCTGTATGAAGTCAGTCTCATATAGAAAAGAGAACAAGTTGTCAAGAAGAGGAGCACAATTGGTTCCCGTGGGAATGCCGATTGTTTGTTGAAAAAAACGTCCTCAAAACGTAACAAATGTGTTGTCAATCAAGAAATCAAGCATACTAATTATATTAGTTTCAAAAAATGTTTTGTTTGCATCAGAGTGATTCAAGTTCAGTTTGTTGATGAACATAATTTTATTACAACTACACAATGTACCAATTATTTGTTGACTCTTCTCCATCAATTTTAAATATTGTTCTAAAAGTTATGTTTAGTAATAATAAAAATAGTAAAAGTAAAACTGTAAGAAATTGAAAACGGATACCATTAACTGAATACCTTTTTAATCGGAAAAGGTTTACGTCACATACAAGTTAATATTGTAATCCTATGTAAGTGGGATCACTTAACGCCCATTCTTTACATATAGCCTGGGACTTATACATGATTAGATATTGTTCCAAAATTTACATGTAGCCTCGTGAAATATTACAGACTCGGCTGTTCCAACTAATGGATCATCCTCTCCTCTTTTTCGTTGTTGCTGTCATAGTCAAATTAAATCACAAATTTGATATACACGTTCAGTTATGCTGTACCATATATCCTTAAACTGGCCTAATTGATATATCTGTAGAATTTCGTCAGGTTGTTTCAAACATGTTGAATGTTCCATTATTTATGATTATAATTTGCCCCGCATATTAGTGTATTATAGAAAAATAATTATTAATAAAAGAGGAAATTGATACCAAGGAGACAATTAAAAATCATAAGTCGAAGAAAAACAGACAATGCCATCCCATCCCCCTTCCCCCCAAAAAAAACAATAAAAAGACAAACAACAGTCTACAAAACACTAAACAGGGAACAAAAAACTAAATACAGAGCACCCACTAAAAGCGGGGGCGATCTCATGTTCTCTGGGAGAGTAAGCATATCATGTTCCATTAGCGGGTCCCGTCGTGTTGCACATTACATAATAAATACGGCGGTAAGTCGCTTTAGGGGATATTACAATCGAGGGAAAGAAGACGGGTTTGTAGCTACGATTATTATTCATTTTACAACATCTACAAATACGATTGTCTCTAGGAATATTGTCATAGCGACCTGTTACTAAATATAATTTCAAGCTTCATCTACGTAGTTTGGTAAGTATATTGGTATTAAAATCATATTGTAAATAATTCTCCATACAAAAAAATCTAATTTAAAACATTTATAGATAGACAGTTTTTCACAAGCATTAATATTAGCATACCAGCTTTGATAATATTGATGGTTTATACAAGATTTAATAAGGTCAAATAATCATTTCATTATGTAATCTTGGTTAATCCATATATAATTCAAACCTAAACTAAACAAAAGGTCTCTTACATTGTATGCCTAATTTGTTTTGCCATTAGAAGCAGCAATACATATAATTTTATATACATCGTAAACAATATTTGGTTGGTCCTGAATTAAATGCAACCAATATTTAACAATTATATATTTTCTTGTATATATTGAAAAACAAACACAACCAAAATGACCAATGCTAAATATAAATATTGAATTGCTAATGAGTAGTAACGATGGATATTAGAAAAACATAGTAATTACACTTGGTGTGGTTTTAATTATTAATTATAAGCATTTATGACCCAAGCTGAGAACGGATTTAATCTTTTGATGAATGCATAAGAAACTTTTGTGAGCAAAGTATCAAAATACGATATGCAATTATAATAAAATTATGATTTCTTTGAAAATAAAATTAGTTAGTATTTTTTATATTAAATTGCCATGAAATATTTACCTAAATAAATATTTTAACTGCCGGTCAAGATATTATTCCCAGTATAAACCATAGACATAGATTTTAAATAAATATTTATATACATTTTATATAAATTTTATACACATAAAGCATTGAAAATAAAAGTAACAAAGTTATTTTAATAGAATAGATTATATGGTAAACACTGTTCTTTAAAAAATTGGAACGAATTGACCAAACAACTTGGGACGAATTGGTTGGTACGAATCGGAGTTGAAACGAATCATCCAGATACCCTTGAATACCATACTTAACTGGGAAATATATACTCAGTTCATTATTCACAGGCGCTGCTGGAATTAAGCTACATAGATATGGAAAGTTCACAATTGGAAAGTTGAAATCATTACCGCTGTAGCAAAATTTAGTTCTCAACCGACGATCTGGTCAATTACTAAATAAATTTATTTCGAGCATGTAAGTTTCATTATTCACAGGCGCTGCTGGAATTAAGCTACATAGATATGGAAAGTTCACAATTGGAAAGTTGAAATCATTACCGCTGTAGCAAAATTTAGTTCTCAACCGACGCTCTGGTCAATTACTAAATAAAAGTGTGCTATCTTTCATTTCAGTTATAATGGGATATTTCACCATAGTCACCAAAATTTGAATAATTTAGTGAGAGAACATCTTCAATATAGCGGAATGCCAGCTTCTTTTCATTCTTCCTGGAATCTCTTGTATAGAATCTATCCCATTAACAGAACAAGTCGTATTTAGAGTCATGCTCGAAATTGAAACACATAATTTACCTTCACCACCAGTTATCACCATGCAATGATCGCTTCTCTCCCTTTCCACATAAAGTTTCTAACAAAAAATTCGATGACAAAATTTCAACAGGAAAGATGTCAAATGATATAACAGAAGAAGCAGTCAAAAGTTTGAAAGCAAAGGTATATGCCTGTGCGAGAGATGGTATGGCTATCAGTATTTTCGCCATGCTATGGAATTCAGACAAAACAATTATTCACGAAGTGCTTAATCACGTCACTGAAGAAAACGAACAAAAAACTACTCCATTAATTATTGCGGCTAGAAATGGGTCCGAAAAAGTAGTATCGATATTATTATCAAATTTTAATGTAGATATAGAACAAACAGGCACTGTCAAATTTGAAAATTACACTATCGATAAAGCTACAGCTCTCTGGTGTGCAGCAGGGGCAGGTCATTTTGGAATTATTAAGTTACTGATCCAAAACGGTGCCGATGTTAATCACCCAACTAAAACGAATTCAACACCTTTAAGAGCTGCATGCTTTGATGGAAGATTAGAGATTGTCAAGTACTTAGTTCAACATAACGCAGACATCAGTCTTCCAAATACTTACAGTAATACCTGTCTCATGATAGCGTCCTACAAGGGTCACATTGAAGTAGTGAAGTATTTGTTAGAAAAGAAGGGAAATCCAAACACTGTTGCTCACTGTGGTGCAACAGCTTTGCACTTTGCTGCTGAATGTGGTCATGTCAATATCGTGAAAGAACTTATAAATTATAGGGCAAAACAAATTGAAAATGATCATAAAATGACTCCATTGTTAGTTGCTGCAGAGGCAGGGAAATTTGAGGTTGTTGACTATATGGTTTCCTTACCTAGTTGCACTAAAAAAGATAAAATTGATGCTTTGGAACTGTTAGGAGCTTTTTATGCAAATGACAAAATTGAATATGACCTTAACAAAGCTGTCCAATACTTTGAAGAAGCTATGCATGTGCGATACAGTGATCCAAATAACATTATTTATAAAGAGTATCATCCACCCGTCCAAGCATATGAGAATGTTAAGGAATGTCAAACTTTAGAAGATTTACAGAAAATCAAGGGACAACGTAATGCAATTCATATGCAAGCTCTAACTGTCAAAGAAAGAATCCTTGGGGAAGACAATCCAGAAGTTGCTAGTGCTTTGATATATCGTGGGGCAGTCTACGCTGACAGTGCTAGGTTTAGTCGATGTATTGAGTTGTGGTTTCATGCATTGAAATTGCGTCAAAAGAATAAGAGTTCTGTTTCAAAAGATTTATTGAGATTTGCACAAGTTTTCTCACAAATGATTCATGTTGGGGAAAAATTAGCAATAGCTATTGTGACTCAGGTTTTTGAAAAGGCTGTAGATGAACTTGTTTTTGATTCAGAGAGGTTAAAATTGGATGTGGAAAATGTTACAGCAAAAGAATTATTTCAGATTAATATTCACACATCTTTATATCTTTTAGTAATTGCTATTCACTGTGATCATTCAGAAGGAGAATTAGAAAAACTCAAAGGTTTGACTTACAAATTTATCAAACTTAATCCTCTATTAGAAAACAAATATACTCCACTTCATATGGCAGTAGATTCTGCAACCATGGTTGATGACTTTCATGTTGAAGAGGTAGTATCTTTCCCAAATGGACTGTTGACTGAACTTTTCATGCAATGTGGAGCTTGTCCGAATGTTGTTGACTGTCAGAAAAACACTCCATTGCATATAATTGCCAGACACAATGATTCTGAAACACTACACCAGTGTATACTTAGTCTGATAAAGAATGGTGCTCACATAGATATGTGTAATCTTGAGAAGAAAACACCATTAGAATGCTCATTAACTGATGTTGCATGTTCAATAATCAGGAACAACAGTGAAATTTCTCTTAAGTGCATTGCTGCAAGATGTATTCAGAAAAATGTGCTTCCATTCAAGGATTTAGTGCCAGATTTTTTGGAAGAATTTATAGCTATGCATTAATTAAAACTATCTAGATTTTAACAAAGTGTATTTTGACATACATTTGTACATGTCATTTGCATGTACAAAATGTACCTGATTTATTCAAAAACAAACATTTTTCCAAATGAAACATTGCAAAATGGATGGTCAGACAATTCAACCTCAAAATTTTATAAGTCCATCTGATTAAAAGAATTAAGATTAAAATTAATTAAAATAGATATAAAAAAGGGACTGATGTTATCATTTGATTTATTTCATTGAACTTACATGTATAATCCTGCTTTTGCAAATGGGTGAGGGGAAATTATAAACAGTGTGTTTTTTCAGCTGTGCTTTGACTTATAATTACCTTTTTTAACTTAAATTTGTTTATATTGTTACTTGTAGACTCTATTAGTAAATACATGTATTTCACTTTATTAATTTTGTATGCATTTTTATAATTCTGATTGTGAAATTTGTTTGATTTTTAACTTAATTTAAAAACCAGAATTATGTTCTGTCATGTCTGTAAATTAATTTTTTTGTGTAACCAAAATTATTTTTTTAATTTTTTGTATAACCAATTTTGAATTGTTAATTTTTCTGTCTTAATTGTATACATGGTATAGCTTTGATATAGATTGTACTAGTACTTGTGTACATTTTGTACATGGTATATTTACAAAAAAATGTATGTGCCATACACAAATGCAATGTTTTGCTTACAACCATTGTTTGTTTTGTTATGTTTGTCATCATGATATCATCATTTACATATTTTGTTCCATTTTTTTGGAAGAAAATGTATGCTGAATTATTTTTGTAAATATCTTTTTTTTTGAGAGAGAGAGAGCGATTATTTTTCATTTACAAATTATTTGAATTCAAACTATTTATTTGACCTGTTAAGAATAAACATGTACATCATGTACACAACAAATGTACATTGTGTATCATCTATTGTTTTATAACAACTGTTCTCTTTTATCAAAATACAGTATTAAACATGTTAAACAGGGATCTGATGTTCCAGAAGCATGATAAGACATGTCCCTATGTGTTACCCGAACTAGATAAAATACAGCTTACATATGAGAATTAAAAAAAAATCCTGTTAGCCCCTGCAAAGTTAATTTGAAGATCTGTTTGAAGTCATAATTCACTGTGTACTTTATTTAGTGTATCAGTACCTTATTAGGAGGAAAGAAAAACAGGAAAATAAAATAAAATTCAGTTAAAAAAGAATTGTATATATCAGTAACTATGAAAATTAGACCCAGGAAATTTAATGTGTTTCCAGTAAAATGTTGAAAACAATTACATGTTCTGGTCATGCTGGTAGAGTTGGTATAATGTTGGTAGGCAAATAATTTTTTAAAATTTTTTTCAAAAAGTTGTCAACTTGTTAAAACAGGAAACAGTCTGACTAAAGAACTAAAGAATGACTCAAAAATCTTTAGGTTTGTCACTATAAATTAGGGTCAGTTTGGGTAGCAGAAACACATGTTTGGTTAGGCCTTAGCAGATTAGTAACAATTCATCAAGATTCTTAGAGAAATACATTATATATGTAATAAGTTCTATACGATCCTTTTGTTTTGCTGTATACATGTATTTTGGTTTAACTTTACAGGATATTGCACTAAAGCAATTTAAATTTACTGATGTTTTTCTTATTACAATTGTACGTCTTTGGATCAGGAATTTCAAATTAATAAAGCAAATTATATTAACCGTTTGTCAGTAAAAGTTATTAGAAAACATTGGATTTCCTTCTGTGGCAAATTTTGTTTTGTTTGAATCATTGAAATAGGTCTATTAACAGCTCTTTGTTGATACATGTACAAATCGGGATTCATTACTAAATTAAACCTACATCTGAAATGTACATGTAAGAATGATGGAGTTGTCTCTCTTTGTCCAAATCTAGTTAGATATCCTTAATAAAAAAAAAAACATTAATGTTGACTTTTCTTTTTTGTGATAAGTTTAAAGTTTTTATAGCCCGTCAATTTTTTGACGGGACATATTATGGTATACAAATGTCCGGCGTCCGTCTGTCTGTCTGGCGTAAACATGTCGCACCGTAACTTGAGAATGACTTATCCAAATTTCATGAAACTTAACATAGTTGTTTCTTATGATGGTCAAACGATCTGTATACTTTTTGGTGAAAATAAGATTAAAACTTTTTGAGTTACGGGACTTAGTAACTAAAACAGGTGTGTGTTTTTTTTCACATGTTGCGCCGTATCTCAAAAACAATTTATGATTATTGCTTAAAACTTTACACACTTCTTAGTTATATTAATCTTAAGATCTGTATACTTTTTGGTGATGATTCAAAATTTTATTTTAGAGATATTGAGTATTTTGTTGAAAAAGGGGGTGGGGTTTTTCACATGTCGCCCCGTATCTCAAAAACAGTTTATGATTATTGCTTAAAACTTTACACACTTCTTAGTTATATTAACCTTAAGATCTGTATACTTTTTGGTGATGATTCAAAATTTTATTTTTGAGTTACATTGTATTGAGTATTTTGTAAAAAAAGGGGAGGGATTTTTCACATGTCGCGCCGTATCTCAAAAACGATTTATGATTATTGCTTAAAATTTTACACACTTCTTAGTTATATTAATCTAAAGATCTGTATTCTTTTTGGTTTTGATTCAAAATTTTATTTTTGAGATATTGTTTTTTTTTTTTTTTTTAAAAGGGAGGGTTTTCACATGTCGCGCCGTATCTCAAAAACGATTTATGATTATTGCTTAAAATTTTACACACTTCTTAGTTATATTAATCTAAAGATCTGTTTACTTTTTGGTTTTGATTAAAAATTTTATTTTAGAGATATTGAGTTTTTTGTAAAAAAAAAAAAAGGGGATTTCGCATGTCGCGCCGTATGTCAGAAACTATTTATGCTTGTTGCATAAAAATTCACACACAAGACGACGGGTGTATCATGTGCTCATGGCGCAGCTGTTTATTTATACAATCAATACAATTTTTATTCTAATGAACCATTATTGTCTTATTACATTATTGTTTAGTTTGTTTATTATGTTATGAATAATTACATTGTAATTGGTCTGCCCTTCATAGGGTACCTTAATTGGTTAATAAAATGATCTGTATCTGTATAAGTCATTTCTTCACCTCATTGTTTAAAAGGTATTTTGACAAGTGATACCTCACAGAGTTAAGTGAAATTCATATAAGATTTTTATTCAGTCATTTTACAATTTGTTGTCTCCCTTTTGCCAGAACATTAATGCATATTCAGTTATTCATTTGTTTACTAAGATGTTTGTTGAGATTTAAACATGGAGCAATGATGATCAAAACCCTATTGTCATTGGCTTGATAGGGATATCCATTTTAAGGCCTCCTCTCTATCTTTGTTAGTAAACAACATAGTACAATGAGGGTGCCCTACTTAAGATCCTATCCATGCCAATGTCATGCATAATGTATACTCCAATATAAATTTCTAAACCAATCTGTTTGTATATCATGGTATATGTACATGTATGTAATAATACATGTTCTCGTCATGAAAAATATTATATTCAAAATTATATAATTTGCAGAAAGTAGTGCAGACATTGTACCTGTAGCTTATGAATCTACTTGTTTTACCTACATTGTACAATTATGGACAAAGGAAGATACCAGTAACTCAATTTAAAAGTTGGCTTAAACAAACATTGATTTGCTTAGTAAATTTTTCATTTGAGTTTGGTACATCTTTGAAGTTATAGATTGGATTGTTGATGAATAAGTTATTAATTTTATAGTCATCATTTTATTGTATCATCCTGGATAGGCCTGAAATATTTGCCACTGCAAAGCATGCCTAATCAATCAATCAGTGTATTATTGTCAATTAAGAGCTTAAAGCTTACAATGTTATTGTTGTGCTTGTAAATAGTATAATAATCTGTTATTCTGTGAAATTGTAATTTATTGAATAAGTGTCTATGAATACAAGTTTTTGATCTACTTTGTGTTTTCTTGTAATCTGCATATAATTCATTTACCCAGTATTGATATTATACTGACATCACAGCATTCAAGTCAAAATTTGAAAATAATAAGTGTATCGCAGGGGCTCGTATCATAGATGTTTTAGGAGCGGAAATATATGCAAGTCTATTGATATGCGTTCTACATAAACACTATGAGTGTACTGTATCTGCGGAGTAGAACATAAAAAAGACAGTAACCTAACAACTGAACACAAAACAGAAATATAAAGATCAAGATACAGTCTTCAACAATTGACAACTGCCTTTAGTGATACCATATACATGTATATCACACTGTCAAAATAACTCAGTCTAGACAAATTGGTAAATTTGATGGATGCTATCAAAGTTTCATCAACAACTAATTCCAGGGAACACTCAGATATGACCACCACTGACAAGGTTCTCAACTTGAGACAAGCACATTAATATGCGGAAGAGTTGAACTGTATTGTATTTAGTTTCTTTTCTAGCTTTGTCTACGTTCAATGTTAAGTTATCTAAGTCCTTTTAAGAGTAGGCAATATGATTAACAGTCAGTGATTTCCCCTGACCATGATCTAATATTCCTGTGTTAAGATATTTTCCTCTGCATGACAGGTCAACTTTAATTGGTAAATGGATTCACTGTAGGGAGTTTTGAATACATTTATCTCAAATATTAAAGGACAACATCAACAACCAACTCCTCTGAAAAAATAGACATACAAATATTGGTTTGTTTTAAATTAGTCATTTTGGGGCGCTTTATAGCTTGTTAAGCGGTATGGGTTTTTCCTAATGTCGAAGGCCGTACGATGACCTATAGTTGCTTACCTTTAACATAATTTGGTCTCGGTTGGAGAGGTGTCTCATTGGCAACCATAAGACATTTTCTTATTTTAATGAACAACTTACAACTCATTGTCCAGATAACCTTGTTTTTTTTAGTACAGATTGTGTTGGAGTAAAATGTGGAAACCAGTTTTACATGCTCACAGACCTCCCCTGTTCCTATCTAGACAAACATCGTAGAACTAAAACAATAAACAATGCAGCGACCAACAGGATTACAACTAACTTCAACAACGAAACAAAAACAGCACATAATTTGAAAAGAAGAATAAAAACAATACTGGCTACTGCTGTTTTTCAACAGCTGAAGCTAAGGTTGCTTCAGCTGTTAGTTGGGTACTGTCACTCAAGAAAACAAAAAAAATAGGAACAGCACTCCTGATTCACTGTAGCTAAGGTTGCTTCAGCTGTTAGTTTGGTACAGCTGTCACTCAAGAAAACAAAGAAAATAGGAACAGCACTCCTGATACATCTACATATCATATCATATTTACTTCATTCTCATCCATTCTAGTCAGGTTAAGAGCTGTTTTTTTATTGACTACACATGGATGAACAATATTTGGTGTATGAATTGGTTGTAAGATAGTTAAGTAGTAATTAAAGTTGTCAGTATATTTGATCTACTCCTCACTAAGTTTATATGCAAGACAGGCCAACAGTTTGAAATGCTACTGTAGGTCTGTCTTCTATATGTCCAATTGCTTCAACCGCAAATTTACAGTGATCATTTCTCTAAACTATACAAGTTACGTACAAAAAAATTAAACTGTAATATTTTGTAAAGAGTCATATGACATTGATTGAGTCAGGCGAGACATATTGGTATGTAAGCTCTTGTTAGTTATGTAATGACAGCAATAGTTCTGGAATAAATAACACAGAGGATTTAGGCTTTTCGACTTTATATGGTGGTAGTGGCCAAATAAAACTGTTCTTATGTTATGTAATTGCATAATGTACAGGAGTGTACACACTGAGATGTCTGGCAATTTAACATTGACCAATGCACATAAATGAGTTCATGATAATACGAAACCTGCAACAGATATGAGCTCAATACAATCATTCTATGCACTATTGCTGACCTAGTTTTTGTAGTATCTGAGATACAGACTTGACCACGAAAACTGAACCTCAATCACTGACCCATGAAATAAGGTCAAGTTTAGGTGAGCCCTGTGTAACAGACATGTAAACCGTGAAATAGTGATTATATATTAAATAAAGATAACTTAGCCTAATATTCATAATACATGAGAAATTCATGTAACAAAAAAATATATATATAATTGCAAAACTATGAAAATGAGACCAAGGACAATGGATGTGTGACATAACCTTCATATTATAAGGTATCTAGATGTATGCAAGGTATGAAGCATCCAGGTCTTCTATCTTTTTAAATATATAGTTTTAAAGAAATAGTTAACGCCACCGCTGCCTCTGGATTTGCATCCTTATGTCTCCATTTCTGTGATTTTTATAGCTGAGGCAATAATAGGAATCTCTAACATCATATAGGACAGTACAACAGACCACACATAAACATCACACTCGGGCAAAGAAATAAACATACAACCAAAGGAAAGTACAACAGACCACACATAAACATCACACTCAGGCAAAGAAATAAACATACAACCAAAGGACAGTACAACAGACCACACATAAACATCACACTCAGGCAAAGAAACATACAACCAAAGACAGTACAACAGACCACACATAAACATCACACTCCGGCAAAGAAATAAACATACAACCAAAGGACAGTACAACTTCCTCACATAAACATCACACTCTGGCAAAGAAATAAACATACAACCACAGGACAGTACAACAGACCACACATAAACATCACACTCCGGCAGAGAAATAAACATACAACCAAAGGACAGTACAACAGACCACACATAAACATCACACTCAGGGAAAGAAATAAACATACAACCAAAGGACAGTACAACAGACCACACATAAACATCACACTCAGGCAAAGAAATAAACATACAACTAAAGGACAGTACAACAGACCACACATAAACATCACACTCAGGCAAAGAAATAAACATACAACCAAAGGACAGTACAACAGACCACACATAAACATCACACTCAGGCAAAGAAATAAACATACAACTAAAGGACAGTACAACAGACCACACATAAACATCACACTCAGGCAAAGAAATAAACATACAACCAAAGGACAGTACAACAGACCACACATAAACATCACACTCAGGCAAAGAAATAAACATACAACAAAAGGACAGTACAACAGACCACACATAAACATCACACTCCGGCAAAGAAATAAACATACAACCAAAGGACAGTACAACAGACCACAAATAAACATCACACTCAGGCGAAGAAATAAACATAAACACCAAAGGACAGTACAACAGACCACACATAAACATCACACTCAGGCGAAGAAATAAACATACAACCAAAGGACAGTACAACAGACCACACATAAACATCACACTCAGGCAAAGAAACATACAACCAAAGGACAGTACAACAGACCACACATAAACATCACACTCAGGCAAAGAAATAAACATACAACAAAAGGACAGTACAACAGACCACACATAAACATCACATTCCGGCAAAGAAATAAACATACAACAAAAGGACAGTAGGTCCGAGTACACAGTTATTTCGTAGTGCATTTCTTTTAGACAATAAATGAAAATTAAAAAAATCCCACCTGCGCTTTCTCAATAATATTTTTACAGTGTGTTGTACTACTTTTGGGACAAATTATATCAAAATTATAGAAAACTTCATCGGCTCTAACTCAAAATATGGACAATTTCATGCTGAGGGGGTCTTCAAATCTTTTGACAGCCTCCGAAGTGCTAATTTTTAACATTTTTCAGCTGGACCAAATCACTACTTTACTTTAAAATTCATGACCCAAATTTTTTTACAGTGTCATTTCACCCCCCTACTTACTATTTGAGTCATAAAACATGGAGAAATAAATTCGGAAGGGGTATAAAAAAAATCGACAAGTAACACACTGTCCACACTAGGGACTATATTCGTGGACAACGAAAATCAAAGGACGATAACTGTGTACCCGGACCTAATAGGGTAGAAAAAGTTGACCAATCTTAATGAAACTTGGTATGACCAAAGCTTATTAAATTATAAGACTGCTTACAAAGTTTCATGGCAATAGGATATATATTATAGACAATATGACTACTTCTATATTCAACTTTGAGTGTTAAATTTAGATGATAAAATTGAAAATTTTCAACTATCAACATTTGGGGCTTAAAAAATTTAAATATTGCAAAAAAATACTTTTGAAATGCCTTAATATATAATATATTATGTATTAAAAGCAATAGAGTACTCATTTGATTTATCAGACTTATCATAATTATTAAAAAGTCAAATTTATATGAGCCTGTGGCTAAAAATGGAGGTTTTCCAATGAAGGGGGGCCTTACATGAAGATGTAATATTTTCCAGCAATTTTAAATTTGTAAAGCTTTTTGGTTATAAATAATCCTTACATATGTATTTAATGTACTTTAAATGGAAAGAAAACTTACAAATAACATATCACATTAGTTTAAAAGGGTCTTAGGCCAAGTAAGACTGAAAATAATTTAGGGTCAATTTAGGCCGTATCACATATTTACATTTAAAAATGCATATTGAAGCTATATGAAATAAAATTTTGTGTCTTTTCTATCATTTCTATACTCAGGTGACATGATACAATAAATCTGAGCACAAAAAGACTCTTGCATTCAACTTTTTTTGCAAACAGTATGGTCTGATACAAAGATTTTTCACTTTTTAGTGAAAAACATGCATGCAATTTTAGTCTCAACAGGCTTATATTTGAACCACTTGCTATCCTACAGAAGAAAAGAAAGATATTATGTGACATAAAACAGGTACAAAAGACATTGTTAAGCGCTTTTTATACAAATTTAGTGAGGTCTTTATAATGGACTTCAACTTTTATGTTCCAAGCTCCTCACATTTAACTCGATCCAAACAGGGCGTTAGACGAGGACCATATATACAACACATTTTGAACATATTGTCTGAGATAATCTTCTTTTCTGTAGATTCAGAGTTCACAAATGAGTAATACAACTGGATTGAAGCATAGAAACACAAATATTGACACATAAAAACCTGTCAGATAGAAAGTCAGAATGCCACTTATGCATCAAAATTGAAAAAGCTATGAAATGCTTATTTTGACAATAAAATGCCAAAATTGGTCATTTTTGCAGAAATTCTATCAAATAAAAGTTTTAATCCTTTAGTTTTATGCTATTTGATAAATTGACACCATCAAATCATTCAGGGAAGTTGCCAAAGTACAGATTCTATATTTCCTGATTTCACCTCTTAGGTCCGAGTACACAGTTATTTCGTAGTGCATTTCTTTTAGACAATAAATGAAAATTAAAAAAATCCCACCTGCGCTTTCTCAATAATATTTTTACAGTGTGTTGTACTACTTTTGGGACAAATTATATCAAAATTATAGAAAACTTCATCGGCTCTAACTCAAAATATGGACAATTTCATGCTGAGGGGGTCTTCAAATCTTTTGACAGCCTCCGAAGTGCTAATTTTTAACATTTTTCAGCTGGACCAAATCACTACTTTACTTTAAAATTCATGACCCAAATTTTTTTACAGTGTCATTTCACCCCCCTACTTACTATTTGAGTCATAAAACATGGAGAAATAAATTCGGAAGGGGTATAAAAAAAATCGACAAGTAACACACTGTCCACACTAGGGACTATATTCGTGGACAACGAAAATCAAAGGACGATAACTGTGTACCCGGACCAGTACAACAGACCACAAATAAACATCACACTCAGGCAAAGAAATAAACATACAACTAAAGGACAGTACAACAGACCACACATAAACATCACACTCAGGCAAAGAAATAAACATACAACCAAAGGACAGTACAACAGACCACAAATAAACATCACACTCAGGCAAAGAAATAAACATACAACAAAAGGACAGTACAACAGACCACACATAAACATCACACTCCGGCAAAGAAATAAACATACAACCAAAGGACAGTACAACAGACCACACATAAACATCACACTCAGGCAAAGAAATAAACATACAACCAAAGGACAGTACAACAGACCACACATAAACATCACACTCAGGCAAAGAAATAAACATACAACAAAAGGACAGTACAACAGACCACACATAAACATCACACTTAGGCAAAGAAATAAACATACAACCAAAGACAAACAGCTTGGAACAACACATAGATCAGATACATCATAGCCTGACTTGGTTCAGACACAAAATGTGGTTAAACCAGTTTTATGTTCACACAAGTCCCTGTTATATCATGCAATCTATCATTTTACCTCTGTAAATTCAGAAATTATTGTATTCATTTATTGTTGCGATTAATGAACAATAGACAAAACTGTGAAAATTTATTAATTATTGCCAATTACAGGAAATGCTGCAAACAAATATGCTTTAAAAAATTTAAATGCAAGTTTTTGTTTTTGCAAAACCAATCCGTAAGCAATTTATACAATAATAAAAGAACAGAATTCCAGTGTCCACTGCATTCCACATATTTTATCTGTCCAAGGGCAATAACTATTAAAAAATTCACTCATTTTATTGTTCTTTTAAACTTTTTAAAACAGAGAAATGAAGACTTACAATGCAATTTTCCATATAATTAATATTTCCAAGGGGCACAACTCTTAAATAGTTGATCTTCACTGATTTTCAAAAGTGTATAAGACACTGCTGATATAAACCTTTAATATAAATTTCATAAATATTTGGCAAGAATTGAACACATTAGAATGTTTACAATACAACTTTTCCATAGACTTAATATTTCCAAGGGGCATAACTCTTTTATCAATAACTAATCGGCACTGATTTTTGAACTTAATCCAGACATTGCTGATTTAAATCTTTAATATAAATTTTATAACAATCCATTGAAGAAATGTAGGCTTGAGAGTGCTTACAATGCAATTTTTCATATAATTAATTTTTCCTAGGGGCACAACTCTTTAAAAAATAGGTTGATCAACATTGATTTTCAAACTTGTCCAAGAAATTGCTGATATATAAACCTTTGATATATAATTTATAAAACTCTGGCAAAAATTGTACATGTGAGAGAGCTTACAATGTAATTTTTCTAATAATTAATAATCAATATTTCCCAGGGAGTCTTGAAGCCAAAAAATACAGGAATTAATTTTTTTTCTTTAATGGAAACAAAACAAGTTTTGACTAATATTTCTACTTGGAACTTTAATTAGTTATATGTGATGTACAAGATTTATAAGGTACTATGATATAACATCTTAAAAAAAATTATAAGGGAAATTTTTAAATACAAATAAAATATGAAAAATCAAAAATACTTAATTTCTAATAAAAAAAATGGTCATTGAAAAGTACTATAAATTTAAAGGTTCTTTCAAGAGAAACCCAAAATATATATATTGACTGTCCTGAGCTAACAAATATAAATGTAGATAATTTTATAAACAACAACTTTAAGTGGGTTTTGCTGGAAAAAGGAAGACGTAACCACTTGAAAGGTAATTACTTTAACTAGTGGATGGTTTATGGTGATACATACTTTATATATTTTTTCTGAATACAAAACCAATTCAAAATATATATCTTTGATTTTTTTTATAGTAGCTTCAGTAGAAAATATGTATTTATAGATTGCATTGTACATAGCAAGAACTGTTATTATAGATTAAATGTAAACTCAAATACAGGAAGCTGAGGAAAACTAATGTGTATAAATCATTGATGAAAGTACAGTTACATATATGGACACAATTTATACCATTTCCTTTTTCAATTATATATCATTAAACATGTGTGAATGACGATTTTCATTTTTACAGTTGTAGGGACTTATAGTTTGATGCATCATGTTATTGCAAAAATCAGTGCTTAAAAATAATTGATGGACATGCAGTTATTTCAAATAATTCAAATTAAAAATTAAACATAATGCACAAAATTGAAGAGTAGAGATAAAATATTCTTATTTCAGAAATGAATAATTAACTAAAATTCTAACTTTTGAAAACACTGTTGAATTGCATGTTGTTTTTATTTAAAGAACAATCCATTTTTTAGCATATATTTTCTAATATTTTATTTGAGTTTAAAATTGAAATTGTTTCTATATATTTTAAAACCCTTGCATGAAATGGGCCATTTAAGCTTTCCTTTCACCGTTCTTTACATGTCACAATGTAATCAAACAATAAAAGTAATTTTCTATAAATGAAAAATAAATTTTTAAATTGTTAGCCAGTGCGAAAATTGAAAAGAAATTTTCTGTAATAACAACATACAATTTGTAAGAAACGATTTTAATGTTAACAGCCTGATAATGTCACTTGATAAAGCCTTGCTTTCTTTGCTGTACTACTAGGTCTTGAACATCCAATATAGAGTTGGCCTGTTGGTGTAAAGGCAAGGCAGTATGGACGGATTCTTCTCATAATCTTGGTATTATAATGGAACAAAAGTTTTCCTGTATTATTTAAAAAGTGAAACACCTCAGTGCCTACATCCACTACAATAACATTGTCTCTTGGTGTTGTCACTATTCTGACTGGTGTGAATGGTATATCCTTGTTGATATTTATATGTCCCATATATGTATTGATTATATCCCCACCCTGTCCTAACACTACCACTCTACCTCGATCACTATCCGCTTCACAATCTACCACATGTATGTTCCCATTACTGGTACTGTTTATACTCTGTGGATAGGTGAATATAGGTTGATTAAGTTTATCATGTTCATAAACAATCTCATGGTCTCCCTTCTCATCCATTACAAACACAGCTCTTCTTCCTAGTTCATCATCATTACCTCCTACAACTACTTTATTACCACTGGTGATGTGGATGGCAGTAGAACCTAAAGGATCCACATCATATACACTGTCTGTCAGTTCACCGGTGATACTATTGAGTTGTATTAGACTGGATTCCCCTTCTGTACACAGGAGAATATCATTAGATGGAAGTACTGCCATGCCATAGATATTGATGTTGAAAGAACATATTATCTTCAGATTATTTCCTTCAGGTTTTATTTTCACCAACTTTTCATCTATATCACAATTTATCCAGATTGACTTGTCAGAACATGGAATTATATCTGTTACAATGGAAAGTTCAGTCGGATATTCTGAAATGATATCGAGAGCAACACCTAATTTTACCGGACTGTCATCACTTTGTAAGACTCCAACATTAGACTGAGTGATCTCCCCTGGATCAAATTTAGGAATGGAATTGTATGATGACTGGGTTTTTGGTACTGGTATATCTATCAATTTCTCAATTTGATGGATTTCACGAAAAAACTTGTCAATATCTGTTGCCTTAATAAGATCTATGGTTTCATTGTTTTTGTCATCTGCCTCTATCATAAATCTTAATATGACATCAAGATCAGTGTCAATTGAATACATTATTGCTTTTTTATTTTCACTTACTTCATTTTTTAGCTCTTCTATGTGTTTGTCAACTGCTTGCTTTAAAGCATTCCCATGATTTTGAATGTTTTGTATAACCTCAGTGTAATTTTCATTTTCATGAGACTTGCATTGTTCCAAAAGTTCTTTATTTGTTGCCAGTTTAGCTTTATTGATCTGGATTTTACTTTGTCCTTTCTTTAGCTTCTCTATTTTCATATTAAATCCTTCACTGATTTTGATTAAATCATGTATTTTGTGAAATTTATTGATGCATATTGGACAAACTAGACTGTCACATGTAGTACAAAAGAGACGATACATCTGTCCAAAGTGATCTTTGCATTGAATGTTTGAAAAATCCACTTTTTCAGAATGCACACCTACTTGCTTAATGTCAATTATCTTATGATTTTGAGAATTTTTAATTTTTGAATGTTTTCTATCCCTACAGTTAGTACACAATAGTAATTCACAGTCTTCACATTTCCATTTTATAGTTTCATTTTCACACAAGTTACATTTTACTGGTACTTGACTTTTACTAACTGATTGAGAGAACGCCATTTTAATAAATCTAGTTTGTTATACATGTATGATGTATGTATTTTACTTCCTGGTTTTATATAGGGACATCCTGATCATGTTGCAGATAATTGGGATTGTTTCATACACTGATAGGGGAAGAATTTCAACTTTAATAACTGACAAAGTTTTCTATTTCATAGAACAGATCAAATTATGTACTTTAAATGAATTTTATATTGGTGCATATGTTTATAAGTTGCATTGTAAATGAAGTGCCAACTGCAATACTTACTTAAATGACATTCTTAAGTGTAAGCCTTTTTAAAAGAAAGCAATTGTTGTTGAAATATAATTTGAACATGAATAAATTAATATTATCAACTTTAACTATATTATATTATATATGCAATGGGTATACAAAGTTAATTTACTGTTAGCCCAGTTAATCTATGCAGAAAATGCTGAACTTGAATCTTTCACAAGTTTTCAGTTTTCAGTGTCTTTTTTTTTTAATTAGGAAAATACCTTTTCTGTGCGTTATGATTTTTTTTTCTTACTAAACATTGCCTGTTAACCCAATACATCTATAAAATTGCCACAGAAATTACTTGAATGTTTTGTGTCAGTATGTCATCATATTTGTCTAAAGGTTTATCAAGATAATGGAGTGGTGGAAATTGATGATTTGTGGTTAAAATCATCTTTTTTATTAAAAAAATTCAATGAATGAAAACAGAAATTTGAATAATTATGTCATGAATGGAGCTACATTTTTTATTACAATGTTACTCTATTTGAAACATAACATATATGAATGAATAAGGAAACAGACATGACCACAAACCAGTATTTTGAGGCAAAAAATAAATTTGATGAAATCTCTGAGAACAGGAAACTGAAAAGTTTGTCAATGTAAATGTATTTGAAACGTAACAATCTTTATTCTATTAGAAAACTGACATAATTCAATGACAAGAAATATGTATATTGAGCCTCAAATGAGGAGATTTTTATCATAAAATCTCTGAAAACAGGAAACTGGAATACATATCAAATGCAATTAACTTGAAGATTTTTGTCAATATTACCCAAAATATCTACTGAATAAGTTAAAATATAGTAAATATCTCATAATAAAAATATATCTGATATATTTTTAGTTTAAAGCTTCCTTTAAAAAAAAAAATCTAAAACTGGAACATTAACTAAAATGCATGTATTTGCTAGTCTACTTCATTTGGTCTCTGGTGGAAAGCTGTGTCATTAGCAATCATACCACATCTTATTTTATACCTGTACTGTAAACAAATAATAAATTATTTCAGAGAAATTCTTTAATCCCTAGTCAAAATCAGTGATTTTATATATTCCGTAATCAAGTCAGTGATAATAAAAAAACTCCTGAAATTTCAATGATTTTACAAAATCAATAAAATTGATGGGAAAGATACAAAGCGACATTGAAACTCATTAGTTGAAAAAAAAACTGACAATGACATGGCAAAATTCGAAAACAATCAAAAGACAAACAAAAGTATACAAAACACAATGTAGAAAACCAAAGACTTAGCAACACGAAACCCCACCTCTCAGGTGTAACTTATATTAGTTTGATTAGTTAAGTAGTAAGAAATCTCAGATCTTGTTTTGGTTGATTTACTTTTGACACAGCTTTAACCCTTGTACTCTTACTAATATCATGTTAACAAATATAACAAAATGACGGTTTCTTGTCAATCTTTTCAGATTTCACAGAAGATACAAAAAAGCTGATCTTTTATTTCTTATTTGTACAAGTTGTATAATGAGTTTCCACATGATGTGGATAGTTGGACATATGAATTGTGATGTTTTCCATATATTTATTGGTAGTGGGAGGTATTAAAAGTGTATAATTTGTAATTTTGGGAAAGACAGGAATAAGAATAAACAAAAATCAAATCACATTCATCATTTTACTTGTTATTCCACAACACACTCATACAAATCACAGTTAATCAAGAAATAGCAAAACACAAAAGTTAAATATCAATCTTTCATTTAATAAATACTTATTTATCTATATATGAGAGTATCAAATCAAATTTTAAATATCAACAGTGTTCAACTTTCCACAATTACATTGACCTGCAATGCTTATTGTTATTGGAAAGCTTCAATATAAACGCTTAAGGATATAAATATTTTCTAAAGTTTTGTAAACTGCTACATTCTCTTCTATCTTTCACGTAATGTCAAGTTGGTAAATTAAACTATCCCACGTGTAGTTGAATAAAACATTGTATCTATCTCACATGACATAACATGTGGTTTATATAACATTTCATAACTTTTTACACTGTGAAATCATTGCAAGCATGGTGTTCATGTCCACATCATTTGGCAACTTTTAAATCTTCTCAAAACCAAGCTGTGAATGATTTCAGCATACAGCTGAAAATTTGACATCAACACCCTATTCCTCATAGAGAAATGAAAAAAAAATAACAGGAAGCCACCACCATTGATAATATTCTTGACTTTCGATGGTTATAAACATTTGGTGGGATTTATTCAGTTTTAAGAGTACTAAAGTTATGCCTTAACAGCTTAAATAGTGTAACAAAAAATTATTGTACAATTAAAATAAAAAAAAGAAAAACCTAATTCAATTACATCGATAATAATAAAGAAAGGCAAAAACACCTTACGATACCTAGTCAAATATTGCTGAAAGTTAAATACATAATTACTACATGTTTTATCATACATGAATTAATTTAAAAGAACTTACATTTGAATTGTTTAACATCTTTCCTTTTCTACTGAAACAACCTCATTAATCCTACCCCCCCCCCCCCCCCCCAAAAAAAAAAATCTTTATGTACCATTCCATTCCAATGTAAAAATGTGTCTTGTACTGAAATAAAAAACATTTCAAAACAAACTGTCACTCAAAAAAAATAACATGCATAACAATAAATTACAAGTACTCTCATCACAATTAACTGGAAATTAAAATTAAATTACAAACATAATAAAATTATAAAATTACAAATCTAACAAATCAAGTCCAAAATAAATTTGGTCAAATAAGTGTAATATTGAAATGTATATAAAGTTAGTCTGCCTTTGATAATCCATTTTCTATGGCTTTATTGGGGAAATGTGGTCCATCAAAAATGAAAATATCATTTTATCAAATATGGTTAAAAAATCTAATATTATTCAGAAATGTTTAAAAATTGCATTTTACATTTATTAAATTAAGTGATTAAACATACCTAATTGATTTTGTATTGCAGTTGGAAGATGCATTGAGTATTCTTGTTATAGATATATATGAACACATGAACAAATAATCATCCAAAACAAAAAATGAAAGTTTTTAATCCCCCAAAAAATCAAAATTTAAAATTAATGACATAATGTAAATATTTATTGTGAAACATCATACATCATAAGTGTTTCAATTTTTTTAAATGACAGACAATATTTTATTTCAGTGTCACCTGAAAGTTATAAACACAATTGTAATGTAACAGTGTGTAATACAAACAAATGTCTGAACAAAGACCAAAATAACATTCAATGACTTGAAATGAAGGAAATCAAGTTTACATTTGATCAATTTACAGCAAACAAGATATAATCAGTGTTTTGGACATCAAAATCACAATAACATGAGTACTCAGAATAAAATAACAAATAAGACTTCTTAAGTAGCACACATTGTCATATAATAACTTCTTCATCTGAGAGATGATCATTGTCAGCATTCCTAGCCAACATATAATTGTCCATATCTATAGACCGACAGTTAATGATGGCATATCTAAGTTTCTCTGCTAACATCTCTTTACTGGAATATATAGGTAACTTAAGCTGAAAGAAACATGTCTGGGCTGTTGGTAAACCTTCTGGTCCCTGCAACACAAAAAAAATTTAGGTAATGGTGGATTCATCATCAATCATAAGAACTAATTTTCATGGATTGTGGTTAGAGGTTAATCACAAATTTCAATCTTCAACAAAATTAAATATTCTGTAGACTTGATGAAAAAATTGCTCAAACCAATAAATCAAGTACCAGTATCATATCAAATTTCAATTTCTCCTCAATCCACCAAAAAAATATGAATCCAATGTATTCAATATATAAGAACAATAATTCAAGTTCTTTGAAACTAAGTTAATTTGTTTTTGGGAATCGCTTTTCTTTTTGAACTCATAAATTTGTATATGAGCATCCGAGATAAGATTGTAAAGCCTACCCTTTTCCTGACTTGGAGACTCAACTCTGAATAAAGATTTGTTCTTAAATTAATATGATTTCCCTTGTTTGTTTATCTTTAATTTCCTGTTTTTCATAATTTTTTTAACATCATTTGACTAAAATAATCTTTTTAAACAAGTGAAACTGCGAGCTACTGCTCACTGATGATACCCCTGCCGCAACTGGACCCCTGCCGCAACTGGATAATTTTAATAGTGTAAAAATATATAAGTGTTCGGTAAACAGGAAGTTGTTGAGTGATGAATCTGAAAATGCATCACACGGTATAGCTGACTTATATAAACCCTGAAACCAAATTTCAGAAATCCTTATGATGTAGTTCCTGAGAAAGATGCGACGAAAAATATTCATCGGACGGATGGATGGACGGACAGACAGAAATAAAACTATACCCCCACTTTTTTAAAGCGGGGGTATAATTAACAGCAGACTACACTGAAATGATATGTAAAATGGTTTAGCCATGAAGGATTATGAATAAAAGAAATGTGGAGCGTACATCAATAATACAGTTAACTGACACAATAAACAAAATATCAAAATACAGCCTTTAATAATAATGTGTATATACACTATATAGACCTCTAAATGCCCATAGTCTAGAATTTAAAGTTGTGAAAAACGTACTTAATTCTGAATACTTTCATCATTCCTTACACTACCTTTATTTGTAAAATGGACTGTACATGCAAACAAATTCGGTATCAAGAAATATATTTATAAGACTTACCCTATCTGACATCATAATTTGAAACCTTTGTGAAATGTCTGCAGGATTGGCAGGAAGTCTGGTTCTACCAGACACAAATCTAAGGAACTGAATTCTCTCATCATTGGAGAAAGATTCTAAAACTTCCCAGAACCAAGTGATAACATCTAACTTCTCATCTATACCTCTGTATCTAAAGGAAGAAAAAACAGAACAGTTCACTTTCAATACTTATCTGTTGTTTGTATCAGTCCGTATCAAGAGTCTTAGTAAGGATAGAATGCTATTTAATACAGTTTTTGTATTTGAAGTTTGTGGATGGGAATATAGGCTACCATTGTAGAAAGAGGACTAAGTTTGTTTAGGGGTAGATTTGATTTCATTCTTCAAGTCACATTAGATCAGCTCAATGATAAATGTTTCACTATTTCAAAGTAAATTGCATTTTTTCCCACTTTATTGCATCCATTCTGCGCATTGTATCCGTATCACATAGACATTTGGATGTGTATTTGTACATTTTGCAAAACCAAAGGAAATACCCTCAGTAAGGTAGCCAAAAGAGCTTGAATGCATCCAGAGAGCCTAATATTTTAATATCAAAGGAAATGAATTTTCTCAGTGTACACTAAATATCCTCTTTATATTTAAAACTTCAAATAATTTATAATATAAGTAACAAACACTCTTATGGCATGGGGAATATTTATGTCCTTATAAAATCTTCCTGGTTAGAATAGTTGAACATTATTAAATATTAAATGATTTGTCATTCAATCATCTATCTTCACCTGTTAAAGTTTACATCATTTATAGGAACTTGCATAATTATATGAGCATAATTCATTTACCTAGTGACTTTTCTTAGTACATCCACACTCATTTCCTCCATACCACAGACCAGCTGTTCCAGATTTTTGGGTGTCAACAATGTAAGTAGAGGTACAGGTATTATCCAGGACATACCTTCCCTCACAGCTGCTGCCTGTAACATGATAAATCAATAGAAGTTACATTTCTATTGCTCCTATAGATGAACTGTAAATTCAGAAATTATTGCATGCATTTATTATTGCGATTTTTGAAGAATGAACAAAAATAAAAAAATTACTGCAATACTCAAGTAATCGCATTATTCGCATTAATAACCAGTGAATCTGTGAGCTACTGCTCACTAATGATACCCCCGCCCCGTTAAAAGTATAACATAAACAGGAAGTTGTTGAGTGATGAATATGAAAACGCAAAAAATATTCATGTGACGGACGGACGGACTGACAGATGGATGGACGGACTGACGGATGGACGGACAGACAGAGGTAAAACAGTATACCCCCACTTTTTCAAAGCAGGGGTATAAAAATCTCGCAATAATTTCTGAATTTCCAGTACTTTCTCAACTTTATTTTGTTTGAAGGATATTTACAACTAGTCTACCTAAGAGATACACGTACCAGATTAAATGAAATAAGCTAATTCCAAAAATAAAGGAATTTACTATGAAAATATTTATGGTGACCATCAAAACAAATCTTTATAAGGTAATAAGCTATGTTGGTTCATTAGCTCATGTCAATGTGCTGATAAAAACTTCATAAAACAGGTAATCACTTCAATATATCATGTTCTTACAGATAGAAGGAAATAAATAATACCTTTATGTATCTTCATTTCACTGCTTAGATATATAAAACAAGAATACGTGTCCATATGACACCACACCTTGATCTATTGTCTTTTTTTCAGTCAACTGTGAAATATGGGTCAAATACAATTTGGCAACAATTTTAAAAGTTCCATTTACAATAAACATGTCTACTAAGTGTTAAGTTAATGGAACCAAAACTATATAAGGTAAACTACCATAACCAACAACTGTACACCTGATAGGGAAGCACTGACAGACAGACTGACGGACGGACCTCAAAACATCATGCCCCTTTATCAAAGGCTTGACATGATAATTAATATTGTACCTGCTGATTCATTTCACGAAGTCTATAATTAAAAACAGACTCTACATATTCCTTCCTGTTGTTGAATGTGAGTTGTATAGTCCTGCCACCAGGTATCACTGGGACTAGCTGTCCTGTAACACTCTGTCCTTCAAACGAATCTAGTGGGATAAACTGAAAAATAAATATTACTTTAAAAAAATAGTTAAATCAAAAGTTTATTATATATGGTCTGATATTTTCTGCTGTCTTTAAATTAATCAAATTTTCTACATATCCTTAAATTTATATTAGAAATGTATTTAGGATTTGCACACATTTGCCTTGAAGGGTATATTTCCTTTTGGAAATGTTTAAACTGAAATAATGCCATTATAGTTTTGGTGTCCATTGTATCATAAAAGATTTGCTAAAAAATTTAAATTAAAAAAACTTTGTAAATCAAATCTTGTATATATCAATATTAATATTTATATCGTTTACCTCATGGAAGTTTGTTTCATTGACTCCACTTTCATGTATATCAATAATCCCCTTTAAACTCTGAATATAGATGTGGTCGACCTAAAATTAAAATAAACATATGGTATAATTCTGTGGCCATCCTTTCTTTATGATCTATTTATAAAGGTAGCCATCTATGAATACATTAAAAATTAATTAAAGAACAGAGTTCCAATGTCCCCTGCATTGCATTCTATATCTTTCTTAACATTTTAAATCACAGAGTTTAAAACTTATACACAGCTTGTTATCTGACCCTATAATTCATAGGTACCTCTTCTAAATCTTCAATTCTTAGAGGTATTCCCACTAAAAGTTTCCAAACACTTGGTGCTAAATGTAGATCTAATGGTTTCTTAGTTCTAACTGCAACACCAAACAAGATGCCCATAAATCTAAACATAGCTAGATCTTCCTCTGAATTCAGTGATGGATTTAAAAGGAACCTATAAATAAAAAAATTATTAACATTATTGTAAAAAAATGTCAACATTAATAACAATTCTTTTTCCACCTAAAAAAATTGAAAACCTTTAGAGCTTGATCTCTATGTGAAAGACCATGACAACTTTGTCTGAAACGGACTACTACTGCTGCCTGCATTCAAAATTACTAATAGAATACCGGGTAACTAATAGAAGAATTCAAATATAGAAAAATATTCAATGAGTGACTGAACAACACATTTATTCTGGAATGCATGTTGCGCATGAGTGAATTATCAGTGTTGTTCGGTCACGAGTTGAATATTTTTAGATATTTGTTTTTCTTTGATTAGATTTTCTTTTTTATTACATTGACAATGGCCTTTTTAATGGAAACAAAGTAGAAAATGCAAGGAATTATATAAATACCTTTTCAAGGCATTCACAATTTGCTTTGATGCAACATCATCGACAATGTAATAATTTTAAATATTCATTATCAGATCATAGATCACAATCAATAAAAAAAAGAAGAATTTGCAATGTTTTCAAACAATCGACTTACAGGCAATAGAGGGTCCGTTAACATGTTAACAACACATAGATTTTGGCAAAAACAGTTAACAACAAATATAAAATGCTGATAACAGTTAACACCAACTTTAACTAAATAACAGATAACAGTGGTGTAAAAACTTCAATAACGCTTAACAACCATATTGAAAAATCAAACAATGTTAAGGTATTTCATTGTTCTATCCGAATTTGAGGAATTTTCAAAACAAAACGGCAGGTGTCTTGCAAAAAGCAGGAAATGCTCACTCTCTGAAAGCACATGAGTTCACTTGAGTTTTGATCAGGTTCAAGTTGTGTTCATGTGTTGTAAGTACTTTTAGTGCATTGTGTATACCGTTTGTCCTATATATATGCTGTCTGAAATGTTCCAAAATTAGAATTTATAAATGAAGGACTTGGGCAACTTAGTAGTGCTACTCACTTCATAGCAATTAAAAAATTAAATATAATAGAGACCAACCAGAAAATCAATAATATTATCTTTGAAATGCATAGGAAAGGGGTCATGGATGATATCACATTTAAATATCTTTCTGCTAAGAGAAATCTTAAACCAGGAAGGTTGTATCTTCTGCCTAAATTTCATAAACTGGATCCTGAGCTAATAGAAAGGGTTCAACAGAATGCTACGCTGTATAAAAATGTCAGAATTTAAGGGAGGCCTATTGTTTCATTATCTGGTACAGTTTTAAAGAGAATAGGGAAGTATTTGGATAAATTCATGCTTCCAGCAGTAGTACAACAAGAAACACATTTAAGGGACTCTTTAGGATTTAAAAATATTATTGAGAAATTGCAGGTAAAACCTGACGCCTGCTTAGTCAGTTTTGACATAAAAGAAATGTACAACAATATGTCCCATGCAGAAATGATTGACTCAGTCAAACATGCTTGGCTTACAATAATTAAATGTAAACATGCAATACCATTTCCTCCCCTGCGATACATATTGGAACTTCTAAAGATAGTTCTTGAAAATAATGAATTTATGTTCAATAATAATTTTACAAAACTTCAACTGGAGTTCCAATGGGAAATAGTTTATCATCTGAAATTACCGATCTGAGAGTTTATGAAGTTTTAAATAGTATTTTTTGGACTTTCCAACATAAACAGAGGTTTTGGACGATGGCTTTTTTATTTACAATGAAGGTACAGATGATGAAATAGCACAATTTTATGAACATGCTAACAGACATCATGCACTACTAAAATTTATATACGAGAAATCAAAAACTAAAATGAAGTTTTTTGATGTCTTGGTATTCAAAGGCCCAAGATTTAGAGAAACAGGAATCTTAGACCTCACAACATTCCGGAAAAAAACTGAAAATTATCAGTACTTAGAGAGGTCCTCATGCCATTCATTCTCTACTTTCTGAGGCATAATTAAAGGAGAAATGCTTTGCTTTAAGAGATGTACGAACAATCCAGTAGATTTTGCAAACACAATATGCGTTATTTTCTGAACGCCTTATTAAAAGGTGATATAAAGAAAATGAAATTAAAACTGTTATCAAAAGGTGACTGCAAAACAAAGAAATGACACATCAATGGTTAAATCCAAATCTGTATAACAGTCGCCTCCCTATGTATTCTCCACAGTGTTTTCAAGACAGAAAATACACTTAGAGAACAATATTTTAAAAGAAAATTAAAAGATGACGGAGAGGCAAAAATTTTATTTGATAAAAGACCTCTTTTCGCTTTCCGTAGGCACAAAAATTTGAAAGACACAGTAACATCTGCAACTCTTGGTAATTAATATGTTGCAAATTATGAAAATATATTCTATACTATGTTTGTTAAATTGATAAACATGGACAGAAAAGAAAGAGTATAGAAAAGTATTAGTCAAACAGATCACGAGGTGTGGAGCCCCTTATAAAAATTACAGTATTTTTAAGATTAAGTGTCACCATGCAATGGCTTGGGCTCCTGATGATGGACATGGCCATGGACCATTAGTTTATTCTAATTGGTCTGAATACATGTTCGAAACACCTTGTGATCTATGGAGTTGGGGTGCTGGGATAGGATTTGACAATGATTTATTGCAAAACACAGGGATAAATTAAATAGGGGACGGAAATAAACTTAAAGATCTTTAAGGACAGTTACATATATGCTGTTTATGTTTATGTTACTCCTTTGAGGGAGCACTGTAAAGAAATAGATTAACAGCAAATTTAATGTGATTAGTGTGAATCTTGAAATTCTTGTAAATAACAGTTAACAGAGATAAATTATGTCATAAACAGTGAACACTTCAAGTGTCAAGTAACAGATAACATGAATCACATTTTCATATAAAACAGTTAACAACATTGCCAATTTTAACAAAACAGATAACAGACAGTGAGTTGAAAACAGTTAACAGTTTATATATATTTCAACTAACAGTTAACAACACCTTGAAATAGCCCAAAACAGGTTAACAGAAAAAGATATCCCCCCCCCCCCCCCCCCTCATATTTGTTTTTCCTTTTTTGTTTTGTCAACATTACTGTAATATTAACTGTAGACACAGAAAAGCTAATAATTTCTATTTTAAAGTATGCTATTAAAAACCATTATATACAACAAAAATCGACATTGGTTAATATATTTCATTAAATTAATAAAAACTTCATGTGGTCAACTATTCCTTCTTTTTTCAATATACAATGAATTTCGACATTATGGGGACATTTTCACAATGTTCCTCCTAAAAACACCCCTAAAAATGTTAATTCTCTATTTCAGGAGTTTCATCTAGCTATATGATTACATTTCAATATTGTTTTAAAGAAATAATTGACGTTGGATCTAATGACAATGTCTTTAAAAGAAGTATACAATTACCTATCTCTGTTATTGCCAGACTCATTCAAACAATTTGGTGTTGGAATCAGATAGGGTACCACTCCAGTCTCTAATTCCTGCAAAAACATTCCGACGTTATAAATATATGAAATGACACTTTAGCATGTGAATGTACAGTCAAACACAGATTTATTTTGGTTAAGTAAGTGTGTCCATCTATAGTTTATAACTTTATTTGCATAGACTGATAAGATATTACAAATCTTCACTGTTTTTAAGAACTTAATTTTGCTTATTTTCAGAATAATTTAAAAGACTATTCCAATTTTTGAATGATCTTAAGATAATATAATGATCAAAATATAAACTTTTGATTTGCTACACAGATGTTAATCACTAAATAAAGACAGACATTGCTCAATCTTTAGTTTTCTGTGAAAGTTGTTATTTCTTCATCATTTTTCTTTTGGTCATGTTGTTGCCCGTCTTTCATCCACTTATCTATTTTTAATCCCCCTTGTTATCTTTTACCCCCTTTTGAAATAAATCCAATGTTACCTGACACATTTCTGTGATTGTATCATCAAACACGCCCCCAGCATCATCTGCTCCTTCACCTATTAACTTAACCTTCCAAGCTCTAGCTGGTAACCGTAAGTCTTCCTGTCTTAACTTCACAACCTGTTGTCCTATCTGTGTGTAAACTGGTTTACATTTCTTCCCTCTATTAAAGAATATATATCTTTTTAAGTGATAAATTTTACAAATATATCTAGGTGCAAATAGAAATAATCAATAATCAAAAAGTAAGAAAAAAAAAGAAATACCAGAAAAGTTCTTGCTTTTAAATGACTAATTTTGGTGAAATATACAAATTATGATGTCACTATGATTTCATAATTGGCAGTGTGCATATCACATCATTATATTTATTTTGAAATACTATATAAATAACACATAGCTGACAGAGTGATAGAGCAGATTGTTACCCCTCCTACTCCTTGGTCTGCACGAGAGGGTGACATTCAAAAAATTGTCTCCTGCTGAGCCATGGGATAAAGTAAATTATCTCCCTCGTATCAGCCAATCAAAATCTGGCACTATAACGTGAAGTATAATAAAATTAAATAATTATTAGAATGTAAGAATTTTTAAGCCTCTTAGATTTTTAGAACAAAACAAAGGCTTTAATCACACCTACTCCTTTGATCTTAACATTGTTAACAACATTATAAATATAAATTTGACAGATAGTTTTACCTTGTAGAGAGCCTTCTGACTGTTATCTGTGGACCATAGTTCTTGCCCTGAACCATAGTTTTACCTATAGCTCTAACCATTGGTAATGTATACACTCTTGGAGATAACAACATTCTTAGTCTACCATCAATTATACCCTCCATTCCAGCATCATATCTGTTTAGTTCATTCTAAAAGAAAATATAGGTGTAAAGTAATTAAAGTTTGGAAGTAAACAGAATTTAACATCATATGCAAAGCTTATAATTCAGTTCCAAATCTTATAAAATACCTTACTTGTCAAAACACTGAACACAATTCAATTTAATGTTAAAATCTTAAAATGGAAAACGGAAATTCAGTTTTGTGATATCTCTTCCTAAATGCATACACTTGTACAGCCATGAAAATCAACATGCATTGCTACCGATAAATTTACCAAAATGTGTTTAAGCTATCTCTCCATGTTTTACATATAAACAATATCGCAGTAACAGAGTTCAAAGGGCAAGTAATCTCCATGTATTATTGATAGTTTTAAGCAATTCACTAACTGATAGAGTAGTAAGAGGTAGCAATCTCCATGATGTATAAATCAGATCTGAGAAGTGATGAAGCAGTTTCAGTCTGCCTTGAACCTCCTCTAAGTTGATCCCCTTCAGACTACCAAACTGAGTAGGAACACTATCTGGTAACCCTAACTGTAATGAGACTGGTACCCCAGGTACTCTAGGTAAAGCAGGTACAGCTGTCCAGGCACCACTATGTGTCCTACCTGCAGATATCTAAAAGAAGGACAGATTATTTACTTTAAATATATTGGAAAGAAATATAATGGTTTAAAGCACATGAGATAAAAAATATAAAATACAATAACTGAAATATCTTGAGGATTGAACTTTTATCTTGACAGTTACTGGAAGATCTAGAACAATAATCTAAAGAGCTCAAACTTACAACACAGATTTAGACAACCTGGCACTGAATATAGCAATACAATTTAGAAAAATATTACCATCTTAAATTCCTATAATATAATTAATTAAATCTTAAACTTTTACACTAATTTCACATATCTTCTAACTAGCAGTCTGAACTTTGAAGCAATATAACAATGGCATTTACAATGTGTACATGTTGTTATAGATAAAAAAATACCTGTTTGATATTTTTGCCAGTTAAACAAGGTACCAGTTGAGGTTCTCTGACAGGTGAATTAGTGTGACCTAGTCCCAATTGGCCTTCATTATTGTTACCCCAGGCCCATACATCTCCACCACTGGTTAGCGCTAAGGTGTGATCTGACCCGCAAACCACATCTTCAATATAATATCCTGCCAATGATGGTACTTCCTGAGGTCTTGTACAACTTCTTGCTCGTATATCTGGTTGGCCAATCAAGCGATCTGTAAATCAATAATAAAAAAGCACATTCATTTTACCCTCAACTTTAAAAAAATATTCATAGATAAACAAATGAATTAGACAAGTAAAAAAATTATTATGGTTGTCTCCTTTAAGCTGCAGTTCCTTAAAACATTTGAAAAACAGAAAAATAATTATTTTTATGACATTGCTGGTTTTTTAAATAGTCTGTTGAACTACACTGTGACTTTGATTGAACTTGAAGATATTGGGAGAGTTAGTAGATATAAGAAAAAAATACAAATGTATTTCTATCAATTATTTCAAATTACAAGTGATGTATCCACAAGGATCTTAATTTGAAAAAAAAATTAACAGTTGGAAGGTAACATTCGCAATCCATCAATTATACTTTCAAATCTTATAAACTGTGTTCAAATAAAAAATTAAATTCAAGTCTCCTCTAAATAATATTTTTTTTGATATTTAGAAAACACAAAAAACATATTACCTTGTCCCCATGTAAACACTCTTCCATCTTTAGTCAAGGCAACAGAAAACTGAGCACCACAAGCTACTTTTTTGATAAACTGTCCCTGTAAAGCCTCTATCTTTGTTGGTACCAGTTTACCAGACGTATTACCCAATCCAAGTTTACCATAATCTCCATCCCCAAAGGACCAAACTGTAGCACCATCAGTAGACACACAAAGGGTATGGTTCAAACCACAAGCAACCTAATATAAAAATAGAAAAAATGTTAATTTTTATTTTTCAAAAACAGAAATATAACTTCCTTGCTAGCAGCGAATTCAAACCATCTTTCCAAATCAAAATCTGTATAACTTTGAAAAGATAGACTTTATGCTTGGAAACCTACGAGCCACTGTCAAAAGGATAAACCTCAATAAAAATTCCGTTAATAAATGGTTTTCCTCAGTTTTCCATTATATAGATGTAAGTATCTTATGTACATAATCATCATACTGTTATTCAACTTATTAATTTGTTTCGCTCTTTCTGTTCACCTTCCCAACAATTTACTTTTCAATTTTTTTCTCACTTTCTTGATATATTCAAAAATTGAGAAGATCCAAAGTTGACACATTCACTACAATTTATATATGAGAATCAGTTAGTATAAACTATTGCTTCTTATCCAGAATAAAAACATTCTGTTTGTTTCAATCAGCTGACTACTTTATAATGATACTATACAATAACAATCCTAATATAAACTTACATAACCAACTGGGTGACCATCAAGTCCCATAACTCTTTCTGGTATTTTCTTGTTAGATGTTGACCCATGTCCCAGTCTGCCATAGTCACCATTACCAAAAGTAAACAGTTTACCATCGGATGTTACAACAGAACTGTGTTTAAATCCACAGGAAAGCTGCAAAGGAATCAAGGGATATATTTCCAAAGACTACTTCCATTTTTGCATATATTTAACATATGTTGGTGAATATGGGTTATTCTAATTAGATTTTTATAAACATGTTTCTCAAAATCTAATTCTATAATTCGTATCTAAATTATCTGTTATCTAAAAAAAATTTACACCACATCTACATACTAGTAACGAAAAGTATTTAATTTCTCTTGTTATAGCATAAACAATAAATTTATCAACTACCATTTCTTGCCAGTTGAATTCAAAGTTACTCTGGCTGGACTCAGCTACATTTGATTAAAAGTGACCTTAATCTTTTCATCTGCACTATAGATTGTGAAACCTAACAATTGTTATAAAAGACAACTCTTGACAAACTTTAAATTGAACTAGAAAAGTTTATTATTACTTGAACTATTTCTTCCCCTTGTAGAGCCTCAATCTGTCTAGGTCTCCTCTGTCTATCACTATTACCATGACCTAGTTTACCATAATCACCATCTCCCCAGCTGAATACTTCTCCACTTTCTGTCAGAGCCAAACTGTGACCATCTGATCCCACTGAGGAACACAAATTTGTCACCACAAAACCTGAAATAATTTAAAAGACCTACATTAATGATCCTCATTAAAAATCTTATCACTGTACACACCTATCTTGCAAAAAGTAAAATAACAAAAATATCGAACTCCAAGGAAAATTCAAAACGGAAAGTCCCTTATCAAAATGCAAAACCAAAAGTTCAAACATATCAGATGAATGGAAAACAACTGTCATATTCCTGACTTGGTACAGGAATTTCCTTATGTAGAAAATGGTGGATTAAACCTGGTTTTATAGCTAGCTAAACCTCTCACTTGTATGACAGTCATATAGTCATATATAGTAAAACTATCTTCACTGCTTTTTTCCTGAATTTTGTAACATTGTTATATATTCATAAGAGAGAATCAAATTTGACATCTGTGAGACTAAGTAAAATCTACACTTGGAACAACACCTGGAGTATACCATCGTTAATATTCTGGTCAAATGATAAAAGCAGTCCCCTGCTGTCCCCTTCTTCCACAATTGCATATCTCCACCACTTAATGTAAATAAAACTTACCTTGTATGGATGATATAACTGTTAATGTGTGGTGGTCATCTGAGTTACCCTGTCCTAGTCTACCATAACTTCCTTCTCCACAAGCTAACACTGTCCCACTACTTTGTACTACAAAGGTACAGTTCTGTCCACATATAATCTGGAAAATGAAACAAAGTTGATTTTTTAAACACATCTATTTTCATCAAAACAGATGAGGGTGTAAAAATCCTAGGTAAAAGAATGCAAAATCAAATGTGAATATAACCCTAATATTGTGCAGAATCTAAGAATCTAAGACTTTGTTATGACTTGGGTTTTTATTTAAAGCATCCTTAAAGACTTAAATCTGCTTAAGATGAATACATATTATTTTGTTTTTCAAAAATTTGACACATTTCACTGTGCTGACCTCTTTTGTATGTACAAATTATTTCTTTAGAGGTCAAAACATATCTATTGCTATTCATAAGTAAAGTAAGGAATTTTTTCCATTTTTCTTTCTAAATATTTACCTGCTGAGCACAAGAAAATGTTGGTACTTTTGTAGGTACAAAGGAAGCTCTTCCTCCTTCACATATCTGACCATGTCTACCATTACCCCACAGATAGGCCTCACACTTCCCTCCAAGCTGCCAATCTTCTGGTCTCTGCATAGCCCAAACCATTATCTGAGTATCCATATTCAAATCCCATTTCACGTTGTCCTATTTAATATAAAAAATTATTGTCAAATATTTCCAAATCTACACTTATAACATAAAAACATCATCAATACTGAATGATTTGAAACAAAGAAATCATTCTTGGAATAACTGCATCCTAAAGGAAATGTCTCAATTTACAAAATCTTTTATCTAATGAAAAAGGTGATCAATTAAAAAACTTTTAAATATTTTTCAACACTGTTATTTAATGTCATGATTTTAAGGATGTTCAAGATCTGTCACATCATAATCTAGATCTGATGATTTTATTTTAAACAACATTTTCAGTTACTTTTATAAATTTAAGCTATTTCATAAAATTCGTAATAAAGGACAGTATTGAAGTGTAGCAAGTAAAATTTAATCAATTAAACATTTACCAGAATTTCAGGTCTTCTTTCTGTCATTTCTCTGTTTAACAACTTAAAGGATTCTGGGAATTGTGTTCTCTTTGTTAATGCTTCTGTAGATTTTAGAGCAGTTGAAAAAGACAGTAACCATTGCCACTCTGGAACAAGTCTTTCTATATCTACAAATAAAACATTATTCCATCAATTACTCCCCTCAATAAATTGTATATGCAGAATATAAGAGTTTTTCCTTGGAAAATTAAAAAAACTTCTATGGACAAAAGCTTACAAAGGAATTTGGCTCTTTACAATAAAATTAGTGTAAAAGTTCCCGGTCTTTCTCACTTACAAGAAACCTTGATAATCAAACAGTATTTCTGACTACTCTCCCTTCCCTTTTAAATACCATAGCAACAAATATTTAAAGGGGAATGTTAGTAATCTGTTGTCAAGCTAAATTTTGTTATAAGTGCATATCCTTTATGCTATTGTTTTCCAGTGATATTTAAAACTTTACGCCCTTCTCACAGGTCAACCTCATTCTATATATAATAAAATTATACTTTGTTTACTTGTTCTTGTCAAAACTATGTATAATATACTTACCATTGGAACCTATGTAATCCAAATCAACATCAAAATAAACTTCTTAATGGCAAAAAAAAATTATAATTTTTCGAACACAATTTTTTTGCTCTCCACATGGGAAATATGCTCAATAAAAATCATTTTTACTTTGATACACACGAGAAATGTTCATGTCAAAACACTGGATACCAAAAATTGACTTACTGTTCACATTCTGGCAATGGTGAGGGGGAACAGGACTGTAACATAAAGCTTTTTCTAAATTTAGTCCAACTGCTAATACTGCTAGATGCTGTAAGAATGGACTATGAACTAACTGCTGTCCAGATACAACAATTGCCTGAAAATAAGAGCATGTTTATTCTAGATGTAACATTGCAGGGATCCATCTAAGGAAAATTAATCAGAAGACAAATTAAGAATCATTTAACTTAACTGAAGAATATGATTTCATTATTAATCACGATTTGAGAAGTATTTTTTTAAATACATTATATGAGTCAAAAATATTGACAATGGTTTATTCAGTTTCTTTGGTAAACAGACCTAAAACACAGACACACTGTCAGACACTTACAATTATAACATTAACTAACATATTTTGTCACCCCTCCCCATCCCACCCTTATGCTATGTGAAAAACAGAGAACTTTTGATTGTTTAGGAACATCAGGTTCCAAAATATGTTAAAATATCTTGAAAACTTGCCTTTTTGTTTAAATGGATATTATTCCAAATTTGGTGCATTTTGACAATATTCCTTCCAATTATACAACACTTACACTATTAAAAGTATTGGTTTTATACTATATTTGCTTTTTCTAACAAAGTTTTGGATTAAATGGGTGTTGATTGATTGTTGGTTGCTTAACATCCAGTGGTAAATATTTCATGCATGTTCAGGGCGATAAACGGGTGTTGTGGTATTATCAAATTAGCAATTACCCATTTCCTTTAAATTCATAAATACAAAAATTAACAATATTTATTACCTTTTCATGCAAATACTGGTCTTGCAGAATATTTGGAAGACATTGGAGCAGACCTTGAAGACATGGTGCTTGACTCAATCCCACAATGCCTTGCTGTTTAAGTGACTTCCTAGCAATAGCCTGTGCTTTGTATTTTAAGTATGTCTCCGGTAAATAATGTAACAGAACAACATCCTTCAAGTAAATATCAGCACAGACATTATCACTGTTACATTATTATTGGTAGTTATCCGAAAATTACTTTTTTATTTATACACATTTAAGAGTATTCTCATAATTCATTCTTAAATTGTTCCTATGTTATATATAAAGTCTTACTGTACATTCAGAAATTATTGTGTGCATTTATTATTGAGATTTTTGAAGAATGGACAAAATTAAAATGCTAGATTAACTTTTGTGATTTCAGGAAAATCTACATACAGATATATGTATCAGATTTCAGAACGCTGGCTCTAATAGCGATACTCACTCAGTCACATTTTTTTTAATTAATAAAAACATAGCAAGAATTTCTGAATTAACAGTATTTCATTGATTTACCTGATGGCAATTAAAATGTCTATGTACAATTTCATGACATCACATCTATGAATTGATAATTGGTTGAACTAGTTCTGTAACTCTTGAACGGTAAAAGTGACGCCCCCATAATTCAAATTTGATCTGTGTTTTGTGGTAATAAGCATTGTGTATAAGTTTCATATCATTTGCTTGAGACAAATTAAGGTTAGAGAACGGAAACAAAAATTCAGCAATTTTTCCATTTGAAAGGGGCCATAACTCTAAAACGGTAAAAGTGACGCCACCAAAATTCAAACTTGATCTGTGTTTTGTGGTAATTAGCATTGTGTATAAGTTTCATATCATTTGGTTGAGGCAAACTAAAGTTAGAGAACGGAAACAAAAATTCAGCAATTTTTCCATTTGCAAAGGGCATAACTCTAGAACAGTTAAAGTGACGCCACCAAAAATTCAAACTTGATCTGTGTTGTGTAGTAATAAGCATTGTGTATAAGTTTCATATCATTTGGTTGAGGCAAACTAAAGTTAGAGAACGGAAACAAAAAATCAGCAATTTTTCCATTTGAAAGGGGCCATAACTCTATAACGGTAAAAGTGACGCCACCAAAATTCAAACTTGATCTGTGTTTTGTGGTAATAAGTATTGTGTATAAGTTTCATATCATTTGGTTGAGGCAAACTAAAGTTAGAGAACGGGAACGAAAAATTCAGCAATTTTTCCATTTGTGAAGGAGCATAACTCTAGGACGGTAAATGTGACGCCCCCAAAATTCAAACTTGATCTGTGTTTTGTGGTAATAAGCATTGTGTATAAGATTCATAACATTTGGTTGAGGCAAACTAAGTTAGAGAACGGAAACCAATTTTGGGACTCACGAACTTACAGATGTACAGATGAACAAGGGTAAAACTTAATGCCCCCTCCGCTACGGCGGGGGCATAAAAAAATGTAGTGCTCTTACCTATTTGTCTTTTCTAACTTTTAAATGAGTATCATTTCAAGTTTCCTGAAAAAAATGTCTTTGTGTAAAAACATCATATATTACCTTTACTCTATTAAAACAAGCAGCTAATCCAAAATCAGCATACCAGCTAAGATCATTAACGCTGCCATTCTCTATATGGGTTTGCAATAAACAGCCATCCTGTCAAAAAAGTAAATAAATTAAAATGAAATACTACTGTTAATGTATCAAATTTTCGTTTTAAACTATTTTTTATTCACAGCATTTTTTGCTTAGATTAAGAAACAGTTTTAATAAAATTTCAATTCTATAGTTTTTTATGAAGCTTAGTTATAGTTTTCTATGAAGTTTAACAGTAAATGGGATATTTTGTTTCACTAGCAATTATACCATACTTATTTAGAAGAAATCAATTTCCATGGATATAAGAAACATTACTACAACTTACAGGAAGAGACCAAATATTTAACCATCCTCTAGTGCATCCTGATGATAACATCATACCATTAGGACTGAAGGATAGAGCTGTTATTCCTGTAATGTGTCCATACAGTGATACTACAGGTGACAGAGTTATCTCCTCATGACCATCGTATTCTCCATTTTCTGTTTGTTCCTGTCAATACATAAATCATATATAAAGCAGATTATAAAACTAAATGCACATAATTTCTTGACTACTGGTATTAATGTTAACTTGTAACTAGCCACTAGATTAATTCTTATAAATAAAAAAAAAGTCTCTAAAAAAATCAAGTTTCCTTTATTAATTATTTAGCCATTGCAATAAATTTTTTTTTTAAAGAAACCCATAGCACAGCTGACATTGTGATTATTTAAACCATTTTTTAAATGATACAACACGGTATCTATAGAGTTTGGATTTCCTCTGCGAACCTTGAAATAAGTAATTAAAAGTGTATTTTGGTCAACTGACTTTGCAACTAAATTTCAGTGTCAATCTATGTCAACCATAATACAATAGTTTTTCATATCACTATAATTTTCAATATGATATCAGAAATTCTTTTAAAGGACATCTAGTTTAATTAAATCCAACATTTATGTTAGTTAAGTATTTACCTGTCTTCTTCCTCTGAATGGGGAAAGGTTGATGTCACTATTCATTATCTGTTTGACTGCCCAGATATTCACACAACCAATATCACTTCCACTGTAATATATCAATATTTTTTAAACATTATATTTGTGGATATTGATTGAAAGAAAATATCTGCAGCTTCTTCATATTACTGATCAACACTGATTTTCGAACTTGTTCCACACGTCACTTGTATAAACCTTAGATATAAATTTCATAATAATCCTACAAGAAATGTACTCTTTCAGAGTGCTTAGGATGCAAACTTTCAAATGATTTATATTACCAAGTAGCATAACCCTTTAAAAAAAGTTATTTGGCACAGAATTTCAAAATTGTATTGCCATTGCTGATTTAAAGCTTTAAAATAAACTTCATAAAAATATGACAAGGATTGAACACATGAAAGTGCTTACAAGACTGGATGGACGGACATCTGGTATTTCCATGTCCATTCCCCCTATGCATGGGGACAAAAAATATAGTAAATTATCAATTTTTGTGGGTTCCTAATTCTTAGTTCCTTCAAAGTACAATTTAACACAAAAAATTAATCCTGGAATTAATACTTTAAATTACAATGTGAAATACGAATCTGTTAAATTATATGTAACAAAAAGTAAGAAGTTCACATTTGTAGAAAAATTATTTTGATTCCTCTTTTAGTTCATCATAATTATACTTTATCCTCCCAATATTCAATCTGACATTACCTTGCTAACATGAGCTGTTTACTATCTCCCTTGCCAAGCATATTACACCATTCCAATGTTCCTGCAGGAGTAGTATGGGGAAGTACATACAACAATATTAACCCCTCCCTTTGTGGAAACCATAGTTTGATATTCAGGTCACCATCAGCACATGTTGCAAGAATGTGACCAGTGGGATCCCACTTCAGACTGGATATGGAACTCTATAATAGCAATATCAAAACGTAACTTTTAACACATGCAAGATAAAGAAAAACTGTATACAAAATTATTTTTATGTCCTTTCTAGTTGACTTCGAGGCAATTTTTTTCATTTTTTTTCTAATTTTCTTTATGAATTTATATAAGACCTGAGTGTTACATATTCACAATGATCTATATTCAAATTTTTTCTCATGAAAATTAGTTGGTTTACAGTACCACTGCAATATTTTTACTTAATCATATTAACTAGAATCAATACTTGTATTTTAATCAATTATATCCTATAATTTTGAATCTTATCAAGTTTACTATTCTAAAAGTGGAAGTTCATTCAGTACTGCAGTAAATACATGATGAACTTTGGACTCATATACATATGACCTATGCTCTACTGACCTGATGAGCCTCTGTTGTCACAGGCTGCTCTATATCTAGCTTACTGCAAAGGGAGACTACTCCATCACTGTAGGCAACAGCAAAATTTTTATCCTCATCAAACCAGGCTAGTTTTGTGACTGACACTATAATATTTAATAAAATAAATAATAAAAATAAATGGCTTAAGGCAGTAATTCAAGTTAACATAAATTACAATTTACAGTTTATTCTTGATTTTAAATAATTTCCTGTTCAGTTTAAAGTTATAACAAAAATAAAATTACTTCGTATTTGAAATTCATTTCATTTTATTTCTTTACCAAAGATTATCTACTTTCTCTTACAAAATGCATTTTTTACATTCCTGATAATTCTGTACCTACATAATACTTGATATAAAAGAATTTTAAAAATGTTAATATCCTACCATTTCTTCTATAGCACTGTTCTAATTCTTGTCTTCTAAAGCTACTGGTATCCAGAATATCTATATAAGCTAAGGAGCCGTCTAGACGCCCAACTAATAAACTGTCTGTGGTTAAACCAAGACAGCCTCCAATGACACCTTTATGTTGAGGCCATGCCAGGGCAGTCACCCAGTGTGGTTGTACATCTAAATATCCTCGTCCACCTTAAAAAAAAAATTAGAGATAAATACAAAATAAACAAGAAAGTGTCCATAGTACACGGATGCCCCACTCGCACTATCATTTTCTATGTTCAGTGGACCGTGAAATTGGGATCAAAACTCTAATTTGGCATTTAAATTAAAAAGATCATATCATAGGGAACATATGTACTAAGTTTCAAGTTGATTGGACTTCAACTTCATCAAAAACTACCTTGACCAAAAACTTTAACCTGAAGCGGGATAGAAAAACGGACGGCATACCTACGAACGGACGAATGAACAGACGAACGAATGGACGCACAGACCGAAAAACATAATGCCCCTAGGTGGGGCATAAAAATTTTCAAAGTAGAATATTCATTTTCATTTCAAAATATACTGTAAAATGATTTATCTAGATCCTTAATATTTTTAAAGTATGACAATCATGCAGATGTATACATTTGGAACTCCCTTAAGTGACCTGACCTGCTATTCTGTTTAGACCTGTTTCATCTTGATACTCCCTACATTTGATATTTTTGACTCTCCAAACTTTTGGTTTCAAGCAAACTAGATCAGGTTATTCCAGAAACAATTACTCATGCTCACAAAAATTGATATCATACACATCACAGAACTACATAACATACAATTTTTGCTGAGTGAACTGTCCCACTGAATAAAAACAATAGCTATTGTTCTCTGTGGAGTTCATTCAATGGGAATTATAAATTTCTCCTTGAAAATAAAAACAGTAATTCATTTGGCTATATAGAAAATAAACTCCTTGTGAAGAAAATTAAAATTTAAATAGCCATGGGGAAAGGTTTTTATTTCCTTTGCAATAATAAAATATAAAATAAGAGGTTTAAAATGAGATTTGGTGTTAAAAGATTTTTTTAAAGTTTCATGGAAATCTAGTTACTGGAATGAAACTATTAAAGAACAATACAATCAAGAGATACAAAATAATTACCTCCAGTAGTCCAGATATTGACTAAACTATCCATAGACCCAGCTAGTAACTTTCCAGTACTGCTCCAGCCGACATTATCTAGTAAATGACCATCTAAATCTTCCCCAGATATATCCTCCCCTCTGTTGAATATGCAGGTGTGTTGTAAAAACTGATGGATTCTGTTTGGCAAGTTCCAAAATCTTACAGTTCCATCATATCCACTGGAAATATAAAATTACATACCATATTCAAAATCAAAATAAAGACATAAAACATGTACACATTTTTACATTTATATGGTACATAATAAAATATTTTCCTAGCAAACTCTCAATAGTTGTATACAAGTCTATTACATGTACTTCCTTCTTTTAACTGATTGCTCAATATCATATGATAAATTTTTCATAAAGTTTAAACAATTTTGCATTCTTATACGACTATCCAAACTCAGGAGCTGGTTGAACAATGGTTGTCGTTTTTTCATGTCTGTCATATTTGTTTTTTCGTAAATTGTTTTGTTATAAATTAGGCCGATACTTTTCTCGTTTAAATTGTGTCACATTTTTCATGTCAGGTTGACAATACAGTATGGGTTTTCTCATTGTAGAGGGCCGTACGGTGGCCTATAATTAATAACTACCACTTCATTTTATCTCTGGGGGATAGTTGTCTCATTGGCAATCAAACCATATCTACTTATTTCTAAACTATGTCTCAATACTATGGGTGTGAGTGTTTAACTCTATCTATACCATAAGAATTTAAAAAGAAAGGTGAAAAAAAAACAATACTATTATTTCCTGATAATGTAAAGATTCTGGATACAATCAACTTTATGTACACATTGAAATTACTACCTTGTAGCTAACAGATTCTTCTTGTTACTCCATTTACAAATAGCCAGTCTGTTTTGGTGAGCTTCCAATTTTGACACCTGACAATGTGGGAGGTCTCCACCAAGATCAGCCTGATTCTCCAGTCCCTGGGGGATGATCACCTGTGTAGATAGGGATTGTAGGAGATGTTTGGCAGCCCATTGTTTATGATGAGCTAATAATTTTGTTGATAATATACATGCTGATAAAGCATTAATAAGCTGAAGAGGTGATACATCATCTGATGTTGGGAAGTTAGATGTTGGACTAGGTGGTAGTGACCCTGCTTCTGGTGAAGGAGGGGCATCTGTAACAAAATAGATATTTTTTTCAAAATAAGTATACACTACATTTTATAGTAAACTGATAGAGCAAAACTATGAAGTTTTATGACAATTTTATGACATATATTATGTTAAAGTATATATATCAAAAGTGTTATTAATTGGAATTCTCAAGAAAAAAGCAAACACTTTAAACTGTGATAAAAAGCTATTAAATCAATGTATGGGTGTTTATCTCTGAAATAACCCCTTAATAACCCAATATATTGATTTCACTATGCTCCTGTCTGCAAAAATGTTTTAAATTTAAAATTTAGATTTCAAATCTGTGTATAACTGATAAATCAGTAAATCAGGAAGGTGATTGAGTGCTCACAAACATGTTAAACCCTAACACATTCTTCATATGCCTGTTCCAAGCAAGAGATCTGTTATCCATTTGTTGTGGTTGGTTGCTGTCTGCCATAATAGTTTGTCGTGCATTGTAGTATAAATCAGGCCATTGGTTTTCTATTTTGAATTGTTGTCCAGAATTTTATCATTTAAGCATTTAATAGCTTACTATACAGTATGAGTTTTGCTAATTGTTAACAGCCTAACTGTGACCTGTAATGTTTACATCTATGTCCTTATTTTTATTATACTTGGGTACTGGATTATTTGAAAAATTAACAAGAGATCTTAACAAAAAAATCTCAACAATAGCCTAGAAAATTCTCTTTATTCAATTATACTACTTGATTCATGTTATCAATGCAAAGGAAAGCCTACAGGAAAATAAACAAATAAGCTGTACTGCTTTCATTTTTTCTCCTTTTTTCCTTTCTCTTTGCGTAAATACAAACACTGCAAATGAAAAATTTTAATGTCTCTCATTCCATGCTGTTCCTATTCATATGCAAAACACTACAACTTTAAATGTCTTCATGAGCATACCTCTTAATAATCTTGCTCCAGAAAGGGACCTGACCATTTTTGATGTCCATCCTTTCTGTGTAAGAAGTGAAACCAATGCCTGAGTTACAGCAAATGTTGAAGATTCTGTGACTTTTGTCAATACTTTGGACTTCTTCCTCACAATCATATCACTCTTAGAAGAGACACCCATGGCTGCACCAAGTAATTCCTATGAACATACAATATAGTTTGAAAACATTACAATGTTTACGAGATATTCTGACTGCACAGATGATCAAAATAAATATTTAAACTTTTTCCATTTGTACATCCAAACCTTATACATGTACTTTCACATATGAAAAACAATCTTTTAAATTTGATTTGTATCTCTTTAATTTATAGTAAATGTATATTTTTCCCACATGTTTTCCCCCTAATTTTATGATCAACATCTGAATATGTTGTTCTAAGGTCATCATTGATCAAACTTCAATTATGCCATACAATTTAGAAACAACATATTTTTGGCAGATGAAGAGATAAGAATGTCAAAATCTACCATGATTGCAAATATCATTAGATATAGGTGTGTTGGTACAACATGAATGCCATCACCGCCTGCCAAATACAATTTTCAAACAGTTTTCTAAGACTATAAAGTCTTTTTAGATAAGAAGGTAATTCCAAATCAAAATACATACATGATCTGTAACTCTTATATATATATGTGTAAACCCTAAAGCAGCCTAAAACTACAGAATCTTTGTTTATAACTGTTGAAAATTAAGAGACAGAGAGACCTGGGTAACACTATATGCACAGCCACTAAGTGTTGGAGGCATAGCAATAAATCCAACAACATCATCTTAGGTGAAACAGCACTTTTCGTAACAATTAAAGACTTTTCTTCAAATATTTAAGACATACAAAATTGTTATCTTTATCTATCATGTAAAATGCAGTTTTTGTAGGCGTGCAGACATAAAATACAGCAATTTATATAGGTAAATAATCAGGATGATTCATGACTGTTGTGAACAGATGACGGTTGGATCATGTCTGACTGTTTGTTTCTAATAAATCACAGCAAAATGTCATACCTGTGTGCAAAGCTGAATCAACTGCTTCAATGCTGAAGTATTTTCCTGTACTAATGCTCCAATGCTAGTAGTCAAGTGTGACAAACTCTCATTAGCATCTCTTGGGGAGGACAGGTTTGATGTATACATTATTTTTCCTGTGGCACACAAACACATCATCTGTACAATCAACATAACATCAGATAGACCAATGTTCTCTAGGGCAGCTGGCAAACTACAGGAAGGACCACTAGAATGGAAAAAAATACACTTGAACAATCAACATAAAACCAGACAGACCCAATGTTCTCCAGGGCAGCTGGTAATCTACAGGAAGGACCACAAGAATGTAAAACATAACAATTTTACAATCAACATAGCATCAGGCAGACCAATATTGTTGTTGTTTTGATATCAAGCAACCAGAAACATTATTTATAAAACATGGCTTATTCTATACTCATTTTCACTTTTGTCAGTTTCTTTTATAACTATATTATCCTCCAAGAAATAGGAACACCAGTTGGCAAGATTTCCAATATTGGTGTGGAAAAAAAACATAAATAGAAACCATAAAGAGCTTTCTTAAATTGAATATTGCATTACATCAAATTCTAGTGCCTTAAAAAAATGTTCCACACATAATTATGTTATAGCTATATCCTATGGAGTAGTGACTTTATTTCACTGCAAACATATATTCTTACCTGCCTGCCAATACAGACAGTACTTTAACAACCATACTCCTGGCTAGCATAACCATCATAGATGATGTTACCCTTTTCAGGGCTATCTGTCTGTCTACAGAGTTCTTTATATTGGCTGCCTGCTCTGCTAACGGTTTCTGTCTAATGTCAAGTCTACTTGGTTTCTTGGGAGTAGCTAATTAATACAATATTACTGTATAAATTCTTATGAATATAAAGCTATGGATATGCGATAAAATTCTTATGTATATATATGGAAACACCTTTATGTTTGCAGAGTTTTATAAAAACATTACCAAAATAATGTTTCATTTACTTTATTGAAAGAAAAGAAGAAATGTATCAATCACAAATGAAAACTGATCCCATTGCCCAATACCCTAATACAAGACTTTTAAAGAGGCACTAGCTGTCAAATTCATGTTAACCGATTTAACTCAAATTCTAATATTTGATTTGTAATAATGTAAAACATTTATCCAAAGTATAAAAAGTCTAAAATAAACAATTTACAGGGCATGGGCTCAAGAATATGTAACTTCGTTTCGTGTGTATTTTAGTCTAGACGCCATCTAATTAACTATCGCGTTGACCTCCGAAAACCTCCAATGGTCATATAAGCGATATAAACATAAATATAGATATAAATAGAAAGTGGACTCGTGCACTTGGATTTTTCTAGGTCTGTTTAATTTCATATTATAGATTAAAAATATATGTTAATCATCGTTTTTACCTGTATTAGAATGATGTTTTGTGGATTTACCTTTGTTTCACTTTCAATGTTGACATTCTTTTCCTTTAAATAACTCAACATGCACAATGCATGCATTTTTATCTCTAGCTAAGGGGTTAAATTGAAGTTCACATGAATACGGATTGAATGAGGTTGAATTATTCACTTGCAAGTGAATAATTCATCATCAATGTTTCTTAGCTTATTTTGAAAAAATTGAACCATATTGGATGCTTAAAGCAAATTATTATTTCACTATTTCACTTTCATTAATGATTGAACAAAAAAAAAATCAGCCTTTCATCTATAAAATGTATTCATGTGTTCAGTGACAAAAAATTATTTTCTATACAAAAGGTTGCAAAAATCCGAACCTTAATTAAAATTGCATGAACAAATAATCAACAAAAAGATACAATACAATACCTATCCTAAATCCTTTAGGTTAAAGGACAATATATTTTATTTCTGCTGAAGTTAGCCAATTGTATTTTGTTAAAACAGAAACAATTTTGATAATAGTCTATGTGATATCAGATAACACATTTGTGCTTTAATATAGTTTAACCTTACTTAATGATTCAATAGCAGTAGTGGCATTAGTTTTAGAATTGAGCATCAGTTTGGAACCCAGTGGATCATTCTCAGTAAATCTGATAGGATCTGGTGCTGGTTTCCTGTCTGTCAGTCCTAGTCTGCTCATCACATTGTCATATCCACTCATAGATGCATTGTGATGTTCATTGAATGGAAAAGGAGTATCTAAAATATAATAAGTGTTATACATTTCAATGTGTAACATTAATTATGACTTTTTTTAGTGTGAAATGTAGATCTGACAAATTTTTCCATGTAATGTTCGAAAAATATCCTACTTTAAAACCTGCTATAAATGTTTTCACATATTCAATATGAAATGACCAATAAGATGGAGTAAAAAAGCTTACCATAGCCCTGATCTATTATGTCCAGAAGGTCTGGTGCCCTATTAGCTTGGACACTAGAATAAGCATGTTTATCCGTCGGTGGTTTGGTTTGGGAACGTGATGGCTGATCATTATGTCCACTAGCTTGCATATATCTATCACGACAGTTCTGACACATCAGGAAAAATGGATTCCCAAATCCACACACTCCACCAAACCATCCATCCACATAAACGCCATTGCTTCTGTATCCATGGTTGCCACAGCTTCCTGTTAAAAAATTAAAACAGTTAATACATTAATAAATATTGCACACTGAAATTTCTACTTTTTTCATGTAATTCAGAACAGGAAAGTACTACTGCCAGTGGGGTTCTAACTTGATTGCAATTCATGATTTTCTCAAACCATGAAAATTCAATAAAATTATTTGTTATGTACTAAAATACACCCACATATTAAAAAAACTTACATTTTTCTGGCTTGCTCTCTTCAGCTGTAGTAATCCAGGTGAACATTTCATTTTTATTGTTATGTCTATTTATAATCATTTTTTTTTTAGACAAATGCAATTTATACAAGTAAAATAAATTCCAGTAATTCACTGTCGAATGAATCTTTGCTGTTATAAAAATATGACGACTTGTGTCAGAAAAACTGTGGGAAAAGTATGAATGCTCTGTATATCCATGCTTTATTCAGCAATACTGATATATGATTATGATAGTCCAAAGGAAAAAATAACAAGTGAAACTGCAAGCTACTGCTCACGGATGATACCCCCGCCCAAATATTTCGGTAAACAGGAAGTTGTTGAGTGATGAATCTGAAAACACATCACATGGTATAGCTGGCTTATATAAACCCTGAAACCAAATTTCAAAAATCCTTATGATGTAGTTCCTGAGAAAGATGCGACGAAAAATATTCATGGGATGGATGGACGGACTGACGGATAGACGGATCGGACAGACAGAGGTAAAACAGTATACCCCCAGTGTTTTAAAGCGGGGGTATAAAAATACAATTTAAAAAAAAATATGTAATCAAGTTTAATGAGATGTAAATAATGTAGATATATACCTCCACAACCAGGATGTTCTAATCTCATGTGTCTATTAAAGTTCACAGTCTCTTGTCCACATAATTCACATGTGATGGTACTCTGTTCCTCAATCTCTCTTCTCTGGAAAACAGAAAATAAGGTTTTAATTAGAATTTTTAAATGGAAAATGTGTCCCCATGGACACAGATGATGCCCCCGCTTGCATACAACATTATAAAGGGACATAACTCAAGAACAATAAAAGTGATGCTACCCAAATTTGTACTTGATCTTAGTTTTGTGATAATAAGTATTGTGTATAGGTTTCATGTTTGGTTGGGGCAAACTTAAGTTACAGAACGAAAACTGATCTGTGTTTTATCAGTGGAAGGCAAAATTAAACATTGCATTGTATAAAGCATTGATTGTAGTTGATTCAACTATAATCATGGACAAAGGAAGATAACTCCAATTTAAAAAATTACTTGAACAATGACATCATTGATATTTTTAGAAAAAAAAATGAAAAATATAGCAATTTTTCCATTTGTAAAGGGGCATAACTCTAGAACAGTAAAAAATGACTCCAACAAAATTCAAACTTGATCTGTGTATTGTGGTAATAAGCACTGTGTATAAGTTTCATAACATTGGGTTGAGGCAAACTTAAGTTAGAGAACGGAAACCAATTTTGGGACGTATGGACGTACGTACGTACGGACAGACGGATAAGGGTAAAACTTAATGCCCCCTACGCTTCGGCGGGGGCATAAAAAATACAGCAAACATTTGAAATTAATTATTTAGTACTTGGTAGTTTAAAATACAAACATTGTAATGAGGGTAATTTGTTTATCTAATTTTCCCACCTCCTCCATTAAAACAATTTAAAGTGGAGTTGAAATATGATGCATTAGAAATTGTAAGTAGAATTTGGAATAGTTTAATTTTTTAAAACAGTAAGACTATCAAAATATATACCAGAACACTGAAGGGGACCATATATTAGGAACTTTTACCTTGTTTCAGTTACTTCACTGCAATAATAATAACATTAAAGAACAACTAAAAGATTTAAAGGTCCTATGCATAACAAAATTTTGAATGGTTTCAGTTATTTCACAGCAAATGTATAATAAATAATTACTAAAACATTGAAGAGGTCCCACGTATCTAGAGCCTCTGGTTCCATATCAAACAAATCACTGGTATCATGATCTCTGTATAGCTCTTCCTGCAGATCTAAAATGTCATCATACAGTCCTACCAGTGACATGGCTTCATTAGAGGTGTCTAGACTATCTGGTCTCTCCAGAAAGTCTGAGAAAGATACAGCCTCATTTGAAGGAAATGGTGGTTCAGATCTTTGTGCCTCTCTTTCATTATCTGGAAAGAAAATTTACACCTTAAACATTCATCTGAAAACCTGTTTTCTTGCATGTGGTGAATCTTTTTTTTTTTAGGTTGAAGATCTAGAGCTTTTTAAAACATAAATGCATCAGGTGTAAAATTAAAATTGCCAAAGTTAAACTGGGGTTAACAAAAAATGAATAACACCATTTCAAAGAGCAAAATTGATTTCATATTTTAGGCTTATTACAGGCACATTCAAAGCAAAAATTGCTGTCAGAGATAACCTGACTTCATATTCTTTATTTCATCAAGCTGGAGACATAATAATCATATGTATAACTTACGAATATTTGACAGAAAACTTCTGATATCTACATGTCTAGTCCTTGTTAGAGGTCTTGGACGTCTAGTAAATAAAGAGCTTCTAGATTCTTCTTCCTGGTTTGTTTCATCTGAAGCACTCATCAAACCATCAATTGACATGGACCTTCTACCAATCTGTCTACTAAAAATAACATATAACAATACAGAATCATAACTATGTATGGAATAAACAAGTCCTTTAACACATGAAAATACAAAAAGAGAAGTGTTTCTTGTATGGAACTAAATGTACTGACTAAAATTTAAGTTGTTTATTTTTTCCACAGTTTATAATTGGCCATTTCAAAGGCCAAATTGGTTCTTAAGCTTTTATTTTTTTCATTTTTCAAATTTACACAAGGGGATATTTTTGTGATTTTATTCAATCTTGAAATTAGCAAAAAATTAAATCTTGCACAAATTTTTCACCTTGCAGCATAAGAAAGATATCAATTATGGATATTTTTTCAATAAAACAAAAAAAATATTAAATCAATATTCATATACTTTAATTCATCACAGGTGGCATATCTATTCTTATTAATAAACTCATCGCAGATACCAGGATTAAAATTTTGTACGCCAGACGCATGTTTCGTCTACAAAAGACTTATCAATGACAATTGAATCAAATAAATGGGGAATGTGTCCATGACACACAGATGATGCCCTAGCTTGCATACAACGTTATCAAGGGACATAACTCAAGAGCAGTAAAAGTGACACTACCCAAATTAGTATTTGATCTGAGTTTTGTGGTAATAAGCATTGTGTATAAGTTTCATAACATTTGGTTGATGCAAACTAAAGTTAGAGAACAGAAATGAAAAATTCAGAAATCTTTCCATTTGTAAAGGAGCATAACTCTGGAATGGTAAAAGTGAAGCCACCAAAATTCAAACTTGATCTGAGTTTTGTGGTAATAAGCATTCTGTATAAGTTTCATAACATTTGGTTGAGGCAAACTTAAGGATGTACTTAGGTGAGGTTTAGGAATTTGTGTCAAATTTTTTTCCTACAATACAGGGTAAAATATTTTGCCCCACAACATCCATTTTTCTTTTCATATAAGACTTCAATAGCCCATAAAAAATCATTTACCAAAATTTAATAAGATTCTTGATTTCTTTTCTTGCGAGTCCGAGTCAGCCTTTTCCCACCATTTTTAAACTCAAATTCACGAAAAGGATCTCCATAACCAATCAATATTTTTAGCTTATTTTGTTCCTTAACTAATGCTCTCCTGACTTAAAGTATCAATTTTAAATTCTAGATTTTTTTAATTTCACCTAAGTACATCCTTTAGATAGAGAACGGAAACAAAAAATTCAGCAATTTTTTCATTTGAAAAGGGAATAACTCTAGAATGGTAAAAGTGATGCCACCAAAATTCAAACTTGATCTGTGTTTTGTGGTAAAAGCATTGTGTATAAGTTTCATAACATTTGGTTGAGGCAAACTTAAGTTAGAGAATTGAAACGAAAAATTCAGTAATTTTTCCATTTGTAAAGGGGCATAACTCTAAAACAGTATAAGTGATGCCACCAAAATTCAAACTTGATCTTTGTTTTGTGGTAATAAGCATTGTGTATAAGTTGTATAACATTTGGTAGAGGCAAACTAAAGTTAGAGAATGGAAACCAATTTCAGGACCTACGGACGTACAGACGGACAAGGGTAAAACTTAATGCCCCCTATCTATTCCTGAAGTAAAAAAATCCTTAGTATTTCGAAAACTTTCATAAAAATATATCCAACATACATTAATTTTGATGTAACAGATATTCCCTTTCAGAAATAATAACTTTAGTAATGTTTGAAACCAAAACATTTGGGTTTCTAGTCATTTCTTTCCCAGTATCTAAGTTAACGTTAAAGGTGTACTAGAAAGTGGCAAAACTGAAAGTAATGTAATATTCTTAGACTATCATAAATGCAGAGATCAAATGGATTTCCTCTCTTTTTTAAAAACTAGGCAAAATATTCTTATCCATTATGTACTAGTAATTATCTAAATACCTCTGCCTAGTTGACTCAGTAGCAGATTCCTGTACTGGACTGTCCATCCTTATTCTGATTTCAGATCTATAATTAGGTTTACTCAGATCTTCACTACTATCCTCCTGATTAGGGTGTTCTAGTATCCACATGGCTACAGTATTAATACCTGATAGTGACACTTCAGATGGATTCACACCTAAAAGTCATAATCATTTTCATTTATTAGGGACCCATTTAATATTCGTTTATATATTTTTCATATAGTTTTGTTGGTTCTGTATTACCAATACATATAGTGTATATGGCATTAAAACTGCTGCAAAAGGATTTGAAATTGCCACAACTAGTTATGAATGACATTTATAAGACAGGTGCATTTTATGATTTTCATTTTCTAGTATTTGTGTAGTCTTAACCAGGGCTTCCAAAAAATATTTGAGCCAGCCGGACATTTTATATCTTATCCCGATTTTAATCTCTTAAGACTAAGTCACAAAAGGCAATTATGGTAATCAGATTGCCATCCCAATGATTGACATTAGATTAAAAAAAAAACGATATTAAACTTTACTTTGATGTGAATTTGATGTTCGGACGTAAACTGTTAAATTGGCAGTGCATAATTCGAAGTGTGCACATCAGTGTGCTCATAACTGCCTTAGACTCTTTATTTGTGCAAAATTACGTTGTCAAAAACTTTACTTTCGTTTTTAAAATCACGTTTTCCTAATACCGGATGTTGACCTGACAATGGTAAAACATGGACCAGAAACGGATACGTAAAATCCGTGTACGTTTACAAAGCACGACTGAATGAAGAAGCTCTTTCCACGTTATTTCTGCAACAAAATACTTGAAATGAACGTTAGATACAGGTATCAATGATAATTTTTATCATTTTTTAAGAAATGAAGGATGCATAATATTAAATTTCCCTACTGCGCACATGCGCACACGTGTTCTAGTTCATAAAACGTAGTTCTTACGATTTTTCATTTAAAACCTTTTTAAATTTTTCATCAAATCATGTTTATAAACGTATTTCTTATAATTTCAATCTTTTGGACTAAATCAATTAGATAGAAACCGCCGAAATGTAAGAAATTAACTTTGAATAGACCGATCAATTTATACGATGTCCGGTACTGGAAATAGTTTACCTGTCACCTGAACAGGTAGATTTCAGCTGTCCAAAAACTAATTAGCCTTGATTAAAATTAGAAAGTATTGAAGTAGGGGTTGTTTTGATAGTAATTAATCATCATGTCACTTTTATGACCGGAAATGTGTGGCTGTTAAAGGCAAAAGGTTGGGTCAAAAAGATCGCGAATTATGCTAAAATGACCGTCTCTTAAGAAAGCCTTGACAACTAAAAAGTAGATGACCGTTTCATGCTTTGCCCAGCCGGACTTTTACCGGACATTATACAATTGTCCGGAATATATGACCGTTTTGGAAGCCTTGGTCTTAACTGCTGTAAATTCATTTATATTTCGTTTTCTTTAATTACAGTGGATGGACAAAAAATTTCACGAGTACCTATTATTTTCAGGGTTTTGTCATTTTGTCATATCAAAGTAACTTTTTTCATACTGTTAACTATTAATTATACAAACCTGTTTTAGTAATAGCCTTTTTAATAGACGGCATAGTGAATCCCATTTCCAGGAGAGGGGTGGCTATGGGTGGTGGAGGGGGAGATGGAGATCTTGTCCTGATTGGTGGGTGTGGTGGCCTCCTCTGAGGAGGTGGAGCTGTCCTCAAAGGAGGGGCTTGTGGTGGTACTTGTATGTTATTTGATGCTCTTGTTGATATGATGCCTGCTGGATGTCGTTCTCGTCTTGTTCTCCTGCTGAACAGGTTTCTTGATAATGTACCAGCATTTTCTTGTCTGTGAATATACCATTATTGTTCAAAATACTATGTTACAATCACATATCTTCAAGGTTCTACAGAGCACCTGTTTAATACACTTCATGTTTCCTTAAACTTATGGTCATGGGATATCTTTGTAAAAATGAAAACTTTTAACACAAAAATAAAGGATTTCTTTTTTAGTATGAAGATAAGAGAGTTTCAGCCAACCAAGATATTACTGTCACCTTATCAGTGTGAAACATCTAATAAACTTGGCTATTTGGAACTCTATCTCAAGTCAAGGCACTCCGCTAAATAAGTAAATAACCATACCCTCGTCTCAAGTATTTAAGGATAGATGTCTGTGAATTGCCATTATTTCTGGTGTCTTCATTCTCTCCTGAGATCATCTCCTCTGCTCTGTTAGCTAAGTCTGTTGTAGAACTTTTAGTTGAAGGAGGATTATCGTTTATTATCTGTTCTGGTTTAATTTCTAGTTCTTCTATTGATTTTGACAATAATGTTACTTTGGCTGAAAAAAAGATCAAGATTCAAAATGAAATATTCAGTTTAATCCTAAAATACTTGAACAGCCATACAGATATAAAAAAAGTGTTTAAAAAAAAAGGTTCAAAAAGTTTTATCTTGCTATCAGCTATTCTACCAAGAATATATTGCCTTAGAAACACCCAATTTTTGTATAAAAGCTTTATGTAGTCTTAATTATCATGCAATGTCCATTTTAGCATTGTATCATTTCACAAAGTACCATCTAGATGCGACCCTGCAGCACATAAATAGCAGTGATTGCTTCTGCATATGTTTATTTGTGTTTGTTTTTCATCTATCTATATAGATGGGATCAAGAAGGTTATATTCAATTTTTATTCCTTGAAGGCACTATTGTTCTTGCAATTCTTGCCAAGTGCATCTACAAATTACAATACCTTGTGTATTTTTCTTTCAGTTAAACTCTTACTGTGACTTTAAAGATAATGTGTTGTGTTTTAAGAGATGCAGTTACTAGAAAAAAACCAGGAAAATCCTTTTTATATGTCCTGCTTCTTGCCTAAATATTGTGTTTTCTTTCTCTCTCTCTCTGTCCCTTACTCACCATGTAAATCCCCAATACAAGACTCCTCCTCTGCTGTACAAGTTATTAATGATCTGTACAGTACCGTTTGGGCTCTCTCTAGCTCTGCCAAGGAAAATACTTTGTTAAGTAAGGAGGTACACAAGGCAACTTTCACCATCTTCTTCATTAACATCCTCAGCACGGTCTTCATATCTTCATTCCGTCTAACTACAGTGCCATCAATTAATGCCTTGTTACTATCAGCAGCCAGATCTGACTTTGGAACCAACAACATTTCTGAGAACTTGTTTGTCCAGATAATATTATTTAATGCCTTAAGAGCACTGACTTGAACAAAAGATGCTTGGAACTCCTTTTTTTCTGATATTTCAGATTCTAATGAGTCACAGCTCTCTGATAAATCCTCTGGCTCCAAAGGTGGCTGTATTTCTGGTTCCTCTATAGGGTGTGTTTGTTCAACAGATTCTCTTACTTCTGGTGGAGACACTGCAGGTAATTTATGGGAGTAAGAGGCAGATTCCTGCTCCCTCTCCTCATCCACTGAACTTTCCTCTCTGGGAGAAGACACAGAAGAAGCAATACTACAGTCCTCCAGTTCTAATGTCTCCAGTGAAACCAAAGGTGCTTTCCTTTTATCAGCATTATGATCTTCTTTACCTTCTTCCAATTCCTGTTCTATTACCCTGGCTATGTCTTCGTCTAGTTTCTTCATCAATGCATCTGTTGCTGCCTTCTCTTCTTCTTTTGTCTTTGAATCTTTTTCTGCTGTTGTCTGAGTATTAACATCCTTAGTTGGTTTTCCTGTTTGGTTACTTGGGAGGGATAACAGTTTTACTATTGCACCCAAGTGAACAGCTGTGAAACCAGCTAAATGATTGGCATCAAACAGAACTGGATCAACTGGTTTCAGCTTGCTTATTAGAACATCACTAAAAATAAAACAAAAGAAAATCTTACTTTTATGTCAAAAACATTTATATTTCAATAGAAGATCAAACTTTGAAAATTAAAAATCATGAGTGAATCATCAATATTGTTCAGTCAGGAGTTCAAACTTTGTTCCTATTTGCATTTTGGATTAACAATTGGAAAAAGTGTTATTTTCTAACCTATTATCTTGTTTACATTAGAAATATGTGTGAACTATTTATATCTACTGACATACTTTTGAAACTTTTAACATTTACAAATGTATAGAAAAAATCTCAACTAAAAAAACTAGAGGCTCTCAAGAGCCTGTGTCGCTCACCTGTATTTACTGATGCTTTAGAAATCATGTAAAATAAGGTTAAAATCATAATTAATAGTATTAGATATTAGATATTATAATGATATCTAAGATAATAACAAAAAACAGCAAAATTTCCTTAAAATTACCAATTCAGGGGCAGCAACCCAACAACAGGTTGTCAGATTTGTCTGAAAATTTCAGGGCAGATAGATCTTGACCTGATAATCAGTTTTAGTCAGATTTCCTCTAAATGCTTTGGTTTCAGAGATATAAGCCAAGCCAAAATCTACATTTTACCCCTATGTTCTATTTTTAGCCATGGCGGCCATCTTGGTTGGTTGGTGGGGTCATCGGACAAATTTTTTAAACTAAATACCCTAATAATGATTATGGCCAAGTATGGTTAAATTTGTATCAGTAGTTACAGAGAAGAAGATTTTTGTAAAAGATTACAAAAATTTACGAAAAATTGTTAAAAATGGATTATTAAGGGCAATAACTCCTAAAGGGGTCGACTGACAATTTTGGTTATGACAACTTATTTGTAGATCTTACTTTGCTGAACATTATTGCTGTTTACAGTTTATCTCTATCTATAATAATATTCAAGATAATATCCAAAAACTGCAAAATTTCCTTAAAATTACCAATTCAGGGGCAGCAACCCAACAACAGGTTGTCAGATTTGTCTGAAAATTTCAGGGCAGATAGATCTTGACCTGATAATCAGTTTTACCCTATGTCAGATTTCCTCTAAATGCTTTGGTTTCAGAGATATAAGCCAAAACCACATTTTACCCCTATGTTCTATTTTTAGCCATGGCGGCCATCTTGGTTGGTTGGCGGGGTCATCGGACAAATTTTTTAAACTAAATACCCTAATAATGATTATGGCCAAGTATGGTTAAATTTGTATCAGTAGTTACAGAGAAGAAGATTTTTGTAAAAGATTACAAAAATTTACGAAAAATTGTTAAAAATGGATTATTAAGGGCAATAACTCCTAAAGGGGTCGACTGACAATTTTGGTTATGACAACTTATTTGTAGATCTTACTTTGCTGAACATTATTGCTGTTTACAGTTTATCTCTATCTATAATAATATTCAAGATAATATCCAAAAACTGCAAAATTTCCTTAAAATTACCAATTCAGGGGCAGCAACCCAACAACAGGTTGTCAGATTTGTCTGAAAATTTCAGGGCAGATAGATCTTGACCTGATAATCAGTTTTACCCTGTCAGATTTCCTCTAAATGCTTTGGTTTCAGAGATATAAGCCAAAATCTACATTTTACCCCTATGTTCTATTTTTAGCCATGGCGGCCATCTTGGTTGGTTGGCGGGGTCATCGGACACATTTTTTTAAACTAGATACCCTAATGATGATTGTGGCCAAGTTTGGTTAAATTTGGCCCAGTGGTTTCAGAGGAGAAGATTTTTGTAAAAAGCTAACGACAACGACGACGACGGACGACGGACGACAGACGCCAAGTGATGAGAAAAGCTCACTTGACCCTTCGGGTCAGGTGAGCTAATAATATAAACTCTAAATATCATGTTAAAGAGAAGCAATATCCCTTTGGGGCCATATGCTTCATAACTTAAGATTTATCAAATTATAAAAAAATATATACAGACAGGAACATTCCAAGTATCATCTTTGTAATAATCAACAACAAAAAATGGAAAACAAACCTGCTTGCAGAATCCCCATCATCCCACTGGACTTTGACTGTTGTTGCTCCTTCTATAGACATACCCATTATATACCCTCTTTTTGATGTGGAGGTATGGATACATCTTCCTCCAACACGTAATCCTGGATCTAAACCACCTATAACAGCAAGACTGGGCCATACCTAAAATGACACAAAAGTTAAAAAATTTGACAAAATCTCATGTCACAGAATAAACCGACCTTTTACTTGTTAATTTCCATGTCATTTTATCTCTGGTGGAGAGTTGTCTCATTGGCCATCATACCACACCTTCTTATTTTTACATTAATGTGCCAGACATTCAAAATTCTATATAACGGATTTGCATTGTATCCAACATCTCCAAAAAATCACTGATCTGACATGAAGTATCAAGAAAATGTTTAACACTTGCATGGATATATTTGTATGTGTTTTGCTTTTTATACTGTTGCAAAAACTTACCAATGATGATTGCATTATATTATTTCAAGTCTTCAAACATTTGTATGGCTTTTAATTTTATCAATAAATACAGCTGACCAAAGAGTATTTATTAAATTTCAAGTATTTTGACATTCTTTCCCAATCAAATATCAATTATTTGCAACATTCATACAACTTTGCAACAAAATTTCGCCAAATTCTTTTTTCTCAAGACCTAAATATGACATTTTACAATACCTCATAACATAAAACTTTAATTGTTTCATCATCACTGTAATCCACATTTTCCTCCTCTGTGGTAAGTTCAACATTGTCTTCAAACTCCATACCATCCACTGTCTCTTTGCTTTCAAGATCAGATTTGGAATTATCCTGACCTAAAGTTAAGAAAATAAATTTACATTCACCCATATTGTTTCCATATGTTTTAAAGATGAAATTCAAGTTGTGGTTGAGAATTCCATACAAAGAATTATTGCAATGTTTGGTTTATTATCATTACTATCATTTTAATTTAACATTATCAATGTAAAAGTTGATAATGAAGATATCCTGAATTTCATTAAAATTCTCTCACAATTATAAGAATAGTAGCAGACTAAAGATGCTTACAAGACTCATCACTGAACTTGTATTTACAATGGCAGAGATCTTCTTATTCTAGCGGAGCACCCGAGATCACACCTAGTTTTAGTGGGGTTTGTGATGCATAGTCTCTAGTTTTTTATGTAGAGTTTTGAAGACTTGTCTGTCTTTTAGTGTTCCTTCCTTTTTTGCCAGGCATTATATCCGTTTCTCTTTGACTTATGAGTTTTGAATGTTCCCTTGGTATCTTTGAAAGAAGCAAAAAAGTACATTATATGGTACAGAAAACCTGGCGCATAATGATATTATATCATATATTGGAAGTTTCTGTCAGTTTTATATATAGATCATTTCATTGATTTTTAAAAAGAATTGTATATGTATATAAGATAAATATCCTAGGTTTAAAGTTTCATTCAATACTTAAGACTTCAAAAACAAAAAACAATTCTTTAATACATAAAATTGAGAATGGAAATGGGGAATGTGTCAAAGAGACAACAACCCGACCATAGAACAGACAACAGCAGAAGGTCACCAACAGGTCTTCAATGCAGCGAGAAATTCCCGCACCCGGAGGCGTCCTTCAGCTGGCCCCTAAACAAATATATATACTAGTTCAGTGATAATGAACGCCATACTAAACTCCAAATTGTACACAAGGAACTAAAATTAAAAATAATACAAGACTAACAAAGGCTAGAGGCTCCTGACTTGGGACAGGCGCAAAAATGCGGCGGGGTTAAACATGTTTATGAGATCTCAACCCTCCCCCTATACCTCTAGCCAATGTAGAAAAGTAAACGCATAACAATACGCACATTAAAATTCAGTTCAAGAGAAGTCCGAGTCTGATGTCAGAAGATGTAACCAAAGAAAATAAACAAAATGACAATAATACATAAATAACAACAGACTACTAGCAGTTAACTGACATGCCAGCTCCAGACTTCAATTAGACTGATTGAAAGATTATGTCTTCATCATATGAATATCAGGCACAATCCTTCCCGTTAGGGGTTTAGTATCATACCATCATAACATATATGAGAAGAACATAACCCGTGTCATGCCAACAACTGGTTTTTAAATAAATGTGTTTAGTGCCGATGCAAAGACCCTATAAGTGAATCAATATTAACGCCAAAATATGCAATCTTTAATGACCTGACAACAGTATCGTAACTATATCCCTTCTTAATAAGTCTATTTAAAGGTTTTGTTAGCTTCAGAGGTGAATACTGACATTTTTGTGCTTTATAAAGAATATTTCCATAAAAAATTAGATGTGAAATACCTGAACGTATAAGAAGTCTGCATGTTGAGCTATATTTACGAATGATGTCCTTATACCGATGATAAAATTTAGTAAATGTTTTGACTAGTTTGTGATATCGAAAACCCTGGTGTAATAATTTTTCAGTAATACATAAATTTCTCTCGTTAAAATCTAAAACATTGTTACATACACGAGCGAATCGTACAAGTTGAGATATATAAACACCGTAAGATGGTGACAAGGGAACGTCACCATCTAAAAATGGATAATTAACGATAGGAAATGAAAAATCATCTCTTTTATCATATATTTTAGTATTAAGCTTTCCATTAATGATATAGATATCAAGATCGAGGAAAGGGCAGTGGTCATTGTTAGTATTAGCTTTATTTAAAGTAAGTTCAACAGGATAAATTTCTTTAGTATACATACTGAAGTCGTCATTATTGAGAGCCAAAATATCATCCAAATATCTAAAAGTATTATTAAATTTGTGTATCAGATGTTGTTTCGATGGGTCTTTGCTGATTTTTGTCATAAATTGTAACTCATAGCAATACAAAAAAAGGTCCGCAATAAGTGGTGCACAGTTAGTCCCCATTGGAATTCCGATAACCTGACGATATACGGAATCTCCAAAGCGAACAAAATGTTATCTAGTAAAAATTCAAGGGCATATATAGTATCAAAGCATGTCCAATTGACATAGTTTTTTTGTTTATTGCTACTAAAAAATGACCTAAAAGAGTTTGAACATATATATTCACATTCTGACTTTTTAAATGCCCATTTAATTAGGTGTGTGAATTTTTTCTTAATGAGAATGTGAGGCAATGTGGTATATAGGGTAGAAAAATCAAAACTTTGAACAGATTCAAAATCACCAATATATGCATGTAATTTATCAAGTACTTCCAACGAGTTCTTGACACTCCAAAAGTAATTAATTCCACTATTTTTGAAGGCCTTATTTGAACAATTTATTATCAGGTTTTTGATTGTACCAAGTGTACTGGTAAGAAGAATAGACAATTTAGTAGTGGAACAATGGCTTGAAGACGAAATGAATCTATATTTGTAAGGTGTTTTGTGTAGCTTCGGAAGCCAATATATAGTTGGGACTTTTCATTGTATTTGGTTCTGCTTGTAAAGCGGTAGCTAAAAGTTTATGTTTGTTACAGATGTCGTTTTCTGAAAATGGAGTCAGTTGGAATGTTGGTGAATTGGTGATTTCTTTTTTCAGAACCTCAATGTAAAATTTACGTCAAACAATAATAATATTATTAGCAGCTTTATCGGCCGGGACAAAAACAAATTCCTTGGCTAGTTCTTTTAGTTTATGTTTGATACGAGAAATAGGTTTATTGTGGTTATTGTTAAGAGTAAAATGTTCTTTAAAATGTTGAATACGTATATCAACTATGTTCATTACTGAATTAAAAAAAGAGTCCAAAGATTTTTTGTCAGCTTTTTCCCGTTTGATCCATTTCAAACAGTAAGTATGGAGTGAGTTGTGGATGATATTACGACACTCATTCCAATTAATAATTGACGGGGGACGATATTTAGGTCCTTTACTGAGGAATGATTTTAACTCTCGGTCTTGAACGATGTTAAGATCTCCTGTTATAACATGGGAAATGGGTCCATAAATGTATTCGGATTTACTACAATTACATGAAGTAGGTGTATTTTCACTGATATTAACATCTGTACACAATTGGCTATAATTAAACACAAATTTCCGGGTAGATTTCTTGTAAATATAACAAATAAGAGGGAGCTCAGTATTATCAAAATATCCCGGAATTTGTTCTTTAACAGAATGGTCGTTAAAAATACCGGCAATATTTGCAAAATCAAAACCTTTATTGACATACTTTATTTTAATAAACTGTTTTTTATGATCTTCAGGGCGATCAATTTTGGGAAACAGTTTAGAATAACAATATGCCATTATAATTTGAACAATTTCATACTTAGGACTGCTATATGAAATTGTGTTGCAATCCTCTAAAATTTTATTTAACTTATGAACCATTTTTCAACAGCACATTTCACTCTTGATATTAAAACATACTTTTAGCTGGTGGTTTAATAAGTTCTTTTACTTTGCCTAACTGCTGAAGCATTTTTTCACAAATATGTGCAGCCCAAACTTCATTTTTGTGTAATGTTCTAATAAGAGAGATATTGGCCTCCACCATTACAGCAGTAGCTGGGGCACACTGAGGGTCTCCTGCTAAGAGTTCTTGAGAGCTTTCACACATCTGCATGTCTCCCATTCTCACCTAAAATTACAATAAGTTACATATAAACACTATAAGTACAATTTGGTATAAATCACTAAACTTAAAGTTGATGTTGCTCAACCATTTTCAGCTCATCCAAACTGAAAGGATCATATGCAACTTCTATGTTTTAGTCAATCACCTGTCATTAACTTTTTGTAAATTAAACCTTGATCAGAGTTAAAAATTACTGATCCAAACTGAACCGATTCCACAAGGAATATCCTTTCAAGATTTTCCACCAACAATTGTAAATTGTCGTCGTCAATACTCGTAGAACAAGGCTTGGATAAAATGGAGCATCAAAACCTTTTTTATAATAGAAGTTAAGAAATTATTTTTCCATAATTTTGTCTCAAAACACTGACTTAGCATTGTTACTGAATGTTGCAATATTTGACATTTTTATGTTCTAGTTTCATGTTTTCAGTTAAATGAATTCAATTGCAAAAGTGACATAAGAGTATGCAATATAATAAAAAGTAAAAGTTGCAACAATTCTGAATTATCTAAAAACCAATAATGGGTCTTTCAGATCTTGAGAAACGTTATCTGGTGGGTACCATATATCACAATTTGTACTAACACCAAAATAAATAGAGAATGTGTGCATGGGACACAAATGATGCCCCGCTTGCATATAATGTATGACATAACTAGAGATTTTGATCTGAGTTTTGTGGTAATAAGCATTGTGTATAAGTTTCATAACATTTGGTTGAGGCAAACTGAAGTTAGAGAACGGAAACGAAAAATTCATCAATTTTTCCATATATAAAGGGGCATAACTCAAGAACAGTAAAAGTAGAGAATGGAAAATCTAATTTTGGGACGTAAAGACTGCGGCAGGGGCATAAACATCTAAATTGAATACACATATTTCCAGTAAGTATGTATTAATATACATACTGCATATATGCTAGAAAGGAATCAGATTACAATTATACTGTATATTACCTTTTCCCATGGATTTCCACTATAAAACATAACACAAGGATAAAGTTCTGATGCATCAATGTCTTCAAAGGCAACTCTCAAATCCTACAACATCATATACCAGTTATGTTAAAGGCATAACAAGATAATTATGTTATCAAATCATTACATTGGATAAAATTCGTAAGGGTTCCACGGAACCCAGTGTCTTTTTACTTTTGCTGTTGTCTATGTTTTCAGTGTGATAGGGGAATGCACATAATAGTTTTACATTTAAAGAAATAAAAATCCAGGATGGTTTATGAATTTAATAAATTTTTTAAAAACTTTAACTGCAGACTGTATGTAATGTTAACTGGAAGAAAAACTAAGTCCATTTATAAGTAATATACAGAAAAACAGGAAATAATTTTTTTCAAAATTTCCTTCTAGATACTAGCTTTTGATCATAAACAAGCTTCTGTCCAAGTTTGGTACAAATCCAGGATAGTTTAAGAAAGTTTTTAAATTTTTAAAACTTTAACCACAGAGTGAATGTAATGTTAACTGGCAGAAAAACTAAGTCCATTTATAAGTAAAATACGGATAAACAGGTTTTTTTTTTTTACAAAATTTACTTCTGGATACTATCTTATGATCATAAACAAGCTTCTGTCCAAGTTTGGTAGAAATCCAGGATAGTTTATGAAAGTTATTAAAATTTCAAAAACCTTAACAACAGAGTGAATATTTGTGGACGCCGCCGACGATGGAATGTAAAATCGCTATGTCTCGCTTTTTTTAAACAATGAATATAAACAGTGTTCCCGCCTGCCCTAAATAGAAGGGCGGCCCGCCCTTGGTGCCCTTACCCCCGCCCTTTTGCCCTCCAAAGTAAAAGAATGCACCCCTCTGCCTTTTCAAAAAAATAAAATTTCCAAATTTCATGCCTACCGCAGTACCGGCATTTCCGGTAAAATTGTTACCTGATTCAGTGATTGTGTAACACTAATTAACCAACAATGGGATTAAGTTAAATACCTAGGGCTTTGGCAGTTTTATCACCTTTGTTAATGATTGTTTACTGCTAATTAGTGGATTTAAGATAATTGAACAAATACTAGATATTTAATACAGAATGAAATGTCCACATGTTATCCATTTGTAATGTTTATGTACAGCATGTACACCTGAAAAAATTTATTTCAGTAGACATAACATAAAAAATAAAATCTTAAACAATTTTAAAGGCATACATAGTTTTGACTTAATTAGTAAAAAATGTTTTGTTTCATAACCATGAGTATGAAATTTAAAGAGGAATCAAAGATATTTGTACTTGAACATAACAAGATTCACTTCCTGTTTTTAATACTTCTTGTTATTTATAATCCTCCTGACATAGGAGCACTCAACAAATTTATTTTTAACAATGATGGAGAAAAAAGTAACTGTTTATACCTTCTGCAATATATTATTGCATCAATATAAAATATGATCATCTCCTGTCTCACCTGTTATATTTATAAAACTCCTTACTTAGGAGCACTTTGGTTTGCACTTAAAAATACTTTTTTGTAACAATTCAAATGATAATAAATAACTCTCAATAACATATATACTATATGTTTGAACAAGTAATTTAAATGTAGATAATTTAATTACATTCAACATTCAATTTTGCATGTATAACTCCATCTTTCAAAACTACTTGTTTATTTTGGTATAAGTTATAAAACATTGAAATTTCTGATGATTATTTTCCATACCAAATGTACAAGTTTGTTTAGATTAACATCAAAATGATATGCTTTGCTTCATGGTATGATAATTTGATGAAAAAAAATTCTTACTGGAACCAACATCAAGAACACATTAATTTCTGAATATGGTTTAAATAGAACTAATGTTCTCCAGCTGAGCCTAGCAATATTCAAGGTAATTTATACACTGTCCAACATTGCCCTTAAAATCTGGGTTATAACGCTAAAGTGCCCTTTCAGACAACTAGCACCCTTCTGCCCTGAGATTCAAGCTGGAACACTGATAAAAATAAAACTGCTACAAAAGCATTTGATAAAAATATAATTCAGATATTACAATATTCTAATATAAATCTTAAATGTAACCAGTATTTACATCAACAGCAAAATTCCTACCTCTCCATTTTTGGCAAAAGCTAAGGTCCTAGCATCCATGTCTAGTACAACAGTGATACAATCCCCTTGTGTATAACATGGTAGAGTAAGACTGTGTTCTCCTCCATGATAAATGTTACCACTGTAGGCTCTATATAACCACATATCATGGGTTGATCTGTGGGCATAGTCATGGACAGGCCATTTAGCTACACCTAAACAAGTACCTTCATTTCCTCTGTTTTCTTTCATTACATATACCTACATAATAAATTTGAAGACTATTTTAAAATACTTAGTTTCAATTTGTTTTTAAAAATAAAGAAGGCAGTATAAATTAAGAATTTATTAGTAGTTTGAGTTTTAATGCATTTTTTGAAAGAATATATTCAGATTTTTTGATTAATTTGCAGGGATTAATGTGAGTAAAGTTACTTTCAACTTCTTGTGCATGCATATTTTTTTCTGGAAAAGCCATTTCTAGGAGATAAAAAAATATATTTTCAGGAAGATTATTCCAACTTTTGAATTGGTTAAACACTTCAAATGAATTAAAGAAACTAAATATGCTATTTTCAAATTCATGTCCTTGTTTGAATATAAGTGGCAAACAATTGTTGGATCTTTAATTCATGGTAAACAAGTGAAACTGCGAGCTACTGCTCACTGATAATACCCCTGCCGCAACTGGATAATTTTAATAGTGTAAAAATAAATAAGTGTTTGTTAAACAGGAAGTTGTTGAGTGATGAATCTGAAAATGCATCACACGGTATAGCTGACTTACATAAACCCTGAAACCAAATTTCAGAAATCCTTATGATGTAGTTCCTGAGAAATATGCAACGAAAAATATTCATGGGACGGATGGATGGACTGACGGATGGACGGACAGACAGACGTAAAACAGTATACCCCCACTTTCTTAAAGCGGGGGTATAATAAAAACCTAACACAGAAAAATTAGTAAAAATATCTTCTATACCTGACTGTAAAATAGAATTTTTTATGACAACAAAAATTAATTCCCAATGAATGATTGCACTTTTACAAAAACATTCTGACACAGAAAAAGAAATATCTGACCTTCCATTTGTAACATCCATTTCTCATGGCAGTAACTCCAAGTCCATAGCCTTTCCCTGAGGAGCTATGAGTCAACACATTATTTCCTTCCACTGTGCAATTAACACATTTGTCTGTATCAAACATGGCATCCTGGATGTTTGTCTCAATTACCTCCCCTTTGTCAGACAAATCTTCCTGTCCATCCATGGCAGAAAGTTTCCATAACAACTGATCTTTCTTGGTATTCACTTCCTGTTGAGCTATTTTCTCAGGAATTATCCACATGTTGTTTGACAGGAAGGTGAAGAGATCATCAACAACCTAAATTTAGATATATGTGAACAATACTTATAATGCCCATAAATACACAAAATAATCTTTTTAAACCTCCCATTGAAATCTTTTTGTTCATCAATTTGAATTTTTCTATTTAGATAAATGAAATATGTAATTTTGCTTCTATTTTCAAATACAGTTAATTGAAACATTTCAACCTAAGTTTCAAGCATATGTATTACATGTATATGCAAAGTTATTAAGCATAAAAATATCTAATGTGTGTTTTCAATAAATATGATATACATATAAATATCAGTGTTCTCCCCAGAAATTTTGGATAGCATCACATTTGGCGTAAAAAAAATAAACTGTATTTTTTTCAATGTCATTTGTCGTGCTGCGGCGATGCTCTATTTCCTTTTTGTTATGTTTATATTGTTTAATTGATAACTGAGAATACAAATAAACTATAACAGTTGTTTCAGTTTATGTTTTTTATATCAATTTATAGTTACAGAATTATTTTGTTCCTCTTAGGCCAAATAAAAATATATGTGTGGTTCCAGTTACATTGTACCCTACCTACCCAACTAAATATCTAGCAAAAAAAAAAAGAACTGTTTTTTATATAAAAAAGGAAGAGAAAGTATCATATAGCAATAAAATTTCATTTAAAAAACTATTTTCTTTATCATGTCTATGATATTCATTGTTTCTTAGTACTCAATGTATTAGTCCCTGTTGTTTCTTTATATCAAAATGATATGTATTTTTAACAAAGTTTAATCAGTATATTGAAACAATGCATTTCCAAAATGAATACATTTAGCAAGGAGATCTAACAAATAGTCTGTTAATGCGTGTGGAATGCATAGTTTTCTCTTTTAGGGTAATTTTTTCTGTCTACTGTGCCATTTGTGCATCTGTAGTTATTATCGTAAAAATGCGGATTTTTGTCATATCTGGTCCGGTTCCGATCCGTAGTTTACACAAATATTTCAATGGCGGCCGAAGAAAAATTAAAGAAAATAAACAATGTTTGACAAGAGATTGAGAATGAATATGACGCTTTTAATGCATTAAATGGATGAAACATTAACTAAAGTCAATTCTGAATCACTTTCTAAAGAAGTATCAAACTTATTTAGCTCAAAATCAAAATGTTTATTATACGCTCTCGATTAACAAGTAGTACCGGAAGGGAAAGAAAATAATTTTTTGAAAGAGATAAATCGTTTGTATCTTTGAATTTACATTATGCAAACATAGATTTCGAATTGTTTATGATTTTCTTATTACATTTTCTCAATGTCGAAATTTGCGATTGGACCATGTGGTATTAGTCGTGTCATAAGTGTCAGCTTGGGGTATTCGTATCCAAACAGTTATCACCCAAAGGACAATTAACACCTATTTAATCACTCTAAATTGCCTCTATTGTCTGACTTTAAGGGATTACAATTAAATGTGATATAATTTTTATGATCACAAGCGGTAATTAGATGTAAGTTCAAAATTTAGGACATGGTTTTGCGATATAGAGACAAGAAAAATAGCATCCTCAAAATAATTATAGCGGCGCGGAAATTATAATAGCATCACAGGAAAAAAATATAGCGTCTCCGTGCCGCGACCCTAAAACCGCCTGGGGAGAACACTGAATATGTTACCATTGACATGTCAATACAATACAGTGACATTCTTATAATGTCAATAGTAAAGATCTGTTTTGAACTTACTTGTTTCAGGAAATCTTTATCTGTTTCTAGTGTAATAGAAGACAATACTGTTTCTAAAGTATTCATAGCTATAAGTCTAGTTCTAAGTTTATAGTAAGTGTTGGTCTCTGAAATGTAAATGAAGCTGCACTTAATGCTAGAGTATGTGAGCAAAAAATGATATATACAATAATTGTCATCAAATATGCTGAATTTAAAAAAATTTTACACATTTTTTTTTCATCCGTTTTCTTTGAAAAAAAATGTGGATAAGTGTCCACATGTGGACACAGATGATGCCCCCGCTTGCATAGCATATAGTTATAAAGGGACATAACTGAAGAACGGTATAAGTGACGCTACCCAAATTTGAACTTGATCTGAGTTTTGTTGTAATTAGCATTGTGTGTAAGTCTCATAACATTTGGTTGAGGCTAACTTAAGTAGAGAACAGAAACTAAAAATTCAGCAATTTTTCTATTTGTAAACACGCATAACTCTAGAAAGGTTGTGTATAAGTTTTATAACATTTGGTTGAGACAAACTAAAGTTAGAGAACGGAAATGAAAAATTCAGCAATTTTTATGTTTATAAAGTGACATAACTCAAGAATGGTAAAAGTGTTATCACCAAATTTCGTACTTAAATCTGTATAATGTAGTAATAAGCATTGTGTATAAGTTTCATAACATTTGGTTGAGGCAAACTAAAGTTAGAAAACGGAAACAAAAAATTTGTACTTGATCTTAGTTTTGAGGTAATGAATATTGTGTATAGGTTTCATAATGTTTGGTTGGGGCAAACTTAAGTTACAGAATGGAAACTAAAAATTTTGCAATCTTTCGATTTATAAAGGGGCATAATTCAATAATGGTTAAAGTGACACTACCCAAATTCAACTTGATCTGTGTTTTATCAGTGGAAGTCAAAATTAAATATTGCATTGTATAAAGCATTGATTGTAGTTGATTCAACTATAATCATGGACAAAGGAAGATAACTCCAATTTTAAAAATTACTTGATATTTAGAAGAAGATAAAAATTTTGCAATTTTTCCATTTATAAAGGGGCATAACTCTAGAACATTTAAAGTGATGCCACCAAAATTCAAACTTGATCTGTGTTTTGTGGTAATAAGCATTATGTATAAGTTTCATAACATTTGGTTGAGGCAAACTTAAGTTAGAGAACAGAAACTAAAAATTTTGCAATTTTTCCATTTATAATGGAGCACAACTCTAGAACGGTTAAAGTGACACCACCAAAATTCAAACTTGATCTGTGTTTTGTGGTAATAAGCATTGTGTATAAGTTTCATAACATTTGGTTGAGGCAAACTTAAGTTAGAGAACGGAAACTAAAAATTTTGCAAGTTTTCCATTTATAAAGGGGCATAACTCTAGAACGGTTAAAGTGACGCCACCAAAATTCAAACTTGATCTGTGTTTTGTGGTAATAAGCATTGTGTATAAGTTTCATAACATTTGGTTGAGGTAAACTCAAGTTAGAGTACGGAAACCAATTTTGGGACGTACGTACAGACGGACAAGGGTAAAACTTAATGCCCCCACCGCTACGGCGGGGGCATAAAAATTGTACAACCTAAAACACAATAATAGTAGAATACAAAGACTTTTCCTTGATAACCAATATCTTACCTAAACCATAGCCAGCTATAGAAAGAAACATATTTATCCACTGTTTTGATGACAAATGCTGTTGTATGGTTCTAGTTGATGCAACTCTCTGCAGGAACAATAAAAAGTCTCCTTGCACAGTCGGACTAAATTTTGTGTTACCTATAAACATATATAATAACTTATCATTTTCCATTGTAAATCACATTTTGCTATTGTCAATGCTTGAAAGTTTCCAAAGATATGTTCCAATAAATGTTAAGAGTACAAGTTTATTTTCAGCTTACCAGTTACAGAGATATTGTAGATGAACTATATCATTAAGGGTCATAAAAGTAAATGGACAGATAAATCCAAGAAAATGAGACAGAATTCATCTTTTTTTTCAGTTTCTTCTTAGCTTTACCTCTTTACCATAGCTGCTAAGGATTGCTAAGGATTGCTGTGTAATCTGTCATTATATTTTAAATTATATCTACTTCATCAAAATGCTTTTGCTTCTTGCAACTTAAACTATAATGTAAACATAAATCCATTCTTACAATCCGTTTTAGCAGTTATACACTTAATCATCTGTTGTTCAACATTACACAGACTTTGAAGCTGTCTCCATAATAAGTCCAGTACTCCTTGTATAACACCACTACCTAGCTTGTCAGCATATACACTGTAATGGAAGAGACAACAAGTGTATATAGAATACCATGTACAAGAAAACACACACTCTACTATATGTACAAAACTTTATATGTATATTCTGTGCCATAATCAACATTTCTTTAATTTCTTACTTTAATAAGTCCAAACTTACAGGGATGGAAACACTGAAAAATTACTGCAATGAGTAATAAGATGCATGCATCTTTACATTTTTAAAAAACAGCTTTCAATTGTTTAGTGACATCTTCTATTTTTATATACTCATTTAAATTTTTTTCCATAAAAACAAAACAATTCCATGTTGAAAATGAAAAATTATATTGAAAAGTTATCAATAACAGATTTGTGCTATTTTTAAAATAGATAAATATTAAAAACTATCACAAGAACATGGCATGTAATTTGTTCTTGTTCAATTTATACTGAGTTGCTTTCTATATACTTTTTTTTGACTTTTCACAAAAGAAGTATACAAAACGTATCCTTGCATAAAAAATATATAATATTCTGAATTATACATACCCAGCGGTCAATGTAATAAGTCTCATTAAGTTTCCACTGGACATCTGTAACACCAAACTCAACTGATCTTCCTGTAGTTTCCAGTCAGCTGAGGGCATTATATAGGACATATGTGTAGTTCCACCACTCAGTGAAAACAGTAATGGAAGGAGTCCACAAGACACTGCTAATGATATGTCTGATGGACAGTACTTCATTGACAAGGAATACCCCGTCCATAACAGTAGTTTCTTTTTAACATCTAAAAAGACATTATTACATATTAAGGGATATTCCAGGAAAACTTGTATTAAGATGTAGACAGTATTTTAAATAATAAAACATACATGTATGTAATGCAGGGTAATCAGACTATTCTCACCATTTGATACACATTGATTTCCTAATTTCTAATAAAATTGTAACCCCAAATACCAATTAATTTTGTTCTGGAATAACATTAACACAATCAAGATTTTAAATTCAAATAAATTTATCTATACATTAGTTTAAACATTTGAATTATCTTAATGCCAATGCATACATAAATCATTTTGTACAAAAAACAGGTGTTAGTTGTCTAGTTTAAATTGTTTTACATTTATCATGCTGGAGCCTGTTATAGCTTGCTTTGGATTTTGCTCATTGTTGAAAGCTGTACCATAACCTATAATTGTTAACTTCTATGTTGTTTAGTCTCTGGTGGAGACTTGTCTCATTGGTAATCATACCATATCATCTCATTTTCATACTTCCCCCCTAATCTACATTTACTACTGCTTTAAAAAAGCTTGAGTGTCAGTTGTTTCTATTCTCCATTATGTATGAGACTATAAAATTATTGTTGAACATAGGTCATCATTTAAAGAGGAATTGTTTGATGTCTACCACTTTTAATGAAATCCTATTTCTGGTCTAAGAGGACTTCTTGATACAAAGTACAGATAAATGAACAAATGAATAGGCACAAAAATCACTATATACTGTCACTTCAGTTAACCTTGGAATAAAGTAAATAATTCTAAAACAAATATACAAACCTGGATTATAACTGTCTATTTTGTCTGTGTTTATTAGATCTTTCACTAATAATTCATAAATCTGGTGGACAGCTAACTGTATTTCCTGTTGTGTCTCAGTCTTAGCTGATTTGATCTCATCCTAAAGGAGAAACAAAATTCTTACTCACTTGCTATGCCTTTTTATTACCGAATAATTTTATTTATTTTTTTTCAGTCCATACAGTGCTGTCAATGTGTTTTTTTATACAGTCTTGTTTATATAAAAATATAAATGAATTATATATGAATTCTTGAAAGATTGGTTAAACTGTATCAATTATCAGCAAAATTTATTATTAGCACCAGTAAAAGTCAGTTACGTAAAATAAATGTCTATACCTATCTGAAATATAACCCAATCCCTAAAAAATTATGTTTAATTTTAGTTTTTAATCAAATATCTGTATCTAAGATGTATTACCTGGTAGTGATATAACTGTGCATTTTGATTAGCTACATGCATGTCTAAAGATGAGCCGAAATTAAAACATGAACCAAAACTGAAACATCCTGACAATAGTTGTACATGTACAGAACACAACAATGTTGTCAATGTTGTAGGCTGGCTCTCCGATTTGTCTTGTTGTTCCTGCTGTGTTGATAGTAACTCTCTTATCTGATTCAAGGCATATAGTCTAGCCTGGAAAATAAAATATACACATAACAGAATTATAATCATATTCAATAATTATACACAAAGACACAATATATTTGCATTTTCAAAGGAATATAATGAAACACTATTTCTTCTGAATATAACTATATTTATATACATATGTTACTTTAATTCTCATTCCAATTTTATTGGACGAGCCAGAAGTTGTCCTATTACTGACATTATTTTATGGTTCTACTGTATTTTTAAACATAATACATGATTTCTGTACAGTAAACTAGAAAGTAACCTGAGCAAGTGCAGGAGTAAGTAAATGGTGAATATTTTTATCTTTTAAATTATTGTGTAATTACTTTGAGATAAATTCTTATGTGTGTACTACTTGTGTGTAAATGTGAGAACAACCTGTACAATCTTAATTAAATCTCTTTCTTATTGAATAAATAATTTTCCTAAATAATCAGCAAATTCGTTCCTTTAGTACTATAGATGTGTAAATTTTTTTATTTGTCGTAAAACTTGCCAAATAACAAATAAACTATATACATGATATAGTTGTTCCAAAACTAAATGATACTTTATGTCAGGTTTAGGGAACTGAAACTAAAGCTCTGTAACTATGTAAATCCTTTATACGAAATAAATGTACCTCTGCTCTAGATTGTTGATGTTCTAAGGCTATGGCCATTTCTTTCGGATCAGCATTGGACATCTGGGCAGCACCTTCATGATCAGATACACCAGAACTACAGCCTCTAACAGTCTCTCCACATACAAACTTACATACATTGGTGGCTACCTCTCCAGCGAACGATCTCTTTCTCACATGTACCGATGAATGGCCATCTCCAAGTCTCTCTTGCTGCCATCTTAACCTTCTCAAATTCTCCTTAACTCTTTGTAAAGACAAAAACTGTATTCCTGAAAAAGGAAAGAAAAAGTGTTTTTTAAGATACACAATATTAAAAGTATGCTTAAGATTGTCATTTTTTACTGTTTTAACAATTCTACTTAAAACTCTCTAAAACAAATCTTCATGCTTATATTTTTCTTTTAGCAAGACACAAAATATACTTGAACAACGGTATTTCACAGTTAAAAAAGTTAATAAGTAAAACAAAAATTTGAAAAGTATATCATTGCTGAAAACTTTAATATTTTCAGTGTTCATTATCAATCATCTAATAAATACTACTGTAAACCAAATAATTTTCGCGAGCGATTTATTTTCGCAACTTTTGCGAGTAGAAAAATAACGCGAATATAAAGTCGCAAATATGTAAAACTTGGATTTTTCCTTATTTATCTGCAACAAGTAAATTTCAGAATCGCGAAATCAAATCGCCGCGAAATGGACTAGAAAGGGCTAAATGCGAAATAAAGTATCCGCGAAAATAAGTTGGTTTACAGTATGTAATCAATGAGTATACCTCTTGTATTTGCCATAGAATTATCTGTATCCAAGTTGATATTACCTTCCTGAAACTATATAACTTAAAGCATTCAATGTAAAGCTCTTTTAAGTTTATCAAGTATGTTGAATTTATAGTAATATATTGTAATTTTCCCCACATTAAAGTTTACACATTTTGTTTGTGCACATCAGTTTTAAAAGTTCAGACATTCAATGTTTACATAGAAATGTATGTACACACGTTTAATAGTGCAGGGCAACATCAATTTAATAAATCACAAATTTCTGCATAAAATTGCTATAAAAATACATGACCATTTTTTGAAAATAAAGGTAGTTGTGATCATGATGTGTTTATTCTTCAACTGTTAATGACAAACAATATGTTCAAATAAATTTAAATCCAAGAAAATTTAGATATTAAAGCTCATGTATGAAACTCTGAATTGAAGATGGAAGTTTAGGGCTGTTCCATAAATAAATGTTTTGGGGTTAGAAGGCACTTTTTAATTTGCCCCACCATGCATAAAATTTCAATTAATTATTTCCTATACTTGTTCAGCCTATTTTTCTAATATAATCACCACCCATCAAACATTTAAGTATACCCATGTCTCCTTTCATTCATATTTGTGTTTTTAAAATGTAGATTTGGTAATACAGAAATATTATTTCTAAGTAGTATTATTAATCAATGTGTGGTAACTAAAATAAGTCTAAGTTATTTTTCTATATCAATAATAAAACCACAGCTACAATAAATAAACGAATAATGTGCCCATGGGACGCAGATGCCCCCCTTGTAACTATGCAAAAGTCAATGTACTATTTCAAACCTATTGACATTTTCTTTACTTTGAAACTTAATGACATGTGTGTCTGTATGTTGCCAATCGTGATTGCTCTGGGGTTTGAGTGCTCTCTTTGTTCAATAACAAACAGTAATGGCGAAATTGAGATTGGTGAAAATGACACCGCCATAATTCGAACTTGATCTGAGTTTGGTGGTAATAAGCATTGTGTTTCATAATATTTGGTGGAAGCAAGGTAAAGTAAGAGTGCAGAAAAGAAAAATTCACTAATTTTTCCATTTATGAAGGAACATAACTCAAGAACAGTGAAAATGACACCTCCAAAAAATTCAAACTTGATCTGTTTTTACTGGTAACAAGCACTGTGTGTAAGTTTTAGAACATTTTGTTGTGGCAAAGTAAAGTTAGAGTATGGAAACGGCAAATTCAGCAATTTTTCTATCTATAAAGGGACATAACTCAAATTTGAACTTGATCTGTGTATGGTAGTAATAAGCATTGTGTATAAGTTTCATCATATTTGGTCAGGGCAAAGTAAAGTTAGAGAACAAAAACCAATTTTGGTACGTCGTACATATGGACGGACAGACAAGGATAAACCTTAATGCCCCCTCCACATCAGCGTTATGCACATTTATTTCAGTAATGAAGAAGTAAATAACAGGGAGAACATGACCGATGACATTGAAACCCATTTGATTCTTCTCGAGGATTTATAATACTTGTCCGATCTCTGAATTTGTTTTCTAAATGTTTAAATACCTAGTATTTGACTATCCCAAGTGAATAAATGTGATATTCAACCTGATATAATCCACTCTTTATAAATATAACAAACCTGTCCACTGATACTTCTGCTGAGAATATCTGGAAAACTTCCTCTTCTTGGTAAGAATGTAGTTTCTTCTTCTGACTTTGAATTTTCTTCTGTTTCATAAAACATAAAAAATAAAACTTTCAACCTTCTAACAATGTAACATGCAAATATTTTACAACGTATGAATGTTTAGAAATTTATGCTATAGCCAGTTTAAACAGATCTTAAGTAAGTGTAAATAAATCTGGCAAGAATCATACAGGTGAGAGCACTAACAAGACCGGACGTACAGATGCACGCCTTGTATTTTTATGTCCCCAGCATGAAATTCATACTATCATCTTAGCAATTCTATAAACAATACAAATGTAACTTACCATGATAAGATGTTGTTTTATCATTTCTTTCACTTATAGAATGTTGACTTGGTGGATCTGAAAAAGGTAAAAAAAAATCTAAATAAAATTAAACATCTTTGGAACATAGAAACTATTAACACATTGGTCAGGTAAACAGTGAGTAAACAAAGTCAGAAATACATGAACAGGATGAAGATGAAATCAATGACAAGAAATATTCTGGTTTCCTTTACTTTTATGTTAATTATCATTTAGTAATAACAGGGTGTAAAATTATGAGAAAACCTACATTACCTATCGAAATATGCATCTAACGCAGAAACATTGGTACCGTTAATGTTATTATAGTTATTCAACAAGAATATGTATATAAGACACCATACCCTCTCACTCTATTACATCTTTGTAATTTTTTAAGTAAACTGTGAAATATAGGTCAGAACCCTAATTTGGACTATATTTTAAAAAGATAACATCATAATGAACATGTGTACTAAATTTCCAAATTTGATTAAATTAACCTGAAACAAGTCATACAGGTTGAACAGATGGACATATAAACCTTAAAACATTACATCCCTACTATCATAGGTTGAGCATAGAAATGTGTATGGCTGGGATCTACTTTCATTTTTATACATAAATAATTGTAAAAGAAATGAAGTTAAACATTTTCTTGTAAATATCCTATATATCAAATTTTATGATTTCAAACCTGTAACTGCCGGTCTGACACCAAGTAAGAGAAACAAACATCTATGCTGATATTCCCTACAAACATCTTCAAATGATGTCTCTTTCAGTGGTGGAAATGCATCTTTGACTGTTCCTTCATCATCTGTAAGTTATACCAAAACATAGTACAAGTTGATCTTACACATTATTTAACACAATATTTTTTTAATAGAAAAGCAAAGGTTATAACTTTTGAACAGTAGAAGTCAAATCCATTTACATAAACTCAATCTGTTTTTGTTTTTTTTTCAATAACTTAACATAATGAGTAATAATTCAAAATGATTTATCAGAAGTTCAACTATAATCTGGAAATCATGGTGTGATTTATAAATACAATTTACTGTTTTCTTTAATACATTATTGCCATATATTCTAATTGTTATTTTTCATTTTGACATTATTTCTGGACATTTCATCTAGGTTAACAATTCACCCAACTAGTCAGTTTAGAATACAGTATTTACACAACAAAATAAATATATATCAACTGTTAAAATTATGAAATTAAATTATTTTCAAAAATGATTTATACCTGACAACTGTTCATATTCTGGATCTTCTTTCCCCTCCTCCTGTTTCCTTTTATGTTCTACCTCAATCCTTTCTCCAGTCTCAGCTCTCTCAACATCGTACTTAGAATCCTCATCTTTCTTCTCAACATGCTCAAACTTATAAACTGAGGGATCAACTTCATCTGGCGTGACTGCCTCAGAATGGTCCGACTCTGGTGATGATTTAGATCTCATGAAAGCTCTTAGTCTGCTTCTTACTTTGTATACATGGTGGAATATGCCTAAAAGCTGTTTTGATGGCTCTCTAAAAGAAGAGATTAATTGATAACCTACTTGGCTAGTTTAAATGATTTCAGTGAAACTAATTCAAAAGCAATTTCCTGATTCAAAAAGCTTTCATTTCAAAGGCAACCATTATGCAATACCCCCTTCATTGTGATTCGGAAACTTCCGTCCCTTACTTAATCTGAGAATTGTCCCTTATTAAATAAACATAAAATTATATGCAGGATACATTTCAATAAATGCCTTTCTCGAAATTAAGCAAATCCATATTCAGTAAATAACACATAAACTTACTTCTTTTGTGACAAGGCATGTTTTGTTAATCCTAAATGCTTCAATAAGGCTGCCAACAAACATCTTGATGTACAGTCTAAATCTGGGTCATTCTCCAACTCACATGTATCCCAATCTGTAAAAAACAATTCTCTATCTTAACTGGAAAGAACTGAAATGCCAACAAAGATCTAGCTTTAAGATTCGATCAACTGAGGAACTGTTGTTAAAAATAGTTTTACTCACATGCAGTATATAAATAAGGAGATGTCATATGATTGCCAACGAGACAACTATCCACCAGAGCTCAAATGAAGTGGATATATATAACTGTGCATTTTCAAATTAAAACTTGCCCTTTCTTAAGGAGTTGTAAATATTACATTCCCATAAAAGAACAAATGCATGGTACAGCCTTTCAGACAATGGACTATTTTCATGTTACTGACTTTTGACTTCAGAGTATATAATTTTTGACAGGTTACCAACTCTGTGATAGGACATTCTGGTACTCAGCCTGAAAAATCATATACTCCGAATTCAAAAGTTGGTAAAATAAAAATAGTCTATTAAGTATTATATATTCTTCTCCTAAGCAAAAATTTAAGATTTTAAAAGGCACTAGCATTTGTTAAGACCATAGACACAAGAAAATAAGTACCCCACAAATAATAATGAATTCACATTTAAATAAAGGCTATACACTATACATTTGGTAGTACAAAAGTAATCTGAAGTAAACAAACAGTATGCATCAATTAAAGGATTCAAATGGTAAAGCAATTATGCACAGTCAGATTCAAAAAGAGAAGACCCCCCCCTCCCCCTGATTTTGCAGTAGTGTGAGCCCTGGCACAAGCATATTTATTTATTAATTTATTCTCTTTGCACAATATTGGAGAATGTTTTGTTTTCTGGAAAAACTAACTGCCTATAATAATTTTGCATATGTGAGAATTCTAGGAACAATTAGTTTTTGTTTTGTAAATATTTGTAAGGGGTTCTAAAGAACCCTGTGTTTCGCCTGTGATTGCTGCTGTCAGTGTTAAAGTGTAATGTTGACTTAAAAAGTGAGTCCATTTATCAGTAAAATACAGAATGAAAAAATAAATTGAACTTTTTCTTTTGATGCTATTTCTTGGTCTTGAAGATTAGCTTCTGTCCAAGTTTCATAACAATCCATGAAGGTTTACAAATTTATCATGTCAAAAAAATTTAATCCTAGACTGTCTGTAAATGTTAACTGTAAAAAACTAAGTCCATCTATCATAAAAATATTGAAAATGAAATTATATTTTCAAAAGTTTGCTTCAGACATTATCTCTTAATCATAAAAAGTCTTCTGCCAAAGTTTCATAAATTTCTATGAAGGTTTGACAAAGTAATTGATGTGTAACAAACTTTAACCCCAGACTGTATCTACTTGTTAACTGTAAAAAAAAATTCCATTTATCAGGCAAGTACAGAAAATTGAAAATTGAAAATAAATATTTTCAAAATTTTGCTATAGATACTGTATTTTGGTCATTAACAAGCTTCTGTCCAAATTTCATAAAATTCCATGAAGGTTTGACAAAGTTATTGATGACTGAAAAACTTTCTCAGACTGAATCTGAATGTTAAATGTAAAAAAATAATAAGTCCATTTATCAGTAAAATACTGAAAAATGAAAATAAATATTTACAAAATTTTGCTCTGGATGTTGTATTTTGGTCATAAACAAGCTTCTGTCAAAATTTCATAAAATTCCATGAAGGTTTGGCAAAGTTATTGATGTCTTAAAAAAACTTTAACCACAGACTGAACCTAAATGTTGTTGCTGCCGACGCCAGAATCTAGGATCGCTATGTCTTGCTTTCGCAACATAAATGCTGCAGGCATGACAAAAATCAATATCTAAAATACAAATATCATGCTTTAATTTCACAGTACAATGGATTATTTATTACCTTCTAGACTAGCACAATCTAACATCATCTCCCAGAGATTACTAGTAACATCAGATTTCAAATCACAGCAGAATTCCAGTAAAGTCATGGTGTCTTGATCAAGGTCAAAATCTCCAACAGAAAGGTCTATTGATTGTCCTGACTTATCTGCTATTTTATTTATCAATATATCTGAAAATAAATAGCACTCATAATAAGATGTAAGGCATAATAAATCTCATATTATCTGTTAAAATCTGTTCCAGTAAAGCTGTAACAAATATTACATGTAATCATATGATGCAATACATCTGAGTTTGCAAACTAAATAAGAATTATAAAGAAAAACATTCAAAATAGTTATACTAACCAAGTTGTAGAGCTGTCAGCTGTGGTCCATTTCCAAACAAAATATTGTCTAACCATGAGGAACAATTCTTCTCCTGTGTAGATAAAGGACAACCAACCAACATACTGCCTAAACATTGGCCAATCAATGTAGAGCATGTTCTCTCCATATCAATAAACCAACTCCAACTCATTGATTTTTCTGCTAAAATAAAAACTGAAACATTAAACTTTAATGAACACAATGGAGGAAAATGTTAATGTGTCAAAAAGATTTAAAAGAACTGGAACTACTTGATAGTGAATGTTTAAAAATGTAAATAGCAAGCATTTAATGCCTATTCAAAATGACCTTAACCTATCTTAAGTTTTTAAATTTATATGACTTTATCTTTGTTTCATTGCAGATTAGAGATGTATGCCCTGTGTTTGCACTGAAGGTAAAAAAACACTTATAACTCAAAATATAAAACTAAAATAGGTACAATACTTTCCGGCCTGTTGATATATGATGTCATGTGCCAAATACATGCTTTTGCAACACTATTCTTGGCAGTAACATGTAAATTTGCTATAAATATATATGTCCAAGACAAACAAATTGAACAAAATTGATTAAAAAAAAAAACTATTTAAAAAATTATGTTCACATGAAGACATTTTAGCCTGACCAAACAAGTTATCCTGATCGATATCCAGACAGTCTTTCCTCTTACTCAATATCCCTTTATGTTATTGGAGAAGTAACAACCACCAATTTTATAGTCTTTACCCTTTGTTACGCTCTATATATTAAAATTGGCTTAGATGATGTGGCTGAATTTTTTCTAGAATTGAACTGAGACCTAAAATTTTTTTACTGTATTTACCATCTTTATTTTCTAATTCTGCTGATTCTATAGTATTAACTTCAGGTAGAATTCTAGAGATCTGGTCCAGTTTAGACAATAAAGACATCAACTCATGCATCATGGGACTGACTTTCTCCATGGGCAGTAATAACAATGCATGTAACATATGAAATAGTATAGCTCCTGCTGGGGACTGATAAAGAATATCTGGAAAAAAAAGCAAAATCAATGAAATGACATATAGGTAATTATTCTAAAAGAAAATCAAAATGAAATGTAAACTGAGCTTTAAAAGAAATACAATTATATGAATAAAAGGACACATGTACATCAATATGAGTTTTTATGGACTTAAAAATCAAAATACACCCAAGGCCTTAGACCAAAGCCGTAGACCAAAGTCAGTTTGGGATCCTAATGTAAAAACAAGAGTGCACATGCAGAAATGTTTCACCTGTTTTCAGATATTCTGATTACTTTATCCATTTCCATATATATATATATCATTTTGTGTAACTTAGTGGGAGATTTCATTAAAACCTGTACATCTACACTTTTAGAAAAAGAAAAAAAACGTTATTATCATAGTATAGATCAAAATTATTGAATATAATTATAATTCAAAAATTTACCTTCAAAAGAAGTTAAATAATAAATGATACCTTACCTTCAATAGTTGTTAGGAGCGAGGTTGACAAGTTATTATCAGAAATCAGCTGTTCTACTTTACTCAGGATGTTCTTTACAACAGGTAACATGAGAAATAAATGTTGGTGCAATAATTTCACTACTGGTGATATCTGTCAATTAAAAAAACAGAAAAATTACCAATCAATGAAGTTTATCACAGATATATTTTTCATGCCAATCTGTGAAGCAAATGATCAATTATCAATTGTATTTGAGATTTGCAGGTTAACTGCGACAGTACTGTTTAGATTTTTTTGTCAGTAATTAGTTGATATAACTGTGCATTAACATTTCATGACAGTGCATTAACATTCTTAAATGCACAGATGTATTCATCAACACCTAGCAAAAAAATTTGAAAAAGGCCAACTTGAACTTGCAGAGAGTTTGGTATTTTGATCAGCGTTAAAGGCTTCACTGTGAATTTAAGAAGAAGAAAAGCAATAAATGCACAGTTCCTTTACTACGGGTTTTGTCAAATGCATAGAGAATCTTTATGTCATAAGTAAATACAATGTATTCCTGCTTTTTCAGTATTTACTCTGCTCTCCGAATACATCTGTCCCGAATTTTAATAAAAGGTTTAATCAGTGACTGGAAAACTCCTGCTCTGTTCTTTATGACATTAAAAAACATGGATTGCTACAACTTCAATGTATAAATCTATCCATCTTGGCAAACATCACAAATAGACATGCATACAAATTAAGTCAAGAAATTCTGTACTACATGTACTGTTGTCATCATTATTATTCGTGAGGTACAAATTTTTTGGATTTCATTGGTAAAGGTAATCCATGAATTTAAATGTTCAAAAAAGTGTAATTTTTTTAAGAGCCTAGAATGCAGAGTTTGGCAAAAATGCACAAATTAAATATCCAGGAGTACACATAAATGAATTTTTTCACCAATTTTTAAAAAGAATCCAAATGCTTAAAAATCTTCACCTGCATATAATACATGTAAAATATCCAGTTTCTGTAATCTTTTTCAATAAAAGCAGTTAAGGTTAAGGTGAGCTGGAAAGAGTTTAAAGTTATCAATCTCTGGCTGGTAGAAGATCAAATATTTTTTAAGAATAACATTCTAATTGCTTTGGTTCAAGGTAAAAGTATAAGAAAAAAGAATTCAAACCATCTTGATTTATATTCTGGAATAGCCCTGAAATACTTTAACAAATTTAAAATATACAAACCACTTGATGATCAGATGATCTGTTATAACAGAAAGCTAGGAGATGTTTATGTAATGCAGACAGTAGAGTGTGTAGATGTGGTGGAGATTTATATTCAAAGGACTGGATGTCTGTAGCTTTATCTAAGTTTTTACCCAAATCATCAAGGGTCTGCTCCTGTTAAAAAACATAAATGTGTATCATTACTAAATATAAGAAATGTCTTTTAGACTGATGAGTCAACATTTAACTATTTTCTTAGGAATACTAAAGCATTTCAACATTATTATTGTTTGATACTGTGGATTCATTATTACTTGTGGGATACCACTCTTCATGGATTTCGTGGGTAAATCTGAACCACAAATTTAAATGTTCAACAAAGTATAAATTCTGTATAGACTTGCATGCAGACTTCAGCAAAACCAAATATCCATAAATAAAAATTTCCTGTAATACACGAAAATATAAGAATCCACAGTAGTTGAACAAGGGTCTTTATATAGACAGTAATAAAAAAGATCCAAAAACTTGCATGATTAATAAACTCTAAAGTGCTAAAATATATCTTGAATAAATTTAGGAAAATATTTTACATAATTGACTTGATGAACATATTAAACTTCTAAAGGAGTAGGCCCAGTAAGACCCCTTTTTGGCCCCAAAATATAGCAGTTTTACAAAATTGTTAAAATGTAAATTTTTAACTATTTATTGGCTAGAAGAATACTTCTGTTACATAAATATGGGCTGTTTTTGACAATACAATGCACATGTATCGGGTACTAGCATCATTAAGTCATGCTAAATTACTGAAATCTTCGAAATTTTAGCATTTTGGTTAATTTTTAGACGGTTTCCGTCTGAAATGGAAGTGGCCGCATTTGTGTTCATTCTTAATATTTAAATGTAAGTTGTATTTGATGATAATACATAACATATATAAAGGTTGAGAATGAACACGGATGCGGCCACTTTCATTTTTGACAAAAACCATCTGAAAAGTGACATATTATAGCATATTTAAAAGATTTTTCATATTTAAGCTTGAATTTGAGCTTCAATAATGACTAAATCAGTTCAAATCTTTCACATAAACTAATTGAATCGACTAAAGTAGACACTTAAGTGTTTAAAAAGTGTCCAAAATCTTTCATCAGATGAACCTGAATTTTGAGGCCAAAATCGGCCCTTACCGGACCTACTCCTTTCACATATTTCCTTTTTGCAAGACAACAAAAAAAAAATACTTTACTGTTTCATAAGCTAAGTTCCTGAGAACAGTCTTCATAAGTATTTCTGAGAGCTGTAAATCTGAGAGTTCTTTCTGGCTAGTACTACCACCTCCCATTCTGATATCTTGTGTATCACTAAAACCAAGTAAGGTGGCTATATGGTTACTGTCTTGTAGACTTATTAATATAATTGTCAACTGCATTTTCTACAAAAGAAATTTTAAAATTAATGATATATTTGTTTTCTATTATCTAACAACTTTTATATACAATACAAACTGTCACTTATAGTGACATAGTTACTCAGTAACTGAACTAATTAGTTAAAAAATAAAATAAAAGGCCTTATCAAGACAAACCGTCATACACAACTAAATGAACGAGCAGTAATGATAAAATAGTTTTTTGTAGTTTTGAAACAAGGATGTTAGAAAACTATCTGAACACAAAGTTACTGACTGGATAAGAAGGAACTTCAATAGCAAATAAGCTTTTCTTTCATTAAATTAATTAAACTTTGTAATTTCGATTCAATATCAAAATGATTATTCTTGCATGCAATATTCTTTCATTTATTTTTTTAATATCATATAATTTCAAGACTTTACAAATTAATAAGCCATACATAATTAATCTTTCAAAATCCAACATAAAAATCACTAAAAAATTGTATTAACAGTAGTGTTTTAAATGACAAGAGTATTTACCTGTCCCAAAGATAAATCAGTCCATCTCTCCTGTCCTTTGGGTAGCAGTGAAAGAAGAAGTTCCATTCTTTCTCTAAGAGGTGGTAGCAGCAGAGGAGCTCCAACAGAAAGAGTTTCTGCAACAAGCTACAAAAAATAAAGGAAATACGTTAAAAAAAATTCGTAAGGGTTCCACGGAACCCAGTGTCTCACCTACTTTTGCTGTTAATCACAGGCTCAACAAAAATGAGGAAAAAAATTAATAAAAATATTCCTCTCTATACTATCTTTTGATTGTAAGTAGCTTCTGTCCAAGTTTGGTAAAAATCCAGGATAGTTTATGAATCTAATAAATGTTTTAAAAACTTAAACTGCAGACTGTTATGTAATGTTAACTGGAAGAAAAACTAAGTCCATTTATAAGTAAAATATGGAAAAAATGGAACAAAATTTTATCAAAATTTCGTTCTAGATACTAGCTTTTGAACATAAACAAGCTTTTGATCATAAAAAAAGCTTCTGTCCAAGTGTGGTACAAATCCAGGATAGTTTAAGAAAGTTGTTAAAATTTTAAAAACTTTAACCACAGAGTGAATGTAATGTTAACTGGCAGAAAAACTAAGTCCATCTATAAGTAAAATTCGGAAAAAATGGAACAAAATTTTAACAAAATTTCCTTTTAGATACTAGCTTTTAATCATAAACAAGCTTCTGTCCAAGTTTGGTACAAATCCAGGATAGTTTAAGAAAGTTGTTAAAATTTTAAAAACTTTAACCACAGAGTGAATGTAACGTTAACTGGCAGAAAAACTAAGTCCATTTATAAGTAAAATACGGAAAAAATGGAATTTTATTTTTACAAAATTTACTTCTGGATACTATCTTATGATCATAAACAAGCTTCTAAATCCAAGTTTGGTACAAATCCAGGATAGTTTAAGAAAGTTATTAAAATTTCAAAAACTTTAACCACAGAGTGAATGTAATGTTTCCTGGCAGAAAAACCAAGTCCATTTATAAGTAAAATACGGAAAAAATGGAATATTTTTTTTACAAAATTTACTTTTGAATATTATCTTATGATCATAAACAAGCTTCTGTCCAAGTTTGGTAGAAATCCAGGATAGTTTAAGAAAGTTATTAAAATTTCAAAAACTTTAACCACAGAGTGAATATTTGTGGACGCCGACGGAATGTAGGATCGCTGTCTCGCTTTTTTTCGACAAAAGTCGAAGGCTCGACAAAAAGTAGCCAGCTGTTTAAGCAAATGAGGGCGAAATTTGGGGTTAGAGTACATTGATTCTATTCTACAATGCATTTAATTTATTAAATTCTAATTGATTACTTCTTTCATTTCTTAACACCATCAATTTAGTTTATATCTAAAACCAATGACTATATTTAAATGATACTTTCAGTGAATCTTTGGTATATATATTGGTATTTTTCCAAATTACTTTGAGTTTATCATAGCAAAATATTTGATTCCCACCTTCTAAATTTCGATGAATCTTTCTTAGATTGTTTCTAACATAATGCTACACCATGCCCTTAAATTTTATTTTTGATATATCTAATTATAAACTCATCAACCTCAGGCTATTAAACAAATTATTTTTTCTTAAACCGAACACTTAGAATGACAAATAGTACCTCATGTATTGACTGTGGTAAGTTACTATCTATCAGCCTAAACAATAGGTTCCTTAGAGGTGAAGCTTGCTGTCCCAATAGAACATTGGTCATTCCTCCAGCTACAGCTAAGGACAGATGGGTACTTAACATCTTTAGGCATAACACTACAAAGTGATAGTGTTCTCTGAAATTAAAATATACATATTGGTTTTAAAAACAATTTAAATTTCAATTATAATCACTAATCAAAAGTAAATTGATTAATTATTTAAGAAATTATTTATATGCATCTTTATATAATGTATTATGTGTGTGAACAATTTTCATGTGACATGTGTTTGCTTGTGAAAATTGAAAACAAAGTTTTGAGAAGTAAAATAAACTCTTTTCAGACAAAATTATTGTTTACACTGATTTACTTGCACCACATGCATTAATGGACATTCTATTTACTTTTGAATGATCTCTCGGTCTCTGCAAGATCCTGAATATTTCATTTTTTTTCGAAGTTGTGTTGTTGCCCTATCCAGAAAAAAACATTATTTATTCTGATATTTGTATTTTCTCTTTGCACTTATAAAATGTTTGTATGCAATGGCTGAAATACCATGTGAGGAAATGCTTATCATTTAAAAGCTCATAACCAAATATCTTTTTATGTTTGACATAAAGATCACCCCTAGACCTGTCGGTGACTAAATCAAATCTAAATGGAATGCTTCATTATCCACTGTCCACCTATTAACAGGCTATTCTTAATTTGAATAGTGCCTTGAAAATCAAACTGAACTCTTTCACTTTCAAATTGACTGCTCATTGGTATGATTTATGCTCTGGATGATGCTATGAGTGTAAACTTACTGTTTTGTAGGAAATGGAGGGAGAGGTGAATCACTACTAAATCCTGTACAGAAATGTTCTAGGAATGATCTCATGGTAGAAAAAGTTGCTTCTTGTAAGTCTACACAGAATGGTCTGTGCCATGGTATAACATGTCTGTAATGGCAAATAACAAGAATGGTGTAACATTTTAGTATTATGAAAACAATATCATTTGAATTAACTTACAAAAACAATGTCATTTGAATTAAATTACAAAACAATATCATTTGAATTAACCTACAAAAACAATGTTACCTGAATTAACTTACAATAACAATGTCATCTGAATTAACCTTAATACAAAAACAATGTTATTTGAATTAACTTATAAAAAACAAGTGAAACTGCTAGCTACTGCTCACTGATGATACCCCCGCCGCAAGTGGATAATTTTAATAGTGTAAAAATATGTAAGTGTTCAGTAAACAGGAAGTTGTTGAGTGGTGAATCTGAAAACACATTACACAGTATAGCTGACTTATATAAAACCTGAAACCAAATTTCAGAAATCCTTATGATGTAGTTCCTGAGAAAGATGCGAACTACTAATAAAAATATTCATGGGATTGATGGATGTTTTTTTAAAGTTGGGGTATAAAAAATCATCATTTGAAATTTAACTTTTAATGTAACAAAACATGCATTCAATTGAGAGATATATTATCTATCAATTTATTTTAGTCAATTTATGACGATTCCCATTCAAATGCACATAACACTTTTTAAAGTTCACAGTAAATGTAATAATAGAAAGGCATTCTTTGGTAACAGTCACAAAATAATACAAAGTAATCTTATATTTTCAACATTGTGAGTGATTTTTTTAGGATCAATTTTGGTAGGAAATACTGTTAAAAAAACTTTCCAAGTCTACAGGTAAAATGCTTACACATGTTCTAAATTTTAAAATTTCATATGTTTCATTGCATAAATAGAGATCAAAGAAACTTTTTCAGGGAAAAAACTATGCATATCTTTTTTTATTTCCCCACCTTTTTGTGATAAAAATTAATGATTCAATATCCAGTATTTTTATATTTTGTCCTCCAAAGCTAATATTAGCAGATAGCTATTGTATTTTAAGCTTGGCCTACATAAAACTTTCCGTTTTAATTTTGCAAAGTGAGTTTAACTAGCGACATGTTGTTACAGACAGGTAATCTGTGGATTTAAAGTCCCTCAAAATATATGATGTTTTCCAATCAAAATCATCATTACAAATGATTTACGTAAGAATTTACAATTTGAAATGGATGCCTAATTATTGTGATGTAAACAATACCTGTCAATAGGCAATGATGTCCATGCTACACTGTGAGACGTTCCAGCTGATATCTGATGAATATTTACACCATCTAGTCCTATCACTTTCCTTGGTCTAGTCAGTGGACTTTGCGCATGACCTTGTCCACACTGACCCATGGCATTATTACCCCAGGCATATACTTCATTGTCTGTAAAAAGTAAAAAATACAAAAAAAAATTTATGACGTTTTTAAAATAAAAAACATTAAAAATACAGTAATATGAAAATAAGAAGATATGGGGTTAATGTCAATGCGTCAGCAATCAAAAACACAAAAGTAACATAAATGACCACTAGAGGTCAATATACAGTGATCATTGATAAATACCATAAATATTTCATAATGGGTAACTACATTGTGTGGTGTTCTCTTTTATCAATATTAATAATTCTGAAATAGAAAGTGCAGTTCTTTCTGTTTATGCATACTATAATTATTTTTGTAATTGAAGAGTCCAAATCAATCCATAAGTATGGACACAGAACACTTGTTCTCATGCACATTTATCACATGTTCCGCCTATATAAGTTTCATGTATTTATTGTGTAAACAGGCCTTTCTTTAACCTTTTCAATGGTCAGCAGTACAGATGATGTGAATGACTTTATGTACCAGTTTTCCAATATAAACTAATAACAACATACCATGAGATAAGGCCAAACAATGACTGTCTCCACAAACAATATCAATAATTCTTTTTGTCTGTAAATCTTCAACATTTCTTGGTCTCAAAGCTGTAAATTCTGCAGAACCACATCCTAAACAGGGACCACAACCCCAGGTATATAACTAAAAGACAAAACAGTTAAGTGTATTGCTTAGTAGAAAATATCAATTTAAATGAAAAGCATACATCTTCATATTTTGACCTAAAATTATATAAAACTACAAACTTTCTCATTTTAATTAACTGAAGAAATTACTACGCAATCCTTAATCGTAATCTAAAGAAATATTTAAATTTTTTATTCTTTTTTTTTCTTCTTTTTTTTTGGTACTTTTTGTTTTTGTTCTGTGTCTGTATTTCAACTAGGGTTCTTTCTCCTTAACATGTTCATCCTACTCTTCAAGAAAATAGCATCTTACATGGAATACTTAGAATTAATCAAATTAATTATACCTGTCCTGTTGATGACAGTGCCATGGAACACTGACTTGTACAGGCCACCTTCCTAATGTACAGTCCTACAAAAGCTTCTATTATCTTTGGTTTATATTGTCTATTGGTATCCCCATGTCCTAGCTTACCTAAAATATTTATCATATCACTGCATTTTGTTTATTTAGTATCTGATTTATCAGGTATAAAATGAAGCAAATTACTTTTTGGAATTATGAAAAAAATTTGCCACACAAGTCATTTGATCAGTTTGAACTGTTAAGTCTTTTCAATTTATTTCTTTTGCACAATGCTGATAAAAAGTGTTAACCAGTACTGTATTTGTCATGAAAAACAACTTCTCATGGATCTTGGGACACACAGCAGTGTGCATAATTCATTTTTTTCTGACTTTTTTCATTGGTAAATTGCAGTTTTTTTCTAATAATATCATGCAAATTTTTCATTCTGATTTGTTTTTTAATATATGTATTTATTATAATGTGATCATGATTTTTCTTCTTGTCAAACAAATGATTACCATTATCACCACCTCCAAATGACCAGACATGTTTGCCATCTTGAGATACAGCCAGAGTATGTGAACTACCACATGTCACTTGTCCAACTGGTCCTATATCCTGAACTTTAGTAGGGAAATTCTTACTGTTACTATCACCATGACCTGTGAATAGACAAACAACAATTTTCTTTCCTATTAAGTAACTACAAAAATTTAAACTTATTTAAAGTCATACAAATATACAGTATTCCATGCATCTATCTTGATGTGATTTTTCATTTATATACAAAGTTACATAGCTGTCTTACACTAAATCATTATCTAAATACAAATATAACAGTCCAACAAAATGGATGATATGGGATTTTGTTTCAAGGTGTTTTCAAAATCTCCCTCTGGGTTTCAATCATCCTCAGAAACATTTGCACTGTCAGCCTGATCCAGATAAATAGTTGTCCTTCCTTTAGAAGCAATGTAACAGATACACAATTCACCTCCCTAAATAACAAAACTTAGTTAACATGCCTTTATCTCCCTCCCAAATTATGTTGTCTCCAAAAGCACATAATTCTGCTTCCTCAGTAACACTTACCTAATCTACCATAGTCTCCTTCTCCCCATGTATAAAGTTCTCCTTCCTCAGTAACGGCAGCACTGTGTCTGTATCCAGCTGATATACACTTCACAACCTTAAATCATTATAAAGTTATAATAAAGAGCTGCACCATGAGCACATGATACGCCCGCCGCCCTTATGCTTTAAATAAATTTATATGATCAACTAGAAATACTGTAAGCACTGCTCAAAAACACCCCATCCCCTCAAAAATAAAAAATACACACAGTGGTAGCCATTGACACAAAACATGAATAATTTTGACTATATAAAGGCTACATCAAGTTTAACTAAGTTTGTGGCCTCGATTTTTGAAAGAATAAAATTCTATAACAGTCCAAAGTGTGAAAAATGGACAGTAATAAAAGATATTTCAACGACAAATGTTCCATAACTCCGCAATGTCATATCAGAAATTTATAAAAAAAACAAAAGGGAACTTAAGCCAATAAATATAAACATTTCACGTAAGTTCATGAAAATTGCTCAAAGCATTTTTGAGTTATAGGAACTTTGAACCACATCTTCCTATTTTTGATAGATATGATGAAATTTGACATGTTTTAGTTTTAAACTTTTATTGCTAATGGCCATAGTGAAACAAGCAAGAAAATTTTGTAATGTACTAAGAAGTAAATATTTCACAATATCTACATTTAACTAAATATGTTTTGAAAACACCCTGCCTGCTGCCAAATAATACAAGGGCAGTAATTCAACATAGGTTAACCAAAACAAACACGAATTAGCATTATATATGCATGAACTTAAAATCAGTTCAACATCTAGAGGCATAATAAAGAAAGTCTGATAGGACACCTGAAGGATTATGGAAGAGCTGAATGACAGCAGTTTGGAATGACAAACATGAGACATTTATTACTGTAAATTCAGAAACTAATGCATGCATTTATTATTGCCAATCCTTGACCTTTGGCAAACATGTGAAATCAAATAAATGCTATTGAAAAAAAATAATTTATGACAGAATCACTACTGGAATAATGAATGAGAGTTTTTATTATTGACATCCTGATGTTCTCGCATTTAATAATAAAAACATCACAATAATTTCTGAATTTACAGTAGCTACTGAAGATAGTTTTTCACGAATCCAGAAACTTTCAAACTACAATAAAGTCAATAGAAGCAGAAGTATAAAGTCAATGATGTAAGGATTAGTTGCCCTATGCCAATATGCTCTTAATATTATCAATATCATAAATAATTACTTCTGAACATATTCAAAAAATTACAAACCTTTCCTGACAGCAAGCCTTGAATAACTTTTGGGCTTTTCTGTGTGGAACTTGTTCCATGACCTAATTTTCCATAATCACCTTGAAGAAGTAAACAAAAGAATTAATATTTCATTTTGAAAAAAAATGAAACTAAAAACTTTAATCTGTTTGTTCTTTAATTAAAAATAATGTTAAAGGCTATTGCAGTGTTATGTAAAAGTATGTTTCTACAGTATGTCAGAACATAACAGGTAACATAAATATATATATTCATAAACAAATTAAATATCCATAAAAGGAGACAGTTCGTTTACTTTTAATTAATTACATTACGTGTATGTTTCATTATAATACGTTATTTGATTGGGTAACAGCAATCTCGAGTCATTCCGAAATTAACCTCCATTTCAAAACGAAATGTAACATTCATGATGACACGAGCTTCCATAATAAAGTGCACAGCTAAATAAAAGAAAAACTTGATAGAAATCGTGTTTTCATGATCCTAGCAAAAAAATGTAATTATAAGTATTGAATGCTTCTTTTAGAAATTTTATAGAGTTGTAAAAGCGTTGACCGTGCCCACATTTTTAGAATGGAGCGCTTCCGTGCTTTTACACTCCAATAAATTTACAAAAAGAAGCATTCAATTCTTACATAAAAGTATTTGAAAATAACGGTTTACATAATTCCTGTTATAAAACTCTATAAATATCATTGTGAAGGAAAAAACAGTTTTTTGTATTTGTCAAACAGTCTTGCTTGTGTTTCCCATCATAAACAGATAAAAATATCTCTCTTTCAAATACAAGCTATTATCTTGTATGACAACACAATTACCATCTCCCCAGCTGAAAACATCCCCTTCTGTTGTTAAAGATAGAGTATGACCATCAGATCCTTTAGATGACGTGATTCTCTTGATACATCTTTTAGGGTCAAAGGTTAACTTTTTAGGTACAGCTCTGTTATTTGAATCTCCAAGTCCTAGTCTTCCATAACTGCCCTTCCCACATGCACTGACAGATCCATCTGGGTGAATTATAAAAGAACAAAACTGTCCAGCTTCAACCTTAAATGTAAAATTAAACATTAAATTATTAAAATGTGCCACACATCTTATATGTAAACCGAACAAGAGACACTATGTCTATATTTTGGTTCAATATATCACAAATAATTTGTATAAGTTGTCTTTTATAGTTGCTGTTACAATATTTCAATTTTTGCATGGAAGTCAGTATATTGGAGAAAGAATCCTTAGCCTTTTGAAACTGAGTTCACCCCAAGATTTTAATGGGATCATATTTCTCAAACTTAGGTTTCTGTGTAATGTTTTGTGGACAATTCTTTTTCTTTTCACCCTTTTCTTTGGTGTTATCTTTTCTTCTTCAATTTTAAGTTTTCTCTTGCCACTTTTGTATCCAACTGCAATGGACACTTTACAATAATACTGTTAGCTTGTATGAAAGAAATATGGCATACCAACAACATCATTGTGCAACTTTTCCCTATCTTGATCAAGCCATATATCATGTAATGTGAATTCGTTTAATTTCATGGATTAAGGTCAAAGTTGTATTTCGTGGATATCTTAATTCATGGTTTTTCCAAAGTCTTCATACAAGCCTATGGAAAATTTGTATTTCATTTGACACTTATTTTCATGTCTTACGTTAACCAAAGAAATCCACGAAATTTGGTATTCCATGAATAACAATGAATCCACAGTATATATAAAGTATTACATGCTTGTTTTTTTATGGTAAAACTCATATATTTTCATACTTTAAATCTGTATCATTTACCTGCTGACATTCCCCAAATGAAGAAGCCTGTTTTGGCGTAAGAATTTTTTCCAGACTTCCTTCAGCAAGCTGATCACTTGTGTTACTGCCCCATACATAAACATCACAGCCACCACTAACTCCTGTATTGCTGTTAGAGACTGAGGAGTTAGAGTTTTCATCAGGTCCGACACAATAGTTACTGGCATAATCAGCTGCTAAGTTGTACAGCTAAAATATAGCAGTGAAATATTTATGATCATATTGCATAAATAAATTGTACCATTAAAGAAACACATCAGCTTTAATTAAACAAGTATAAATCAAAAGTCAGATTCCACTTTTTTCTGTAAAAATGCATTTTTTTAGTGACCCATAAAATAAGGAGTACAGGCTAGGGCTAATATAAATTAATGTCAGGTGAATATGAGCAGTAAACCATTGTAATACAATATACAAATCAACAGTGTTCTTCTATTTTATCAATACAATGCTCTTAATGGCTGAGACACCTTGACTCTTCCATTTGGTACAGCGTATTTCAATTAAGAGAAATAACAATAGTTTAATCGTGAAACACATTACTCAATATGTAGAAATTTGAGTAAACTGAAAACTCATCTCAGAAATGTTTTAATATTTTCCTTATGACTGATTTTCTTTTACCTCCTCAAGAAGTACTACAGCAGCAAAGTACAAAGACACAAGATTATCTCTATCTAGTGGTGGATTTCTAGTGAATGCTCCTCCTGTCATCTCTGCACCTCCCTAAAATGCAAAAAATAACTATATAAATATTCATCTTTTAAAGTGAATTGCATTGCAACCTCTTAAAAAGTTTTAATGAACCATTGTATGTTGTTAGGTTACTTTTCATTGATGTTTATTTCACAACTCCTTTTATTCATACATACAGGTAAATTAAGTGTTAATGTAAACAGACAAGTCCCAAATAATCACAAACGTTTTCAAATCTTGAAATAAAGTAATTTTTACATGTTTCCTTGCCGCTCTCTAAATCAGCAATTCCTCTATAAATCTGTCAATTCAAATTTGCCAACTAAATTGTCATGAATTCTGTTTTCTACACAACTTACCACAGATCTTATCATTTGTTTAACTGTATTTGTGAAATATGTCCAACTGATACGACCTCTTGATGATCCAGATTCTGTTCCTATGGTAACTGCAGAATGCATAGCCATGTTGATCCATTCTAAAGCATAGCATAGGGAACCTCTTTGTGCAGCCAATGATATCATAAGTTCTGCTGCTAATTTTTGACCTACTGGATCCGCACCAGCCTGAGAACTTGCAACTGCATGGAGAAAACTGTTGACTTGGTTTAGAGATTCAATTCCTAAAGGAGTAAGCTTAGCTTCATTTGCAAGGGAAAGCGGTGGAAAGCTAGATACTATTGACACTGCTGTTTGGAGAATTTCATTTGAAAATGATAATTGTCCTGTCTGTCCAGCTAAAAACCAATTCTGTTTTAACAAAGAAAACAACAAAGTCAAGCCAGTTTTTATACCCAATTCCATCAATGCATCACTGCCTTGTGGAAATTGGAAGTTCAAGTTGGTACCTTGACAGACTGACTTTTTGTCATTAATATTCTGATTTTCTACCCCTTGGTTATATTGCCTATGATGTTGTTTGCAATATACAGCATGATAAATACGTTGAAGCACAATCAGTCTTTTCTGTAAATGCTGAAAAAATCTAGATGAATTGCATACGACTCTGGCAAGATTTCGCTGACAACCAAGGAAAGCATTAATTAAATGTTCCTGCTCATCAGGTGAAACCATATCATGTTCAAAGTCTGGTAGTGATGGACCCTTTAGACTGACTGGTTGCATGGGAAGTATAGAGATTTCTTTGTTGGACTGAAGCCTCTCGTATAAACCTTCCAATCCATAATTAGATGAAATACTCTCACAATCTTCATTCATCCAACTGGCATTGAAATGGTCAGTGAACTTTGTATGTACTTGTGAATTCATACTGGGTCTCTACAACAAAATAATTTACAATATCAAAATCCCTTACAACAGGACCAACATCCGGTATATGCTTCCTTATTTTAGTTTCCCTTTTCAACAGGAATTATGCTTGGATTATTTTTTTTTCAATTTGGTAAAACAAGTTATATATTGTTTAGCCTTCATTATGAAGCAAATGACATAGAGTATCTCCACTCCAGTATGTAAATATATTGTTCTTTATATATTAGGGTTAATTTCTCTACTCCAATCAGGGGCGTAGATAGGTATCGAATAAACTGTAGGTACAAAATGCGGCATGGGGTCCAGCATAGATAATCGTAGCCTTTTAATTAAGCAGTACATCCTCTTTAGTATTTTTATATCTATTCCTTTCTGATTGAGGATAATTGATATATATCATATGTACTTATTGACGATCCTTCATTAAAAAAATAGGCACGTAAACACTGAGACTACTACCTTTATATAAAAATACTATCTTTTTGGCTAGGCATCGACCATTCATCTTTTGATTCTTAAACCTTTACCCTCCCCGGCCACACAAACACATATGCACACACAGTCGATGCCTAATGCAGAAGTTCGGTTCTGTTCATACATGTACTATCTAACAAAATTCAAGAAATTTATATTTTCTGATATCCTGTACTGTAAAATCCCTACCTGCCTTGGAATTTGAATAATTATTGTCATCAAACGTAGATCTGAGAGTACTAAAAATTACTGAAAGCTAGTTGATTGATTGATTGCTAAACATCCAGTGGCAAATAGTTCATGCATGTTCAGGACAAAAACAAATTTACAACTGAACAAATACAACAGGTAGTACAGTAAAAGGGGTCATCCAGGATGAAGGTCAGGAAATTTGGAAATGCCCTTGGAAACTGAGGGTTTATTGGATAGGGACAGAAATTTTGCCCTGCAGCAGACCACCTACGGACCCCTGAAAGAGTTGTTTTAAGTGTTCTTAACGTGCAGATAGCGTGGCATTCTCTCTACACTAGGCATCAGATTCAAAGCCCCCTTCTGACCAGACGTGACTGCGTATTTATATACCCAGCACAGCCAAACAGACGCCCCACTTTGGCAAGGGTTACATTGTAGGTCTGATGAAGACTAAGTGGAAAGCTAGCTGAAAGCCAACAAAAACTAATAAAAAAAATCATGTATCTAAGAATAAAATGTCAGGGTTTTGAGCATGATGAGATTCATTCAAGTATTAATTTGTTGATAGAAGTGAAATGATCTGAACCAAAGTTCTAGTTTTTAGTTTCTATATAACTTAAGGTGGAATATAATGTACATACAATTCTATCTACCACTCGGAGTCTCCATTCACTAAGGATGATAGACTAGCATACAAATGACATTTGATAATTAAAGAGTTTTGACGACTTCACGTGCATCTACAGATAACGTTGTCAGGCCATTATTTAATTGGATGAACACACAGCTACGGAATATTAGCAACAGCAAACAGCGAGCGTACACCAAGGCTAAAAGAACTAAAAACACTAAAGATTGGAAACGTTACAAATTTCTCAAGGCAAAGCTACAGAAAGAATCCAGGATTGCTCATGGAAAATACATGGAAGATATCATCAGCACAGAGCACAAGGAGCAACCAAAACGATTATGGTCCTACATTAAGAGCAGGAAACAAGAATCCACAGGCATTGTTATACTCAAAGACAAATATGGACTACTCCACAGCGATACACCAACTAAAGCTTCAATTTTAAACCAGCATTTCCAATCTGTCTACACCAAAGAGGACATACATAACATGCCACATATGGGACCAAGTCCATTCCCAACTATGGACAACATCACAGTTAGCCAGGCCGGAGTTTACAAGCTACTCCGTGGACTAAGACCATTTAAGCCACTGGGCCTGATGAAATTCCAGCTTATATACTTAAAGAAGCAGCTGAACACATATCACCATACCTGACCATTCTTTACCAGAAATCTTTGGACACTGGAATCATTCCTGATGACTGGCGAGCTGCCAACATTGTACCAGTCTTCAAAAAAGGTGAAAAACACAAAGCCTCAAACTATCGACCAGTCTCATTGACTTCGATTTGCTGCAAACTTTTGGAACATATTGTTCATAGCACCATCATGGATCACTTTGACTACCACCAGATCCTATGTGACCATCAACACGGTTTCAGAGCAAAAAGATCTTGCGAAACCCAACTCCTGATAACACTAGATGAAATTGGCAAGAATTTAGACCAAGGAGAACAGACAGACATCATCCTGCTTGATTTCTCCAAAGCTTTTGACAAAGTGCCCCACAAGAGACTCCTCCAAATCAAAGCACTGTAAGCGCTGTAGGCAGTTAACCAAAAACCAATGCAAACGTAATTATGAAAATTGTGGCAGTGTTGCTTCAAATTTTTTTTAAGATTTGAAAGAACAAACATTAAACATTCGTATATTGTACATTTATGTTCATTAAATGAATTGATTATTAAGACAAATTAATTAATATTTCATCAAGGTTTTCAAAAGCAACTCATATATCAATGTAAATGACCCCCATCTTCACCCCCAAGTGCATGATGTTACTCCATACCAGTTTGGAATAAAATGACAGGTGATTAGAAAACAGTTGGTCAAACATTTTCGGGCTTTACACTGCTTGAAAGATTTATATGTTTTCTTTAAAATGAGCCATAAATGAAAATTATTATAGGCCCAGAAATAATTTAATAAATAATTAAAGTAAATTCAATTAACCTAGACTCATTTTTTGCATCAATATAATTTTATCATAAACAAGAAATAATTGTAACAGGATGCTGTTACGAAGTCTCCCAAACAAAGCCCCCATAATTCGTCATTCCAATGGTCTCCTGACATTGGGCAAAGTCCAGTTCATATTGGTTTGGTCTAGTAAGTGATATGCATATGTGACACCTAGGAGATTGACCCTGTATGTCATTCAAATCTTTTTGAAATGATGAACATGAATAAATATGGTTTAGGTGTGGGTATCTCGACCGTTTACAAGTTCTCAAACAGGAGGGGGTGGGGTGACCCCAGGGACTCCCCCCATATTTCAGTTGATTTGTTATATTGTCCCATACATGAAAACATATGGTTTAGGGCTGGGGATCTCGACCATTTCCAAGTTCTCAAACAGGAGGGGCGGGGTGACCGGATGAACTCCCCATATATTTCATTTGATTTGTTATATTGTCCCATACATGAATATATATGGTTTAGGGGTGGGGATCTTGACTGCTTACAAGTTCTCAAACAGGAGGGGGTGTGGTGTCCCCAGGGACTCCCCCTATATTTCATTTGATTTGTTTTATTGTCCCATACATGAATGTATATGGTTTAGGGGTGGGGATCTCAACCATTTCCAAGTTCTCAAACAGGAGGGGTTGGGGTGACCCCAGGGACTCCCCATATATTTCATTTGATTTGTTTTATTGTCCCATACATGAATATATATGGTTTAGGGGTGGGGATCTCGATCATTTCCAAGTTCTCAAACAGGAGGGGGTGGGACAACACCGGGGACTCCCCCAAATTATTTTCATTTGATTTCTTTTATTGTCCCATACAAGTATATATATTGTTTAGGGGTGGGGATGGCGACGGTTTACAAGATAAAAGTACATTTTCAAATTGAAGGGGGTTGGGATGACCCCAAGGGACTCGCCCTATATTTTGGTTGATTTTTTTTATTGTCCTGTTCTCATTACTGAAGACGGCATGCGTCTATCACTGAAATAGTCATTTGAAAATTTAAAAAAATAAAATCCCATAGGTTTCTATAGTAAACCCCTCCCTTCTTCAGGCCTCTAAATAGACCCCAATGCACAAACAAAAGATTAATGGCTCCGCTAGACATGTTAGTCTTATATTTTATGAAACCCTAAGTAAATCTGACAAACGGTCTATTATCTAAAACGTCATCTCAGGGGTGCCACAGGGGACAGTCATTGGACCACTCTTATTCATGGCTTATATAAACGACCTGCCACAATCAACAACTTCTGAGGCAAGGTTATTTGCAGACGAATGCCTAGTTTATAGAAAAATAAAGAACAGAAAGGATAGCTAGACACTACAAGACGACCTCAACAAACTGCAAGAGTGGGAGTCAAGATGGCAGATGAATTTCCATCCCGAGAAGTGCATCGTGATAGGGATAACCAACAAAAGAAACCCACTGATAAGGAACTACCAACTACATGTACATGGTCACACCCTAGATGCAGTTGAGCATGGGAAATACCTGGGAGTCACTATAAATCACTACCTACAGTGGAAGACACATATCAACCAGACGGTAGGCAAAGCATCAAGGACACTAGGCTTCCTGAGAAGGAACCTAGGGCGGTGTAAACCAGATGTCAAAGCCAATGCCTACATCACCATGGTTAGACCAACTCTTGAATACGCTTCCTCTGTATGAGACCCCTACCAACAAAACCTTGAAAAAGATCTAGAACAAGTGCAGAGGAGGGCAGCCAGGTTCGTGTTCAATGAATACCAATATGTATCCCCAGGTTGTGTCAGCTCTTTAATCGTGTGTTAATGGAGACACTAAGATGGGAGCCTCTTAAAGATCGCCGCTGCAAAGACTGCCTCACCATGGCCTACAAGATACACAATAGATTGGTAGATATTGACCCATCAAACTACTACAAACCTGGAGATTCACGGACCAGAGGAGGTCACCGCATACACCAACAGCATACTCTAAAAGACATAGTACAGGTACTCCTTCTTCCTAAGATCAACCAGGGAATGGAACACACTACTGGAAAAAGCCACAACATCAGCTACACTAGAAGAGTTCAAAGCCAACCTTACCATCCTGCCAGAGGCCTTGACAGGAGCTTCTCACACCTAGAACTCCTTAGATCCCAGATGTATATAGTTTTAATTTGTAAATATTAATTACTTGCTGGTTTTGATAATGGAGGAGGAAAGGCCTCGTGTTTATACGAGCAAGAGTCATTATACACTCAAATAGAGTCCTACTCTGTATTGAAAGAAGAAGAAGAAAAAAAAAATTATGTGTAGGCACATGCCTAAAGTGCCTAACAACAGCTTCGCCCCTGCCAATGAAGTTTTTCAGACCAAGGTGTGCAATTTATGATTCTTGCGCTTTGGATATCATTCATAGGGGTTTATGGTCTAAATTTTCGACATAAAATCATGGTATTAGAAAAACAATGTCAATGAATGGTTTTCTAAACATTGAAATTAGTGTTCTTTGACCCCACTAAATACTAGTAACCCAAATTATTCAGGTCCCTCACATAATCAATCTATCCTACATGCTAGTTAATGAAGCCAGTGTACAGCAGGGGAACATATTGACTTAATTATTCTGCTTAAATAATTACTTGAAAATAAGGAAAAAGGTGTCAAAATTGAAACTGGAGTATAAATGAATGATACAAACTAATTGGTGCTGTTTCTGGTTACAGAAATGAACAAAATCATTTTTTTTTTAATGAAAAGACTTTACAGGACGATTTCAGAGGGCAGGTGGGGATGAAAATTTATAAATTATTTGCCATAATTTGGTCTTCGCATATACATTTTTAGTTACATGTATGGTCTATTGGGGCAAAATGTTGCCTTTATCATGAATGTTTGTGCCTGAAAATAACCTGATATCAATAAGAGCAATTAAATTTTTTATCACTGTAAAATATACTGTCCATTAATGGGATAATACCCATTTATGAGGATCTTTCCCTAATCAAAATGGATCAGATCTTATCTGATTTTTGGTTTTACAATGAGTTTCACCAAGTTTTGCACGTCTTCCCGTTTAATGAGAATACTAACCAGTCACTTTAATTGTAAATGCAGCATTCAGTTAACCTTCAAATGAATTCCGTGCATAATTTTAATAGATGCCTTCCAAAATATTGTTTACAATTTTGTAGTCTGCAACTTTACATGCCGGAAACAGGAATTTTAGTCAATGCGCATGACTACCTAGTGATTTCCGGTATAATACCACGTGTGTTTGTTTACCAACAAACTAAATGAGAGACACCGGACAAGGTCAACATTAAGGTTCATGCGGACCCTTTGGCTAAAATGGCTGCATTTTCACCTCAAAATTTACTCTGAGTACAGACAAACCTGTGTATCTTGAAAAGTTTTAAGGCATAGCATGCCGTAGATAAATAAAATTCAAATATATTTTAGGTTTTAGAAAATTATATTTTTATACATCTAAAAAACATCTAAAATGCAGCATTCAGTTAACCTTCAAATGAATTCCGTGCATAATTTTAATAGATGCCTTCCAAAATATTGTTTACAATTTTGTAGTCTGCAACTTTACATGCCGGAAACAGGAATTTTAGTCAATGCGCATGACTACCTAGTGATTTCCGGTATAATACCACGTGTGTTTGTTTACCAACAAACTAAATGAGAGACACCGGACAAGGTCAACATTAAGGTTCATGCGGACCCTTTGGCTAAAATGGCTGCATTTTCACCTCAAAATTTACTCTGAGTACAGACAAACCTGTGTATCTTGAAAAGTTTTAAGGCATAGCATGCCGTAGATAAATAAAATTCAAATATATTTTAGGTTTTAGAAAATTATATTTTTATACATCTAAAAAACATCTAATAATATAACCTGTATTTGAATAAAAATAGGATACGCGCATAGAGTGCGAACAAACCCAGGGGGCGAATGTGTAGGGTGTGAACTGACCTTATACCTTTATATACATAGATATAAGATGATTCACACGAAGGCTTTGAGAACAGCTCTTTTAGACTTTTGTTGATTTTCAGTTAACTATATACAGTTATGCTATAAAGTAACACTATAATTTTTTTGTAATTACTAAATAGTAAAAAATAAAATATAAATTGTAATGCAAGCTACGCAATGTATTTATGAAACTTTAAATGCATGAACATGTATCAAATTACATGCAATTTGGGCTTGTGAGGACACTGCTTAAGATTTCACCTGTAACCATCTTTTTTTTTCAAGTACAGCATGATTCTCAATAGAAAATCACATTGTCACCTCCTGAACCTTAACAGCACTCTAAGCAACGGAGCTAAAGCAGTACTTCCCTATTCAACATATTACGGCTGACTATAGTACATGTATCTTCTACTCAAGGGAAGCAATCCCATTGCATACTGACAAAGTAAAATTGTTGACTTAGAAGGCTAAAATTGGTTTAATTGGAAAATACATGTATGTGTGCAGCTGTCTGATATGCTGATATATTAACCAAGATTAGTCCTAAGTCACTGTGGTAGCACATGTTATAAAATGAAGCATATATTCTTTGTAGGTAGTCATGGTCATCCTACAGAATTTCATCAGATCATGGAATCTACTTTCAAACTCACCAGTGATAAACATAAGAAAGATGAGCACAGAACAATTACTACCAATACTGACATTATATACCAAAGAAAATTGTTCCCTTTGTGATGAAGCATTAGAGGTTCTTAGACCATACAAGCATAAGGTAAGCGTGCCACTACAATAAAGCTATGTTTGTTCCAATACAGACTTGTATTACTTTTACGGTAATATTGTACTAAAAGCGCGGAAATCACTATGTGATCCGTGTAAACTCATTGACCCTTTAAACAAACTTATTAGTAAAGGTTATCTTATTAATGTTAAGAATAAGATCTTTGAATATTGTTTACATTGGCACTAACATCGATTTTGTCATCAACAAATTAAAACATAACTAAATTTGTATTCTTTTCGATTGGTTTTTGGGATGTTTAAATACACATTCACGTTAATTTTCTATTAAGAGATTGCTTTATCTATATATAACATGATACATATTTATTTTAAGGTTAAATCCTAACGATCCTACTGCCTGTCGATTTTGTCATTGCACAAGTCATATAAATAAGAAGATGTGGTATGAGTGCCAATGAGACAACTATCCATCCAAGTCACAATGTGTAAAAAGTAAACAATTATAGGTCAAAGTACGGCCTTCAACACTGAACCTTGGCTCACTACGAACAGCAAGCTATAAAGGGCCCCAAAAAGACTAGTGTAAAACAATTCAAACAGGAAAACCAGCGGTCTAATCTATATAAGAAACAAGAAACACTTATGAACCACACCAACAAACCACAACCACTGAACAACAGGCTCCTGACTTAGGACAGGTGCATGAAATTGCAGCTGGTTTAAATGTTTTAAAAGCGCCAACCTTCACCCTAACCTGAAACAGTGGTATAAAATTACAACATAAAAAGACACACAATAAAATATCAATTGAAATGGCTTAACTCAATCAAAAAGACAATACACAAAAAAAAGGAAATATACACTGAACGAAAAATTTGATCTATGACACAATATAAATAAAAAATATGTTCAATGTCAAAAAGACAACTTTAACCTAGGACAAAATGGTGTTAACTAAAATAAGGTACACAGGTAAATTGAAATTAATAATTTTGTTGTTAGGAGTACAGAAACATTTTTTACAAAATAAATTTGTTATTCAGAGTACTCGCAGTTACTGAAAGCTAGTTAAAAGCCAAAACCAATTAATAATAAAAATCATGCATCAGAAACTAAAATCAATTAAAACACATCCCAGGCAGGGATTTAGTGTTTTAACGCCATGGACAGTCAAAGAAGACTTAATTCAATGTTTACTTATTTTCTGTTAATATCTCGTCTCACTATTTTTAATATGTACCACCTTTGATAAGTATTTTGTATGACAATAAATTTTCACTTCTGTACTCGTACTCTGAACAACAAATTTATTAATTTTTTTTTTGTATATAGATGCCTTATGTTATGAAGTTTCTGTCTGTCATATGTTCTTTGTCGTTGACCTCATTTTCATAGTTCAGTGATTACTTGAAAAAAAGTTATGATTTTTTGTAATGCCTTATTATGAGAAATAGGATAACTATATTTGGTATGTGCGTACCTTGCTTGATCCTCATGCCTGTCAGACCGTTTTCACTTGACCTTGACCTCTTTTCCTGGATCAGTAAATAAGGTTAAGTTTCATGGTCAAGTCCATATCTCAGATACTATAAGCAATAGGTCTACTATATTTGGTGTATAGAATGATTGTAAGGTGTACATGTCCAACTAGCAGGTGTCATCTCACCTTGACCTCATTTTCATGGTTCAGTGGTTAAAGTTAAGATTTTTGTGTTTTGGTCTGTTTTTATTCGACTGCAAAAGGAAAGGGGCCAAAATTAAGCATTTTTGTAACTTCCAGACAATTACTTGTGTGTTAGTGTATGGATCTCTCTGACATTGTACCACAAGGTTCCATATCACAAAGGGAATGCTGGGATTGATTTTGGGGGTACTTGCCTCAAAATTTTAGGAATTAGGGGCAAAAAAAGGGGCAAAAAACAAGCATTTTTCTAGTTTCATGACAATAACTTGTGTGTAAGTGTATGGATCTTTCTGAAATTGTACTACAAGGTTCCATATCACAAAGGGAAAGCTGGAATTTAGTTTGGGGGTAATTGCCCAAAACGTTAAGGAATAAGGGGCCAAAAATAAGCATTTTTCTAGTTTCCAGACAATAGCTTGTGGTCAAGTGTATGGATCTCTCTGAAATTGTACTGTAAGGTACCATACCACAAAGGTAAGGCTGGAATTGAGTTTGGGGGTAATTGCCCAAAAGGTTTAGGAATAAGGGGCCAAAAACAAGCATTTTTCTAGTTTCAGGACAATAACTTGTGTGTATGTGTATGGATCTTTATGAAATTGTACTACAAGGTTCCATATCTTAAAGGGAAAGCTGGGTTTGAGTTTGGGGGTAATTGCCCTAGAAAGTTTAGGAATTTGGGGCAAAAAAACAAGCATTTTTCTAGTTTCCAGACAATAACTTGTGTTCAAGTGAATGGATCTCTCTGAAATTGTACTGCAAGGTACCATACCACAAAGGGAAGGCTGGGATTGAGTTTGGGGGTGATGAATCATAAGGGGTTCAAGAAATTTGGGGGGGGGATTTTTTTTTCCTTTTTTTTTCTTTAAAATTTTCCATTTTAAGTTGGTTATTTCTGATTTATATATAAAAGCAAATAATAATGATATGGTTTGAATAGGTAAATTAAAATTTTTTAAGTTCTTAGACCACATTCATTCTGTGTCAGAAACCTATGCATTGTCAAATATTTAATCACAATCAAAATTCAGAGCTGTATCAAGCTTGAATGTTGTGTCCATACTTGCCCCAAATGATCAGGGTTCGACCTCTGCGGTCGTATCAAGCTGCGCCCAGCTGAGCATTTTATTTTAACCATATTTTCGAAGGAAAAATCGGGTTATTGATTTGGGGATGTACGGCGGACGGGCGGCTGCCAAACAGTGTCCGTTCAATAACATGAAAGCGCATTGACAAAATCATTTCAAATTTAGATATGTTGTTTCCGTGACTTAGTTCAATTTTCACGATTTTAGCTTTTCTCATTGATGAGTTGTAGACCTTTCAGTAGCAAAAAGTGATATTTTTTATATGATTTATTTTTATTTTGAGTTATTTCCCTTTAAACAGAAATGGTGTAATTAATAAGTATATGGATAGATAGTCTATCAATGATTGTATCTGTTCAATTGATTTTAGTCAGGAGTTGTCAAAAATTTCTTTATAACTATTTTTTTAAGTCATGTGTGTTTTGAAGATAGATGTCACAGTTGTTATGTGGTATTTTATTTTTTGTTGGGTGTGTTAATGTTTAATTTTTACTTGATCCTGTTGGGGGTCCAGATTTGCAAATATCATTTTCATTAGATACTAATCTATTTTTATTAAAGGATATATTTCATTACATTACATTGTGTAGATAAAGTTGTTGACATTGATAGATAAGTTGCAGATATTAGTTTGTGACAAATGAAAGAAAAAGTATTGGGAACTATAAATTGTATATATAAAGTTTGATTCCACTAATTTTTTTGAAGGTAACAAACATGTGGTAATTATCAATCACAATAATAATTGGAGTGACAGATTTATTTGAAAATTTTGTGTTTCCTAAGTGTTGTTGATGATAAGCTCTGTAGGACAGTATAAATATAGTTTGAAATTTACTGTTCATTATTAGACATTTTGAAGATAATTACAGATAAGTCTTATAGATTTTTAAAGTACATTGTATTAAGATATTTTGGAAATTTTTTTTTTCTTTTCTTTGGTAAATTGTTTGAAGAATTTTTTTTTTTGTGGTAGGTTTGTTTGGTATTCTGTATAAACTAATTTTCTGAATGCTATATATATTTTTTAAACTTGATCCTGTTTGGGGGTCCAGATTTGCAAATATCAATTCATGAAGGAAAATCCAGTTCGCTGTCACTCTGACAGCCTCTTGTCTAATACTATATGCAATAGGTCAGATATATTTGGTGTATGGAAATATTTTACAATGTACTCGTCAGTCTGGCAGGTTTTATTTGACCTTGATCTCATTTTCATGGTTCATTGCTCAATGTTAAGTTTTTGTGTTTTGGTCTGTTTTTCTTAAACTATAAGCAATAGGTCAACTATATTTGGTGTATGGAATGATTGTAAGGTTTATATGTCTGTCTGGTAGGTATCATCTAACCTTGACCTCATTTTCATGTTTCCTTGGTCAATGTTAAGTTTTTCCTGGTTAAGTTTGTTTCTTAAATACTATATTTGATAGGTCAACTATATTTGATCCATGGAATGATTATAAAGTGTAGATGTCTGTCTGGCAGGGTTCATCTGACCTTGACCTCATATTCATGGTTCATTGGTCAATATAAAGTTTTCATGGTTTGGTCTGTTTCTTGTATACTATAAGCAATAGGTCAACTATATTCAATGTATGGAATGATTGTAAGATGTACATGTATTTTTTGGTTTGGTTTATCTGACCTTTACATTTTTTTCTTGGATCATGTTAAGTTAATGTGATACTTGTAGTAAAACTTTAGTAAAACGCGAGACATTTCAGCGTGTGCACTCTTGTTTTAATAATATTATAATTCTTTAGTTTCAGCTAGAAGAGGTGGACATAAAGAAAAAGGAAAACAAAGATTGGTTCAATAAATACAGATATGACATTCCTGTGTTTCATTTTAATGGGAAATTTTTAATGAAACATAAAGTAGACTTACAAGTGTTTGAGACAGCACTTAAAGAATATAAAGATACTAATACTTGAGATTATATTGTTTAAAGTACATAAACTGTTGACCCCCCACTTGTTTAGAATGTGTTTTGTTTTTTTCAAATATAAGATGAAAATGATGGAGGACACTTGACTAACTATAAGACTTTAAAAGGATTTTTGATGTTTTTAACTTCAATATTTAAGAACTTAAAAATTTATGGTAAGGGGACTGGTCTGTTCTTAAATACTGTATGTTTACCACTAAATGTCTTTTTTGGGGGAAAATTTGCATGAAATGCAATAAAATCCATTTTGATTATGGCTTGATATTTATATCTTCCAGGGTTTATCACTACCTTTGAGTTGTAAAAAAGTTGCGGCAGTGATTTGAACATTCTTAAGATCATATTAATCCAATGTCATGCAATTTATTCATGATATGTTATATGTACTCGTGTTACAAACTGATGTCTATTTGAAAACTATTTTATTAAAAATTACATAAGTTATGCATCATGTACTAATCAATCTGTTATTTATAAAAAAAAAACTGTACAATTACAAGCAAAGGACAATATAACTTCAATTAAAAATACATAACTTGCCTTAATGTAATCCATTGCTAAATACATATAAGTTTTGACATTATTTGTTACATTATATACTTAATTTATTATGATTCAAGTGTTCAAATTAAACAACAGGATTTAATTATTACTGTGAATAGGAAATACAACCATTGAATAATAGTTTCAACACAGTCATATATACCTCAGACCTAGGTACATACATATAATAATATTGTATTTTATGCGTGCTAGAACACTAAGATGAATTGAATTATAAACTTGCTAGCTAAAAACAAGAAAAATTATTAAAGCAAATTTGATTAACAAATATATGCATAAGAATTTTGATGTATAAGAATAGAATGGAGTGAAATAAAGACAATATATAGAGTAAGTGGTTGGAAATACTCTAGCAATGACCAGAGACATAAAAAAACAGATATGTCTCTGCTATGACAAACACAAGTTCAACTAGAGCTGTCTGCTTAGTGAGACTAATACCCAAGGTACATGCATTTTAGTTGCTGTTTTTAAATTCAGTATTGTGACACATTGATAGTAAAAAAAAAAACAAATAGCAAAATAAGTAAAAAAAACAAATTTAGAAATAAACAGAAATAGAAAATATCCCCCCCGAGTTCATATATTATAGGACTAGGCTCACACCAAAGAGCAAGCTATAAAGGGCACCAAAAATTACTAGTGTAAAACCATTCAAACAGGAAAATCAACGGTCTAATCTATATCAAAACGAGAAACGAGAAACACTTATGAACCACATCAACAAAGGACAACCATTGAACATCAGGTTCCTGACTTAGGACAGGTGCAAACAAATGCAGCGGGTTTAAACGTTTTAATAGGCGCCAACCTTCACCCAACCTGAAACAATAGTGTAACATTACAACATAGAAAGACACACTATAAAATATCAATTGAAATGGCTTAACTCAATCAAAAGACATATTAACAAAAACAAGTGAACATACACTGAACCAATAAATTTGATCTATGACACAATGCAAATACAAAATTAATATTTCAGGGAGGGGAAGTGATTTGGATGTTTTAAAGATCAAGATTTTTAATTTTTAATTGTTGGACAGTATATTCAAAGAAAAGGATTTTAAACAAGGGTAAACATGTTGAATTACAAGGTTGGGTGGTAAATACCGCCCCTAGTATTTACCAGAGGTATTTACTGGTATTTACCGCCCCGGTCAATACTCCTTAAGTGGTCAATACTGGCAAATACTGGTCAATTGAAATTTTTATGGTTCTTTTGAAAGGCTTAACTATCAATTTTTAGTAAAATATTGGTTGATTGAGAAAATTATTTCAAATTAATTCCTTTGGCATGATTAAGTTTTTAAAAAAGAATGATATTGGTATGTTTTATTAACTATTAACATGAATAATGACTAATTTAGTTCTTAAAGGGAATGATGATATTACATACTTTAGGTATATATAAAATTGCTATATCAATTATTTCAACATTTTTAAATCAAGATATTTTTTCTTGAAAAGGTTTGATTTTGACAGGTAAATAGAATTACAGGTGACTGGATTATCAGAGCATTACCTATTATATTGCTAGCAGGTGTCAAAAGTTTAATTACTATAAAAACTGCCCCCTAATCATGCTGATAAATGTTGACAAAACAGAAAACAAATCATAAAAGTTATTTTTGAAGACTGTTTAAAACAATAAATTAATTCCTGACTTTTCAACAAACAATAAATTAATTCCTAACTTTTCAACAGAATGATAAAAATCTTCTAAATGCAGAAAATAGAAGTTTGAAGTATCTTTAATATGCCTTATTTATCCTATTCACTAATATTTTATTCTGATAATCACTGTCAATAGTGTGTTCATACGGAATTTCAATTTATATAAGAAAAGACAACATTAAAGAAAAGTCAAATATTGACTTGGAACTTTTTAATATTTTTATGACTAACAGTAATTGTAGGTAGGGCAAAATGTCACAAGACAGAAATTTACAATTCAGTTTTGCGAGAAGTTTTTCTTTTGTTAAGAAAAGAATAATTTTTCAAACCATTGTTGTTTTTTTCTTAAACTAAATTACATATTATATATACAACAACTTTTGAAGGTTTTTTTATTACACTTGATGAAATTACTGTTAAGAAAACAAGCTGTCATAGTCTCTTTTTAGTGGTGCCAAGAAATATGTCCTTTGTATGATTAATATTTGATAAATCTTCATTTAACCATGCATATATATATATATGTTCATAAACAATTCCATAAACTACACTATGAATTTATCTTATAATGAGACATTATTTCAAGGATCTTCCCTTATATATTCAAAAACTTATTAAGTAATTAATTGTGACTTTCTGTCCTGTGACTATATCTGTCCATTTACCCAGTAATTGACCAGGTAGGGACTGGTTTTTTTAGTATTAATGTTTATTAAATATTCAATTGAACAGTATTTGCCAGTATTGACCAGTATTTGCCAGTATTTACCGGTTTTTACCACCGGCATGGTCAATACTAGTATTGTCCGCTTTTTTGCCAACCTTGTGTTGAAATGTTTCCCCTGTTTTGATCATGATTGAATTTATGTTGAAAGTCTTAGAAAAAGGGTTAAGCAACAAGTATTACATAAAATATACATCATTAATGATCCATGTAAATGTAGTTAAGGTCATATGTACATACATAGGCTATTGTTTTTAGTCCCCTACCGACGAAGTCGAAGGGGACTTTAGGTTTGCACTCTGTCCGTCTGTCTGTCCATCCGTCAGTCTGGCAAATCAGTTTTCCACACTTGTTTTCTTCATGCTTGAAGATATTGATTTGATATTTGGTGTATTGTTTTATCATGACAAGTTACAGATCAAATTCGAATAATGTTCCGGTCTAACGATTTTGTGCAGAATAATGGTCCTTGGACTTAGAAAATTCACTCAAATAATCAGTTTTCCACACCTTTTTTCATCGTGCTTGAAGATATTAATTTGATAATTGGTATATAGTTTTATCATGACAAGTTACAGATCAAGTTCGAATTTTGTTCCGGTCTGATGATTTTGTACAGAGTTATGGTCACTTAGAAAATATACTTAAACAATCAGTTTTCCACACTTTTTATTCTCATGCTTGAAGATAATTGTTATATAGTTTACACCATGACAAGTTATAGATCAAGTTAGCATTTTGTTCCAGTAAAATGAATTTTTAACCGGTAGGGGACTATGTATTGCTATGCAATACTCTCAGAATGCTTCTTTATTTTTTTTATAATTTATTGGGGTGCAAAAGCGTTGTCCGAAGCACATGTTTTATGCGGGGAAGCGGTTTAAAAATGTGCATAGATCAACGTTTTTACAACCCTATAAAATTGTTAAAAGAAGCATTCAATTCTTATAATTACATGTTTATGCTACAACCATGAAATTAAGAGTTATGTCAAGCTTTTCAGTTGTTTTTCCAAGCACTGTTTTAACAAATTGTCACGGATAGCATGTGCAGTCATTACTGTTGCATTTTATACGGAAATGTTATATGATATTGGAGTGTCCGCGATTACTGTCAGCCAATAAAAATTACGGATTCCAATGAAACATACATAATTACATTACATGTATGGTTCATAAAAATCCGTCCTTTTGATTGGCTGAAAGCAATTGCGAGGCATTCCAGTGTTAAATTGTATTTCTCAATAAAATTCAACATTCATGACAGCACGTCCTTCTCATGACAACTTCACAACAGTCATAAGAAAACAAACAAAAACTTTGCTATAACTTGTAGTTTCATGGTAGTAGCAAAAAATGTAATTATAATTCGTATCAAATTTTTAATACTATTGCGAGTTTTAAAAGTTTTAAAAGCCTAAACCCTAACATTTTAAGGACATGCACATTTTAGACAATTTCTGAAATAGTATTAAAACACATTTGTTTTAATTATAAATAGTATAAAATTAATTTCTAAAACAGTGCTTTAAACTGGTCCTTTTCACTCAATACTTAAAAGTTACAACTTCTATATCTGCATTATTGAACTTTTCGCCGACTGCAGAATCATTAGGGGTCCTTTATACTATCGCCATTAACAATGATGTAATTGAGCATTGATTACTTATTGAGGCTATCACCGAGTATCTAAACAAATTTGATTAACTGATATGAGTAGTTATATAAGGCTTAAAAGGGCAAATATATACATGAATACCTTTTGAAATATATAATGGCATGGTCGTTAAATGTCATGTCCTCGAGAATTATGTACACATCCGGTTATGTTGAAATGTTACATTATTACGATCAATGCCACGGTTCCTAGACAATTTGATTGAACACAAGCATCGATATTAGATGTGGAGTTAATAGGCAACTACGTACGATTTTTGTCATCACACTATAAACATTTGAAGTCGGTTTGTTGGAGTTCCTGTCAATATCGTACGTCATGTTCAGGTCATTGTCTAGAATCTATATGATCAACTGATATGTGTAGTAAAGCTTAAAAGGGCTGTAATAACTAAACACAGGACAGGTTTGCTTAAAGAAGTTATTACTTTTGACATTCAGTTTTGTTAAAAGGTAAAAGGTTTGTTGATAGTGTTCCTTGGCAGTTTGGATAAAAAAACATGTACATTGGGGCAGTTTGTGTTTCTACATGTTCTATCTACATCATCCTTTGTTACACGGGTAAGTTATTTGTCTAGCAAATCTCGTTTTGGTCACCTTAACAGATATAGGAGAAAAGTTGAAATCTATAAAATTAATGCATCTTTTGTAGTTTATAAGATTTTGTAAGAATTTGGTATTGCTAGCTATCCAAATGAACATAGCATACTTATTGTCAAAGAAGGGAACTGATTTGGCTTCTATATACACAAACAGTACTCTAAACATTGTGCCATTTTGTATATATTTAATATAGGAATGTTAGTGGACGCGGTAACTATTTGATTTTCTTTATTTGATATTTTTATTTTTACTTTTTATCATGTCGGGCTTACATTACGGTATGCGTTTCCTCATTGTGGAAGGCCATACGGACGGTAACCTATAATTGCTAAAATCTACGTCATTTGGTCTGGTGGGGGTAGTTGTCTCATTGGCTATCGTATACCACATCTTGTTATTTGTATATACATGTACATGATTTCAATTTCTTTTAAAATTCCCTTTGATGCAAGGGAAAATGCAGCAATTGTCAAATTTTCTTTTAAGATTTTTATATGTAAGCGCAATGCATGTGTTAAATCATGTTGCAATTTGGATTTGTCTTTGAAAAGGAATTGGACATGGGAAGACATTCAGCAGTACAAATGATAGCGACCAATCAGCTTCAAAGTCATTAACTCATGTTTATGATGGTAAGTGTTTATCATGATGGGAAATCTACATATCGAGCTTGCTATCGTTTGGTCGGGCTTTATTAACTTCATTGAGGTATAAGCACAACAAAATACGTTGAAGCGTAGTATAAAAGAACTTTACAAGCATAAATAAAAAACGTAGTACTTAAAATGTTTCATATTTTTATTTATCCTTTTAAAAGAAAAACTCGATTGCATACCAGCAGAGATTGGTAACAAGGGAAAGTCTCGTGATATTACGCGGATCTTGAAATGTCATTGAAACTTCACATCGAAAAAATCATTAAAAAATCTTTGAATCAAGCTCAAATTCAAATTCATCCACAAAAGAGGTAAACCTAAACATCGCAACGCCATTCCATTTTAACCGGATTTTCGAAGGAAATATCGGTTATTAAAATGGGGATATACGGCGGGCGGCTGGGCGGGCTAACGGGCGGCTGCCAAACAGTGTCAGCACAATAACATGAAAACGCTTTAACAATTTTTTTTCAAATTTAAAATATGTTGTTTCCTGGGACTTAATGAAGGTCTAGTTCAATTTTGAAGATTTTGCTATTTCTCCTTTTTGAGTTATCGCCATTTTTAATATCCAAAAGTGGAATTTTTAAATATTTTACTCTTGTTATCATGTAATGATTTGCCTTATCTCGCAATAAAAATTGGAGTGACAGATTTATTTGAAAATTATCTATTTCCTAAGTGGTAATGATTATAAGCTATATTATTAGACATTTTGAAGATTATTTATTACATTATTAATTATTTTATATGTAATGTTAGAGTACTATGTTAAACCATAGTTCTGTTCAATTAGATCTGGGAAATATTTTAGCATATGATAATGATTTATTTTCATTATTAATTAGATCTTGGAAATATTTTAGCATATGATAATCATTGGAGTGACAGATTTATTTGAAAATTATCTGTTTTCTGATAATAAGATCTGTATGACTGTATATATAAAGTTTGAAACTTACTAGTAGGACTGTCTAAATGAAGTTTGAAATTTACTGTTCATTATTAAAAAAATTGTAGATAATTAAGTGTCTCTAAATCATATATATTCTTACCTCTACCCCCTTCAATATGAGAATGTGCTTTTATCTTGTAAACGGTCGAGATCCCCACCCCTAAACCATATATATTCTTGTATGGGGCAATAAAACAAATCAAATGAAATATTGGGATAGTCCTCGGGTTCACACCTACCCTCCTTTTTTTTGAAAACTTGTAAATGTGCAAGCTCCCCACCCTGAAACCATATATATTCTTGTATGTTACAATAAAACAAATCAAATGAAATAAAAGGTAAGTCCCCTGGAGTCACCCCCACCCCTTTCTGTTTGAGAACTTGTAAACGGTCAAGATCCCCACCCCTAAACCATATATATTCTTGTATGGGACAATAAAACAAATCAAATGAAATATAGGGGAAGTCCATTGGGGTAACCTCCACCCCCTTCTGTTTGAGAAATTGTAAACGGTTGAGATCCCCACCCCTAAACCATATATATTCTTGTATGGGACAATAAAACAAATCAAATGAAATTTAGGGGAAGTCCACGAGGGTAAACCCCACCCCCTCCTTTTTGAAAACTTGTAAACGGTTGAGATCCCCACCCCTAAACCATATATAATCTTTTATGGGACAATAAAACAAATCAAATGAAAATTAGGGGAAGTCCCCTGGGGTAACCCCCACCCCTTTTTTCTGTATATCAGTTGAATTTTCAATATCTTCATGTCGATATTTGAATTTCATTGATTCTTAAAGATACGTTTTTGCAAGGATTTGTATAGTGAGTCTCACCCAAATCCTTGGTTTTTGAAATCCTCTAAATCATATTTGAAAATTTTTTGAAACTGAGAAAAAAAAATTAAACAAAAGGAATGTCAGTGTTTGAAAAATAATTGTATAGTTATGCTATTTCAATACATGATACGGTCATCACATCAATACATGATATAGTCATTAAATAAGAGTTTTCAATCTCTGGTAATGCATGTATCTGAAATAGTAACTGCCTGCATGCAAAGCTTCAGACAAAAGAGAAAAAAACTCGGAAGGGCCAGTCATGAAGACAAACAGACAACATTACGGTCAACCAAAAAAGTTGAACAGACAAACAATAGTCCACAACGTTCTGCACATAAAACTAAAAATTGAGCAAGACGAAACACGCCAAAATACGGAGGTGAACCAAAATGCTTCAGAAGGATCAGTGTTTCTTGATCCACTAATGACATCAGCCGTGCTACAATTAAAACCCGCTGATATCAGGGTCATAGATGCAGTGTTACTAGTGGACTGGTAAATATAATTGTAATTCAGTGGTTGTCGTTGGTTGTTGTTTGTGATATCTGTTTTTTGATAATTGTTTTACCATAAAACAGACACTTTGTTTTCTCGTTTTTATTGTTTCATATTTGTTCATGTCGGGGCCTTTTATAGCTGACTATACAATGTGGATTTTGCCGATTTTTGAAGACAAGACAAGACAAGACAAGACAAGACAAGACAATTTATTACAACTTAGGCACACGTATGGTGCTACAAGAGGATAACAACTATACATTAACAATTACATAATTATACATTTGCAAGCAAGACACACAATAAATAAATTAGCGATATCATACAGTAGAATTGAAATATACAATATGTGGTTGATTCTTTTGCAATATTTTGAATTGCAACGTGAATAAACATTTATTTTAATACTACATTGTAACATGATACAAATTATGAAAATATCTTTTCTAAATGTCATAAAAACGTGCACAGTTTTGTTAGAACTGGCACATTACAGTGTGACAATCGACCTATAAATTTTAATTGGGAAGGATTCTTTGTGTAATATGTAGGTATGTACCTTTCTCTTAATGACATACTAGTAATTAGTTCATTGGTACATGTAAAAAAAATAATGATATTCGTCACCAATTGTATTTGAATCGCAGTGACGGCATATACGATTCTCTTTTCGTGTATTTGAAGACCGTACGGTGACCTGTAATTACTGGCATCTACGTCATTTGGAGTCGGGTTGGCAGTTGTCTCATTGGCAATCATGTCACAACCTCGTATTTTTATACTGAGTGATTTTTTGTCAAAATTGTTGTTTTAGGTACTATTTCACCACTGGCGAACCTTTCATCTATCTTATTTAGAAACTACGATTCTGGTGTCCGCCCTTATTGTCCAGGGGAGGAAGAAATAATCGATTTGTCAGTGGATTTAGCTGTCCGTCAACTTATTGACCTTGTGAGTACGGTTTAATATCAAAAACGTGAAAAAAATACCGACTTTATTGTAATTTGCTATATTGTATTAACAGACAGATATCAGAAACAAAATTTATACTTACAGCGCACATGCATCTAAAATAGTTAAATTTAAATATAGAACATGAATCAGATTTAAAACACTTTTTAGCTTGGAGACTCGGCAACATGTCATAAGTGAACAATCTTGTATTTTATAAAAAAAAATCACAAATATAATGTTTTTTTACTCTGTTTTTTAATATTTAATTTTTTATTTATGTTTTTTTATATTTAATGATAACAAAAACAGAACTTTGTGAGTATTTTACCGTACAAAAGTGTTCTATTCCATTTTGTTTATTTAATTGTTGTTTCTAATTCTATAATAGTAATTTCATCGCTTTAAAATACTGACTGTATTTTACCTGTAATTACTTATTAATTTTTATAACAACAAAAGTTGTATTTTGTTTGTAGGCAAAGGTTGAATATATATTTTTCAAATGTATGTATAGGTTGAATACACCGAGAAGCATAGTGGTCTCGTGTTAGCATGTCTGCCTTGAGTGGATAAAGTCACAATTCGATACCGCGTTCATATCAAATCAGAACTTAAAATTGGTATTTGCGGCTTCTCATCCAAACACGATCTTTTCAGTAGATCGGTTCGAGGTCATGTAGAATAATGTGTCAGGGTGGACTGTTGCCTTGTAAAATACATTTTAGCATATAAAAATTCTGCTGGTCAGTCTATTACAAATCCGGGTTTACGATCATATCACATTAACATGTTTTATTTCTGAATATGCTTGTATAATATATGCCATTTGACGTACATTCATTAGAACTATCATATGAAGCGTTTTTACAGTTTTTATTTGCCACTGAGCGTACATTTATACTGCTCATTACCTTTTCAATCATATCCAATCTTGTTTGTTTTTTCTGTACATTTTAAGATTTTTTTCAAGCATATAAATTTCACCATGCTAATAATCAAATGATTTTCCTTTGGTGATCTCTTATTCTTATTCCTATTAATTACAACCCAACAATATCGAACCCTTTTGTTGCTTTTCCTTTACATTTATTGTTAAAATATATTTTTTTTTGTAGGATGAACCAAATCAGTTTATCACAATGAATATTTGGATGCGCTTGGTATGTACACGTCATTTAAATCCTCGTTCCTTTTGCCAACCAAGGCCAAAGGTCAGTGCGTCAATTTGAGCCGTTGTCATCGCATGACGTCCGTCGACCGTCCTACATTAAAACAAAATCCTTTAAAACACTGTGTCAATTTCAACCAAATCTGGCCTGCGTCATTCCTAAAAGGTCTACTTATAAAGGCATGTCGATAAATCCGTCGTCCAACTATCATGATCATGATTGTGAATAATAGAACATCGGGGTATAAAAACAAAAAAATATGCAAAAATGTAACACATCAGTTGCTGTCAAACTGTGTGGACATTTGTACACTTTCCTTCATAACTTACAGTAAACCGTAATAGAATGTCAAATAAATATAATAAAATAAGTAAATGTAAAATACTGTATACAAAACATTTAAATAAAAGAACACTCTAACTTGGAAAATGGTACTAAGATAGATGCAGAAATAGACGGTAAAACTTACATTAACATGGTCAATTCAAGATAATCGGAAAATTACAACTTATTATGAATGCGCTTACATAGAAAGAAAACATCGGCTCAAGATTGTTTGCATGCAGTTTCATACAAATACAGTTCTTTTTTCAAGTTTATTCATAATAGAGAATGACACCCGTCAATGCAACATCCAAAGGATTCATACTTTGTGCACTATCAATAGTTTTATACGGTAACTAATATCTTTTATCCTTTTAAACGGTAAGAACAATTTATAAATTTTATGCGTTCAAAGCGCTTTTCTGGATTTACTTTAATCAAGAACCTTCAAACCCAAAACATTTGAAAACCAGGGATGTATAAATACAACAGAAACGCTATGCGTAATATGAACAAAACATACTTAAACAGAATAGCCAAATTTGCCTGATGCAGTTGGATCCTTGGTTTAGCAGAATTTTTCTTTTATCAATAGGAAATTTACGAAAGTTATGTTAAAAAGCATGTCAATAGCGAAGCACTGACTACTGCGCTCGCGATACCCTCGGGGACTTAAAGACTACCTGCAGTGGTATCGATCCATTGATAATCAATTAACGTCTAAACTTTGTGCGTCCGAAACGCTATTCTAGAGTTACCTTCATCAGCAAAACTCAAAGCCAAATCATTTTAATAGTCAGGAATTTTTTCACAAAAAAACTTACGACTAAAATTGATCGTAGGTATACTGAATTGTGTAAGACTTGCGGTCAATTTTAGGCGCAAGATTTTTTGTGAAACTCATTCCAGGGATGTATAAATACGTAGAAACGTTATAAGCAATGTTAGCAAAATGGATAAAAAAAAACGATAGTTTGTTTTTATGATGTGATGTTACATCACTGTCCACGAAGCAGGTTTGGGTGCCCGCAAACATGTTTAACCCCGTCACATTATGTATGTGCATGTCTTAAGTCAGGAGCCTGTAATTCAATGGTTGTCGTTTGTTGCTGTTTATCATATTTGTTTTTCGTTTGTTGTTTTGTAGAGTTTGATCTTGTGTTGTGCTGTTGCACTACTGTTTCAGGTTAGGGGATGGTTGGGCTCCCCCATACATGTTTAACCCCGTCACATTATAAGGATGTCTATCCTAAGTTAGGAGCCTGTAATTCAGTGGTTGTCGTTTGTTGATGTTTATCATATTTGCTTTTTGTTTATTGTTTTGTATATAGATCAAACCGATAGTTTTCTCGTTTTAATTGTTTTACATTTGTTACTTCGGGGTCTTTGATAGCTTGCTATGCGATATTGGTTTTGCTCATTGTTGAAGGCCGTACTGTGTCCTATAGTTACTAACTTCATTTGGTCTCTGGTGGAAAGTTGCCTCTTTGGCAGTGATACCACATCTTCTTTTTTTTATATATACTCTAAAGAATAGCAGAATTCAACTAAGTCAACTTTCCTTTCGGGAGTCGTAACGTCTGTTTCTTAGGATTTTCATAGTTTATCGACCCAGTGCTATTAAACGAAAGTAACATTTAACACATTTCGTGCGTCGGAAGCGCTTATATTTATTTACCCCTTCAGGTAAACTTAAACTTGGTATATATGATTGTACCAAAACACAATGAAAATAATGAAAACAACACGTTATAAATTTCATGCATCCGAAAATTCAAAATATCAAAACAATTTTAGGAAAATTGGCAAGAATGAACATCAGCTGCTTATGCAAGGCATAAAGACAACATGTTTTTCATTTATAGTCGATGGGGTTTTTGCGAAATAGTTTGAAATATATTTTATAATAATCATGTATATCCCGAATTGTGCATTTAAATAGGTAGTTTACTTTGCATATATCTGTTTTGAAAATTAGAGATCCTTTCCTCTTTTGGAAAATAATTGAAAATCAGCAGGTTTGACATTTTAACTGTATTCGTCTTGCTTTTAGGTTTCTAGAGTCTGTGCTTTAAGTTATCCGTAATCAGTAAATGTTCTATCAAACACGAGGGTCATATCTTGATAGATTGCTTCAGTTTAACATACCTATTGTATATTCCCCTGTATAACTGAAGTTGTTCATGTGATAGTGTTGTTTTGTAGGGTTGGAGGGATTGTCAACTAACCTGGGATCCAAATGAATTTGCAGGTATCACACAACTTCGTGTGCCTTATTCCAGATTATGGATTCCTGATATATCGTTATATGAAAGGTATACAGTTCACAATAAGATAAAAAAAAAATGAACAATCATAGTGTTATCTTCTTACGCATAGAGAATTCAGATTGCAATCCCATTGTAGTTTATAAGATAAAATTGAACAATCATAGTGGTATCTTCTCATGCATAGAGAATTCAGATTGCAATCCCATTGTAGTTTGTAAGATCATATATATATTTGTCATATACAATATTGTTGTGTACAAATTGTAATGGTGTACACATTATGATAGTCATCAGTATTTTGTGAAACTTTGAACATTATAGGATAAAACACTGAGACAAAGTATATCAGAACAATTAAATATTTTATGGAAATATTATCTGGTATTGATGAAATATAAATAAAATCTAATCTAACCCAGGTGTTCTCGTTTGCAATATATGACAATGAGGACAGTGCTTAGCGTTAGGTTGAAGTATATACATTTTGTACAAGTTGTACATTAAGCTAATTAATTATAGAATATACACTTCATATTAACCTAGTGAATGAATTGTTTGCCAAACATTCTGATAACTTGTACAAAAATACTGTTCAAATTATAATTTATACACAATTACATCTTATGCACAACATTTAAATATATGAAAAAAGATGATGTGGATATACGCAATAGAGACAGCAATACAGCGACAAAAATAATCAAAATAAATCTAGAGGGCAACATACAGTCTTCAACATTAGAGATGTGTCTTTATAATAGAGCAAGCTCTAAATATATCAGTCGATAAAAGTTGTAAATATTTTTTAACAGATACAACGAAGATCTGCCATAAACACCACATTCTACAAATACACGGGAATGTGGAGGGAGAAGCTATTTTTGTAGAGACCTCAACCCTACCCTTTTTAATGTCGATCTGTAAATAACAAAACGTAAAATCGAAAATTCGAAATTTTACTCACAAACCACTGGGACAATTTGGACCAAACATGGTCAATCTCAGCTTTCATGTGTAATCTTTAAAATATTATGTCCAGTAATAGTAAATTCTGTCCTGTAGTAAAAATTGCCCCCATGACTTTGTTTCCTATGTAATCAAGTCCATGCACATAATTGGACTGGAAAAATAAGTCCCAGGATAAGTTTTCGTTTATTTAACAAATGTATTTTATATCATTGTAGGGTCTCTGATGAATTTTACGGACTAAAGGATTATCCTATTTTAATTTATTCAGATGGACTGGTCAAACTCAGTTTTCCATCTACCGTAGAAGTATTATGTCCTGTCGACGTTACCAATTTCCCGTTTGATACTCAAGTTTGTCCACTTAAATTTAGTTCTTGGGTATATCACGGATTTCATCTGAATATTACATCAAACGCCATGGCCGCCGACTTAAGTAATATATTAGAAAATGTAGAATGGATTATAAAAAAAGGACCTGCTCATAGACGTTTGTCGTATTATATATCAGTTCCATATCCATATCCAGATGTTACATTCAGCATCTTCCTCGAGAGAAAGCCAGATTATTACGTTAACAATATTTTGATACCTTCATTTTTGATCACATGTATCGCTATTCTTGGTTTTTTCCTTCCCGTTGACTGTGGAGAAAAAGTTGCTCTGGAGTTGACAGTCATGTTAGCAATATCAGTGTTCCAGTTACTCGTGGCAGATAAATTACCGCCATCATCTGACAGTACACCATGGATTGGTAAGATTGGTTCAACATACTTATAAGCTAATAGCTATTTATGATTCATGTGACTAAATTTCACAATTTACGTACATTGATGGCCTTTATGAAATGTATTTGTGTTTAATTTTTAACCACATGATCAGCCTTTTTATCTCACAGGGTCCAAATGGTAATATGAGCTTTCCTCATCACATGGCGTCCTTTTTCTGTTTTCGTCTATTAACTTTTACCAAAAAAATCACAAGGCTTGTTGGAATCAAAATATACTATAAACAAAAATCACCCTTTGGGTATCTAGTTAAAAACAATGTCCTTCACCCCCGCCTGCCAACCAACATGGCCACCAAACTAAATTTAGAACAAAAGTATTGACAATTTTCTTAAATCCCAATATAGATAAAGAAAATCTGACATGAATAGAAATGTTCAGAATAAAAAGATCAACCTACTGTCTCTTTTTACCAAAACTATCGGACATTTCCTAATAGGAAATATTGCCCTTTAATGATGATTTTTATTAATTTGTTCGCAATTTTGGCTATTGTCTTTAAAATTGTAACAGATAAAGTGAAACAATGAATGGCAAAAATGATCAGCAAGACAAGATCTACGTATAACTCAAACATGATCAAAATTGTCAGTCGATTCCTTATAGGAGTTATTGCCCTGGAACGATTTTTTAACCGTTTTTGTGTCAGTTTTGCAGAAACTTTAGAAAGTAGAGAGGAAACAACAAAAAAACGATCAGCTGGACAATATCTACAAATAAATCAACCTGGCGGAAATTGTCATTATACTCAAAATAGAAATTATTACAGTTGATTGATTGATTGATTGGTGTTTACGCCACTTACAACACTATTGTGCTCTTTCGTGGCGGTCAGTTTTTATTGGTGGAGGAAGCCGGAGTGCCCTGAGAAAACCACCGACCTTCGGTAGGAAAACTGACAATCCTAATCAATTAAGATTGGAGTCGAGCGCACCTGGCACGTGCGTGATTCGAACTCACAACCTCAGTGTTGACTGACTAGTGATTCAGTAGTTCGACTACTTAGACCACTCGGTCACCGAGGCCCCTATTACAGTTGAAAGACGATTTTTGTTTGTGAAACTTATGTAGAAAGAGATAAACTGTATATAGCAAAAAATAATCAGCAGTTAAATATCTACAAATAAGAAATTATGGCTGAAATTGTTCGTCAACTCTTTATAGGAGTTATTGTCTTTGAAAGACGATGTTTACCCTTTTTTCTATCGGAATCTGTAGTAGAAAGAGAGAAACTGTAATGATCATCAGGACAAGATCTATATAAGTAAAATTTCGAAGAGACAAAATTGTCATTCGATTTTTTATAGGAGTAAATGTCCTTGAAAGACGATTTTTACCAATTTATGTGTTCCAAAAACTAAAGAAAGTATAGACAAACTTTAATACAAAATTGATCAGCAAGACGAGTCGTATTATAAAATCATTATGTCCTATATCAGACGACTCTGGGTAGGAGTTATTTCTCTTAAATGACAATTACACATTTGTTGTTCTTTTTTTACCAGAAACTATCACAAAAATTCTTATTGTATAATATCATTTATTATAAAGAAGCCAGGTAGTCGATGCAGGCTCTTGGTATCCTCTTATTTCGATGCAGAGCGAATAAATATATTCTTTACATTTGCACGTTTCTTGCAAACCATCTATTTTCTAGTGAAAGTCCGCATTACTCGTCCTTCATCACCGTCGACCATTTTAACTTATTTAGGTTTTGTTTAATTTGTTCTCCTCCTGAAAATGCACGGAATGTTTGCCACTTGACTTTACAATCGATCGCTTTTAAAGACAACAAATGTATAAAGTGTTTTACTGCAACTGTACACAATTTGATATTAAAACAAAAATAGAAAACAGTTGAAATAAGTTTGCGTGTGTGTATTTTGCAGTCTATGTGAATCTACTATTTAATCCTTAATGACAAGGGATAAAATCATCAAAGATACTAGGCTGATAATTTTATACGTCAGACTCAGTCTTATTGCATAGTGGCGCTCGAGTAAAAGAAAAATGAAAGGCTTAATCAATATCGAAGTTGTAAAGCATTGCAAACCGCGAATATCAAAAGTAGTACCAATTTGGCTATGACCATATATGCCCTGAGTAGAACAAAATACAGTTCTCAATGATTTAAACATTTTATTGATAGGAAATTCACAGGAAATGATCAGAAGGTAAGGGGTTATTGCAATTTTGTAACCTAGAGGCCGACTATTACCAGAGAAAATATCAGTGTGGCAGTGAAATCAAGCTGGCTATTACATGAATACCCAGTCAGTAACCATTTTATTTTACCGAATACAGTTTAAGATTACTTAACAGTAACATCATGCAGTTCGCGAGAACCCTGGAGCTTTGGAAGAAAAATGCAAACCGTTTTAATAATGAGTTAAAAAAAAGATTTTATCTATCATATATATAATTCACCAGAAAGGTCATGCCGAAGAAATACTTTATATGTGCAATGCATGAATTCTCTAAATTATGACCGCAAAAATTTAAATAAGTACAAAACGGTCGTTAAAACCTATGTCGATTGCTATACCGAAAACTTAAATAATATGTACTATTTAAAAATAAATTGGACTTTCTAGTATTCTAAAAGAGAAGCTTTCTTTTCAAATAATCTTAATATCATTATAGCACATGTAGCATGTGCGATACTTTATTTGTGTACAGGAATAAATTTAAGTTTACATTTTGAAATTTCAAGTTTTCTTAACTTTGAATACGTCTTAGATTAACCTCAATCGCGGCGTTGCATACAGATTCCGAAACATTGTATGATATTACCAGCCAATAACTAAATGGCAGTCAATGGTTATACTGATAAAAAAAGTAAAAGTGCAATTTGAAGAAGAGAAAATTCTAGTGTTATTTATATATCACTAGTAAATCAATTTTAGAGTTAAACGGTCATTTTGATCTTAACATCATCTAAAAAGTCTGAACAAAAAATGATTCAGACATGTTCAGTCTTTCGTGCAAATTTTAGACTTGTCCACTGCGGTAAATTCGGTACTGTTCAGACAATTCCCTTGCGGTCAACTCATTACTGTTCAGTAGCGTTTTGAGGCAATTCATAATGGTGTTTATGCATGTGAACAGATCTTAATTGACTGCAAGCGAATTGTCTGAACAGTACTAAAATTACTGCTCTGTATAAGACTAAAAGTTGACCGAAGGACTGAAAAAGCCTAAATAAGGTTCAGTCTTTTAAGAGCTGTTCAGATCAAAAATGACCGTTTCAGATCAATATTTGTTTACTATTGACATATCATAGTGAGCTAACGGATCCGAGTATCAGTCTGAATATTCTTGTTGTATGCAATTTATATAAATACTTGCTGCATCTCTTAAGTTCAAGTAATATATTTAATCTCTTTTATTTCAGTTGTCTACTTCAATTTTACACTATTCCTTTCTGGGACAGCTTCACTTATACAAGTCATTGTTTTAAATCTTCATTATCGTGCAGATGAAAAAATGTCTGACTGGATTGTTTTCAAAGTCTTACAGCCACTTGCAATAATATCTTTCACCAATGTGCCAGGATTTACACCTTTTCCATGGAAATCTAAACAGGTAAGTGAGGAGAAAGAATCATAAAAACGTTTCTATGGCTTGGAATCTGTATGCCTTTCCTACATAACAAGGGTGGATTCAATTTGTGTCTGTGTGAGGAGGGAATCTCCTTGATGGTCGATCCCGCCTCCGCTAGAGACGTCAGTCATGCTGTTTTACATTTAAAGATTTCGGGAGTTTCAAGTGTCCGAAAATCAGCATAACCTCTGTGCAAGATTTTTGTTACGTTTTGGCAAATCTATCTCATGCTTTTCTGCAATGTAATTTTAATTAACAATTGCAACATAATGCTGTACGTTTCCGCAAAATTTTAATTCCTCTGTGAGCCAGGTAAATGTTGTGTTAAAATATTAGCAGGCCAACTACTTATAAAATGTAATTATATAATACATAAAGAAGGATTCTTAAATTCCAGGAACAATTCTGGGAATCATTTAAACTATGTAATTATATAATTCATAAACAGGATTATTAAATTCCAGGAACAATTCTCGGAAACATTTAAACTACCAAAATTCAGTGGACTTTGCCATACACACATACTTAGAGAATGAATTTTCAAAAATGCAAGGGTAGACAATTTCACTGTTAACCAGTTATACATTTGTATTTTATCTAAATTCGTTATATATCTTAATGTAAACTGATCTAATTTAAACGGTTCAAATTACAAAACGGTTACCATTACAACCGGTATTCGAAATAGTATTGCACAATCATATACAATACCACAAGAATGCTTGTTTTTTTAGTTTATATCAGATAGCTAGTTTTCTTTATTGAATTGTTTCACATTTGGCATGTTGGTGTTTTTATCGCTTACTTTACTGTATGAATTTCGCTCATTGTTGAAGACCGCATAGCGACCTGTAGCTGTTTACATCATTCTCTGTCGGTCTTCGGAAGCCCTTCATACTAAAAATGTGCGCACGATCACTGCGTTTACAACCCTATAAAATTAGACGAAACGCGCGTCTGGCGTAAATATAAAATTTAATCCTGGTATCTATGATGAGTTTATTATAAAAAGAAGCGTTCAATTCTTATAATTACATTTTAAGGTGGAACCGAGGAATTAAGAGTTATATCAATCTTTTCCTATGTTTTTCTGTGCATTGTTTTAACATTATCCCGGATAGCGATTGCAGTCAAAGCTGTTGTATTTTATACGGAAATAAAACATGAATTTTGAGTACCTCGCGATTATTGTCAGCTAGCCAATCAAATTTATGGATTCTAATTAAACATACATGTAATGTAATTATTGTTATATGTATTACTATAAAAATACATTTGCAGAATGACAACATAGAAAAGAAGGGAATAACTATTCCAGAAGATGCTCAGCTGTGGATTTTGCTGGCAAAGTGTGTTGATAGATTAGGTCTCGTGGTATTTTTGTTGGTATTTTTAATCGGTACAGTGATCATTTTAAAACTTGCAGATTGTAACTAGATTGCCGCAAGTTCAGAGGAACTACATTAGCATATGTGTTGTTCCTAGCTTCTTTTATCACATGTAATGAAATGTAGTGTTATTAAGAACCAAAAGTGTTTTGTTGTATTTGCTAGTGTGGTTGCATGATTTGTATTGTATGATATGTATTAAAAGATGAAGTTTCCATGTGTTGGAAAATTGTGCGTTAGTCCTCCTGACTCTCAGCAATACACCTAGATTCTTGCATTGTTGCTTTAGATGAATGGAATCCAAAATGTATTTTTTGGCGGAAGAGGAAGTTCGATACCGCGTAAGCAACTGTTTTCAAGTCAGCAAATCAATTCTTTTATTTAAACAAATGAAATAAAAAGGATAAGAACAAATACAAAAATATAGGAATATAATGAAATAATAACAAAAACACTTGATTTTATTATTTTTGAATAAAAAGTAACTTTATTTTTAGATAACATTTCAGAAGTTTTAACATTTCTCAACTTTAAGGTAACTTTTAATTTGAATATTCAATACTTAGGAAATTGAAATTTCCAAAAGTATTTAAAGGAACATTAGCTGTCTAATTCATGTTGAACAATTTGACCCAAAAATACTTATATTTTATTTATATCATACTAAAACGTATATCCGAACTACAAAAAGTCCAAAAAGAAACAACTAACAATGCATGTACACGTTATTATGAGGGTCGTAATGGGGGTACCTTCATGACGAATAACGGTAAAAGTTCTTGCCAAATGACGTTAACGGTAATTTTTGGTGTATGACGATTAAATGTACACTTTCTTTTAGACGATAAAAACATCGACTGATTTTGACGAATCACGTTAATTTTTTTCCAAAAATGACGGTAACGATAATTATTTGAGACCTTTTGACGAATCACGATAAGGATATTTTGACGAATCACGGTAAAATTTTAACCAATTTGACGCTAACGGTAGCCGAAATGACTGTTTGACGCCTGACGTTAAAGGGCATTACTACCCTCTATTATGTACCAGGAAATCGTGCGTATTTTATACTATACGCTTCCATCGGGATGATCTCCGAAAACTGCCGATGATCATGTAACTCAATATAAACACAAATTTAAATATAAATAGACTTACAAGCACGTGGAATCGTATATCGGCGATTTTTCTATTCTGTTTGAGTTCATAATAGATATTTAAAATCGTTTTACCTGTATGAGGTAGATTTGTTTGCGGGTCGGATTAGTCAACGAAATGGTTATTCATGGTGGCTGCCTTGTTTCACTTTCAACGTTGACATTCTGTTCTTTTTAAGGAATGATTACGCTGACCGCATGTTTAACACATCTCCGTCTCCAGGTTCAAATCAAAGGTTGTATGAATACGGATTCAAATGAGGTTTAATTATTGACTTGCAAAAAAAAAGAGTTAACAAAAATACCTCCGAGGTAAATTCAGAAAGGTGGAAGTCCATATAAATCATTGAATGTTAGAAGCAAAAACACATCGTATTTTGATTTTTATTATTCGTAGCTAATACCGTTTTGAACGTACCTGTTTTAAAGACATCAAATACATTCCGCCTTTAATTGTTTGTTCATTTTCCTTTATACTGTAGTGTTATCAATCAACCACATGCTTTTAATAATACCTTTATGTATATTCCTTTTTGTTGTTAGGAATGAGGGATGGATAAATACCCTGCCACGTCCGGTCTGTGTTTATGTTGATGTTAATTTTTCTTCTTTGTATTGATCTGATGAGTTAAGCCTTTTTCAACTGATTTTGATATTTTGTTCTTATGCTGTGCTGTTACACCATTGTCCCAGGTTAGGGGGAGGGTTGGGCGCTCACAAACATGTTAGCCCCGCCACAGTCTTTATGTGCCTGTCCCAAGCCAGGAGCCTGTAGTTCAGTGGTTGTTGTTGGTTCATGACTGTCATAATTGTTTTGTTATAAATAAGGCCGTTAGTTTTCTCAATTGAATTGTTTCGTATTTTCATGTCGGGGCCTTTTTATAGCCGACTATACCATATGGGTTATTTCTCATTGTTTAAGGCTGTACGGTTGCCTATAATTGCGTACATCCACTGTATTTGAACTTCGGTGGATAGTTGTCTCATTGGCAATCATACTTCATCTCCTATATTTATATTATATAAATATATAATGTAGTAGATAAACGATTGATAACAATAAAATGAAATTTATTTAAATTGCTGTAACAGTAACATAGTGGTAATTAATTTCTTCGATTAAAAATAAACAACAACCAATAATTTATTATGAATTTCTATATACTTATTTTTGTTGTTGACTTAATGTCATGTTTTAATGGCTTCGTTGTATTTTTTTAATCACTCATGAGATTTTATGTAATTTATTCTTTATATCGATCATACTAATGCATTTGTGGTTTTCATGTTAAATTTAAAAATAGAACTTGTTGTTTATAACCATTCTGATGTTTCTAGTTCGAATTAACGTTTGACAATTACTTTTGTTTGATTGACTCATTTGTTTCACCGTAGCCATATAAGGGGAGATAACTCAGATAATCTAATTTACCTATTTTGTTTTGTAGCAAGAAAGCGAGTTCCGTGACTCCAATTTTCGTATTGTTTTCTGAAAGCACATTATAAGAGCTATCTTCTCATATTTTATCTTAAATTTCTATCGTTTAGTTTTCTTTCTATCAAGTAAAGTTGATATTGCCATGGATAACAATCTGACAATTTTGCACAACACGACATAAACTATATTTTTGCAAATTGTTATCGATTTTAATTTAGACCCCCATCTACCTTAATTGATGTTTATGAAGTTTTGTTACTCTTGGGATGACAATTTGACATCATTTTGTAGTGAAATTGAAATTAAGTTTTATGAAATATATGCAATTATTTACAGATTTTTAAAACTTTATGATGGTTGCAAACATCATACTACTCTACCCTTTAAACTACATGAAAATAAGGAGAGGTGGTATAAATGCCAATGAGACAATTATCACCCTGACTCGCATGTTAGAAATTATAGGTCCCTGTACGGCCTTCAACAATGAACAAACTTATACCGCATAGTCGGCTATAAAAGGCCCGACATGGCAAAATTTGAAACAATCCAAACAAGTAAAACTGCGAGCTACTGCTATTTAATTAAATGATACCACTGCCTTGAGAAATCGATAAACAGGAAGTTGATTAGAAATGAATCAGAAACTATTTCACACAATAAAGCATGTTCCCATTAAAGATACAACACATTTCAGGAAGCTTTTATTTTTAATGAAAAATGTGACGAATATTTCATGATCATACATGACCACCTCTAAAATGTATTTGTACATATTTGGCGATTTCAAAGTTTAAGATAATCTATGTTGTGTCACTTTCATTGTTTACGTTTCAAGATTCATAGATTAAAAAAAAACAGAATGAACAAAGAAACTTGCCTTGTAAGGAAAATGTCGCTCAGGATAGTAGCACAGTTGGTTCCCAAAGGAATGCCGACTATCTGTTGAAAAACACGTCCATTTATTGTATTTAATATAATACTGTATGGTATTCTTTTCCCGTAATATCCACCGCTATGGAGTATAGGGCTAAACTGTTTTACCTCTGTCTGTATGTCTGTCTGTCCGTCCGTCCGTCTCATGAAATTTCGTCGCAATTTTTTCAGGAACTACAAATCAGTTCTTTATGAAATTTGTTGCCGTCTTCATATGAACATGCTATACTGTATGATGCGGTTTCAGATTCATCAATCGTCAACTTCCTGCGTACCGAAAATACTTATATATTCTTACATATAATCGTTGCGTTTTCCTGGGGAACTACACAAAAAATCTTTCTGAAATTTATAATCAGTCTTCATATGATCATGCTATACCGTGTTAATTTGTTTCAGATTCATCGATCGTGAACTTCCTGTTTACCAAATACTATATTCAGGACCTGCCCTGTTTAATGTCAGCTGACCTAAAAGGTCATGTTAGCTTTTGCCACCACTTATTGTCCGTCGTCGTTCTAAATCCGTAGCCCGATGTCCGTCGTCCGTCGTTAAAATGTTCTCCCTTGAAACTACTGAACCAATTTGAACCAAATTTGACCTCAATGATCATTATGGTACCTTGTATTAATTTTGTGTTTTCTTTTTATTCCGGTCAGCAAGCAAACATGACCGCCATGGGTATTTTGTTTATAAATATGATTTATTTGATTTAGTTATAAATGTTTATCATTGTGTTGCTTCTTCGTCATTTTAATTATAAATGACAGTTTTCAATTCATACATATTGTTTGTTTGTCATTCCTTCGTCCTATCAAACAGAGCAAGTCTGTGTTGACAAAAAAGTGTAAAAGATAGGTTGTAACTATTAATAGCAAAATTTACCAGCATTGTGAAATCTACAAAAATGCCAAAATGACCGAAACTGTTACCATTAAAAGGCTCCTTAAGGAGTTATTGTCCTTAAATAACGATTGTTGACTTATTTTCGTGTTTTGCCTATTACTAGTATTTCGAAAACGATAATAGCTAGAAACTGTAGACTAGAAAAATTAATAAGCAATACAAGATCTAAAAAAAATCCTGTGCAACAAAAACATTAAGACGACTTTATATGAGTTATTATAATCTTAAATGACGATTTTTGACTAATTTTGGTGTTCTTGTACCCTTTTCAAATATCTTATCCTCTAAAACTAATTGGCCCATTTCAAACAAACTTTCAAGTTGGTTGAATGATCCTTGAGGTATTTATGCCAAATTGTGCTGGTATTTTTCGGTCAATCAACTAACATGGCCGCCATGGTTAAAAGACGAACATTAGGGTAAAATCCATTTATTGTATTTAATATAATAGATATTTTGTCTTATATCTTGAAAACAATAATAGAAATTTGATCTGAATATAAATTTCTATCTACTTTCTACCCCTTAGAATGACGTTCGTGTTTTGCCTATTACCATAACACACGGGTGTCATTCGGTTTATCGAGAGAAATGATCGTGAAAGAATACCTAACGGTGGTCAAGTATTGCGATTGGATCGTGAAAGCTCTTGTATAGGATCGTGAATTCAATCTTATCGAGAAGACATATACAAGGTCAATTATTAATCTAATCGAATTAATTACACGGACAAATTTACAACAAAATAAAACTATCTGTCAAAATGGTTCAACATTATGATCAGTATGTGAGAAAATCCAGGTTTAGAAGTACATCGTGTTTACAAAACTACAAAAGGCAGATTGCTCCTCGACATTTCAATGAGTTTTAAAATGTAAACAAACCAGATTTTTTTCATAATTCGAATGACTAAACTAATTTCCTACAAAAAAGGTCATTTCATTTGAATGAATCAAATGGTTCTCAAAGTTAGTTTGTGAATGCATAATCAGAAAATTTGTAAAAAAAGAAATATTTACACAAAATTGATATTTCGGATCGTGAAAGATCACGTACCGCTTTTTGAAGATCGTGAAAAGGATCGTGAAAGATCTGATGCTACGAAGGCGTTCAAATTATTCTTCAATTATATGATAATATATATTTGTTATTGGTATAGAAAAAACTAGATTTGCATGACTAACCCGGGTCTCTTTTGTTGGTGAATAGGGCTATAATCGTGCAATGCCATTTGATCCAATTATCTTATAATACCACACAGACTAGGTGAATTATAGCAATATCAGTCTATTTGTCCGACCTTCATAAGTTTTATTTTCTTGTACAAATTCAATAATTTTCATTTCTCATTTTTAAAGCGAAGATCCTCAATAAATTTAAGCATTTCAAAGTATTAATATCTTCAGACCTCGACTGCACCTTATTTCATAGATCAAGGTTTAGTTTTGTGGTCAAGTCTATATCACGGATTCGTTTATCTATAGGGTAACTGTATTTGATGTAAGTTATGAGTGTAAGGTGTACATTTTCGACTAGAAAGGTTTCAACTAACCTTGACCTCATTATCATGCATCACAGGGCAAATTGAATGTTTATTTTGTGGGCTTTGGTCTTTTGCTTATATACCTGTATGCTATAGGGCCACTGTATTTGGTGTATGGTGTACATGTCTGTCTGCATGTTTCACATATGACGTTGACCTCATTTTCATGGTTCATTGGTCTTTGTTAAGTTTTCATGGTTTTGTCAGTTTATCGGATACTAAAAGCATTAGTTCAATTGTATTTGATATATTGAATGATAGTAAGATGTCTATGTCTGACTGTCGGTCAGGGTTCATATACTTTCGACCTTATGTTCCGAATTCATTGGCCAAACATAACTTTTAGATTTGTCAGTTTTTAAGGTACTATAGGCATCAGAACCACTATATTTGGTTACGGGATGTTTGTACCGGTCTGTATGGCACGGTTCACCTTACTTTGGCCTCTTTTTTATGGATCATTGATAATCTTAATTAAACCTCAACTATTACAGACATTCAACATAATATACTATCATAAGTAAAGCAGACGAGACATTTCAGCATTTGCGCTCTGGAATTCTTTACTCTGTAACATATTGTTATCTCATTGGCAATCATTTCACATCTGCTACGTTGTATATAAAGAGACATATATAGAAATTAAGAAAGTACTGTAACACAAAAGGTTGTATGGTTATCGTTCAATCTCATATTGTTAGTGAAAGATGCTGTTTTCTCTATTTGATATGGTAGCTGGTTAACTTTTTGTGTTTAAACGTTGCATACCCATATTATTGTCCAAATAGTGGCGGTAAGTAGACAGGTCTGCCTGAATTGTGCTAGACCGATTCTCAGAGCTGAAATTTTCACACGAGAACTGACAAAGGTATGATATCGCTAGACATGCCAGTGCAGATTCAGTAAAAGTTGTCACGATTGAGAATAGAACTTTATCGGTTATTAACAAACAATTTTAAAATTAGAAATAACGTTATCTTTGTACCTTTTTAGTTTGTGTCGGCGCAGCCACGAAATAACAATATTGTCATACTATGTATGCACGAACGACACTCCACATAACTGAAAGTATCAACCCTTAAACAAAATTGCGTACACATGCATATGTTTCCAAGGCGGATGTATTTAAAGATACATATATACCTTTACTTTTCGAAAATTTATGCTCATTGAGGTCCTTCTATTTTGGAAATCAACTTATCTAGACACGTTTTTAGTTATTTTTTTAACTTTCGAGGTGAAGTGTTGAATTTAAAAAAATTTAAAAAATGAAAGCTTTAATGTTGGTTCTTATCAAAAAAGTTACACGCTTCCATCAGCTGCAAATATGTCAATTGGTAAAAGAAATATTGTTTTCTGATTATTAAGTCTGGTCACGCCTTATCTTTCACGATCAAAATAATGCGTTGCCTAATCTTTCACGATCAAGTTTGATGAAAAATCAACAAAATTCAAGGTTTTCATAAACAAGTGAACGGTTTCAAGGGAAGAGCATACTTTTATTTTACTGTTCTATCGGACAAACCAAAGATTAAGTTTCAAATATATCATGGTATATTGGAATGTGACCATTATAGGTACAAAAAGCGTGTTTTTTTTAATGAATCCCATAGACATGTATTGTGCCTTTTGTGTATCCTCATAAAGTACTGCACATTTTCTTTATCTTATTACACTGTATTGTTGAGAAAGTTGAATCATTTTGACAGACAAATTTGTTTTTTTCGGATTTGTTCCGCGTTTTGAAAAGTCAGCGATTTTTTCACAGATTTTCAAGTAGAATTTACATTTAATTACATTCACGATCCGATATCAGATCTTTCACGATCCAATCGCAATGCTTGACCATCGTTAGGTATTCTTTCACGATCATTTATCTCGATAAACCGAATGACACCCGTGTAACAAATTATAATAAACTAGGTAAAACTGTTTATGGCAAAATGATTAGCAAAACAAGATCAACAAAAATGCCAATATGACCTAAACCATTGGATGACTACTTAAAATGAAGAGTTTTGGCTAATTTTCATATATTTGACTATCATCTCAAATACTACAATAGTTAAGTAAAAATTTAAACAGCAAACATAATCAGCAAAAATATTTTTCCAAATTTTCGTGTGTTTGCCAATTTTGCAGAAAAAGTATGATAGCTAGGTATAAATGTAGACAGAAAATTGTCAGCCATACACGATCTACAAAAATGTCAAACATCCTAAGCAGTGATTCACAGTTTAATGCCAATTTCAGTAAAGACCTGTCTAAATTCCATTTAATTGCTAAACTCAACAACACTAATCGCTATCTTGATGATATTCTTTCGTTAAATAACTTAGTCACCCTAAGGGTAACTGGGGAATAGAAATATGGTCATTTGGTCTTCTTCCGACCGGCAGTAAAAACCTTGCCAAAGAAGAGCGTTCGTTTGGTTGTGCAGGATGTACATGTACGCAGTCACGCCCATTCAACATGGTGACGTTAAAATCGTTCTCTACACGTTAAGAACCCTTGCAGCAACTCTTTGAGTAGTACGTAGGTTGCCTGTTGCAAGGTAAAATTTCTGTCCATATCCAATATACCCTCATTTTCCAGTGGCAGTCCAAATTTTCCAGACCTTCTTCCCGAACGGTCTCTATTACAAAACCTACCTATTGTATTTATTGTTAATTTGACAGTGTTCTCGTCCGAAACATGCATGAAATATTTGCCACTGGACATTCAGCAACCAACAATCAATAAATCAATCAATTGTTAAATAATAAAAAAAATCTCTATTTGTTCTACCGACTGAAAATTTACCCAAAGGAACTCACTTTAAATAAAATCGAATGCAAACAGCAATAACTGCCCTTCCTAGATTTAGATATTAAAGTTTCACACAGAAAACTATATACAAAATATGACGGTAAAAGGGATGATTTTTCGTTCCCTATTGTTTATTTTCCTTTTCTGTTCTTTTGGTCTCATCTTACGGTGAATTTGTAAAAACAGGGATTTTGTAAAATCACTGAAATTTCAGGGGTTTTGTATAATCACTGAATATATTAAAGAATTTATAAACTCCTTGATTTTGACCAGGGATTTTTACAAAATCCCTGAAATAATTAAAAACAAAATTTTAAAAACTCACTGATTGAATTCAGGGAATTAAGAATAATGAACAAATCATTTTTTAATAACATGCTGAATACTAGTTATCTGGACGTGCTTTCTCAAAATTGTATGTGATACTAACTCTATGCTGGGAATGAGGTAAATCTTGTTTAAGTTGATTGAAAATCTAAATACTCGTGAAAGGTTATCTCTACCCACAAAAATATTATTATAATAAAGATTTTTTAGTCTTGAACTGCAAAGATAAAGTTATTTATAGAAGAGAAAATAACTGGATTAAAAAAATGCTATTCGACATATATTTCAATAGACGGGTTATATATTATTGAGACAAACACAGATCAATTTGACCATTTTTCCTTTGGTTACTAATTGTCCTTTCTTTACTGTTTACATTAACAATGGGTTACATGTAATGATGTAATTGAACATTATTTACTTATTCAGGCTATTGTCGATAATCTAAACACATTTGATGAAATGTTTTGATTCGTAAAGCTTAAAAGGACGGTAGTAACTAAACAAAGGACAGGTAAAAATTAAAAAAAAAGTTATCACTTTTGACATTCAGTTTTGTTAAAAGGTGAAAGACTTGTCGGTAGTGTTCCTGTGTAGATACAAAACATGTACATTGGAGGAGTTTGTGTTTCAATCTACATCATTCTTTGTTACACGGGTAAGTTATTTATCTATATATTTGTATTATTTAAAAAATAATAATAATAAAAATTGAAAAATTGTACTTACAAATATATAATATCGAAAAATTAATATGAAATTTGAAAAAAAAAAAATTGTAATTATTAACAATAGTGTTATACCAGGCATGCGCCAGATGTATATAAAAAGAAGAAGAAGATCTATCAAATCTCGTTTTGGTCAACCTTACATTTATTGGAGAAACGTTGAAATTCTATAAATGCATTTTTTGTAATTGCTAAGATTTTGCAGGAATTTGTTTAGTTTGGTAGTAAGCCCAATGAACGAAGCATACATTTGTCAAAAAATTAAAAATAAAGTAACTGATTGGGCTTCTTTCTTCTTTCTATATACATTAACAGTTAGTTAAACATTGTCTACGTGCCAGTTTGTATATCTTGAATATAGGTAAGTGAGTGCATGTGGTTCTACTTTGAAATCAACTATAATTGTTTTTTTTTTTGTATTTTTACTTTTTTTATGTCGGGCTTACAGTATGGTTTTCCTCATTGTTGAAGCGTCGTTCTTTGTTTGTTTTCTTGGTTCCCTCACCACCATAAATGTAACCGGGTGACTGGATACTGGAATGACGATGAAAACGAGATGAAACCCACGACCGGTTGCAGATGTTGGCGATGCCAACGATAGACAATGGCTAGGACCTAATCTCTTGCCTGAGAATACTCGCTTTAACTCCACTGGTAGAATTAGACACAAGTTCTATGCAGTAGTTAACAATTAAATAAATTTAGATAATTAAAAAAAACAAATGATTTAGTAAATGAACTGATTAGCCTTCTCTCACCTTTTTATATACCCAAACAGCAAGCGAAACTTTATGATGGTGTGTGTTATATCTTTTATTTAGGCTCAGGAAAATTAGTGACGTGGTTTTTGTCTCGCCTTGACGGAGTCAAAAAGCGAGACATAGGTATGCTGTTTCTGGCGTCGTCGTCGTCGGCGGCGGCGGCGGCGGCGTCAACAAGGTATTAGTTTGTGATTAGGTCTAGTTAATGGTGAACCACAAGTGGTAGGTCAATGATATTTGGTATGCAGTTGTATTAGCATTGACACATCTCATTTTCATGGAGATTTTTTGGCCCTGCCCCCTCAGTCATGGTCTATGTACTTTGAAACTTTTGCTTAGTTTACATGTATTAGTTTGTGATAAGGTCAGTTTATGGGGAACCACTAGTGGTAGGTCAATAATATTTGGTATGCAGTTGTATAAGCATTGGCATATCTCATTTTCATGGAGATTATTTTGCTCCGCCCCCTCAATATCATGGTCTATTGACTTTGAAAATTGTGCTTAGTTTAAATGTATTAGTTGTGATTAGGTCAGTTCAAGGGGAACCATTAGTGGTAGGCCTATGTTAATTGGTATTCAGTTGTATAAGCATTAGCATATCTCATTTGCATGGAGAATATTTGGCCCCGACCCCTCAGTCATGGTCTATTGACTTTGAAACTTTTGCTTAGTTTACATGAATTAGTTCGTGATTAGATCAGTTTAAGATGAACTGCTAATGTTAAGTCAACGATATTTGGTATGCAAATTTATTGACATTTGCAAGTATCGTTTCCATGGAGATAATATAGCCCCACCCCTTCATCATGGTTCATTGACTTTGAAACTTTTACATAGTTTAAAAGTTAATGTTTGTGTTTAGGTTTGTTTAAAGGGAAAGACTTATAACAAGTCAATGATATTTGATATGCAGTTGTATGAGCATTGGCAAATCTCATTTCCATGGAGATTGTTTAGCCTTGTACCTTCAGTCATGGTTCATCGACTTTGAATATATTCATAACTTAAATGTTAAAGTATTGCTATTTTAATTTCAACATTTGCATTATCAAAATTACAAAAAGGCGAGACACATCTCTGTGATAACAGTTTAAAAATTGCATTAGGTCATCAGGTCACTTTAAAGCAACCATAATGACACGGAGATGTACTAAACTGCGCTAATGCAACATTTCAAAAGGTCGCAGGACGCCCGGTGTTATATAGCCATTTTCCCCCATGCCAGTTTTCCCCCGGGGGAAAAATTGGCATGATCTCATTTTTCCCCGGGGAAATTTTGGATCATTGCCATTCTCCCCCGCGGAAAGTTGACGATACGTATACATATAGCCACGTTTCCCCCATGCCAATATTTCCCCCACAATATGGATTTCACTATGTATATACATCAAATTATGGCCATTTATTACATATATTTTTCGTGTTTCCTTCAAGAAATTATTGATTCCTGGAATGCTAAAATAATCTGTTTTCGGTTTGGGTTGCATAGAAGAAATATTGGGTACAAATTATTCTTGTTTTCTTGACACGTGTATTACTAGAAAGGTCCGGGAGTGGGGTGTGGTACCTATATTTTGTTACAGGGGTGCCGTTTGCATTCGAAAAAAATCCCGATTCATTTATTGACTCTGTCCAAAAATTCGATTTATTCGTATGACTTACGTGAAAATTGATGTATTATTTAATAAAATTGCCACCCATTGATATATGATAGGTTGAAATTTTCCATCCATTCATATAGTTAACAGCATTAAAAAACGGACATTGGTATAGAACTTATTTAAAGGAGTTACTCTACATTAATCATTGATTTTTTTTTGTGCAGCCGTTTGTGTCCACTGGCGTGTGCATGCCAAATAGTATGGTGATTTCATCACATATTAGAATCCACAATCTGAGTTCATTTCTGCATGGCCAGTCGTCTGTCTGAATGTCTATTAGTTTGTCTTCATGTCCAGTAGTCTGTTAACATGCACGTGCACCAATATGTGTATATGTCCACAAATCCGTTTACATCTTCACCAGATTTTGTTTACACTCACCAGTCTGTCGACATGCCTACAAGTTTGTCTATATGTCCACCAGTTTGTGTCTTCGCAAGTCTCACTAAATGTTCACCAGTATGTCTCTACGTTTCAACCAGTCATTCGACATTTTCCCCAGTCTATATATGTGTCCGCCAGTCTTTCTACGTGTCCACCAGTCTATATAAGGTCCACATGCAGCGTTTCTACACACCAGTCTTTGTGTGTGTCCATGGTCTGTCTATGGGTCCACCAGTCTGTAAATATGTTCACTGGTCTGTTTATATGTCCACTATGATTGTTTGATGAGGCTAAACTATTTAAAAGAAGGATCCTTCAATGAATAATTAATTTCCAACTGACGTCGCAAGGGGGAAAATGAGCTTCTCGTGTTACTAGGGGGAAGAATAGGCCTGATCCTGGTTTCCCCCAATCACACTGAGGGGGAAAGGTGGGACCATGCCAATTTTTCGGGAGGAAAAACTGGATCGATCCAGTTATTCCCCCCGGAAAAATAAGAATGGGGGGAAATGGCTATAGGACACCGGCAAACCGCCACCACCGTCCCCAAGGTCGCAGGTAGGGTTTTGACCATATTGGAGCCACTTATGTGGTACCTTTGTGGATAATTGTTTTTATTGGCAATCGTATACCACATTTCCTTATTTTTATGTTAGAACGCCTATCGAAATTCACTATGATGAAAGGTATAAATGATGCAACTGACAGAAGGAGTAGGTCCAGTAAGACCCATTTTTGGCCCCAAAATATAGCAGTTTTACAAAATTGTTAAAATGTAAACTTTTAGCTATTTATTGGAAAGTAGAATACTTCTGTTACATAAATATGGGCTGTTTTTGACAATACAACGCACATGTATCGGGTACCAGCATCATTAAGTCATGCTAAATTACTGAAATCTTCACAATTTTAGCATTTGAGTTAATTTTTAGACGGTTTCCGTCTTAAATGGAAGTGGCCGCATTTGTGTTCATTCTTAATATTTACATGTAAGTTGTATATGATGATAATTAACATATATAAAGCTTGAGGATGAACACGGATGCGGCCACTTTCATTTTAGACAAAAACCATCTGAAAAGTGACATATTTTGGCATATTTGATAGATTTTTAATATTTAAGCTTGAATTTGAGCGTCTTTATTGACTAAACCAGTTCAAATCTTTCACTCAATCTAACCGAATTTACTAAAGTAGACACTTACGTGTTTAAAAAATGTCTAAAATCTTTCATCAGATGAGCCTTAAGTTTTAGGCCAAAATCGGCCCTTACCGGACCTACTCCTTTCTAAATATGATATTTACATGTATGCACAATACTTAGGAATGCATTAAATCTTATGCTCATTTTTTGTCTTAACAAGAAGTTGGACATGGAAAGAAGACTACCAGCAATACTAAGGATGACGACCTATCAGCTTCAAAGTCTTTAACTCATTTTTATAACGGTAAGTGTAAATCTACAAATAGGGCTTGCTAAATCTCGGTATTACTATATTAGTTCAATTGAGGTACAACAAATTTAAAACAGTAGCCCAAGACTTTTCAAGCATAACTAAAACACGTAGTTGTTTAATGTTTTCTGTACAAAACTTTTTTTTTTGTTTACAGTAAAATCAAAATTATATTGCTCAATTAAATTCCAACAGAGACTTATTGTACCAGAGTATGGTAACGAGGCGAAATCTCGTAATTTCATGAACACCTCAGTGGTTTCGTGGTAGTGTGCTCGAGTGCGGGAGGTCGTGGGTTCGATTTCCGACCACTTTACCGCGTCTCCGTTAAGCGCGCAGAGTTTACGAGTAAGACCAAAGATTGATCGGCTTAGAGATAGCATAATGTGTCCAGATAGGGGGACATGTAGTCCTGCGTTATATAGTCATCCGGCCATCCATGCGTGGTATCATGCGGACCATGAATGTCATTGAAACCTTAACATTGAAAATACTTTAAACAATCTTTTAATCAAGTTGAAGTTAAATGTCTTTCACAAAAAAGAGGTAACATTAAATATCGGAACACTATTTCTCTTTCTGGACTTTAATTTTTAATATTTCAATGTCGATTCTCGAATTTCATTGTTCTTAGAAAATCATATCTAAAAGATTTATTTTTCAATCCCGTTTAATCATATTCGGATTTTTTTTCAAATGAGAAAAAACTTTAATCAAAGTGAATATGTCAGTACGAGAAAACGTTTGAAAAATAATGTAAGAGCTGTGCTATTTCAATAGATAATATGGTCATTAAATAGGGATTCCCATATCTGGTAATACATGTCTCTGAAATAATATCTGCCTGCTAGCAAAGTTTTAAAAAATAGAGAAAAGGCACCAAAGGGTAAATCAAGACACCACTGCCAAGTAAATTTTTTTTTTAAAGAATGTCCTTTACAGAGAAGCTTTGTTACAAGCTATTGGTATTATGTTCAATTTTTTTTTAATTTTTTCACCACAAACCTAATCCTACCATTTCGTATACATTTCTTAGTTTTACACTGTAAAAACCACGCTTTGGTCATGAATTATAGGCATTAGTATTAGGTATGTGATACTGAATATTTTGTGCAAACAATAACAAATAAAACATTGATACCATGTACCCTAGCGTCAATGGTCCTTACATGACGGGCGTAAAGGGGGTGCATTCCTACCATCTTAAATTTCGTCACCGATTTAGTTGCAACCTTTCATAATTTTTAGGACGTTAAGCAATCAACAATCAAACAACCATTCAATCAATAGTTATTCGGTATCGACAGTCTTAAAATGCCTCTGGGATGACATTTGTGTGATAAAGAACAGTCACAATTTTTAGTTAATTTTTTTTTTCATTGTATTGATTGTTTTCTTGGTTTCCTCACTGATGGCTTGAACGTTGCTCCTGGTAAAATAGAGTGCTCGGTGGCCGATTTGTCTAAGTAGTCGAACTACTGTATCACTAGCCTGTCAACACTGAAGTTGCGGGTCCGTATTTTTCAGTATACGGATATGGATATTAAACTGCACATTGTCGTTGGTTTATGTCTGTCATATTTGTTTTTCGTATATTGTTTTTGTTATAAATTAGGCCGTTAGTTTTCTTAATTGAGTTCTTTCATATTTATCATGTCGGGGCCTTTTATAGCCGACTATACGATATGGGTTTTCTCATTGTTGAAGGTCATACGGTTGCCTACAATAGATTACATCCTGTTCATTTGAACTTTGGTGGATAGTTGTCTCATTGGCAATCATAACTCATCTCTCTATTTTATATTGTGTTACCTGTAAAATTAATGCGCGCAAATGTAACAAACTTTTTTTTTTTAATCTTAAATACACAATGAAAAAGATTAAGCACATCTTGGCATATTGGATTATAGCATGTCACCACGACTTAAATATTGATTTTAACAAGGCCATTATTCCATTAAAACATGTGAGCATACAGGTGTGACCGGTAATAAAGATATTGAAGTATCATGCACGTGAACTATGCCTTCCATGCAATACCCAAAATTCAGTATATGTCCACTCTTCAGATATGTTTTTTTCTTAAAGTCTCGCGTTTTGAAAATTTTATTCATTCTCTGTGAACATGATACGAAGATGTCAGGGATGTCAGGGATGTCCTTTAAAGTATTGGACGTCAGATGGGTTATCAGTTTACTGTAGTCAGCTTGCATGTGAGAAAACTCACACAAACCAACTCCGTGAAAGACTTGCCAAGATCCGGTAAACCATCTGTAACATCGCAGCGTGAAGACGGAGCACTGCATCTCCTAGTCAGACGAATGCCATTTGAAACTAGTCCTGATCTAAAAAGACAATGGTTACCTAATAGACGTCTACAAACCAAAACAGTGAGGAACCGGTTAAAATCAGCAGAACTGAAGTCACGGAGAGTAATTAGGCGTCCCATGTTATCTAATCGACATCAACGATTACGTTTGGCTTGGTGTTTAGCGCGACGTGTTTGGAACTTGTGGACCTGGTGCAGGATCCATTGGTCGGACGAGAGCTGATTTCTGCTGCATGTAACAGATTGACAAATGAGAGTTCAGAAACAGAAAAATACGGCAAATATCCAAAGGAACATCCATCCAACTGTTCGTTACGGTGGAGGCTCTATAATGATATGGGGTGCGTCTCTCATGATTGAAATTTGGACTTGGTGACCATACGTGGAAACCTTACAAGCGATCAATACATCAGAGAAGTTCTCCAGCCAATTATTGTCCCCATTTTGAAACAACCATCCACTAACTGCAAGACCTGTGTTTATGGTTGACAACGCCAGGCCGCATCGTTTAAGGGTCGTAACCGCTTACATTCAAGGCGAAGCCGTGACTTTTCTGTCTTGGTCAGCCATGAGTCCGGATTTGAACACAATAGAACATGTTTTGGACATGTTAGGTCGTCGTGTACATGCAGTCGAACCTCTTCTACAAAACTTACGTTAGTTTAAGGCAACATTACAATGGGAATGGCGACAGCTACCACAGCAGAAAATCCGACGACTGACTGGAAAGATTTTACGCAGGGCCGAGGCCGTCATCCAAATACATGGAGGCTTCACTCGATATTTAACTTTGATCCATGATGAATGTTGTTAAGTGACTTAAAATTGACGTTTTCCAAATGAAATGACAATCTTATTGGGCATTACTAACTCAGAAGGTCAATACTTAAAATGGACATGTTTTATTCTAATAACTTGTAGTTTTGTGATAATCTACTCATTTAATTATTATTTCTGTTGATATTTGTTGTATTTTCTTAAAGCTAATGTAATGTCGTAACAGGCCACATTTGTATCTTGCGATTATTTGGTCCGTAATCTGATTACACTAATCGTATCATTTGTCTTTTCAAAAAAACTCGGAGTGCTTAACTTTTTTGTTTGTGTATATATTTCTTATGCCATTGATTAACCCTAAGGCAAAAAACACGGACCTTGACATAGAATTTGTTTTAACAACACTTGTAATGAAAATTTTTCAATTGAAGATGAAAAACATGTATTGATGATGTGTCCAGTGTATGCAGATTTGCGTTGTTATTTGTTTTATCAAACATCTCTAGGTAATGTTGTAACATGAATTGTAATTTTTCCTTTGATCTTCGAGTGAGTTAACTTATGTTATTTTTAGAGAAGTGCGTTAACTGAATGATTTTTTAGTTATTGCACTCTCCAGTCCCGCCGTGCGTCACATGCCATAGGAAAAGCAAAGAGTGAGAGGAGCTTAGACAAGTGCTCTAACTTCCATCTCCAGTTTGTTATTACACTACCACAGCAGAAAATCCGACGACTGACTGGAAGGATTTTACGCAGGGCTGAGCTCCGCCTCTTTGGCCTAGTAAACAATGAAATCAATGACCATAAAATGTCCTGCTAAATTTCAACAAGATGCATACACAACAGTAAATAAAAAAAGAAATCATGGAAAAAAGGGGGGGGGCGGGGCTTACACCAAAACTAGCCGAACTTGTAAACCTAACCCTAAATTAAAATTCCTATACTTAAAACAAATGAATGCCAGAGGAAAGCTACAAATAGGAATAACGTGGTCTTTATTAAAAAAAAAGAGGCGATATTGATATATTGGTGGATACGTTATCGTGTCAAAATGAATATTCCAAAAAAATTGTCACTGGATTTTTAGTCGTTTTATTTCCTCCACTTATTAAAGGTATATCTCCGTGAATTGAGCATGCTTAAAATATTTATCTCTGTATCTTACGCAATCAACAGCCCATCTATTAGTCGATCATTTTCATGGTGTTGGGAAAGGCAGAATACATTCAAATAAGTTTTTAAAAGTTTCCTTCGTTTACCTCTGCTAAACTACTCGTCCTATTGGTTTTGAAAGCAGGCAGCATGGTTTACATCTAACAATATTTTGCATCTTTCCTCCTCAATAATTTTCGCCCGGGGAGGGGGCACTTCAATAACGCATAAATCACTCTCTGGTCTTTAAACCATGGTGAAAGTATCACGGCAACAATTCGTTTACATGTACATCTATCATTAAATCAAATCCTATTAAAAAGTCCAATCCATGAGTTCATTTTCTGAAAATTAGAGACATTTTGTCATAGAAAGCGCCGCTATTTGATTGACATATTTAATTCATGAAAAGTACAGTTAAGTTTAACCCCTGACATGTGACATCGCCAATTAATGTTACAAATCATATATAGCCCCGCCATATGTAAATGCTCTTTTGTTCCGACGTTGGAAAGTTCCGGCCAGAAAGAACTAACTAGCCGAAAAGTTCCGGAAGAACTTATTAACTAGTTACTTTGTTCATCCTCTGATTTAAAAGTTCCACCGGAACAAAGTGACTAGTTGAAAAGTTCCAACGGAACATATCAACTAGTTAGAAAGTTCCTTTTTGCCAAATTAGTCAAAACCGGAACTAACAAACTAGCCCAAAAGTTCCAACGGAACTTATCAACCAGGCAGAAAGTTCCATTTGGAGAATTGATGCAAAGTAAAAGCGCAACATATTATATTTGAACCTTTCAAAGGGAAACCAAGATACTGATTACAAAAGTCAAAAGGAACTTATCAACTAGCCACAAAGTTCCTCTTTGGCAAATAAGTCAAAACCGGAACTAACAAACTAGCCCAAAAGTTCCAACGGAACTTATCAACCAGTCACAAAGTTCCATTTGGAGAATTGATGCAAAGAACCACATGAGGAGGGGGGTATTCTTCCCTCTCTTGAGGGTACTATGAATACTAAATTTGCATGATAATGCAACTTATTCCGTTTTATGTGAGCTATGAAATACAACTTAAATTTTGCATATTTGTCCCCAAAGAAACCCCTTTCAGTGCGTTGGGTATTCTTGTAAATTAATGATTTGCTCTTATATATACTGATACTCATTCTTCCCCCTCTTTCTACAAAAAGGACGAAATATGGTATATTCGGAACGATGTAACTAGTTGTTCTGTTCCGCCAGAACTATTCAACTAGCTACATTGTTCCGGGACTTTTCAACTTGCTACTTTTTTCCGGAACTTTTCGACTGCACTCGGAATAAAACAACTAGTTGGAAAGTTCCATCTGAACGAAATAACTAGTTGAAAAGTTCCGCCGGAACAAAGTAACAAAGAAACATAGTGGCTGTTACACTTACTCATTAACATATTTAATCCACTCAAAGCTACTCTTTTCGTGAATTAAAAACCTTAATTCGTAGAAGGCGTGCTATATATATATTACTTAATTTTATGCATTTGTCTGATGACAAACATTTATATTTTTATTCACCGATGAAAATATGTACTTTTAAGCTGCCAAAATCTGCAATGAAATTTAATTGGAAAGATGAAATTGAGAACGGAAATGGGAAATATGTCAAAGAGACAACAAACCCGGCAACGAGCAGACAACAGCCGAAGGCCACCAATGGGTCTTCAATGCAGCGAGAAAATCCCGCACCTGGAGGTGGTCCTCAGTTGGCCCCTAAACAAAATTGTGTGCTAGTTCAGTGAAAATGGACGTCATACTAAACTCCAAAACATATAAATGAACTAAAATTCAAAAACATACTAGACTAACAAAGGCCAGATGCTCCTGACGGGACAGGCGCAAAAATGCGGCGGGGTTAAACATGTTTTGTGAGATCTCAACCCTCCCCCTATACCTCTAGCCAATGTAGAATAAAGAAACACATAGCAATACTCACAGTAAAACTCAGTTTAAAAGAAGTTCGAGTCCGATGTCAGAATAGGTAACAAATGAAACTAAGCAAAATGACAATGATACATAAATGAACAAAGGACTACTAGAAAGAACATGTATTTTATATTGCTAATTTAAGTATAGATAATGTATATACATTTTAGACATTCTCTCATAACAGCTATTTAGAGTGGCTCATGTTCGTTTTATGATTATGTTTTTGTCTCGCCTTGACGGAGTCAAAGAACGAGACATAGATATGCTGTTTCCGGCGTCGGCGGCGGCGTCAACAATGTATTAAGGTTGTCATTAGGTCTAGTTTATTGTCTCGCCTTGACATAGTCACAAAGCGAGACATAGGTATGCTGTTTTATGCGTCGGCGGCGTCAACAATGTATTAGTTTGTGATTAGGTCTAGTTTATGGTGAACGGTCAATGATATTTGGTATGCAGTTGTATTAGCATTGGCACATCTCATTTCCATGGAGATTATTTGGCCTTACCCCCCTCAGTCATGGTCTATTGACTTTGAAACTTTTGCTTAGTTTACATGTATTAGTTTTGTGATTAGGTCAGTTTATTGGGAACCACTAGTGGAAGGTCAATGATATTTGGTATGCAGTTGTATATAAGCATTGGCATATCTCATTTCCATGGAGATTATTTGACTCCGCCCTTCAGTCATGGTCGAATGACTTTGAAACTTTTGCTTAGTTTACATGTATAAGTTTGTGATTAGGTCAATTCGAGAGGAACCATTAGTGGTAGGCCAATGTTAATTGGTATTCAGTTGTATAAGTATTAGCACATCTCATTTCCATGGAGAATATTTGGCCCCGCCCCATCAGTCATGGTCTATAGACTTTGAAACTTTTGCTTAGTTTACATGTATTTGTTAGTGATAAAGTCAGTTAAAGATGAACTGCTAATGTTAAGTCAACGATATTTGGTATGCAAATTTATTGGCATTTGCAAGTATCGTTTCCATGGAGATTATTAAGCCAAATTCCCTCATCATGGTTCATTGACTTTGAAACTTTTACATAGTTTACAAGTTAATGTTTGTGTTTAGGTTTGTTTAAAGGGAACAACTTATAATAAGTCAATGGTATTTGGTAAGCAGTTGTATAAGCATTGGCACATCTCATTTCCATGGAGATTGTTTAGCCATGTACCTTCAGTCATGGTTCATCGACTTTGAATATTTGCATAACTTACATGTTAAAGTATTTCTATTTTAATTTCAACATTTGAATAATCAAAATTACAAAAAGGCGAGACATATTATGGCAAACCACTAGTGGTAGGTCAATGATATTTGGTATGCAGTTGTATTAGCATTGGCATATCTCATTTCCATGGAATTTATTTGGCTCCGCCCCCTCAGTCATAGTCTATTGACTTTGAAACTTTTCCTTAGTTTACATGTATTAGTTTGTGATTGGGTGAGTTCAAGAGGAACCATTAGTAGTAGGCCAATGTTAATTGGTATGCAGTTACATAAGCATTAGCACATCTCATTTCCATGGAGAATATTTGGCTCCGCCCGCTCAGTCATGGTCTATTGACTTTGAAACTTTTGCCTTGTTTACATGTATTAGTTTGTGATTAGATCAGTTTAAGATGAACTGCTAATGTTAAGTCAATGATATTTGGTATGCAAATTTATTGGCATTTCCAAGTCTCGTTTCATGGAGATTATATAGCCCCATCCCTCTCATCATGGTTCATTTACTTTGAAACTTTTACATAGTTTACAAGTTAATGTTTGTGTTTAGGTTTGTTTAAAGGGAACGACTTATGATAAGTCAATAGTACCAATGGTATTTGGTATGCAGTTTTATTAGCATTGGCACATTTCATTTCCATGGAGATTGTTTAGCCATGTACTTTCAGTCATGGCTCATTGACTTTGAATATTTGCATAACTTACATGTTAAAGTATTCTTATTTCAATTTCAACATTTTCATAAAGGCGAGACATATTATGGTGAACCACTAGTGGTAGGTCAATGATATTTGGTATGCAGATGTATTAGCATTGGCATATTTCATTTCCATGGAAATTATTTGACTCCGCCCCCTCAGTCATGGTCTATTGACTTTGAAACTTTTGCTTAGTTTACATGTATTAGTTTGTGATTGGGTAAGTTCAAGGGGAACCATTAGTGGTAGGCCAATGTTAATTGGTATGCAGTTATATAAGCATTAGCACATCTCATTTCCATGGAGAATATTTGGCTCCACCCCCTCAGTCATGGCTCATTGACTTTGAATATTTGCATAACTTACATGTTAAAGTATTTTTATTTCAATTTCAACATTTTCATTATCAAAATTACAAAAAGGCGAGACATATTATGGTGAACCACTAGTGGTAGGTCAATGATATTTGGTATGCAGTTGTATTAGCATTGGCATATCTCATTTCCATGGAAATTATTTGGCTCCGCCTCCTCAGTCATGGTCTATTGACTTTGAAACTTTTGCTTAGTTTACATGTATTAGTTTGAGATTGGGTCAGTTCAAGGGGAACCATTAGTTTAACAGTTTATATTTTCTATTTATATGTTTTATAAAATGAAGAGGTGAGACTTAAATAAAATATTGTCTTGTCTTATCTTGTCAAGTCTTTTTATGCAATACATTTGTAATCGTGGACCGTTAATTGATTAGTCAGTTCTTTTGATGTGGAGGTGTGAAAATGAAGAGAAAATTCTCAATTGTAAACGTTTTCTTTAATTTTATATATCTATATATGAAATGTTTAAATTTTGTTTCCAAATTCTCCCGAATATTAATGTTTTTCTTGTGAGTTTGTTATTATATCTGTCTATGCTATATGGAATTTTATCATTTTTGAAGGCCTTACGGTGACCTATAGTTGCTGACATCCACGTCACGGGTGGACAGTTTGTCTCATTATCATCATACCACATCTTCTTTTTTTTTATACTGAGTGATTATTTGTCACAATTGTTGTTTTAGGTACTATTTCACCGCTGGCGAACCTTTCATCCATCATATTTAGAAACTACGATTCCGGTGTCCGCCCGTATTGTCCAGGGGAGGAAGAAATAGTCGATGTCACAGTGGATTTAGCTCTCCGACAACTTATTGACCTTGTAAGTACAGTTTAATATCAGGAATGTCTAAAGAAGGGTGGGGTTGACTTTAAGACCCCATGACAACTTTATATTTGATTGATTATAATTTGTAAACAGTAAGTGATAAACTAAGTCTTTAGTAATGATTATGGGACCATATGGTCAATAAAAGGGTTAAACAGTGAAACGTCAAGATGCTTTTTGCGCGACAAAGTATGAAATAAACTCGGCAGCAAGAGGGTTAAAAATTATTTTTGGTCTCCCATCTCCAGCCAAAATTTTCCATAGTGTACATGTTTAGTGTTGCTGTTTTATTTTAAATAATTGCATTGAACTATCAAAGTTGCATAAAGGCGAGACATATCTCTGTGTCAGCAGTTTATTTTCATATTAACAACAATTTACCTAATTGCTTTTCATTCATTGTTTTCACAATGGTAGGGTTAATAGTTTTATACTCCGGCGCGGGCTGTCCAAACATGTAACATTTATGGAGTACACAGGTTTTTTCTATTTCCTTGATGACCCTGCTCTAAGTCTTGAGTCATGACTTGTCTGAAGTGTTGAAATCTGAAATATCATTTACGAGAATATACAATATATATAGGAGAGGGGTCTTTCAGTAATTTTGCCTTATTTCAATGATAAATTAATGCAAGTTATCCAATTACATTAAACTACATTGTGTAAATGTACACGAATCATGACTGTGTAACCTATAGACTAGCATGTATATATATGCAATCACAGGGGCTTGTCTATAGTGGGTCAGACGGGTCATTTGAACTTGACAACCACAATACTGGAATACTGTGGATAAAAGTTGACAAAATATAAGATATAAAGAAAGACTTATGAACCCTTCTGTAGGCCTGTGTACTAATAATTTATTTAAGTGCACCATAGAAACACCATTAGTAAATAAACATTAGCACCATTGTAATTAGATGTTAATCGGGTAAAAACTAAAAACAAGAGTTAATATTATACTTTACTATTATAGTAACCACTAATAAAATAATTATCACAAATAATACCTCTTTCCCGCGGGTAACTGCGCGTAGGCAGAATAACTGTTAGGGAATATCCACGTCGTAAAAATAACTCAATATTTCCCGCGGGCAACTGCGCGTAGGCAAAATAACTGTGTGGGAATGAGCGCGTAGGCAAAAGTAACTCCTTTGCACGATGTCTTTCAAATAACAACTTTGATATCAACTTTACGTTCAGTTCAGTATAATAATACAGTTATGGCCTTCATAAAAGTTAATATCCAAAACTATTAAATCCTACAGACCTCGAGGAAAATAATCCTTTTCTCGATTTAATAATTGTGGATATTAACTTTTGAAGGCCATAATTGTTTATTGTTTGGGTTAAATACAATAACAACACAATCTGATGTAAGCTTATCTACAAACATTATATTCTATAATAATATTCAATTAAAACTCGTCTGACCAACTAGACAAGCCCCTTTGATACAAGTTACAATACCACATCAATAAATATAAACAGGGACATATATAAGTCTATATAAATCCTTGATATAAATAAAAGAAATATTGTTTTGGCGTAAATTTTGATTATCAAACATCTTTGGCCGGACCTTACCCAGACAAGAAATCATCGTCATCTTGATTTGCGGCAACAGTTGCCTCTGTATTCAATCTTTGGGCCCTGTTTATTAATATTTGCAGACGGGCTGCGGACGATTCAGCCATATAAATACTTTACCGCCAATCTCAAGAAAAATCCGGAGGCTGTCCGAATAGTTAGAGGGCTACACTATTGACTGGATCGATGATTGTTGATGTTGGTCAGGTCATTGTCAACGTTGGTCAGGTCACGTTTTCGCAAGCTTTGAATATTTTTTCGTTTTTTCCTTATATTTGTGTATTAAATGATGAAATCTTATTATATTTCAAATTTGAGATAAATCCTTTGAGAAATAAAAAAGTTATTAGCATTTTCATTTGGTCCTGTCATTGTCCTGTCCCATATTCATATAATACTTTATAAGACAGTTTTTGATTGGTTGACAAAAGTGCAAAACTTCCGGTATGGAATGAAAAACTTACGGTATGAAAACTAAAGCGTTGGTTTTTCATACCGTATGAATTACGAATCAACGTTTTTCATACCGTATGAATTACGAATCAACGCGTTAGTTTTTACAACCAACGCATTGAAAATGATAACCAATGCGTTGAAAGTGAAAACCAACGCGTTGGAAGTAAAACCCAACGCGTTGGAAGTAAAACCCAACGCGCTGAAAGTGAAAGCTGCCAACGCGTTGAAAGTAAAAACCAATGCATTGACACTATGATTTGATACGGTATGTTTATACCGCCAATGACACGAACGGCCACTCATACAACTCTGTACTATGTGCTATTTAGCATGATTAAATATTGGTATAGGCTGCAAAAATCTGAAATGATAATACTGTACTTAGGGCAGCTTCTGATGAATCATGGAATATGTTTGAGAAAGAGAAAGAATCATGGGTGTCATGTTTTACCATATTTTTATTTTTTTTAAATATGAGTCATTTATTTAGAAGAGATCTTAATATAACTAATAATTGCATATTGAATAAAATAAAATATTGTTTGCAAAATTTATACATTTATGGACATCAGAACTGAATAATGTTAAAGTTGGAAGTAAGCTTAGAAATACAGGAAGTTTAAGTCTTGCTTTCAGCTTGAAACATATCTGAGGTATGGCCATGAAAACCAGAGGAGAGTATTAGTAAATTTAGACTTAGTGATCAAAGCTTAAATATCATTGAAAAGGGAAGATATAGGAATCTGGATATTAATGATAGAATAAATGATCTTTGCCATAATAAAGTAGAAGATGGAGTTCACTTCTTATTTGCGTGTCCGTGTCTCCATAATGTGAGAAATGACTATTTAATTTTTTTCAGCAAAAATTGTAAAAACTTTTCTCATTTGTCCTCTGATAATAAATTAATTTCGTTATCAAGTAATGAAGTTAAAATATTAAATTAAAATTAGGTTGCATGTTGCAAGCTTTATTTGATAAAAGAGAGGAAATATCATAAAATAATGTGCATAACTAGTTAACTTTATTTTTTATAAATTAATACCTAATGCTACTTTGGAGTAGGAGTTGTCTCCCCGTCCACAGGTAGAGATGTCCAGAAACAAGACAATTATATATATTGTACTGTAATTGTAGTTACACAAATGAAGCTATGTTGTTTTCTGCGCCTTTCTGTTAAATATTCAATTATAAAAATCACTTTTCTAGTTAATTTTATAAATCTGTTTATTTAGTTATAATGAAACTGCTCTATTTAGGGCACCATGATTGGAAATAATAAAAAGGTCTATGTCTGTCCCCAGGCCTTAATCATATATGATCATGTTTGACTTATCAAGATGCATTGAATGGTATATAGGGTAAGTCTTTAGGTGTTTAAATTTATGGGGATTCGTTTGGCAGACTTCGTAGTAGCCTCCTGTTACAATCAATACTTGTTTATCAGAAAAAGTTCACATTTTATCAGAAACTATAATATAATTTAAAAGCTATTACACGGTACGTATTTGTTTTTTCTTGTTTTTTCTTTCTTTTTTTTATTTAACAGTTTTTGTACATTCATCTTGCTTATTGCCTCGCGTCGAAGAAGTCGAAAAAGCGAGACTTAGGCGTTTTTGATTAGATTGGTTTAAGATGAACAACTGATGTTAAGTCAATGATAGTTGGGATGCAGTTGTATCGGCATTTGCAAGTCTCATTTCCATGGAGATTGTATGGCCCAACTCCTAATCGTTCATTGATTTTGAAACTTTAAAGTAGTTTACAAGTTAAAGTTTGTGTTTAGGTTAGTTTAAATGGAATCACTATGATGTACGTCAATGGTATTTGGTGTGCAGTTTCATAAGCATTGGCATTTCACATTTCCATGGAGGTTATTTGGCACTGCACCTGACTTTGAATGCTTTGCATAGTTTACATGTTTAACTATTGTCATTTAAGTTTCAACATTTGCATTATACCATTAAAATTACAAAACGCGAGACATATATATATATCTGTGTTTATTACATTTTTATTTATATGCAATCCTGTTTTCTTTTTTCGGAACATTTAAGCAAAGTTTTTACACTTACTATGTTAAAAATCAAATGATTGCTCCTTTGGTAATCTCCAAATATCATTTTTGTATCATAATTCTCAATTAATTACACCCCGTCAAGATTGACCTCTTTTGTTGTTTTTCCTATACGTTAACTGTTATATACATTTATTTTTCTAGGATGAACCATATCAGATTGTGACAATGAATATTTGGATGCGCTTGGTATGTACACGCAATTTAAATCCTCTCTTTTTTTCTCACCTAGCCCAAAATTCCGTTTGTCAATTTGGGCCGTTACCATCACATGACGTCCGTCGTCCTTCCTACATTTTTTCGTACGTCTTTGCCCTTTCACAATTCCAATTGCTAAAATGTTTACCAAAATTGCAGTTTGAATTCATCTCTACAAACTGGTATTATATTTTAACTCATATCTAGTGAAAGGTTGTTAGTATGAAGCAAGTGCAGTGTCATAAAACAATATACTTACAAACCAATAAGACTTAAATTCCGCATCTTTCGTTGAAATTGTATAGATGTATTTCTTTACTAGTATATCAATCGTAAAGGCATATGAAAGGTGATATAGTAATTCTTGAGTTGCTATACTAATGTCCCATTTTTGTCGAGCCTTCGACTTTAGTCGAAAAAGCGAGACATAGCGATCCTACATTCCGTCGGCGTCGTCGTCGGTCGTCGTCGTTGTCGTTGTCGTCGGCGGCGTCCACAAATATTCACTCCATGGTAAAGTTTTTGAAATTTTAATAACTTTCTTAAACTATCCTGGATTTGTACCAAACTTGGACAGAAGCTTGTTTATGATCATAAAATAGTATCCAGAAGTAAATTTTGTAAAAATAAAATTCCTGTTTTTCCGTATTTTACTTGTAAATGGACTTAGTTTTTCTGCCAGGAAACATTACATTCACTCTGTGGTTAAAGTTTTTAAAATTTTAATAACTTTCTTAAACTATCCTAGATTTGTACCAAACTTGGACAGAAGCTTGTTTATGATCATAAAATAGTATCCAGAAGTAAATTTTGTAAAAATAAAATTCCTGTTTTTCCGTATTTTACTTGTAAATGGACTTAGTTTTTCTGCCAGGAAACATTACATTCACTCTGTGGTTAAAGTTTTTAAAATTTTAATAACTTTCTTAAACTATCCTGGATTTGTACCAAACTTGGACAGAAGCTTGTTTATGATCATAAGATAGTATCCAGAAGAAGTTTCGAAGGGAGATAAGAGTACGGTGGCAGAATGCGGCCACGAAAGAAAAAAAAATGTTGTTCCCTCAAAATACTATGTCGTTCCCTCAAGATGCTATGTCGTTTCCACGAGATAGTTATCTCGTCCCCTCAAGATACTATGTCGTTCCCTCAAGATATTATGTCGTTCCCTCAAGATGCTATGTCGTTTCAACAAGATAGTTATCTTGTTCCCTCAAGATGCTATGTCGTTTCCACAAGATAGTTATCTCGTTCCCTCAAGATGCTATGTCGTTTCCACAAGATAGTTATCTCGTTCTCTCAAGATACTATGTCGTTCCCTCAAAGTATTATGTCGTTCCTTCAAGATATTATGTCGTTCCGACAAGATTTTATTGCTATGTTGTAGGAACGACATAATATCCCTCAAGATACTATGTCGTTCCCTCAAGATACTATGTCGTTCCCTCAAGATGATATGTCGTTCCCACAAGAAAGTTATCTCATTCCCTCAAGATGATATGTCGTTACCACAAGATAGTTATCTCGTTCCCTCAAGATGCTGTCGTTTCCACAATATAGTTATCTCGTTCTCTCAAGATACTATGTCGTTCCCTCAAGGTATTATGTCGTTCCCTGAAGATATGATGTTGTTCCGACAAGATTGTATTGCTATGTTGTAGGAACGACATAATATCCCTCAAGATACTATGTCGTTCCCTCAAGATGCTATGTCGTTCCCACAAGAAAGTTATCTCATTCCCTCAAGATGCTATGTCGTTACCACAAGATAGTTATCTCGTTCCCTCAAGATGCTATGTCGTTTCCACAATATAGTTATCTCGTTCCCTCAAGATGCTATGTCGTTTCCACGAGATGGTTATCTCGATCCCTCAAGATACTATGTCGTTCCCTCAAGATGCTATGTCGTTTCCACAAGATAGTTATCTTGTTCCCTCAAGATGCTATGTCGTTTCCACAAGATAGTTATCTCGTTCCCTCAAGATGCTATGTCGTTTCCACAAGATAGTTATCTCGTTCTCTCAAGATACTATGTCGTTCCCTCAAGGTATTATGTCGTTCCCACAAGATATTATGTCGTTCCGACAAGATTTTATAGCTATGTTGTAGGAACGATATAATATCTTGAGGGAACATATCTTTTTTTCTTTCATGGCCGCATTCTGCCACCGTATAAGAGTCCTATCACTAATTTATGTGAAAATTGTTAATTCGTAGATATCAGATTATATCACATGGAATCTTATTGACAGCATATTTTTACTTCACAAATATTTCAATGAATATTACATGCTTTAAATCAAGTTGTTTCGTAGAAATATAGACAATCTTGTAAAAGGAAAAGTCACTGGTATTGTCTCTTAAGAAAATATTTCTTATATACTCTAATATACATAGGTAACTTTTTTCGGAGACAAATGCCTGTGGAAAAAGTGCGACCATTTTAGACTTGACAATTATATAGCAATTCAAAAATGACTACATATCTTCATATGACTTTAAAAACTGATATATTTAAAAATTAAATGTAATAGGATTGTAAGTGTATTTTTTTTTATTACACTGGACTGGTACTTCTTTCACACTAACAACCTTCCCTAGCTATGAACAAAACTGTTTGATCAGTTGAACAGATTTTAGAGATGAAACTAAATAATGACTCGGTAAAACATTTAAGCAATTTGTGTTGTGAAAGGGCAAAGCCTTTAGGATTAGCACAATAAAACAATCTCCTATTCAACCACTGGGTCATCAATGTATTACAATGTAGTTTGTGATCAGGTAAGTTCATGAGAAACCACTAGTGATAGTTCAAGGATATTTGATATACAGTTGTATTAACATTGGCATATTTCATTTCCATGGAGATTGCTTGGCCCCACCCCCTCGGTCATGGTCTATTAATTTTGAAACTTTTACTTAGTTTACATTTGTTTGTTTGTGATTAGGTTAGTTTATGGGGAACTACTAGTGGTAGGTCAACGATATTTGGTATGAAGATGTATTAATCAGGAATCTGTAATTCAGTGGTTGTCGTTTGTTGCTGTATAGGTCAGGCCGTTTTATTCTCGTTTGAATTGTTTTACATTTGCCATTCGGGGCCTTTTATAGCTGACTATGCGGTATAGGGTTTGTTCATTGTTGAAGGCCGTGTAGTGACCTATAGTTGTTAACTTCTATGTCATTTGGTCTCTGGTGGAGTTGTCTCATTGGCAATTATGCCACATCTTCTTATATTTATAGTTTTGGCACATCTCATTTCCATGGAAATTATTTAGCAAATTTATGATTAGGTCAGTTTAAGATGAACCACTAATTTTAAGTCTATGATATTTGGTATGCAGATGTATCAGCATTGGAATATCTCAAATCCATGGAGATTATTTGGCACCGCCCCTCTGTCATGGTCTATTGAAATTGAATGTTTTGTATAGTTGAATTTGCACCTATCATTTCGGTGGAGATTATATGGCCCTGCCCCCTCATCATTGTGCATTGACTTCGAATGTTTTGCATAGTTTACATATTAAAGTATTGCCATTTCATTTTCAACTTTTACATTATCACTGGAGTTAAACTGATAATCGTAACTGGAATTACGACGATCCCAATATGGCGACGGCAGAAATAGGTAAAATCTTTTCAGTCATTTTTCTAAAATGTAGCCCGTTGTTGTCAAGAGTTACTCAGCTGCAAAGTTTTTCGATACCATTACATCATATTTGAATCGTAACGGTGCACTATAATTTTCAAAGCGCTTAGAAAATTGCCGTCGAAAAATTCGGGATGATAATCGTAACTCGCAAAAATGATAATCGTAATTTCGGTATTAATAAATAAGAAGATAATCGTAACTGGATAGTGTTTGATTGGTATTGACACGAAAATCATCTATCTAAAAGCATATGATGAAAATATGGTGATGAATTAATCACAAAATCGTTCCCACATCTTTTGACATTTCTTTTTGTGCATATATGATTAACAGTTCTAATGTAAACAGCTACATACTAGTATATATCATAAAATTGGAAGGGGGACCAGCTTCAATAAATTTGTAAATGTGGAAACACGAACTATGTTAAAATACTGAAAACTCCAGGAACTAGGACCGTCAAAAAATATAGGAGAAATTTTTAAAAATGTCATCATGTCACTGATCTCTTCATGTTAAGAGTTAAAAAGAAATATTGTTTGGTATTCTATTTAAATACGGACTTGAAAACAAATGTCACACCTTTTTGAACGTGTAAAACGTTGTATAGCCCATAAATACTATAAAAATGCTTAGCTACTTCATGACCGTCACTGACATTTCGATATCTCAGAAAATAACTATAAATTTTAACAACACCAATTTAGTTTGGCATTCTAATAATATGACATCCTTAAAACGTTTAATGATAATATAAGAGTAGAGAAAAGTTGGAATGCTTTGTGTGTTATGGAGTTAAGCGTATGGTGACGTGGAGTTCATTGGCAAACATGGATTTGTGTTCTTTAATAGTTTGGCCAAAAGCCCGAAGATCAAGAAATCAAATTGATGTGGCCTTAAATTACCTTACAAGCTATATTTATTCAAAGAATGACTGCAACTTTAAGAAATCATAGCGCATATTCCGCCATATCAGAAACAAACTGATTCAAGAAATCATAAATACTTGGTATATGAAAAATATGCTGCAAACATATGCATTGAAGTTATTGTAGAGAAAAAATATTGAAGCTAACAAAGAACATTTTTGTACTTGCATAATTACCATATACTTAGTACTTTTCTATCAAATGAAAACAAAAATTAGCCTTTCATAATTGTCATGCATTTTTCTGAAGCACAAAATATTTGTTTGATTATCTATTAAAGTCTTTGTAATTAAACCAGTTTCGACCGTGATGATCTACATATTATGCCTTCTGAGGACCAATACACATATATATATAATATATATTTGTGTTTTTTTTTCAGTCCTTCAAATGCTTCGCAAGACTATACGCGCCATTTACTTAAGGCTAATAAAAAACAATAAACACAAGTAACAATAAACACATGGAACAATAAACACAAGGAACAATAAACACAAGGAACAATAAACACATAAACACAAGGAACAATAAACACAAGGAACAATAAACACAGGTAGCAATAAACAATAGTAACAATAAACTAGTAACTATTCTAGATCCTTTACCATCCACTCTGTTTAAAGAAACGTCCTAAAATACATGGGTATTTAATCAAAATATTTGAATTTAATTTTTAAAATCATATAAAATATCAGTGTAAAACAGAACAAAAGTGAATTCACTTGAAAAATATAAACGGCTATTTTAACCGGGATACATTTCACTCCAAAATTAAACTATATGTATTTCTATTGAAATATAAGGAAAAGAGCAAAATGAAAACTCATATCCACCAATCAAAGTATCAACTGTTAAATCCAATAATGCAGTTAAGTAACTGATGGAACATTTTGTTCATTTCTCGCAGAAATTTAGTTTAAACGTTCAGTTTATAGCACCCCTCCCCCCATTTCCCTTTTACATAATTTGTGGACCCTTCCCCGAATATAAACAACAGGGAACTCAAAACTGACAGCGATCTTATGATAAATGAGGTCTGTATAAGGCACGGGGGAAAGGGTGGTGTCACTTCTGGCGTGATGCTGAAATTTAAAAAAAATATCCCCTTTCATATATTGCCGAAGACCAAAAATTTGATCCATGTTATAACTTATATATTTACATAGGAAGTAACCCACAGCCACCATCCCCCCCCCCCCCCCCCCCCCCCCCCCCCCGTGGTATAGGGAATATTGAGATAGTGGAGGCTAATTTGCCCTTTTTATTGATTTAAAAGTCGATTGGATATATGCAATATTTGAGGCAAAACATATGGCATATTGAAATGTGGTATACGGGACTTTCATTTGAACGGATTTCACTTTTGGGATATGGGATAATGCTTATACCCCCCCCCCCCCAACAACATTGAAACTTTGAAAGAATTTAAATTAACTATTTACCACAATAACTGACTCGACAGCTGCTTCATTTTCCATATCTTTAACAGGTACATGTATATATTAAAAGGTTATGCATATTGTTGTCAGTGATAAATCGAGATATATATATATCCATGTAAGTAAATTTGTCCTAAATATTAACCTGTAAGTTGCTTAATTATTTTTTATTTTGCGCGCTAATGTCATCGTTTAACTGGACATTGCCGTTTTTACACACTAAATACCATTGACAAGCTGGAAGACTACATTTGAGAAGAATGACTGAAAAGATTTCACCTATTTCTGCCGTCGCCATATTGGGATCGTCGTAATTCCAGTTACGATTATCAGTTTAACACCAGTGATTATGCTGTCAAAATTACAAGAACGCGAAAGATCTCTCTGTGTCAACAATTTATTATATTTCACGTTCTAATTTTTTACTCCGCGTATAGTATGTTTTCAAGAGTAAACTTTCAGTAATCAGTTAAACTATATACAGTTCATCTTCTATAAAACGATTTGGAAACTAGCAGCAGGATATATCTTTACAGATTGTTTATGTTTTAAATACCTATTGTATATTCCTAGTATAATTGTATACCTTTGAAGTTGTTAATGTGTTGTTGTTGTTTTATAGGGTTGGAGGGATTGTCAACTAACCTGGGATCCAAATGAATTTGCAGGTATCACACAACTTCGTGTGCCTTATTCCAGATTATGGATTCCTGATATAGCGTTATATGAAAGGTATACAGTTCACAATAAGATAAAAAACAAGAATTGAACAATCATAGTATTATCTTCTTACTTAATCTTTGGTTAGCTTATCACTGCCATAATTTCATGACTTCATGCTACAGTCCAATAAATAGCACTGATACAAAGTCTTTATCAAAACAATTAAACATATTTTGTGGTCATATAATCTGGTATTAATGAACAAATAAGCATTGAATCTAATCAACCAACTGTCCTCATTTGCAGGTATATTGCACAGCGCTAGACGTTTGGTTAAAATACATAATTATATCTTGAGTTTAATATCAAGCTGGTTAATTATTGAATATAAACTTGTATATTAACCTGGTTAAAGAAGGTGTGTGTCACAATACTGATAACTTGTGCAAAACCCTATTCAAATTATAATGTATACACACATCTTGTAAAACTTTGCCTGTATAATCCTATGGGATGTAGTCCTATAATGATGTCAGAAGACTTTTTCGTCTTTAAACAAATATGGCCTCCATATATTTCTAAAGTTGAAAACCTGAAAATTCTATAAGGTCCAAATTGCTATCAAACTTTTGAGGAAAAAGATAAGTTTGTGATCTTTTTGTGAACAACGGTTTGCTGACTCCAACTCTTTCAAAATTATCCTCCAACTGTCCTAAAAGGTTTATTTTACATCTGTATTTTACGTCATTGTAGGGTCTCTGACGAATTTTACGGACTGAAGGATTATCCTGTTCAAATTCATTCAGATGGACGGGTCGAATACAATTTTCCATCTACCGTAGAAGTAGTTTGTCCTGTCGACGTAACCAATTTCCCGTTTGATACTCAAGTTTGTCCACTTAAATTCAGTTCTTGGTCATACCACGGATTTCATCTGAATATGACATCAAACGCGATGGCCGCAGACTTAAGTAATGTAAAAGAAAATGTAGAATGGATAATAAAAAAAGGACCTGCTCATAGACGTGTGACGTATTATAAATCTCTTCCATATCCAGATTTAACATTCAGCATCTTCATCGAGAGAAAGCCAGATTATCACGTTACAAATATGTTGTTACCTTCATTTTTGATCACATGTATCGCTATTCTTGGTTTTCTCCTTCCCGTTGACAGTGGAGAAAAAGTTGCTCTAGAATTGACAGTAATGCTAGCAATATCAGTGTTCCAGTTACTCGTGGCAGATAAATTACCGCCATCATCTGTCAGTACACCATGGATTGGTAAGATTGATACAGCATTTGGTACACCTCGTCAGATTATACATTGTAGGGTGCAAAAATCTGCAGTGGTTTACTATACGATTGGAACATGAATACTAAGAGCTATTATTTACCCTACAATTTAACATTGAGCTAAATCGTATAGTTGTTTTACTTCCCAACCATTAAAGAATAATTACATTACATGTATGTATCATAAGAATATAGATATAAGAAGATGTGGTATGAGTGCCAATGAGACAACTCTATATCCAAGTCACAATTTATAAAAGTAAACCATTAAAGGTCAAAGTACGGTCTTCAACACGGAGCCTTGGCTCACACCGCACAGCAAGCTATAAAGGGCCCCAAAAATTACTAGTGTAAAACCATTCAAACGGGAAAACCAACGGTCTAATCTGTATAAAAAACGAGAAACGAGAAACACTTATGAACCACATCAACAAACGACAACTAATGCGTACTTTTGATTGGCAGACAACAATCGCAAGGCCATGTTGGGGTGTAAAATAGCAGACAATAATCGCAAGGCCATGTCGGGGTGTAAAGTAGCAGACAATAATCGCAAGGCCATGTCGGAGTGTAAAATAGCAGACAACAATCGCAAGGCCATGTCGGGGTGTAAAGTAGCAGACAACAATCGCAAGGCCATGTCGGGGTGTAAAATAGCAGACAACAATCGCAAGGCCATGTCGGGGTGTAAAATAGCAGACAATAATCGCAAGGCCATGTCGGGGTGTAAAGTAGCAGACATCAATCGCAAGGCCATGTCGGAGTGTAAAATAGCAGACAACAATCGCAAGGCCATGTCGGGGTGTAAAGTAGCAGACAACAATCGCAAGGCCATGTCGGGGTGTAAAATAGCAGACAACAATCGCAAGGCCATGTCGGGGTGTAAAATAGCAGACAACAATCGAAAGGCCATGTCGGGGTGTAAAATAACAGCAGACAACAATCGCAAGGCCATGTCGGGGTGTAAAATGCAGACAACAATCGCAAGGCCATGTCGGAGTGTAAAATAGCAGAAAACAATGAAATGTGCAAATTTTGAGATAATAATGTAATTTATTTGTAAGACTTTTCATCTACATGAAGAAAACTATGTGTTTTATAATTTCGACAACTGTTTAAAAAAAAAAACTATAATATTTCTTGTTTCATTTAATTTTTTTTTCAACTTTGCCATATTAGGGGAGATAAATAAGATAATTTAACTTGTATAAAGGAATGTGTTATGAATTCAAAATATTAATCTATACAAAATCTGACGATTTTGCTAAACCTTATAGCTTGTCCCGTGACCCATACTTTTTACTTTATTTGTGAAAAAAGCATGATATAAACTCCATTTTTTGGGGCAATTTATAATAAAATCTATCGATTTTAATTTAGACCCCCCCCCCAATCTACCGTAAACCGGTTTTGGTCAGTATGATAAACTGATAAACGTGTATCATTTTGATAAACTACACGTTTATTAATTTGTCTTCTGTAATTTTTCTATTGTTAAATTTTCAAATTTTGACTGTCTGAGTTAGCGCTATTTTCCCTGAATTTATTTCACACCAGAGTCATTTTTAAGAAGTCTTTGAATATTCACATACAATTATAGTAGCATAGCTCCGTCTGTTTTATTTAAGGTTGCTTATTTTCAAACAGACAACCAAACTAAAAACTACTAGTTGTCGCACCGCTAATTCACTCAATCACTTTTAGAACATATGTAAAAGAAAATCATATCACTGTATCTACCAGCTATTATGCATCAATTAATTACTTTTAGGTCTTTTGTCACCTTAAAACTATTGTCTGATCGGTTGTCAGAGGGGATGTTCGAAAGTTTAAAAAACACTAAAGATTCTTATTAGATATTTCGTGGAAGGGCATACTAAATATTTTCAGAGGTTGTTCCTAGATAACACATAAACAAGATTTTTTTTTTAGTTATGCACAAAAAAGTCCAACAAGTAAAGTCTGTCGTCAAGTGCTTTTAGTAAAATTTGATATCCAAACACGCCTACTCTGTTGTTATGACTCATTAGAAAGGTATTTCACTTGACCCATAAATTTAATTTTTTTTTTGTGCTTTGAATTTTTAATGTTATTATATCAACCTGCAGCCTAAATGTATAAAATAATAGAATCTGAAGCGAGATGATGTTTCAAATATTTTTGCTTTATACGTTTTCAGGACAAAACAGTCAACTCAAACACGCTTGAACATAATAGGTGTACTCGACTTTTTCTTTTCGATGAGATTATTGTCCATTTTTTTAATTTTTTTCCCAAAAAACTGCTGCCAATTAAAATATAACAATTTGGCCATTTTTACCTTCTCTGATAAAGAGTTCCATTTCTTTTGTTCAATTTCAACTGGATATCAGCCTGATACATGTATAATTCAGGATAGTTATATATATATATATATATGTGGTTTTCGTGAAGTTATATATATATGTATAAATAGTGATTTTGAATTGGTGTAGTGACAACGAAAGATAGCACAAAACCGAAATTTTGACAGATTTTTGCAAATTTTAAGTTTTTATCATGTCCCCAACAGGACTTTGTTAACCAAAACTAAAATTTGTGTTAGAAGTAAAACTATCAATTGTCTTTCGGGTAGAAGTTAATTAATTGTGGTAAGCGACATTCTTCGATTCAAAAATTTGACAAATACATGTAAATGGAGACGGTATGATAAAACAACTCGTAAGGCCCTTGAATTCGAAAATCAAAAAGTATTGGTATTATTAATCAACTAAATAGCATCCTCTAGATATGTTAATAGGCCATATCATATGTCTGTCGGAAACCAGTATTTATATTTTTTCACATATTGACATTAGGGTTTGAAACTTATACATTTAGTGCAAAACAATAAAAACTGGAAATAGAGCCTTATTTATATATTTTAGATATGAACAACAGCTTGACCCCAAAAAATACATTTTGCGAAGAAGATGTTAATGTGTGTGAAATTCCTTTTTGGTAAAAGCTGTTGCTCAAATCGATTTTGATCAAATAATATGTGTGAAATGTCAATTTTTGGTGAAATACGTAAATTTAGGCATGTTATGACGCCGGTCATAGTGTCAACACAAATGACCCTCATGCACTTTTTAAAGCGTCCAGATTATATTAACTTGTTCATCTATCAATAAAATTAACATAATTTTAATAGGCTTGAACAAGTTTACTATTTCTGCATTTTCAGTTGCCAAATAATGGCCCATATCATACCTCCTCCTTTGCAATTTTGTGTAAAAATGTCTTCAACAGCAATATGAATCGCCGAAAAATATTTTGAGTTTATGGAAATATATAAAATTGTTACCAACTTTTTAATTATATGCACGATATACTTAAATATTCAATTTCCAAAAGGATTGACAAAATTTTGACCAGGGGAAATCGGCCCTACCTCTTTCGATTATCTACTTGACAATGTAGTAGAATCTATGTGATCCTATATGCACCATAAAAGTCACGGAGTACAAGGGAGACAATTCTGTCTGAATCTTAATAGTAATATTAGCATCACATATAAATGCATGATGCAGGCACAACTATATTCTTTATTTTTATCTTTATTATTTTCTTTTTCAGTTGTCTACTTCAATTTTACACTATTCCTTTCTGGGACAGCTTCGCTTATACAAGTCATTGTTTTAAATCTTCATCATCGTGCAGATCAAAAAATGCCTGAATGGATTGCTTTTAATGTGCTACAGCCACTAGCAACAATTACATTTACCGATGTGCCAGGATTTACACCTTGTAGATGTATATCCAGACAGGTAAGAAATCATTTAACTTAAACTTGGAACCGATGGAGAAAGTATAAGGTAAATTCACTTTACTGTGGCACATAATTTTGGATTATTTTACTGCGTGAAAAGACCCGTCCTTTCTGAACTAGTGGTATGGTATAATGGGTCCAAGGGGACCTTTGTCCAGACCCACACGAAAAGCAGTTCATGATATATTATCATTATTATCACACTTACCGTTTCTGAGTTGTGCCCTTGGACTGTCTTTAAAAAGTACACCATTCTGATCAAGACGAATAAATAGCATTATTTTATTAAAAAAACATGCCTACTGCAACTTTCCAATTAGTTTCAAAGGTTATATCAAAAGAAAATCGTATTATGGGGAAGATTAGAAGAGGTTGCTAGTGGTTTTTGAATGATATCATATGTTGGCGTTCATGCAATACTGTACCAGTCCTTATATTTTTTTTCAACAACATTTTATTCCTTTACTAATAAAAGAACAGAGTTCCAATGTCCCCCGCGTTCCACATATTTTATCTATCCAAGGTACAAGGGTAATAACTAAAAAAGCACTTTTCATAAATATCTTAGAGAAATGAAAGCTGCAGAGCAAATGCAATGTGATGTCCGTTTAATTAATATTTCCAAGGAGCATAACTTTTTAAAAAAAGTCGATCAACCATCATTATAGAACTTGTCCGAGATATTGCTGATATTAACTTATAGTATAAGTTTTATAAAAATCTGGCAAGAATTGTACCCGTGAGAGCGCTACCAAGACCGGACGTACAGACTTTCTAAAACTATTACATGAATATGTCAATATTAAATGATCTATCACTTACAGACTTTCTAATACTATTACATGAATATGTCAATATTAGATAATCTATCACCATGATCACGTACAGACTTTCTAATACTATTACATGAATATGTCAATATTAAATGATCTATCACGTACAGACTTTCTAATACTATTACATGAATATGTCAATATTAAATGATCTATCACGTACAGACTTTCTAAAATTCAAACTGACCGCACAAATGATACACGTACGTTGAATGAATGGTGAATGGACGCTGAATGCACGGTGAATGATGCATTCACGATTAGTGTTGAGCGTTACTCGGAGGATTAACGCATAATAGAGGTTTCTCAACATCTAACGAACGAACGAAAATTGCCCTAACTTCACGTTACTTGCCTTAACGAGAAAAGAGGGAGCATTAATTTATTTAATAATATTGGACTATCGGCTGTGTTCTTCTTCCCTTTGAAACGTCTTTTATATATAAAAAAAATTATATATACATGCTGTATTTTTAAGACCATTTTGAGTCGTAGACATAGTATATGGACGAGTGATATATATAATTTTACGGTTCAATCAACACAGTTGAAAAATCTAACTGATCAAAAAATTATGGGGAAGAATATAATTTAAAATATTTAGACCAAGGGCAGCAATCGTACACGAGATTTTGATAAGCGTGACAACATCATTTGAATTTTTTAGTACATTTATGTGAAAAAGGGTAAATATAGGACTTTTGAATGGAAGGGGATAGTAATTTTTTTGAATCTTATCAAGGATGAGATCAATGCTAGAAGGTCTTCCGCAAACATGAGTTTAAACAAATCTAGGCGTGAATGCCTCTAGTTTTTAATTTAAAACAAGCAAAAAAAAAACATCCTCGGATCCGGGGTAACCGCTTCGTTGCCCCAACTCTAAAATCCACATAATCACTTCTTCACTTTAAATGATTATTATTGATTTATATTCTAGCTAAACTGGTAAACTCAAGAAGATAACTGACGGGAAACATTGAAATAAATATTTTAAAAAAAACAATTAAAACTTTAAAAAGATGTACTGTTATGTATTTAGTTTTTTTGTTGTTTTTTTCATGGCCGTTCTTATTCTTTTTGTGTATGTTTTATTATCGTACAAATTTTAGTATATATATAATTAATTTTGTTTTCTTCTTTTTGTGGAGTTTTTATGGCATGCTGTTTATATATTTTCTTCTATTATTATTTTTCTATTTTTTTTTTACTTAGGGAATGGACTTTTTGGAAAATGTTCCGTGGCTTTTTAAAAATATGTAACTATCAGTGCTGTAGCACTCATACTTTCAACAAGAATACACAAAAATCGATTACTTAACGATTGATCGAGTGCTCCTTTATATTTCTGTAACCTTTTCCCAAAAGATAATTGTCTTTTAAATAAATAGCGGTGTTCACGACATATTTATCCAAGATACTCTCGAACACGTAAATGACACTCATGCACTGTAAATCTAAGTGTTAATAAATATAACACTGCTTGAACGCTCAAGTTTTTGTAACACTTTTTGAACGTGTAATGGTGTTCCAAATGTTTACACTAGTGTTCATCAATTGAATGTGTGGTGTTCAATTTTTAATGCCTTTGTGTTTCATTTTTGAACACTTGATGTTAGAGTTCTTAACACTTAGTGTTCAACGATTTAACGTGTCCGAATGTTCAAAATCTTAATACGTCGACGCGTTCAACAGCCATGTAACACTTTTTGAAATCATAGAACATGTTTAAAGCCAAAGTGTTAAGATTCAGAACACCAGACGTTAACTTTCAGAACAGTTGACATAAGTGTTCAAAGTGATGGTGTTCAAATGTGGAACATGTTCTATTTTCAAGCGTACATAATTTTCCATAAGTACTCAACTTAAATAAACTGTTATAAAAACTATATTCAATCAGGCAAAATATAACAATAAAACATATTTTAACAAGTAATTCTTTATGTAATCAAATGAGCATATTATATGTAAGAAAAGTACACCAGATACCTTATGATATCACAAGTAACAGTCAGTGAAATCGCATACATAATGTTTTTAAACTGACTTGAATATATATCACAAATAATGATTTTCCCCTACATGACTAGATAGTTGCAACATCATTTGTATCCTAACCAAAAAAGCATGTCGATGTGATAATTAGATAGTTTATGATATAGGTATTTGTCACAATGAAAGTTTAAAAGTTTGCAAATTCCAACAGTTCTTGTACGATCACATACAATGTACGCTCCACTTTTCAGTGCATCTTCACTTAAAGCTATCAACTGGGTGGCATTTTATGTGTTGTTATCAACTTCCAATGTCAAAATCCTCCAAAACAAGGAATGTCTATGAGCCTATATATCCTGCAAAATAAAATTAAAAATTAATAGAAGAGAGTTTTTCATAAAGCATCAAATTATGCAATGCTTGTTATGCCTTAATGTCGATATATACTAGTGTACAAATTGATATTCTATAGCATTGAAATGCAAGTTTTGACATTATAAATTACAAAAGTCGATTTCTTGACCTAAGGTGAACAGATAGAAATGATACACCCACATAAGCTATTAATATACATTTGTACATATATTGTCATACCTTTTTTCGACATCTTTCTTTTTTCCACCACTTTATAGCATGCAGAAATGACCTTTTTGGGATTATTGGCTACCGGTTCCTAATTCAAACATTTTAATCTAACGATTCCTGCAAATAAAAAAACAAATGCATTTTCACAGTCAAAAGTGGTGTTCCAAATGTTTGCACTAGTGTTCATCAATTGAATGTGTGGTGTTCAGTTTTTAATGCCTTTGTGTTTCATTTTTGAACACTTGATGTTAGAGTTCTTAACACTTAGTGTTCATCAATTGAATGTGTGGTGTTCAGTTTTTAATGCCTTTGTGTTTCATTTTTTAACACTTGATGTTAGAGTTCTTAACACTTAGTGTTCAGCTAATGTATGTGGATGTCGAAAATCATCATTTATTCTGTATACCAGACAGACTGTTTATTCATCAGTTTAGGAAATCATCAGAACAAAGCTGACAGTTATTTACGTTTATATCTAAAGCCCGTTTTTTAATTCGTCTTTTATGTTGAATATTGAAAATTTGGATATAACAGTTATGAATATTTGACAAATATATATCTGGCATGAGAAAATAACAAGGAAGCCATCGAACTACCTATGGAGATTATTCTAACTTGTTACTTACTTCTTTCGTGTTCATATGGGATAGAAGTCCCTTCCCCAGTTTCCTTTCTTATGTGTATCCATTCGTCGTTTAACCGCCTAAATCGCCAGCCGATATCTGTTTCCGGTATTTGGTATCCTGGTATATTTTTTTTTAACACGAGATGTTCAAAATTTCGAGCGATTTGAACACTGATTGAACATGTAATGTTAATAAAATGAACGGATCATGAAATAAGATAAACATCGACATATTTTTATTACGATATTATCATAACAGGCCTCATTGATATGCATAATTATGTCACTTATAAGTAAAACTAGTATATATAAATAAATAATAAAATAAATTCATAAACTATACATATATGCCAGCTTGGAAGTTCAATATTTCACAATTACTTAAATATTAGCCAAAAATTCACAAGATCATCATCCTGCGTATACATTCATATTTTTTAAAGAATTTCTTTTTGAATTTGCCAATTGGAAGGATAGAAAATCGGACAAACGACTATCTTCTTTTTTAGATCAGAATTTGAACACCGGTGTTCACTGCGTCTGAACACACATGTTAATATTTTTAACACAAACGTTAAAACTTTGAACACGTCTCTAAGCATGAACATATGACGTTAAAATATTGAACATTTGTACAAATTTTGAACGCGTCCGGACGCGTCAGGCGTCAGGTATATTTACAGTGTGCGTTACAGAAAGTCGGACCACTTGGACCTAGTGCACAGTAAGACTTTCCAGTTGGGTGCTGTATTCTAGGAGACAGTATTTACCCAAACACTCCTCCTTTATTCGTTCCATATTTATAAAGGATGTGTCGATATAATAAATGAAAAATACTAAACTTGTGTCATCTTAATCACTTGTCAATCCTTTATCAAACGCTAATCTCGTCACGAAATTCATGGAATACTTGCCACTGAACGTTTAACATCCAACACTCAATCAAATACAAACCAGACGCGCCGATTGTTGTTAACATCAACATTACATAGTTTTTAATAGATAAGGGAGATAAATCGAACGCATATATTCGGCATGTAAACAAACGAAACACAACGTAAGAATACGTAACATTCAACAACAGAAAATAAATTAGAACACTGATGTTTAACCACAAAAAATAAAACGTAAGGTTGAAAAAAGACTATGAAAATGATAACTGTTGTCTTGAAACACACTGTAATATCGGCAGAAATTTATCGTGGATTTTATTTTAACAAAATTACTGCTCCTTAACGATACGTACGTAGAGTTTCGTCCGTTCGTAAGATGTTGAGAAACCTCTACTAAGTGATGAGCGTTACACGGACGATGAATGCACGTTAAGTTATGAGCGTTACCAGAACGATGAACGCAAGATACATACACAGTTATGAATGAGTATAAAAAACTCAACTGAATAATAACGATATATAAACTGAACGTTTTCGAATTGTATCATAAGATGGCAACACGTAAGCATGGTACATACATTGATTTTGCAGCCGAATACACGTATATTAAATGATAAACATTTTTCTATATTGGTATTATTTTAATAGTTTTTCTCTATGAATTTGATTTTGAATAAACTGTGACAGTATATTCACCTGAAGAAAATTGATATTCACCGCGATAAACGTCACATGCTTTTTAAATGTATAATTATGGTAAAATGTTTGATGCACAATTGGTTTTGGTAAATAATTGTCATTAAAACATTTTTGTTCTCTCGCGGAATGTTCATAGAATAAAACAATTAACGTCTTTTAGTGAGGTAAAGCTGTTGTTTACAATGTATTTATATTGTGTATTTGCAGGATGAGAACATGGTGAAGCAGGAGATATTTATTCCAGAAGATGCCCAGCTATGGGTACTATTAGCAAAGTGTGTTGATAGGCTTGGTCTCATGCTGTTCCTGTTGACATTTTCAGTCGGTACAGGGATCATTTTCACAGCTTTTTCGCTATGAAAGACCACAAGGGTCAATGAAAAAAATATATTGCATATCCTGTCTCAAGTTAAAAGGAAACTATCATCGACTAGTGGATAGTTGATGCATGATTCATTAATATGATGGTCGGTTTTGTTATCACTCTTGCCGATTTTATTGTAAACAATAGAGTGTGATCTTATTTGGAATCTTCAGAGATTATTGTTGGGTCTTGAGTAATTTAGTACTTGTGAAAGTTAAGTATTTTGTGTGTGTGTGTCTGATACGTGATGTATGTGTTTATATGGTATTTTTTTGAGAATGTATGTATACGTATTTATTGTAAAACTATGTTTGTTTGAATGTACAAGATATGCGTACTAAGTGTATATATTTGCTTTACATCATTTTTAAATATCTTTTTACCACATAAGTTTAATTTTAGAAAAGACTTGCATAACAATAAAATTCAATACCTTGTTATTTTTGCTAATTTATGCAAGGAAGCACCATAGAGACATACTATGCAGTCTTTACACCAGCAGCAAAGACGGCGTTTTGCTATTGAACAGTTAAAGATTTGACAATTATATCTATTGCGTAAGATCGCGTAAGTGCAAAATGACTTCATCGAGAACTGTTAGCCGTAGCAAACAGGATGGGAAGTATGTGTGCATATTTTTACTTCTTCATTAGCTTAAATAATTATATATATATATACACTTCTAAACATGTGACAATTTTATGACAGACATTCTCTATCGGATAACACGTGGTTATATAGGGCTAACACCATAATATATATATAATTCGTCTCAAATCAGCCCAACAATGTTAGGTCTGTAAATGCGTTAGCAAAGTTTTGTCCTTCCCTCAGCGGGATTCGAACCCTTGCTTCTGTGACATCGTGGCAACACCGCCTGCATGGTGTCCATCGCCCTAGACCACTCGACCACCTAGGCTACATAAAAATAAAAATGTCGGTGGTCGATGTAATGCCTTTTCTCGTCGGCTTTATCTAGGGTTGTAACACAATACATTATGTATAGTGGCAAGTAGATGGTGTAACTTTCAGATCAATAAAATTTCAGATTCTCCCTCGGATAACACGTGGTTATACAGGGCTAACACCATAATATATATATAATTCGTCTCAAAATTAGCTCAACAATGTTAGATCTGTAAATTTACGTTAGAATTATTGTTTTTTCCTCAGCGGGATTCGAACCCTTGCTTCTGTTCAATCTAAAGTGAGATTACCAAGCCTGCAGTACTTGCCCAAGATTAGCAGTAATAATTATTTTATTCAGTCATTTTTCTCTTGCCTACAATAAATATCGTTTTTTAGTGGCAGTAAATTCTATCCTATCCACACACATTTTAAACCGTTCCAGCTAATGTATACTTCATTTTTGTCTTGAAAAAATGCAAGAAATATTTAACAGTGGCACTCATAAAAGGGCAACATCAAATAAACCTCATCATGACAGAAGATAAATGAGTGTTTTTTGCGTGAACCCCCCCCCCTTTTGAGGGGTTCACGCCTATATATTGGTGAGTTTTGGTATCTTCTATTGGCCATTCGGATATCTCTGGAAACAATATTCTCGGAACCTCTCGAAAATTTTTCGATCATTTAACCAGGTAGTATCTATGTCTGATACGGTCCCTCTTTGGATAAGTTACCACGTGACATTGTAAATTTCAACAATCAAAGTTCATTTGTAGATCGGATAGTAAAAAAGATAAAAAAAAAAAATAAAGACTAAAAAAAAATCATTGAGACTATATGTTAGAACCTGTTTGCCTTTTGACAAAACATATGTGTTTTTAATAATGCGAATTTTATAAAATATCAAGTATAATTATAACACTATTTTCTAATTCATGCTTTGAGACGGGCGTGCTGTTAATATTTTATAATAATCATAAAAAAAAAAAATTACTACGGATTTATAAGTCTCTGCTTATATTTTGTATAGCAATATATTCATATTAAGAAGAGATTGATTTGATAAATAAAATGTCCATCAGTAAATACTTGATGTTTGTGTTTATTGATACTATATTCTAAATTTTCGGAAAAGATTCATTAGCAGGAATGTATGTTTATTATTATTGTTTTTCTTTTGTCTTTAATATATAGTTCAACCTTATAGCATCTAAATGTTTGCAATATGGTTCGATTTTGAAAATTGTATTCATTGTTCATGTGTTGACACGTCTTGGTTCATTTACATTATATATCACCCTGTATACACACGACACATTATCGGTTTGCGTTCAGACAAATTCTGGATTTAATTGTAATGAATCCGGAGTCAAAACACTTGAGGTAGGTAGTTTGACATCCGAATTCAACTATAAAACATTAGATTTGAGCCTAGATTAATATATGTGATGACGCAAATGCGTATTCTCATCCAGAGTGTCAGTGCGTATGCTTCTATTTACTATTTCTCGAGCAAAAAAAAAACACGTGCATGCATAAATATTAATTTCACTCGCGAATGCGAGTTTTCGCTTTTCTTTCTAAATTCATGACACGGCAGTAAAAGCTTGACATTTGACTTTCAAGCATGGTCATCGTTCTGACCGCTAGTTGTTTCTCTTCTTTTTTTTTGAGTGACTGTCCTATTATAAACTTTGACATTTTCGCAATGCTAAGGATTTTCTACCTCAGGAATAGACTATTTTAGATGTATTCGGCAAAACCTTTGTTTCGAAAGTTTGGGTCCTCAATTCCTTTCAACTTCGTACTTTATTTGGCCTGTTTAACTTTTTTTATTCGAGCGTCACTGTTGAGTCATTTGTATACTGAATTCGCATCTATCGTACAACATTTTAATCCTGGTATGACTATCTTTTTATATCTACATATATTTTTATATGAATTGGTTCTTTTGAGAGTATGTTCAGGTATTCATAAAACTTCTGAAAATAAGATATTCTTCAAAACCAAGTTTTCCTGTAGAATATTGGGATTGATTTAAGTAACTTCAGGAAATCGTTAAAATTTGAGATGTTTTATGAGACAAAATTAATTGTCAGTAGATAAGAGGTCCCAATGAAGCTGGTGTGTTACTCTCAAGAAAAATATACGAAACCTTCTTATAAGTTGTATGTCACAGGGTTTCACTTCGTATGAAAATTGGACTAAATCTATTTATACAACATCTACCATAAGTATAGACAGCTTGAATAGCGAGTATAAGAATAATTGAAGGCATCCAGGAAGCAAACTATGAAGGTATGATAGATAAAATAAATGCATTCAGATTATAAAGCAAACTGAGTGCTTAAAATTATATTGCGATTGGAAACTTAATTTGACAGATATGGTTTTATAATGCTTTTATAGATATTAAAGTATACAATTTTGAAATAAAAGTAATTTTTACTTAAAAAATAAGTATAATTTCACTTAAAAAAATCGATTTTGTGTGTCTTTGCATAACAATATGGTGGACGTGAATTATTCAAAAAAAAGATAACTGTATCTTAATAGAAGAGTAAAACAGTTCTGAAGGATTACTTTCTTTAGTAATGGAAATTTGAAAAGTAAATACATCATTTGGAAAACTTCAATTAAAAAAAAGATTAATAAATTTTATATTTTTATTAGACAAAGTTATCCACCTTTTGAATATTTACCTCCGCCATATTGTTATCCACACGGAACTTGCATACAAGACACACAAATCGAACTCATGAAGTGAAACTGTACTTTTATTGAGTAAAAACGGCTTGTATCTTAAAACTATATACTTTAATATCTATTTAAACAGTATAACACCATATAAAATAAAGTTTTTGGGTAAAACTTATCGGTTCTCGTGTCAATATTCAGTTCTTTGGAGTTCTCGGGAATCGTGGTACCGATTGGTTTGTGCAATTTGCATTAGACATCCAGTTTGCTGAAACTGGGATTTGCAATAGGATTATGAAAAAAGTTATGTACACTCCCAAGTAATAAGTAAAATATTCGAGCCTTAAAATGTAAATTCAAAAAGTAGATGTATATATACACTTTTCTATTCACAACTATCCAACATTGCTTTCAATTGACTTGTGCAAGAATCAACACACAATTACATATTTTCAATGAATGTGTTTTCACATCATCATTATCTCGTTCTATTCACAGTCAATTATTTCAAATCAAAAGCAAACAAAAATTCAGCAATATTTTTTTTGTGACCAGTCAGCGGTCTCGGGTTCACGTATTGCTTTTCTTTTTTTTTAAGAATATCATTTACGAGGACTAATTTTCAATTAGTTATATTGAATAAGAATCTTCTCTGTTAAATATCCCCGACCTTCATCCCGAGCGGTCTCTATTTACAGAACCTACTTATTGTATTTATTGTTAATTTGTTCTGTCCTGAAAATGCATGTTTTATTATCCACTGGGCATTAAGCAACCAACAATCAATCAATCTCTGTTTAATAGGTTCTTAAATTAACTGGTATCGGCTGCAATTATAGAAACGCCGTATTTGTAAAATCAAACGAATGTAGAAATCAGATTTTAATCACCAGTATGATAAGGTCTCTGATAGGTTGAATTTGTCCGTCTATCTTGACCTCATGTGCATATTTCATTTATCAATTTGATTTTTTTGCATTTCTTTAGGTTAAGTTTTAATTTCCCTTTTTTCTATTGCTAAAGTATCTTGTGTGTATGATTTGTATAACTGCACCGTGACTGAAAAGTTTTATCCTTTTTAGTCATTCTTAGGTGATACAGTTTGTGTGCGATGATTTTAAACTAATGAACTACCACAAGTTACAAACTTAAACATTACATTCTATTTAAGTTAAAACATAATATACTTTCAACAGCTAAAAAAATAAGATGTATATCACAGTTAGTATAAACATTGTGTCCGACTTAAACATACGTATTCCTAGAACAAGCACTACAAGTTGTATCCACATGTTCACATCTTATGCGATCAAAGTCGTTCACTTGATATCTATATCTATTTAGTTCATATAAGTTACTATGTTCACGAGGAACAAGTCCATCCTTATAACTGCCATAGTGGCCCTGTGACATCTGACTATGACCTACGGCAGGTTCATTTCCTTCCTCTACATGTGAGAGGTTCTTCCTGTAGCTCGTTGGATCGTCTAAAGAACGTTTGATATTACCTTCGGTCAAACGTAAGTGATGATAAATTTCAGGTGTTGCTTGACTTTTGGGTGAATTCATATTTGTTGATACTTTTATTTTGATGCTACATAGTTTGACGCGCTGCATTTTAACCTTTCCAGAAGGTGAATTTCTAATAGTCTCTTTCTGTAGCTCAGAAGATGGTTCACATATTATTCGGACATTCTGATTGAACTGTTTCCAATCTTTCCAAAGCCCATAGTTATGGCGGAGACACATCTGTAAAAAATAAAAACTAAAGATTTTCAGCATTCATCACCCAAAGACTTTTAAACAAGTACATGTATAAGAAATATTGATATCTTTGATCGATCACGAAGCGACACGTAATTTTTCTTAATGTCTGAAATGATGAATAGGCAGATGTCTTCTTGTAGCGGGTAGTCTTTTAACCATATTTAACACTAGAAACTGTTCAGAAATGTCTTTTGGAGATTTAGTGTGTGTCCTTGTGTTGATATCTTATTGATATTTTCGCACGTTCCCATTTATTCATATTTATGTGATACAATTACGAACCCTTTTTTGTAATAGACTGACAAGCGGGGCCTTAATGTTGGCATGCGAAGCCAAAGACAAGCAACTACCACGAAATTACGAGTGCCTGTCGTTGATAATTAAAAAGTTCTTCGTCTACAATTAAATATTTATAACACAGTTATTCAATTTTTCGAATCAACGGTAGGGTACATATCCTACTCGAATGCCAGTGACAGTCGGGCACAAATCTTTAAAAATATTGCATAAGACAGTAGAAAACAAACCGTTGATATTCTGTGTTCTGCTATTTTATTTCTTTTAAAAAAATGGAACAGTTTTTGTAATGTCGATTCTTATTATTTTTTTTTAGATAATCCTGGCAATAATTCAAGCATTGAATCTGCACATTCAGGAGCCTATTGTTGTCAGGTCGTTGTCGTTTTTTTGCCATCCGTAATAATTGTGGTCCGAGAAATATTAGCTTAAAACAAGCCGTTAGTCTTCAAATCTGTTTTTTTCTTCTGAATTGATTCACATTTTGTTGTACCTGAGGTTTTTCAGCCTGCTATATAGTGTGCGTTTGTACTTTTGGTCTGTTGTGGATAGTTGTCTCATTGGCAATCATATAACATTTCTTTATTATTTTATATTGGAAATGTAAATTTTGTGAATTGTAAATATAGACAAATTGACACGAAATGAACATAATACAATGTTTTAAAGAATTTACCGTAACCCATGCACTGAACAAGACCATAAGAGCAAAGGTCAAACAATAAAGCAAGACAGCTTCTATTCTTCCGGCGTCGTACATTCTGCTTCCAACAATACATAAATAAGCAGTCACTATTGAAGATGGTGCCAAGAACGTGAAACAAACAATGTCACAAATCATATGGCGCTTGTCACGTCGTCTACCTGGGTTCTTTAGAAACTAAAAATAAAACATACTCAGTAAGGATGTTATACTGAACAACAAAAGATAAATAGTACTACAACTTATTTAATTGTGATTAGAACATCTGACCTTATAAACATTATTTTCAGATTAGTTAAAACATTTTTATTCAATGTCTTTGACAAGTAGCAAATCATATTCTGAAAATCCATTTGGAAATTCTAAAGAAACAAATTTTTAGTCGAATAAATGAAAATATGGGAGAAAAAAATTGAGATTTAACGTTTTTTTATGTAATCAAAGAGAAAGAATGAAGAAAAAATATTTTCTAAGGGTTTTTTTTTGTCGAAATTTTTACCAATTTTACCAAAAAGCATGGGCAAAATGTCAAGAATTTGACTTTCGGTTGTGATCTTTTTCAAAGAAATACTGTAGGTCCTAAAACAACAAAACAATTCTTCCTTCAGATCTTACATTTTTACACAAACTTGCTGTGAATTAAAACATTAAAATTAATAGAAAAACGAAGGTGCGTTTCTTGTATTGAGACGTACTTATTATAAATGTATATTTATTTAAAATATTTATTGTAAATCCTTTGATCTGAATCATCAAAAGATAAAATAAACATATAATCATAAATATATCAAGGATTTTTAACAGAAACATTCTAGGAAATCCATGTGAAGAAATATTGTATTACATAGGTTTAAAAGGAGATTCTGGGCATGCGTCAATGAGACAGAAAAAGGCTAGAGGTCAACAAAGTCTCATTTTATTCATATTCAACAATAGAAAGGTGTGTACAATATGTCAAATTCGTCCCGAGTCTAAAATGGTTGTGAATAAATTAAACATAAATATAAAGGATCTGCCACCAACGCTAACATTTAAAAATAACACATATGTTAACATATGCATTCGAAGTCACAAAGTCATTCAAAGTTATAAGTAGTCTACTCTTCGCAGACGATATTGTTTTACTAGGGAAAACCGAGGAAGAATTACAAACCCTATTGAATGTTGCCAGTGAATTTGTTTCAAAATGGATCCTAAAGTTTAATGCTAAGAAATCGAAAGTTCTAGTGGTAGGAAAAAGACTTAACGCAAATAATAACTGGTTTCTAGGGGATGTTTTAATTGATGAAGTAAACGAATATAAATACATGGGAGTTTATTTCTCAAGAACTTTAAAATTTAATCATCTTATAGAAAAATACCTAAAGGAAAACTTTAAAAAGAAACTTAACTATTCGCGTCTTAGGAAAACAAGGTGATTTTAATCGGTTTAATTTTGGCTGTGCTTTGTGGATTTCGATTATACGTCCATCCATTGCTCATGCTTGTGCCGTATGGTACCCCATGTCAAAATCCGGAAACGAAATGCTAGACAGATGGCAGTACAAAGTCGCAAAAGTTATAATTAACTCTAAAATAAACTTTCCAAAATGCTTGGAATTAGGATGGGAATCTTTAACTAATTATATGGACTGTCAAAGGATCACACATTTTGCTAGATTAGATTCTTTGCCTGGTACATTTGTAGAAGATATTGCAAAAGGATTTTTAACGAACTTAAATTATCAAAAAATTAATATTTTAATCATATTAACGGCATATTCCAGTCCACTGGACTAGACCATGATATACATGGAAATGTTAATATAAAAACGTTTAATAATTTTTTGGTATAGAAGCTTGTAATAAGCTTAAGTCCGAAATCCTTGAAAAGCGAAGCCGCGACGATTACCGTTGTTTTTACGTTACTGTATATATTGTATAGTTTGTATGACGCAAACACTAATACCCCGCTGGTGTTTGCCCCCATTGTAAAGGGGAAGTTTTTCAATGAATATATATATATGTTACAGGTATTTTCTAAATTTAGTCATTTTGTAAAATGCCTAAAAATTTCAGGCATTGAAAATGCCTGTAAGATTCAGGCATTTTATATATTGACTAATTTTCTTAGGCATTTTACAAAATGCCTGGAGAAATTGAAAGGCATTCTACAAAATGCCTGAAATTATTGTATAGAATGAAATGTTTAAAAAAATGAACGATTGAAAGCTTTTGATAACTATTTACACCCTGGGTCGATGCCGCTGCTGGTGGACGTTTCGTCCCCGAGGGTATCACCAGCCCAGTAGTCAGCACTTCGGTGTTGACATGAATATCAATTATATTGTCATTTTTATAAATTTCCTGTTACAAAACTTTGAATTTTTCGGATAACTAAGGATTTTCTTATCCCTGGAATAGATTACCTTAGCCGTATTTGGCACAACTTTTTGGAATTTTGGGTCCTCAATGCTCTTCGACTTTGTACTTGTTTGGCTTTATAACTATTTTGAACTGAGCGTCACTGATGAGTCTTTAAGTTATGTAGACGAAACGCGCGTCTGGCGTATTAAATTATAATCCTGGTACCTTTGAGCAGAGTAGTTTATCTATAATAATTACTGAATGTTAAAGCTTGCATTTTAAGAGTTTTAATAATTAAAAATAAATTCTACTGAATTATTCCAAATTCACACAAGCACAGAACTCGACAATTATTTTTTATTTCATAAAATGTTTGGATGGCAAAACTGTTGCACAATATTTGTTCAGATTTTTTTCAAATACATTGCTTGGCGTAAAATCTGGTTTTAGCACTTCAACCACATTTGGAGAAAACTGGATCATGACACATTTAGCTCTTTCAATACCTTTTCTGATAAATCACTTAACGTTAGACAACATTGGGTTTCGCAATAAGCACACACGTCACACATGAATATCTCCGTTTTCGTATGTTCCCAAAAGATTCAAAGTTCATTAGCATGATTAGTTTGACTGACATCTTTTGGTTTATCATAGCTTTTAACGGTCTGAACCAGATCAGCCCATGACGGGGTGATAGATCTATAGCAGGAGACGATTACCCTGTCAATGCACCATTATTTGCCTCTTCTTGTTTGAATTTCGAGATTTTAACCGCAGTTAACTACTGCCTCATTAATTCATCAGATTGCAAAGACCCAAGAATTCCCTTGAGGCGTGAAGTTGAAGATACTCATATCTTTGCATCAAAACCAAAACACGGCCTTGTATGGCAACCCATGCTATAGAGGGGAATTTGTTTGGATGTGGATGTATAAATTCGCATTCTTTCTGAACGGGGTCATTAAAAATGTTGCCGCATGTTAGTAAAGTGCAACACTCTCTGCACGTTAAGAACTCTTTGACCGTTCTGCAGATGGAATTTGCTGTCCCTATCCAAAATATCTTCCTTTCAAGCGGCAGTCGAAATTCCTGTCCTTTATCAAGGTCAATCCACTGCAGAACTAACCTATTTGAATCATAACCAATTTGTTCTCGTCTTAAAAATGCATGAAATATTTGCTACTGAATGCAAACAAACAGCAATCAGTCAATTAAAACAAACTTCTTCTTCTCTGTTTTATATGTTTCACTTCTGTTTTGAATCTAGATTTTCTTAAAATTCGTTTGTAAATTTTGTTCTATTGAAAGAACAATTTGTCCTTCTGTCATTTTGACAAAATGATCATAAGATTACTATCTGAAATACAGAGTGAGTACATACTAAACGTAGTTTCACTAAAAATAACATATAGATTACAAACTTTCCAAGCTAGTTTTTGAAGCAAAAAAAATTTACCGACACATTAGTAATTTTCTTTGTAAGATGTTGTGTTTTTGACAACTTTTTGTCATATGAATCTCAATGATATCCTTTTTCTACAAATTACCTGAAACTTAACAGGCAATTTGTTGGATTTTGTTTCAAAATTTTTGTCATTTTACAAAATGACTAGGTATTTTTAGTCATTTTAAATAATGCGTGTCAAGGTTAGGCATTTTATTAGAAAATGCCTGTAACATATATACATATATATCATAGGTTTGAACGTTGTTTTCAATTTAGACTTGCATATATATAAGTCTAGAGATTTGCACAACGATACTAATATAAGATGGTATTATACGAAGATGTTGTTAATAAATCGTGTTGACAAATATTTCGGCTTAACAAATAGCCTTCTTCGGTGTCAATTATTTTAACAATATATATAATTTGTTAAAATAATTGACACCGAAGAAGGCTATTTGTTAAGCCGAAATATTTGTCAACACGATCGCGATTTATTAACAACATCTTCGTATAATACCATCTTATATTAGTATCGTTGTGCAAATCTCTAGACTTATATAATTTTTTTCCTTATCTGCACAGTATCGTCTATTCTAGACGATCCGGTACATAGTAAATTTGCTGGTTGGTCCTTTTTATAGACTTCTATATATATATATAAATATAGAAGATATGACATACGAGAACCTCTGACGGCGTTCTGGCCTTACTCACAGTGACTATTTCATCACATTAATGAATTTCAACACACAAAGGCCGGTCTACTAATAAAACAATAAAGTTAACATTGACATGCATATGTATCTCCAAAGTTCGTTAGTGCTTAAACTTTGCTGAGAACAAAAGGAACGGTGGCATCGTTCTACAAGAATTACTTAAAACACGATATTATTGATATTAGTTCCTGATTACCTATGTTATGAGTATATTGATACAATGTAGTTCCAAATATGCACATGTCATTTTACAGATGTATTTATCAATTCATCGTTTTAGTTTTAATTCAAATGATGCAATGCAGTTGAATTTATTGAATTGTATGCATATATGCATGAAATCAGTGTTGCTTCACGTTTGATCTAATTCATGATGAAATACGAACACAATATGCTTGTACTATCTAGAATATTAAAACTTACAAGACGAAATGGTTTTGGACTCCTTTCTACTTTAAACTGGAAATGACAAAGCTCACAAGAAGTCTTGTTGGACGATCCCAGCCATCTCTGTAGACATGAAACGTGTAAAAGACCTATACTTCCAGAACAGTAGCATGGTGAAAAAAGCTGCTCGATGCTTCCACCTTCATGGCAGATTCTGCAAACAGTTTCACTTGACGAGCTATACAAAGAGATGGTGTATATTTATCTTTTTTTCGTCATTTTTAACAACAAAGGTACGTATAAAAATACGATTCACAATTCTTTGCTAAATGATTAAACATCAACGTAGCTAGATTTACCTCGAAGTTTAACACTGACATTTCAGGCCCTATCCATAACCGATTCCTCCTACTACCTCGTTAATGTAGCAATCGTAGAGCAGCGGAATAAAACGACTAAATTGTTCCTTTATCTCTTGTGGTAAGATTTGAACGAGTTTCTGTTGTCATTGCGGGAAATAAGTTTTCACTGGAAACGATTATCGGAAAGAGTATATAACCATGATCGCGATTATCTGTTATCAGACAATACCCTTTCAGTGGCATTTTTAAATGATGTGTATTTATTTATAATATTTATAAAAAAAGCCAGTTTCTACACATGGACATGACAATAACACCACAAATAAGATACACACTAATGCTACATTTACTGTGCGAAAAGAAAACAACAATTTACTTAATCACAACATATTGATTGAAATGTCGCAAATAGACAAATTATAGATGTATAGCAGCTATGAGGACAGAATATCATAATTCAGGAATCAACATTTAAATAATCTATTGCCATGCATTTAATCTAACCCTGAAAACCTACCTATCAAGACTTCTTCTTGCTTTACTAGTTTGTGTTGATCTGCTAGAAGAATCAGTTCTATGAGTGTGAAGTTCCGGGGAGAACGATCTAGCTGGAGACATTAGTTTGCTTGGTGTAGAAGTTGTCCTACTGCGACTTGGAGATGTTGTTGGAAGTGACCTCAAACTGCCAACTGAAGATGTTGTCTTCGATTTTTTTAATTCAGTTCTTGGTATATATGTTTGTATGTTTGATGTACAACTGCGGTAGTCAAGTTGCTTTTTTGTTTGGCGATCTTCGTCACTGTATAAAACATCGTCTTGATAAGAATGATTTTTGTAAAGAACTCTAGTTGGTTGGCTAGAAGTAGACGGCTTTTCATGTTCTTTGTCAATCGCAGTTTTCTGGATGTTAGGAGGGTGTACATCAACGACACATTTGTGCCTTCGTGGCTCTGTTCTTTCACATGGTGAACATTCGTACCAATTATCACATGATTCCGATTGCTATTAATTAAATAAACAAAAGCATATGATTTGTTATTATTTTGCATAGTTTTATTTTATTTTTTTTGACTTGATTAGATAAAATGTTATTTGTATGAAAGATCCTTTTTTAAACTAAATGTATCCGAAAAGAAACAATAAACTCTGTTTAACATGACTGTATCCCTACATATCACATATTTCTGCTAACTGGTACCCGGTGGATTGATGACAACAACAGAAGTATATGTATTGTTGGATCAAAAGTGGTTCTTCGCATTCAACTTTTTACAGTAATACTGTTTATAAAGCTGACAACTCTATGTATTGCCCTTCAAATCTATTTCCTTATATCCTTACTGATAAAGGTAAGAACTATATTGTTGTTGTTCAACCATTGCGTCTCGTATTTTTTTGGGGATAAATATCTATTTGTTAATTTATAGTTTGAAGCAATGCTAATGTCCAATGTGTAAAAAGTAAACAATAATAGGTCAAAGCACGGCCTTCAACACGGAGCCAAGGCTCACATCGAACAGCAAGCTATAAAGGGCCCCACAATGACTAGTGTAAAACAATTCAAACAGGAAAACCAACGGTATAATCTATAACAAAAACGAGAAAAGAGAAACACCTATGAACCACACCTACAAACGACAACCACTGAACAACAGGCTCCTGACTTAGGACAGGTGCATAAAAATGCAGAGGGTTTAAACGTTTTAACAGGCGCCAACCTCCGCCCTAACCTGAAACAGTGGTGTAACATTACAACATTACAAGACGCACAATAAAATATCAATTGAAATGGCTTAACTCGACCAAAAAGACATATTCACAAAACAAGTAAATATACACTGAACGAATAAGTTTGATCTATGACGTGGGGTTTGTTTTGAGCATTGCATTTATCTATCTGATCTGTCTATGACGTGGTTCGTTGCAATCTTCTTTGAAGTACTACAACCGATTTTAATACAGAGCGGCATGATTTGTATTATTAGGTTATATACGTTGAGCTTGCTTTCAGTGACTGCAAGCAGTGATTTTCATTAATAAGGTATATAAAAATAAGGAGATGTGGTATGATTGCCCATGAGACAACTATCCACCACAGCTAAAAAGAAGTGCATGGATGTGTAAGTAATAATAGGCAATCGTACGGCCTTCAGCGTTGAGAAAAACCCATACCGTATAGTCTGCTATAAAATTCCCCGACATGAAAAATATGAAACAATTCAATTGAGAAAACTAACGGCCTAATTTATAACAAAACAAATATGACAGACATGAACCAACGAAAACCACTGAACTACAGGCTCCTGACTTGGGACATGCACATAAAGAATGTGGCGGGGGTTAAACATGTTTGTGAGCGCTCAACCCTACCCCTAACCTGGGACAGTGGTGTAACAGTACAACATAAGAACAAACTATAAAAATCAGTTGAAAAAGGCTTAACTCATCAGATGGATACAAATAGAAATACATCTAACAAATACACAGAGTGGACGTGGACGGGTACTTATATATCCCAAAAACAAAAAGACACTTATTACAGATCTGAGTTTTTCATTTATTCTTGGTTATCTAGTATATCGTTGTTATAGAGTAAAGTGCTGTTTTCAATAAAGTTAAGTGCCTTTCCTGTACTGTTTTTTTTTGTATGATCATTTATGTACGTTTTGTTGATTTACTGAACTATAATTAAATAGGGGGAGGGTACAAATATAAAAAAAACACGTGTATGTGCGTGTCCCAGTTCACTAGTTTGGAACCTCGTCAGTACTTGTCGTATGACTTCATAATTGTCTTAATCAATATATTATAAGTTCTCCTCTAATTGTATTTGTCCTTTGGTCACGTTGTTTGCTGGCTCATTGACGCTGTCGCATACACCACATCTCTTTTTATTCATTTGTCATTTGTCGCTTATTCAGAATTCAGAACTCAAGATGCGTCACCACTGCAGATTAACTTTTATCCAATAGAATAGCGATATGGATCATCAAAAAAAGAAAGTGGAACAAAGGTCGCATAAAGGCGTTAGAACTGCTTGAAAGCTTCTTGAGATCGTTCAGACATGAATGATTTATATAGCTAAGGCATTTGATACAATTCGGAAGTGTCATCTGATATATTGCAGGAGGCAATTAGAGTTTGACTGTGGGAGGACTTTTGATCTATCTACTGTAATTGATTATTAAATGTTTCACAGTCAAAATAAGAGTTTTGGAAACAAAGGTTACAAAAATCAAATTCTATTTAAAAAAAGATTTTTTATACATATTATACAGGAAAAATCGGTAGAATGTTTACAATAACTGTTATCCCGATTAACCTGATGCCCTACGGTCCAAGCATGGAAGTATTATATTGAAGCAAGTAGAAATGTTGTCGAGCCAGTAACTTTTTCTGAAAAGACATTTGCAAGCCATACAATTGTAAAAAAAAAAAACAATTGGCTTGTAAGTCAAAAATGCTTTCATGAATACTGCAAAAGATATCAATGATACTATCTTCACTGAATAACAAACCCAGATAGTTTGGTTTTGTCTCTTAAGTGTAATAAACTATTTGCGGGGCATATTTTATATTTACATCATACATTTTATATACACATCATACATTTATATTATCATCAGACATTGTATATCTACATCATATCCACGTCATTCTGGTGCATAGTTGTCTTATTGTCAATCATACCACATCTCTTCATATTCATATGTTCGGACATGTGAGTATTTGGAACATACGCTTATAGTCATGACTCACTTTTTGAAATTATATCAAAGGATTTTGACATGGTCTTTTATCGACTTTGGAATAAAACTTCAAGAAATATCTAAATGAACCGTTAAACAAGAAGCCAACTGTTTTTAACTCACATGCACATGGAACATACCCTCTTTTTTTCTTTCTCTTAATAAGGTGTTTTAATTAATTTGAGTAAATTAAAATTTCTTAATTATTTTTAATTTTTTAAGTGTTTATGCTCCTATTCATGTGACTTTACAATCACAGTAGTTCTCAAAGCCTGCGTGTAAACAATACAATACATTCTTTGGAGTTCGGTAATTCTTTGGAGTTCGGTAATTTTGCTATTTTTATTTCTACATCAAATATGACCTTGAGAGGTCATACCGGTGTTATGTTGCAGCAGAAATTTCCTTGCGCTTTTGACTGAGAACCGAATGTATTACGTATAATTACGCGGATATTATCGAGTGCAAAATAACATTCCTTATCGCTTGTTATATATTAATTTCATCAATAAGAACATAGATAAATGATACGAAAATGTTTTTTTCGTGACAAATATATATATCAATAACAAATCATGAATACCGAAAATTTGTGTTAACGCATACGGAAGACTTTTGCAACAAAAGCGGGAAAATATGAATGCCCACTCAAATCCAATCTACCAGAAAAACGAATTAATTTATTACAGAAGAGTGTCCACAATGCACTTGCACTGCACTATCATTAGAATAGTAGAATAGAATGATATATAAATGGATGAAAATTTGCCTGTAGAGTTATTAAGCTGATCTGCTATATATATAACTGTTATACAAATATTAATATAATATATAACAACAAACCAGAGTAAACTGATAACAAATGATTATAAAATTATCCTAACAATATAATAATTATACAGTGAGGTTGAATTCCTTGTCATTTATTCATCATCATCACAGTAACTTGTCTCAGAAAAAAATATATCTATGTACCTTAACATAACTTTCAGGTATAGAGATATGATTTTTTTCTGAGACAAGTGCTTGTGACCATCCACCAGAACTTGCGGTCATTCGATGTTCAGAACTTCAGTAATTGGATTTATATATGGATACGTAAAAAGATGATGTGTGATGATGTGAATGGTTGTACACAACAAGTCTAAATTGAAAACAACGTTCAAACCTATGATTGCGTTAGATAAAAACCGCAATTTTTATACGTGTGCATGAAAAACAAATTTCTTGTTAGAGGGGTCTAAATACAGCACAAACAACATTTTCAAAAGACCAAAAAAGTGAAAAAGTATATTTTAACAAAACGCATTTGACTAACAGGTCGAACAACAAATGTTCTTAAACCCTGCTGACTGCCATTGGCGATTGCCAAATAAACGGATCACCGATGTAATAAATGGATCTTAATTATAAATTTAATCTTAAACAGAAAACAATAAACTTGCGGAAAAGATGATATACCGCAAACAAAAGGTGCAAAGGTTTTTGTACACCATATCCGGATTTCGACAATTAATGTCTCTTCAGTGATGTTAGGAAACGAAACGGTATTTGGAAAGCAATTTACCTCAATTTAGGATAGACTCTTGAATTTTGAGGAGTCAAAATAGGATGAACGGATCATATAAACCCGAAGGCAAATATAATACAAGCCCAAACGAAAAAACGATACTGCGCAGATAAGGAAAAAATTATATTAGTCTAAAGATTTGCACAACGGTACTAATATAAGATGGTAATATACGAAGATGATGTTATAAAATCGTGTTGACAAATATCTCGGCTTAACAAATAGCCTTCGTCAGTGTCAATAATTTTAACAATACTGATTGTATGTGTAAAATAGCTCAGTAATACAGGTAAGTTTTA